TTATCCAAAGACTTACGACCTGCCACCCTCGCGAACCATGTCTTCTACTGATGAGCGCGAGCCACTGCTTTATTGTTTCATTATTTCCCTCTCACTGTATAGTGGACCATCGGAGCACTAAAAAGCGAGGAAACTTCAAATGTCGGTAAACCTCGCATATTCTCAAAATCTGGTATAGATGAGAGTTCTGCAATATCGTATCTCTGATCTCAAATTTTCGGACTCCACATACTTGAGGACAACAGCGGATTGCCTCTCGATGACGACTCTCATCAACTGAACATGACACCCTGTCAAACATAGAGACCCCGACCCACGTCCTCTATCCATATTATTTTCATGATCGACTTTGTTTTAGCTCCTGCACGGTAGATTCTCTCGGCTGTTCTGATGTCTGTTGCCTACTTTTTCCTATATCATTGTGCAGCGTACTTATAACCTGCCTATTCGGTTAAAGAACTGGCAGAATTTCGAACGTGTCCTATCTCTATGTCCGTCCAGATATCCACGGAAATCAATACTGCGGTCCATATCATCCTCCTGTGATGCGATCCCACATCATTTCGTCTGCTTCGGTCGCTCATACAGACCAGTTACTGTCCCTCATCATTCTCTATTTATAGTCGTCACTATCAATGCCCTTCCAATTCCATCGGCCACAGGCTACTTACCCAGAAAGAGCTACGCTTCGGTTCCAGACGGAGCATGGTGAGTGTTCAGCCTTTATCTCACAAGAGCTCTGCGGGATTCGCCACACATTGTGAACGTCCATATTTCCACTCATTGTACTAGCTGTCTGATCCATGGCCATGGCGAAGAACGAAATATGAGCCTGAGTATCACCTAATGCCTACGACTTGGTCTTCATATACAAGGGCATACAGGGAGTCAGGGAAGCGACTACCCTGCCCAGCTGAGGCGATTCCGAGTGGCACTAATCCTCATCCATGGAGAGGCGGCAGAGCCACAACCCTAGCCGGAGACCATTACCGACTGCGGCCCATTTTCTCGCTGGGGGTGAACCATCCAAACGATCAAAATCTGTTCAACATCGCCCTGCAAGACAATATACATCGAAGATGCGGAGAACTGCACGCCATTGGAGCATGCTGTCAAAAGGGGGGACTTGGAAATCTGTGTCCTTCTTTTCAACCAAGGCGCAGATTTCCGCGAAGGCCCGGCGGGGCCAGATGTCCGCAGTTTGCTCCATGCGGCAGCAATGCTAGGAGACTTCTGGGTGCTCCAACATCTGATTCCGTGGGTGCCAAATCAATGGAATCAGCAAGTATCAAAAGATGGCTTTGGATGTTCCACTACCCATGGCTTGCTCTCGAGGACACGTTAGATAGAATAGCTGACGAGACTAATATCGCCCTGCTTGAGGATGATTCAGACATGCCCTGAAGATCAATGTTACCATCCGAGCTCGATCCGGTTTTGGGCAACTGTATGGAATTACGGCTAACCAATCGCTTGAAATGACTGGGTAAGGGAGAGCAAAATTTTTATCGTTGACTAACTCTCCGATGGGCTGTGTAGACATTGCGAAGGATTTTTCTTCTCGTCCAAGCGCACCGACGCCGATTCCAGACGCTCCCCGACGGCGCTAATCGTTTTGCATGGACTGACGCAGTGGTTTATGCCCCATGTCTACGCGAAGAGAAGTGTGGGGAGCACTTGACCATCACTCAACCGCCCCCAGTCGAGAAGCAGCGGTCCTGGGCCAAGGGTATTGCCCCTTATAAAGCGCTCGATTGGTGGCAGGGACCCACGAGTCCAGGTGACATGGATGCTCTTCTCGCTGCATGCACTCCTGATTCCTTCACGGGATAGCCAAAGTCGTTGCGACATGATATTCCCAATCATCAATTGCAACTGGACACAGCCAGGACCTAGGATGTTGGGATTAGAACTGCCCGAGTGCAAGCCTTCATCCATGCCATCTTGGTCTTTGGATGTTGTTGGATATGAATGAAGAAAATGTGCAGTCTTCTTCAACTTCACGGTTATTTATCGCTATATACCATGGACGTTTTCTCAAGCCCGCATTACAATGTTCCCCGTTCTGCGATATCGCTATGTTGCTCTTTTATCCAATGTTCGAGGAATAACAATGGATATCTCATCCGGAAATAACGCACAATATATCAGTTGAGGAATCAGCTGGACCGCCAAAACTCAACTTTCACACCTCCCAACTCAGCCTTGCTGAAAGACGGACACCCGCACAGCACTTTTTCGGTTCGAGTCAGTCCAACTTGCTTTCTGGACACATATCCAACCCAATGGGCATCTACGATACATACATGCGCGCAAGGATACGACTGAAGACCACGCTGTGCTCTATACAATAGACGAGCCGGAAGAAGGCATGGAGGGCTCAACTTTTTTCTTTCGATAATACAGAGTGCGACTTTTCTGGATATAAACTCTGGCGACAAGGAACTGGTAATCTCCACCCCTGAGATAGCACTTCCACACGGGCAAACCGCAGTCTGACTTTCCCGAGAGTACTGGGTAGAAACTACGGATTTGCACATGTGGCTTTTTCAAAGCCGGTTTGTACCCACGAACATGTTCTTCCGAAACTGGTCTTGGAGGGAAGGTGTTTCCGATCCCGAAAACACGAAACGGGACTTTATGAACAGAATTCAATCTTTGGCATTTTACAATCACCCAAGAAATAATCAAGCTATGGAAGAAACTACCAGGGTTCATTAATGTCTGGGAGGATTGGTGGATTTAATCTCCGCGCAGAAGAAGAACCTGTTTCTGTATTCAAACCCCAGACAAGACACAGTTGCCGTACGCCTCCACTATAACCTGACAGGGCAACTAACCATGTCTAATAACGCACTTCAACTACACTTACTTTCTTCCTGAAAGTCCCTCTCATTACCCAACGCCTGCTTGCAAGTCTGTATCCATTCAAGCAACACAGACTTCCAGAGTCGATCGAAACCTTCCGCCGATATATTTGATATTCGGAAAAGCCCTCAGACCCACAGACTTCGGGCGTGCGTCTGGTCGTGTTCAAGAATAGGTTGTCCCGAGCTACTGTCCTTTTCCGGCGTATCCGATTTCCAGCCAAATACCACTTTTATGTCTGGACTACAGCTGATGCAGCATACCTGCAGGACTCCCAAGATGATGGTTATTGTGAAATTGGCCTCACCAATGGCATCTCTATATACTTGCCAATCTGTCTAAAAGCCTGTCAGATCCCGCACTAAACTACCTGGTATGCCTTATACACACGACGATTACCGACTTGATTCGATGCAGAGTCATAACTACACGTCCCTGCAGCCCGACGCTTCTTTCGGCCCCTATTGCCTATTGTTTATATGGGCTTACCCTTTACCTCTTCCCAACATGTCCCTTCCATCATATCCGTCTCTCGGGAAGTCCGGCACCACCGTCTAGAATCATGAATCTGGGCCCTGCGCTGCTCCAAATACAATTCCATACGCCTTCCGCAACATGAGGGCTCTAGCACCGCATGGAGATTGGAACCCCCTGACTCTCGCCGACACACCAAAACCCCAGAACATGGTGCTGGACCGATCGAAATCTCCGATGATATCCCCTTTCGCTCTTCTTGTCTCTGAGCTCTTTGGCTGCCACCTTGCGCATTTACGACTCTCGTCTCCCGGATGCATGATATCATGTTTCACGGCTCAGACCGCACACGGTATATCAGGACTTGCCATATCAGACCCCTTTCACATCCTATATCTCTCCGCTCTTCACCATTTTCTTTTCTGGTGCGAGTGAAAAATGACATTTCACGTCCTGAAGACCCGGCAAGTGACATTCTCGGCATCTCACAACAATTAAATATTTCCGGTCGTCCGAACTCTTCCCAACACACGATAGAGTTTAAGATCAATGTGGGAGCCCAAGAATTGCTCTTTTCCTATCGTCGGGCCCCTCTTTCAAAAATGGGGAACTCACCCATCATAAACGTTACCGGGATGTTTCGGGCGCAATTCGTGTGAAAGGATCAGGCTCTGACACCCTCGACTGGTGAATCTCGATGTTCCTTGCAGATAATGTGGCTGATCAACTGGCCGGGCCGAAAACTCACCACGGCCCTACTTTGCTGCTTTTCATCGACTAGAAAGTCTCCACCACCTACTTCATCAGAAACATCTCCCTGGGTCCTTATCCCTTCCTCAAAAGGTTTATAACATGGGCAACTATATCAGCCGGATATATCTTGCTTATCACTGAGCATATCCTTCTACCCTACTTTTTCTCTCCTTGAATCTCGACAAAAACACGCGGTATCCGTTGTGACAGACTCACCCCAATCGAAGAGAGCGCCAGTCGGTAAAAAAAAAAAAAAACGCAAGTAATACAACATATCAGGGAGCAGACTGATGTCAATATTCATGCTTATGTGCCGAAGCCAGGTAGGTCTACCTCGCGGCTATCTCCGAGCTGGAGACTCCCCGGAGGGTATTCTTCTTTTATTCTCCGTTTTTTCAACAATGTCGATGGTTTGGTGTGGTTTCTGGACATGTTTGACCCTCCATGAATTTTCAAGCGAGAATATAAGTAGGGTATACATATGCTGCCAGTTTCTGTCTTGCGGTGTCTGTTGTCCCCTCCATTTTGTGGGGTGGTTACGAAGATAGTAGTGAGGGAATGCATCCCCTCCGCAAAGGAAAAGCGATATAGGCTAAAGTGGCCCGACTCCGCATCGACCCCGCGGTTGCAACTGCAAGGAAGGACCAGCACTCACTTCAAGGATTCATCAGCCCCAATTAACTGTTCGGAGAAATCAAGCCCTCTTTCCTACCTCTCGTGCCCGCTCCCTTGCATGACTAGTCTCTGCCGTAGCCCCTGAGGATAAAACAGATCATATCTGCCCCGAGAAACTCCACCAACCGTAAGACGATGACAGGGTTCGGCACTGTTTATAAAGTCATGCAGGTTCCCTCGGTCGAAATACGAGAGGATGTGCTTTCCCTCACGACAGACCCGGATAAAAGCTCGGCCTTAACCTGCATGATGATGATGATAATGAAGTTTGCTGTGAGAGTGCTGGGCCTTGCCGGTGCGCTTCTCCCGGGCGCTGCGGTCTGCGCGCCGCCCACGCCGCGGTCGCAAGCCCTAATCGACAAATTCTCCTCGCTGGTCGTCTTCGGGGATAGCTACACAGACGACGGCGTTTACTCATACATCCCCCCCGTCGCAAACCAGGTACGTAAAACCCTCCCCCCCCCCCCCCCCCCCTTCCTCCCCGTCCTCCTTTCAAACCACTCACCCCCCCCCAGACAACAGACGCCTGGGACGGCGGCCGCGCCTGGCCAAGCTACATCCAACAATACGCCCACATCAACCTATACGACTACGCCGTCGCGGGGGCGGTATGCGACTCCATCATCAGCAACGACGTGCGCAACGGCGTCAAACAAGACCAACTCCCGTCCTTCCTCACCGACAACAGCTACACCGGCAACACGACGGGCCAGCCGGCGCTCCTCAACCCCTCCTCCGAGACCATCTACGCGATCTGGATCGGCACCAACGACCTCGGGCCCAGCGGCTTCCTCACCGAAGTCGAGCCGGCCGGCATGCCAATGACCTATTTCACCGACTGCGTGTACGCCCAGCTGGACCGACTGTACGCCATCGGCGCCCGCACCTTCGTGCTCATGAACATCGCCCCCCTGAACCTGGCGCCCGAGTACGCCCTCCCCCGGAATGGCGGCTGGGCGGAGGGCGAGTACTGGACCACCAAGTCGCAGTATGATCCCAACATCACGCAGTCGAGCGAGAAGATGCGTCAGTATGTCACCATGGTGAATGCGGTGTTTGAGTATCAGACGCCTGTTGGGTTGAGGGTGCAGGGGAGGTATCCGGGGAGTGGGTTTGCGGTCTTTGATGTCCATGCGTTGGTGAGTGGGTCTCCAGGAAAGGGAGTGAGGGAAAGGGGTGGGGGGGATTGGTGGGTGGTTGCTGATGTGTCTGCAGATGACCGATATTTGGAACAATCCGGCGGATTATCTCAATGGGACGGTTCCGTATAACGTCACAAGTTCGATTTACCGGTGTGGGAGCCCGTGTGCGGCGGGGGATGTGCAGGATAGTTATATGTGGTGGAATGATCTGCATCCGTCGCAGCAGGTGGATCGGGTGATTGCGCGCGAGTTTGTGGATCTGGTGAAGGGGGGGAGTAAGTGGGCGACTTATTGGAGAAGTTAGCGGGGGGAGGGGGTTTGTGTGGAGGATGGAATAAAGAAATAACATGGGGGGAGGGGGAAATCCAGACTTGGGATGGAGACATGCATTCGAGTCAGGGCTTGGGATAGCTTGTTTGTTAGTGAAATGTAGGTATGGCGAGCTTATCGGTTCTATTTGGGTGGGTGGGATATTTGACAGTTTGAGATCCCAGGTCTCTTCCAATATACGATGATAAATGAACCAAGTCTATCTTCTTCCTCTCAGCTTGCTTCATCTGACGGAAAGGGAAATTGCATCGTAGACGAAAAGCTACGTACAAAAAGCCAAGACCCTCAAAAGTGGCATCCGCACGACCAAACCACCAACTACCAATCCTTCTCTGCAGGGGCCGGGATAGGACTGCCCCATCCACGGTTCGAGACGGGACTGACCCATCCGGCGACAGATGGAGCCTTCTCTTCAGCGAGCGCAAGGTGCTCAAACGCGGAGTAAACCTCCATCATATTGGCAGTCAAGTAGTTGTGATTATTCGGAGCCAGCAAAGCCACATTCGAAGCGCAGCCCTGAAGGGAGGTGACGAAAGCGTTATATTCCAACCACTCGGGCACGTCGACGAGAGTCTTCAAATCAGCGAGAGTGCGGCGCCACTTCACCAGGAAATCGTACCGATTGTCCCCGGTAGAGCAACGCAGGGACGTCAACTTCTGGTACAACTGGAGAATAACGGCCGCACGCTCCTGCTCGTAGTGGGACTTCAGGACGTGGAAAATGTCGGGGGCGTTGCGGAGGCCCAGGATGCGCGACTCGTGGCTCTCGTCGACGACAGAGTGGAGCAAGCCGATGAGGAAAATGTTCATGGTCTTCCATTCGGAGACGGATGCGTCGAAGTGGTTCTTGAAGGGTGCGTTCCACTCATATTCATTGTTGTCCCAGCTTGTCTCCCTGCTGACTCGGTCCGGGGTATACTTCCATCCGAAGACGCTGGAGGCCGGGGAAAACGCCTCCCGTGGGGTCGGCACTTTCGCTCCCCAGGAAGAGGGCTTGTCCGGGCACTGGTACTCGCCGCTGAGGATGCCCCAGTATGCGCGGTCTTTGGAGTTGAGGACCGTCTGCAGTGTGCACAGCCAGTCTTGGTAATTGGCCATGCCGCGGAGCTTGGGGATGCTCTCTAGGGAGAGTTCTTCGGTGGTGGGGGCCATGTTTTAGCAGAAAGGGAGAGTGAGATTGCTGGATTGTTGAATTGGGGGTTGAGGTCAAGGTGCACGGCACTCGAGGGAGTCCAAGTCACACACGATGTAACTGGCTAGGAGGAATGATTAATCATGAAGTAAAACTAAACTGAAGGAAGATGAATCAAGGAAACGTGGGGGTTGTAGCCAGAGAGAAGCTACGAGGGTGGGAAGAGGAAGAGGAAGAAAAGAAGGAGGAGGCGGGAGGCAGTGGAGCTATATAACACCTTCGGATGACCCGATTCACGGCCCCTTTCTCTCGAAAGAGTGAATCCTCATTCACAGCGGGTTCGAGTTAAGAGCCGTTATTCTTCAAAATGTGGGCTGTCAGCAGCTGTATCAATTCAATGTCGAGGGCTGCATTCGCAGTTGTCAAGGTGTATTGAAGTGCGGGACGAATAGATGTCTCTGAGGCCTCGACACAATATGATTGGGATAGAGATTCATCGCATTGTATGTGGATATTCGAGATTGCATATTCAAGGATGAAGGTCTGATTCCTCTGAAGTTACAGAGCTTTGACATGATCCATGACAGAAAAATATGTACAAGCAATATTATTCAGTGTCGCATGGCAGCATAGTACCATAATATGTAGAGATATAAGCATAAACGAAGCGTATCTGGTAGATTATATATATATCAGTCCCTCAAGATAGACGCTCACGGAGCAGGGCAGTCTGTCCTGGTCACAATTTCGGTAATGTAGGTAGTCGCTACAGTCTTATACACAGTAACCACACCCGTTTCCGATCCCGTCGACGCGGGGGAGGGAGTCGCTGTAGAAAGCGTCTTGACAGAAGAAGACACTTGGGATGATGACGCAGGTGTGCTAGAAGGGGCACTGCTTGGTTTGATGCTACCAGAAGCCGAACTTGCGAGAGGAATTGGTCGCTGAGATGATGGAGATAGGGGAGAGGATGAGGATGACGCGAGGGGTGATCCCGAAGATGCTGCTCGTGAGGATGGGGCGGTGATAGAAGATGACGGGACGACCTTAACAGCAGAGGATGGAGCAACAGATGGTAGAACGATCGTAGACGAGGACAGTAGCACCGATGAGCTTGAAGCGCCACTAGATGCCACTGGAGCTCTTGACACAGTAGAAGATGATGTTGGAATCCGAATGATGGAGGATGAAGAAGTTATGGGCGCCGGAATGCTTGCAGTTGACGATGACAGGACCGAGGGGATTGTAGGGATGCTCGAAGTCAGCGAAGCACTCGATACAACGACGGATGACGACGGGATGCTGGCGACCAAAGGCGAGGAGGTTGACACTGTCGACGAAGTCGGAACACTGCTACTAGCAACAGCCGACGAAACAGGAGTCTGGCTCGGAGTCTCCAACGTCGAGATGGTGACCGTCTGAACATAGGTAGTAGTATACGGCACCGTAGCCACCCTAACCACCGTCTCAGTAGCAATCACCCCCGTCACGGTCGAAACACATGGATTGGTGGTTTTAACCAACATGGCTTCGTCATAAGAGGCTGCAGCTGATACGACCATATCGCCCGCCGAAAGATAGCACAGCTCAAGTGCAGCTACACTAATGAAGTTGATACCCGCGCATGATGCAGTCTGGGCGCAATGGCTGACACAAGCACTGTATGGAATGCTGACGTATTCTGCAATGGAAGTTCCCGCGTGTAACCAGCTAGAGGAGCAATATTGCTGGTAGTAGTTCGACCCTGAGGCCCACACGGTCGGGACACACGAGGTGGCGGCGGGAGCTCCTGTGCCGACTGCACAAATGCTGGTCACAGTTGAGGTCTCGAAGGTACTGGTGCTGGTTTGGGTCACAGTGGTCAGAGAGGTGGCTGTGATGGTCTGGAGAGAGATTCCAGAGCGAGATGACAGGGCATCTGCCTGTGCGAAAATGGCCAGGAGGGCAGATATTGAAGCCCAGGAAGATCTCATGGTGGATGGCCTTGCCTAACTGAGGTGATGGAGTCAGGGTATGTATTAAAGTAATGACAATAGAAGAAGGAAGGAGAGTGAAAAGAGAGACGAAAAGAAATAAAAAAAAATCACTTAGCCACGACCACGTTACGCCTAGGACTTGGTTCTGGGCCAGGAATAAGTAGGCGATTGAGGCATCGTCGGAGCATTCCACCTGTCGCTTGTTCTGCCCTTGGATTTCTAAATCCCCCATGGTCTCGAATGGGCCCACAAGAGCCACCAATATCATGAGCCGGCTCTGTAGATGAGTGGCGGACGGCGTGATGGGGGCTGGCAATCGAGGTGATTTTAGCCGATGCGGGAGATCGGATACGAGTCGACCGTCCGAATCTTCGCATCCTAACGGGAATCAGTTAGCAATAACCCGCAACCAGATTAGCTTTTCCACGCGCATTCAGGCAGGATGCAGTTAATGGCGCTTATAACCCCCTGCTCCATCTCGGCACTTGCCCTTCCTGCTTGATGGAGAAAGGGGGCTTGACCAGTGGGTTGATCCGGACCCTTTCTGCAAAGGTTTGTCGATTTCATTAGAGGCAGGATGCCATTTCAGGAACCAATTGCACAAATTTTGGCTACTGTTCGAGGCTCGAAATGGCTCCTTGAGGTTGGCACGATATGCCACCTTCCCAGGCATCTATAACAAAAATTGAAACTCGCTTCTTCTTGTGAATAACCCGACCCGTATTCTCCCATCGGCACCGTTGTCTCATCACTCAAACATTCAGTAAGCTCGCAATTGGTCCCCATCCTGCGCAGCTTGGCCGGTAATTCAATCAGCATCTGCGAGATAAACAGTCGCGTTCAAGACGACCACCAACGACCTGACTACCGCCTCCTTTCCCCTATCCGCCGCTAGGTTATTCACGACAATGTATTTCCGGGCCTGATCCAGGAAGTTTACAGACTCCAGACATTCAAGGATTGAACTTGCAAGGTCGGAGATGTCAGATGTGGTCTCTTTGTGCAGGCTTATCATGTCGAGAGATGTGTACATTCGATGTTCGACGGCCACCGGCCGACTAGCGATAACCACTCCTCCGGGCAAGGTTGTCCCGTAATGGACAAACATCACCTCCAATCGCAGTGGGCAGGGATCGGCCGATTTGCACTGCACTGCCTGCAGGAACTCCCGTCCATATGGCCGTAGCATGGTTCAAACAGCCGATCCAACCCGCCGTATACAGGTTTGTCTCGTTCAGGTCAGGGATGGTTCGGCATCTTGTTCATTCAGCATCTGGATCGCTGCTGCGAGCTCAATAGGCAAGGCGCAGACCCATCCTACCGTGTATATGTGGATCTCACGGCACCTAGTGGTCATTAGCGAGCCATCATCCCGTGCTAACGATGCGAGACATAGATGACTATCCCAATGAGGAGGCCATGTCTCCAGACAACCACAACCCTGATGCTGTTGCGGAGTATTTCCTGCCATCCTGCGCGGGCTCCTCAGAGGCTCAGTTCGGGGGTGAAGGAACATAGTCAAGTTTCATCCCGTGTTTGGGTGGCGATGTGGAAGTTGGGGGAGTTGTTGAGGATGGGATTGTTTCGCGCTGGTCGCTTTACATTTTATGCAATTGTGTTATGTCCGGTTATGCCGCTGACAGACGTATGCAAACCAGTCACATGACCTGTAAGGTACAACATTCAATACCGTCCCAATACCGTCCCAATACCACTTCCCCTCCATCTCCATCTTTCTATTTATTTGTCTCCATCTTCATCTCCATCTCGACCCCGCTTCATCATCCTCCTTGACTTGTCCGCGGATCGGCTTCGCACGCTTGCCCACCTTTTATTAATGCTTGCGGACGCTCTACGTGTTCCACCGGCATGAAGACAACTGTCACCAAATCCCCCCGGGTCGATGCAATCCGTCGAATCCCAGGATCTGATCTATCCGATTCGTGCTCTACGTGAATCCCGCCAGGGATCGTGCATGATGATCGCCCCCCCGCCATCGACGAGGTGATATATAGCTTCCTCTTCCCTTTCGACATTTCCGTTGTCTCTAAATCTGTGGACCGTAAACCCGCCCCGATGGCCACTCTGTTCTGTCTTCCCCCCGAGCTGCTCGTGCACATTTACGCCCTGGGCGATGTCAACGATGCCCTGCAGCTGAGAGGTACCTGTCGACGGCTCCGGGACTTTTTCGATGAACCTCGAAACGCCGATGCCATTCTCCGGGGCATCATGGTAAGATGGCTCCCGGATCATGCTCCATTCTTCACTGATGTCGGATGATCGCAAGCGCCGCTTCTTCGCCACGGTCCAAATGCAGGATGACATTCTACTTCGCGCAATGCAACTTTTAGCCAGAGAAATCGTCGGTTCCGAAAGGGAGACCATTTCCGATCTCACCTGTCGCTGGTTCACCATGAAGGCGTTCCGGGCATACGGTCGCGTGCCGCCCTTCCCAGGCGACCATCAACTCACCGCGATGGCGCTGCTGGGGGAGTGTCCCCCAGAATCCGCCGGGCAGCCACTTTCTTGGGCTGTGAGGGAATGGCGCGAGCCAGTGGCGAAACTCTTGCTCAAGAAAGGCGCAGACTTGGAGATGCCTGATGAGAGTGGGAGACTCCCGCTGGCACGGGCAGCCGGCAATGGCTCTCACGCAGCCGTCGAACTATTACTAGAGGCCGGGGCGGATGTGAACGCTCAGGATGGCCTTGAACGGACGGCGCTCATGTGGGCAGCGATCAATGCTCAGCTGCCCATTATGGAGCTGTTGCTGGACTACGGCGCCCGGCCAGACACGGTGGACCAAACGGGCGCCAATTTTCTGGCGTACGCTGCTTGGTCCTGCAATGATGCTGTATTTGACTTCGCACTGTCGTGGTGTACCCTCAACGAGTGTCGGGATGTTATCCTGCGGCCCGATCTAGATGGGGTCACGGCTCTGCATATCGCCTGCTCCACACGCTGCAACATCGATCTAATCCGGCGCCTACTTGACGCGGGGGCAGACATCACAGCATTGACCGAGCTCGGCGAAAGCCCATTGATGGCGTTATTGAAGACTAGGTTTCCCACAGTCGGCTCTGTATCGGGCCGCTTTATGGGGATCAGCCCCCCTCAGCTGTCGCCACAGGAGATGATAGAGAGAATGGACCTTCTCACCACTCCCGAGCTGCTACTTACCCCGACGTACGGAAAACAACTACCTCTGCACTATGCCGTCCAGAGGCCTCACCCAATCCTGACCGAATATATCCTAAACCACGGCGGCCGAGCCGGGTTGAACCACATGGACAGAGACGAATCCACTCCACTGATGATCGCACTGGACTCCGGAAACGAGAAGGTCGCGGAATTCCTGATGCAACAACCGGACATCGAATTCCAGGCCCGACCCGGTCTCTCGAACGAGATGCATCTGGCGGTGCGATACTGTGCGCCTCACATCATCCGCATCCTCCTCAACTATGAGCCGTCTTTTTTGGACATCCTAGATGCAGAAGGGAGAACGCCACTTTTCCTCGCGATTCAAAAGAGCCGCCTGGCCCATTTCAAGCTCCTTCTGATGGAAGGGGCAGATATCCGAATCACTTCCTCAGAGGGCGAGGACCTTCTCTCCTACGCCGCTGAAACCGAGCATGGGCTCCCATTCTTCGAGCTATTGGCAGACAGCGACCTGGTCAAAGTCAACGCAGATGGCAACTCGCCCCTACATCGCGCCGTGCTCGGGCTTTCCGTCCAAAAAGTCCGCGATCGGCTCGCATCTCCGGATACCGACCTTCACGCACGCAATCTCGCCGGAAACACCGCTCTCCACCTCGCCGTGCACAACGGCAACCTGCGGACCGTCGACGAGATTGTCGAAGTTCTGCTAGCAAGTGAGCCAAACGGTGACAGCCCCACCCTCGCCAGCATCGCCAACTACGGGGGCAAAACGGCGCTGGACTTCGCCCTGGAGAGGGGCCGAAAAGACACCATCGCGGTGCTCGTGCAGCGGAAATGGAACGCCACCGTCGGCCTGGAATGGTCCCCCACCTCCGAGTGGATCGAGAAATGGTCCGAGGAAGACTGGTTCCCTGATCTACTCCACATCCTCCAACAGTCGGAGCCTCACATCGAGGCCTTGCAGCAGTCACTAGTAAAGCAATGGGGTGTCGGTGTCACCGCACACCGAAAATCGGAGACCTCGGTCCAGCGCAGCGACTATGACCATTATCTTAGCCTGACCATCCCAACTGACAGCATCCCCTCCCCTCTCCGCCGAATCACCTTCACCATGGTCTCGCACGACCAAGGCAAGTCCCCCCCCACCTCAATCCAAATCTCCCATATCTAACCCAACCTACCACAGGCTGGAGCAACGACAACCCCGTCAACCTCCGCAACCAATGCACATACTTCGGGTCACGAACGTGGTTCGAAATTGTGGTCGACAACTGCCACCGCTTGGGGGAAGCACTCCCGCGACGTCGAATCGCGTGCAATCTCCACGCCTCCAAGAACTACCGGCGCCAGACAGTAGTCTGGACTCTGGAAGACGAGTCCCCAGGCTTACGAGACTGGATAGAGGCGATCCAGCCCGGCGATACGCTGTATATGGTTCCTCGTGCGAAGCAAAATTGTTGGACGAATCATGTGAGGGAGATGACTGTTAGTGTTTACTATGAGAGGGAGGAGGGGGGGGAGATGGAATAGAATTGCCGGGGGGGGTCCACCTAGATATGCTTTACAATTTTCCTTCTGGGTGTTCTTCATCGTCCTATCTAGACGGATATTTTCCTAGGAGTTGAGTTCATTGAGAATTCGCAAAAGACACTACCTACCCCTACCTATCTAATATATATCGAATCAGTACCAAATAGATTCAGTCAGATACATAATAAGAAGATCAACAATCCCCCCATAGAAAAATAGAAAACCAGTCAACCACAGCCAGCCACATTCCCATTGCCAGCCCAATCTCCCCCTCCCAACAAGGTACACACAAAACACACTACCATCATCCCACCCACCCCAGAATAGTATAGACACCTCAGGCAGCACAGCCATCCACCACGTGATACCCAGCCTCAGCGCAACTCCTGCCTTAGGCCTAAATAGTGTAATCACAGCCGATCGCGGCGGTAGTACTCCGTACCCTACTAATCATAGTAGTACATGGCAGTACTGTAGACCCCCTTACCGAACCAGAACCACTCAGGACCCCGGTGTTTGAAGGTTTGAAGTTTGAAGTTTGAAGTTCTAAACCGAACCACACCAAGCTGCCCGTGAGAATTGAGGCACGGCTCTATTTCTATTTATAAATGAAGTCGCGGCTATAAATAAATATCGGGTTCTGAAACGGCGCAAATATGGGTTGTTTTGTTTTGTAGATGCGAGGTTAGCCTGGGCTCGGCATCAGCTGGATGGGGAATATGCAGGGTGGGTAGGTAAATTCATCTATGCATCTAGGTCTGGGGAGATGTGTCGGTTTGGGACCGGAGGGTATTGGGGGGGGGGGGGTTCAATGGTTGTGTGGTTCTGGGCTACGATGGATGGATGGATGGATGGATGGATGGATGGAATTTGGAGCTTGGTCGAGTGAGAGGTTGAGGAGGAAGAGGAAGGAATGCTTTGGGATGTTTATCTATGGGGTATGGGGTATGGGTATGGTCTGGGTTTAACATGTTGGATGTTAATATAGTGGCTGCGGTTTTCCATGAGAATTATCTGAAATGTGGAGGTGATTGACTTTTTCTTGAAGGATGAAGGCTGGATATAACCACGGGTATCTACTCGGATCAGTCTAGTTCTGAATCTGAATGTGAATGGTATATTAACGCCTGTGTATAGACGCTGCAGCGCATCTAGATGTACTTGTAGGGGTTGAGGATGCCATTCTGTATGCACGTCAGCTCGGATATCTCTTCCTCAAGGGAAAGAAACAACTTACCGGATCGTACAGACCCTTCAACTGCTTCATCAGGGTCAGCATGGTGTCATTCTGGCTGTAGCCGATGAACTCCTTCTTGGCGACACCCAGACCGTGTTCGGCGCTGATACTACCCTTGCGCTTCTGGATCCACTCGTACACCCAGGGCTCGATGGCCTTCTCGACCTCCTTGTTATACTGCCGGACGGAGATGTTGAGGTGCAGGTTGGAGTCGCCCATGTGTCCGTACCCGACGACCGCACGGACGGGGAACGAGTCATCGTCACCCACGAGCCCGAGCTTGGTCAACCGCTCCCTGCAGTCGTCCACCAGCTGGTACAGCTCCGGGAGCGGGATCGACACGTCGTACTTGTACGTGCCGCCCAGGTGGCTCAGCGCCTCGGTGATGCCCTCCCTCCAGCGCCAGATGGCGTGGAACTGCGTCTCATCCTGCGCCAGGACTCCGTCCGCGACGATGCCCTCGCCCATGATATGCTCGAGGAAGCCCTCCAGCTTCTCCATGTCGTGCTCGGCGTTGGAGCCGCTCGTCTCGACGAGACAGTAGAACGGGTACTCGCCCTCGAGCGGGTACTTGGTGCCGGTGGACTCGTGGACGAGCTTCTGGGTGCGTCCATCCATGAGCTCGAACGCGGACAGGATCTCCGACAGGTGACCCTTGGCCTCCTGGTACGCCTGACGGACCTGGTCGTAGCTCTCCAGGCCAAAGTACGCGACGTTCACGGCCTTGGGACGCGGCGGACACAGAATCGAGACACCGGTGATCACGCCAATCGTGCCCTCGGACCCAATGAACAGCTGCTTCAGATCATACCCGGTGTTGTTCTTCCTGAGTGTGGACATGGCATCCACGATCGTCCCGTCGGCCAACACCGCCTCCACGCCCAACACATTTCCATGCAGGCTGCCGTACCGCAGCAGCCGCAGCCCGCCGGCGTTCGTCGCCACATTCCCCCCGATATGGCACGAGCCCTTGGCGCCCAGATCCAGCGGGAACAGATGGTTGCGCTCCGCGAGGTACTGATCCGCGACCTCCAGAATGACACCCGCGTCGACGACCAGCACGCCGGACGCCTCGTCGAACGAGCGGATGTTGTTCATCCGCCCCGTGTTGATCACAATCTCATCGAACACGGGCACCGACCCCCCGACCAACCCGGTATTCCCGCCCTGCGGCACGACGGCGAGCTTCTTCTCATTGCAGTACTTCAGCACCTGGCTGACCTCTTCGGCGGTCTGGGGCTTGAGCACCAGACGCGTGTGGCCGCGGTACTTGCGCATCCAGTCGCTGTTGAAGGGCTCGAGGTCGTCGCTGGCGTCGGTGGTCACGCCGTCGATGACGGCGGATTGCGAGCCCAGGAGGGTCTGGAAGAAGGTGACATCGTCGGCGGAGATGGCGGCGAACTTGGGATCACGTTTCAGGTTGGGGTAGGCGTTCGTCGTGTACTTGATTTCTTTGCTGGCGGAGGGGGCCGCGGGGGTGCTGGTGAAGGCGCGGCGGGTGGTGAGGGAGGAGGACGGGGAGTATGCGGTCGCGGTGGCGGGACGCAGGATTGAGCGGGCGGGCTTGGACAGCCGAGCCCGTCGCAATGCGGCGGAGATGTTCCTGGCACCGGACATGGTGTTGGTGGTGGGAGGGAGGGGGAAGGACTGGTGGGTGGTGAGGAGGAAAGGGAGCGAAGAGCGGCAACGGAGAGGGTACAATTAAAAAGCTTCCCTTCCCGACCGGAGTTGGACGAGGTTCTCCGGTTGTTGCTGGTTTCCGTCCCGACGGATGGGCGGTATCGGCCGGTCGCGTGCGGAGTAACGAGTAACAGTAACTGACATGACGGTCTACTGCCATCCTCCTCATCTCACTCGATCACTCGATCACTCGATCACTGATCACTGATCACTCATCCTTGATCCTTGTCCTAAACACCCTTCGACCCGTCGGCATCGAACCAACTTCCCTCCTGTCTCTCCTCCGTCCCGCGACATGTCGAGCTTCTGGTACTGCTGCGAATGCTCCTTCGGACCCCTCCCCGTCGAGGTCCATCTGGCCTGCATCGAGTGCGGCCGTCAGCGCTGCCACAATTGCACCGTCGAGTCGCATGAAGTCACCGAGACTTAACCCTCAATTCCACCCATCCTATCGCCGTCATCGGTCTCCCACAAATACTTTGTTCTCGAATGTCGCATGGAATCAGCTTTCCGGACGGGTGCGCTGGGGGGTTGGGTAGATTGCGGGGATCGGGATGCATGCCTGTTGTCTCTTACGATGGATGCTGGCTTGTTCTTTGTTGTTTCGGGTATACTATACCGGGGGAGGCTATTCTGTATTGTTGTTCTTGCTGTTATGAATGATGGGTTATGAATGATGAAGTTAATTGAGTTATCTACTGTAAACCAACCCCAATTAGGCGTCCTGCACCACCCGTCCCTATAGCGAGGGCGATATTGCTGCCATTACCCGAATCGGCAAGGCTCACACGAGGCGCCAAGGCCGGCGAGTGACGTTGAGGGAGAAGTCGAGTCCAACAAGTTGCAAGCGACAACCGACCAGATACTTTTACAAGTTCCAGCTTCGATCGGAATTCCCGGTCCAGAACTGCTTCCATCCGTTTCGGTTCACCGTCCCCCTCCTATCCCAATCCGGTGCGCGTCCCTCAACGGTGGTCTTTGTTACGTCATGAAAGATGCCCCGCAGTTGACCCATTGCCAGTCCCAGTCTCGATCCGATTCTTCCACCATGTCCTTCACCTCCGACACCACCACCATTGACAACATGTCGACCACTGTCCTAGTAACTGGTGCCACGGGCCTGCTGGGCCGGCAGGTCTTCAACACCTTCAAGCACTCCGGCTGCCTGGTCGTTGGCCAAGGCTTCACCCGCGCCTCCCCGCCCACGATACTCAAGGCCGACCTGGAAAAGCCCGAGGAGGTCAAGAACCTGTTGAACGAAGCGAAGTACTCACCTCTGCCACCATTGCCCGCAGGCACATGAACGAACCAATCCCTCTGACTGATCCCCCGTGCCCACACAGACCCCAGATTGTCATCCATTGTACGCCTACGCTCCCCCCTCCATAGCCGGGCTGCACGCCGTTGGACGCGACACTGACCGCTCTGGTGTAGGTGCCGCCAACCGGTCGCCCGACCTGTGCGACAAGAACCCCGAGCAGGCGCGCCGTGTCAACGTCGACGCCACCCGCACCCTCGCGGAAGAGACCGCCCGCCAGGGGGCCCTCTTCATCTACATCTCGACCGACTACGTGTTCCCGGGCGCGGAGGGCGAGGCGCCCTACGAGACGGACGCGCCCACGCGGCCCCCCAACTCGTACGGCGTGTTCAAGCGCGACGGCGAGACGGCCGTGCTGGAGGCCACCAAGGAGTCCGGGCTGGGGCTGGTGCTGCGCGTGCCGGTGCTGTACGGGACGGCGAAGGAGAACTCCGAGAGCGCGGTCAACTGCCTGGTGGATGCGGTCTACAAGGCGCAGGATGAGAATGCCGGCGTGAGCATGGACGACTGGGCGCTGCGATATCCGACCAACACGGAGGACGTGGCGCGGGTGTTGCGCGACATTGTGATCAAGTACATCAAGGAGCGGCGCCGCATCCATGAGCTGCCCAAGGTGCTGCAGTTCTCGTCGGAGGACCGGATGACCAAGTACGAGATCTGCGAGAAGCTGGCGGACGTGCTGGGGCTGTCCCTGGTCGGGATGACCAGGAACCAGCAAGGGAACGACCCCAACGCGACCGTGCAGCGGCCCTATGACGTGCACCTCTCGACCAAGGCGCTGCGCGAGCTGGGCATCGACGTGCGGACGGTGGACTTTGTCTCCTGGTGGTAAGTGTTGTCTCTCGCTGATTGGGATCTTCCCCTGGTTGCATGCAGTGGTAACTGACGCTCGGACGCAGGCGCAAACACTTGAAGGCGTACAAACATTGAGGAGAGATGATTGATTGTGTTTGTGTGTTGCTCGACGCAGGAGGGAGATCTGGAAATGGGAAATGGAAAATGAGAAGTGGGAAATGGGAAATAGGAAGAATTATCCGGCAATGTATGCGACGCAAAACAATGAATGGCGAATTGGCTCCGATAGTGGACGATGGAGGAGATGTAGATCGCCCGCCAAGGGTTGCCGTTCCTGGGCAGTTACGAGTATTTATAGTCGGATCGACCGGGGGGATCTGATCTGGAGGCTACAGGCTACAGGCTACATGGACATGGTGTTGATGCTTATTCTGTTCTTGACTTCGGGTCTGTTGTGATGTTTCTCCCGATAACCTGCCGCTGCCAGGCCGCGCCCTAGTCCCGTCGCGGCTTGAGGCCAGCCAATCCTCCATCCTGCACTGCATTCCCTGCATTCCCCTTTGCTTGACTCTCTTCTCTTCCCTTCCTCCCTCTTCCCCTTGCGTCTGGCCATCCCATCCCTTCCCTTCCCTTCCCTTCCTTTTCTTCTTCTCTTGCAACCACAGTGGGTTGGGCTGGTCCCCCCCCCAGCCCCGACCACGCCCATGGATCCGGCCGGAGGGATCCATTCCTGCCCCTAAAATCCCTAAAATCCCTAAAATCTGCCACGGCATGGCTGCTAAACCCTGTTGGTGATGGTCCAGATGCAACCACAACCCTCTAATTTTTTTTACCCACACCACTTGGACCCTGGTCCTCTCCACAGCCCACAGTCTCATCGTGAGGGCGCTTGGATTCTACAGCCCCGGATCCCTGACTCTTGCATGAGAGCCCATTCCCATTCCATGATCCCCTCTCCTCTCGTCCCCCCCTTTCGGTGCTGGTGCGAGGAACGAGCAGTTCCCTGTGAAACATGTCTGCAACTTTCAGGGGGTGGAGACAGACACGCGACCCCCCGTTCGTCCATTATTTGATCCTGGCTCTCCTCCCTTGTGTTGGCCTCATTCACCGCGCATGCCACCGAGCGTGAATTCCTCTGTCGTTTCTGTTGGTCCCATCCATCCCATCCCATCCTATCCTTTGAACCACTTCTGCTCCAACGGTCCAACCCACCCCGATCCTCTGAAATCCTGACAGGCCAACCCGAAAAAAAGCAAAAAGGCAAAAAAAGGAGGCTAAAGAAGCATAATCCCGCGTTTTAATTAAACTGGCTGGCACCTGGACGCCATTGGACCACTGACTTTTCATCCGGGGGGGGCACTGCTACAAATACGATGCGCCTGGCCGCCTGGACGGTATCCTCTAGTTGAAAGACCCCAAGACCCAAAGACCCAAAGACCCAAAGACCCCTCCTCTCCTCTCCTCTCCTCTCCTCTCCCCTCCCCTCCCCTCCTCCACCCTCCACTCCCCAGCCATGGCCATGGAGAAGCCCGAGTCTCTGGCTGCTGGCCAGCACCCGGTCGCCCCCATGAAATTTTCGCGGTACCGATCCGTGCGAAAGGCGGCGGCGAACCTGCCCGCCTCACAGCCTCCCCCGCTGGCCATCCCGCTGGTCCCTTCCGTCCCGTTGCATGAGCCCGTCCAGAGAAGCATGTCGCGATACCGTCGCAGAGGCCCGCCCCCCCCGCCACTGCCGATGCCGATGCGAACCCCCCCGTCCCACCCTCCGCCTCCTATAAATCCCCCGTCGAGGCCCCCCCATCGCACAGCCCTTTCCGGAGTCCGAGGGAGCAGAGATGGTGCGCTTGCGGAACAAGCTGGCGAGCAAACTGGCCTCGCGCGACAGGCGGGCCGCCACAGCCCGGCAGCGGGCGAGGACGAAGTGTCGGAACGCGAAAGAGACAGGCAGGATGCGCTGGACCGTTTGACGGGCAATGCGACCCCGAGCCACCCGCGTCGCGAGAAGCTGGTCAAGGACAGGTACGCGGACGCGGACGCGGACGAGAGGCCCGATCGGCGTCTGCCCAGAGAAAGAGAGCCCGAGTATCCGGCGCGCGCGACCGGAAGCACACCTGTGAGTCGTCGCGCCAGCACAGAACAGAAGCGTCAGTCGCTACATGAAGCGAAGCCGTCGCGATCGAGGGAGAGTGCGCATGATGTTCCCCCCATCGACACGACCAACGTGTCCGCGCCATTCCCCGGGATTGACGCCCCCGTATCCGCGGTCAATGCGCGCGAGCGACAGGTCCTTGTCCAATACCGGAAATCATCCCTGCGCATTTGTGTCACCCCCGCGACCTCTGCCCAGGACATTGTCTCCACCGCGCTGGGCCGCATGGCGGCGGGTGCCGATCCACAGAAGTTTATCCTGATGGAATCGTTTGCTGAGCTGGGGCTGGAACGGCCGTTGCGCCGATACGAGTTTGTCCGCGAGGTGATGAATTCGTGGGCCCACGACGAGCAGAACTCCCTGATTGTCGTGCCCGCCGCCAGTCTCGATGCGCTGTCGCTACTCGACGCCCAGCAGGTGTCCCCGGCGCAACCCGCCGATGTGACCTTCTACATGTACTACTCGCAGAAGCCTCGCAAGTGGGACAAGCGCTACATCACGCTCCGCTCCGACGGCCAGGTGACGGTCTCGAAGAAGGAAAATACCCAGGAGTCGAATGTGTGCCACCTCTCCGACTTCGACATCTACTCCCCCTCCGCCAGCTATCTGGCCAACAGCGTGAAGCCGCCCAAACGCTTCTGCCAGGCCGTCAAGAGCCAGCAGAAATCCACCATGTTCCTCACGACCGAGAACTTCGTCCACTTCTTCTCCACCAACGACCGCGACATCGCCGAGGGCTGGTACAACGCGATCCAGACCTGGCGCAGCTGGTACCTGGTGACGATGCTGGGGGCAGGCCAGTCTCAATCTGAAGCCACATCCCCCGACGAGACATCCGCCCGCGCACCGACCAAGCCACTCTTGAACCCCTTCGAGGAGTCCGGCAGCGATAGCACCCCCCCGGTTGCCGTGGCCCCGGAGCGCCGACGGTCCACACGAACAAAGGAACTGTTCTCCCGCAAGAAGACCACCCGCGAGCGCGGGCCCCCGCCCACCTCCTTCCCCAAGCTTCTCACCGGTGAATCCGACCTCACCGGCAGCTCCTCCTCCGACGAGGCGACCTTCTCCGCATCCGGGCTCCTCGGCCGCACATACACCATGCGCCAGCGCGCCATGAAGGAGCGCGAAGAGGAGGAGAAACGCGCCGAGGAGGCACGCTTCAACCAGGGCCTGATCGGAACCATGGGGTCCCGCCGTCCCAGCCGTCCCAGCAGCCGCTCCAACACCATGACCTCGACGCAGGGCCCCGACCCGACCATCGTGCGCCGCTCCCAGTCGATGAAAGCCAAGCCCCTCGTCGACCTCACCCCTGTGTACCAAGAACCCGTGCAACACGCGCGCAAGGGCCGCGGCGTGACCGTGGAAGCCGGCACCCCGCTCATCGACGCCGCCACCGGCCCTGAGGCGCCCCCCGGCGGAATCCAGGTCCCGTCCGCGACCACCTGGCGCAGACCGCAGATTCCCCCGGAGCCGGCTCCCGTGGAGGTCCGCACCCGCAACCGCTCCAACACCGCCCGCAGCATCTCCCACCAGCACCGCTACCACACCGCCCCCACCACCCCGACCTCCGCCGCCGACGCCCAGCCCCAGGGCCCGGAGCCCTGGCTGCCGAATAGTCTCCTGGCCCGCGCGCCCACCGTCGTGCCCGGTCCGCCGGTCGGCCATGGCGTGGCGACGGGCGACCGTAACGCCTCGAAGCCGATGCTGGATATGTCGCCGGAGAATCCGTTCGCGGAGGGGAGTTTACTACGGGGGTTGTAGATCATATCTATACCCTACCGGACCACACACCCCATACCAGATTACTCTACACCATCTGATACCGTATCTGATATCATATGGTTGTGGCTGTGGATGTGTGGTTGGACCTGGACACGGACACGGACACGGAAGTCATATAACGATAACGAAAGCATGGGAATTGACAAGCAGGGCGTTTGGCGGTTTACCTAACTACACTTCACTACACTTCACTAAACTATCCAGTTCATTTGAAATTCTACTTGAGAGTTGCATTTATTCATTCATTGACTTTGCTCAAAATCACTTGTGTATCTGATTTAAAAATTTCACGTTGTGTTTGTTTGTTTGTTTGCAGTAGATATGGCAGGTCGGAGATGGGAAGTCCTGGGGAAGGGAGAAGGGGGGGGGGGCTAAGATACCATTTCTATTATTGTTATGATCATCATCATCATGGCAGACAGAATACATTGCTAGGAACTTTGTAGCCTATAGCCCTTGAGGACTGTGTCAGATCATCCAACACTTGCCCTCATCTACACACTACCCCACCGCATTATAAGTCCATGAGACAGCGATATCCCTCCTTCAAACCTCCATTGCTGACACGAGCCCCTCCGCAGAGAAACAGGACTGCATTGGCACGGACTACCTCCCAGCGCATAACCCCCCCCCCCCCCAATAACATCATCATAAACGAAATAAAGTGTTTCTTGAAAGTCAGCGTATTCAATAAATCCACAGATAGCAAAACAAAAATCTATATCCATGACTCCCGTGGCGTTCACCTCTATATGCCTGTAACAGGGGCCATCTTGATCATCCCTGTTGCCGGAAGTAAGCAGACCCGATGAATACGAACTCCCCCTCCCCCCAAACAACCGAATCAATGGCTTTGTTGCATTGCTATCCGGACCGGAGATGTACAATACAAGCATTAGATCGGATCAGATCAGATCTTGCCGGGGTCTGTGCTTGGTGGTTATATCTTGAGATGTATTACAATTACATCGTTGTATATGCTGGTGCGGGATACCCAACCCAACCCCTAACAGCAACAACCCTTGACAAAATGGCATGATATCCCCTCAGCTCAACTGACCTATTCATCTATCATGCTACCAACCAGCTCCATCCTCGCTCCTCCAGGCTGCAGCACTGCACCGGTAGTCAGTCTTGACGACTCGCTGCGTAGCTGTGAGTAACAGGGCTCGTATAGATGGGGGAAAAAGATGGCTGGTTGGGATTGAAATCCAGCGGGGGGGGGAGGAGATATAAACCCCATCTCACCTCTTCTTTTGTTGTGGAGGTGGAGGTTATCACCCGGCACAGCACAGCACAGCCTCTTTTCAGTCACAGTTGACAGCTTGCTATATCAGCAACCAACAGATTTTCTAGAGAAAAAAAAAAAAAACAGCCAGATCTGAAATAGTATCCAAAATGGTCTTCCCCACCGCTGAGGAGCCGCTTATTCCCCTTGTGTACTTTGCACAGTGGGTTGAACGGTAACAGTTCACCTCTACCTCTACCTCCAATCCCTCTGTCTTAAACATACAACACTAATGACATCAAATCAGTACCATCTATGAAGCCGAAACAGATCAGGAATCGAAGGATTTGATCCTGAAGCACTTCAGCGCGGATGCTAGTATTAAGTATTTCCACCCTTCCTCCCCTTCCTCCCACCACCACCTTTTATCCACCTCCACCTCCACCTCCTCACCCCCTCACCCAAACCATAATCCTAACCCTAATCCCCCACATCCCCATGAAACCACCACTAACCCAACCAACACCAGAATGAACAAAGACCCCATGGACCGCGCCGCCTTCATCGCCTTCGTCCTCGACTACCGCTCCAAATTCACCTTCCTGGACTTCGAGTTCCACGAGGCCGTCTCCATCCCCACCGACGACCAGGGCCGCGCTGGCACCGCCGGGTTTGGCATGAAGGTGCGCGGCCAGACTAGGCCCGAGGGGAAGTTGCATGAGGCGATGTTGCAGTATGTTATCTTCCATCTTTCCATCTTTCCATCTTTCCATCTTTCCATCTTTCCATCCTTCCATTGACTTATTGATTCATTCGCTTGGGTTTATGTCTGATGATGGGATAATTGCTAACTGTGGGCTGTATGTAGTGTGATCGTGCAGGTGGAGTGGCAGCCCGGTCCGAACCCGGGGGATCCGCATCAGAGGGTCATTACCAAGGTTACGGGGGCGTTGCAGGGGCCGTATGGGATTCATGATTTGGGGGGGAGGACTTCGATGCTTTGAAGTGCTTGGAGGGGATGGTATGGGGAGGTTGGGGTTGAGGTAAGGTGGTGGTGGTAGGTAGGGAGAATGATCATTGCTGGGTGGATGGCTGGATGGGCATGCTGATATGGTCAAGAGCGTCAAGTTGTGTTTTTTGAAGCAAGCAATGGATTGAAGTGAAGAGGGCTCTTCGAGAGTTTCAGCGTAGAAGTGAGTGAGAAAAGTAACAGCATCCCACTTCCATCCCCATCCCATGTCCAGCAGTGGAAGGGATTGAGTGAGAGTTTTCTGGACTGCCTTGATAATCATTAAATACATAACTATCTAGGATAGGTGTATGCGAGTATCCTATATGCAGATCGCTGTGCCTGACGGGTTAATCATATCCACTATGCACTAATCCCGTCAAGTCTTATACATGAATAGATCAATAGAAATATACCAACCCTACTAGCAACATATCCTTCCCAAAAGCAAGTAATCCCACAACCGACCCTCAACCATGCATAAACGTGTCTAAATCCGAGAAGAAACAGAAAGATACGAACCCCCCGCATCAGACCCATAATACGGCGGCATCTCCCACTCAGAACCATCCCGCTCGTCACCCTCTCCGTCGTTAACATCCAAATAACACTGCTTAACCACCCAGCCACGACGGAAGTGCTCGATCGTCCTAAGTTTTCGGGAATGAGGGCCATCCTCCACGAAGGCGGACTGCAACTCGCCCAGCACACTTCCGGCGTGCGTCTGCTGATTTCCTCCTCTTCGCCCCGACGGTTCCTCGTTCGACCCCAGCGCAGACATCCGGAGCCAGTCCAGGCTGGTCGGCTCATCCGTGGCAAAGACCTTGAGCGTGTCGCGCCCGACACCTTCCACGTTCAGGGGCAGCTCGAGCGTGACTCCTGGCTCCAGGGACAACGCGACTAGGTTGGTCTCAGGGTATATCTGCTCGATGGCCCAGGCGGAATCGAGATCCAGGACGGCGATGTTCAGGGTCAGACGGGATTCGTTTTTCACGCGCAGCATGACGCAGGTCGATCCGTCGGATTCCTGGACGGTGTTCTCCTGGCAGGCGAAGGCGAGGTTGTCTGCCATGCGGGGCGGAGGGGGGGAGGTGTATGGGGTGTCTTCTAGGGCGATGGAGAGCCATGATGCGGTGACGTTGTTGCGGGAGCTTTTCAGGTTCAGCACTGTGTGGTACTTTGCGAGGTGTTTGAGGATGGTGAAGAGGTTTTGGGCGGCGTTTGGGTTGTTGATTGAGAGGGATAATGAGGGGGGGATGGCGTTGTCGAGTGCATCTCCGTTGCCTTTGAGGATGTGGTAGGTTTGGTGCTGAACCTGAACTTGGAAGAAGGCTTCTTCCGGGGGTTCTACGATGGAGATCCATTTGTTGGGCGTCGACTCGCAGATGTGTCGGATCTTCTCGAGCGCCGTCTCGGCGGAACCGTCTTGACTGGGAGGGCTGGGGGGGACGAGTCTCACTTTGCTCTGCAAGGACAGAAGGGTCACAGGGACTGTCAGGCAGCCTGGTGCCAGCTGGTCCGGGTGGAAGAGCTCTGTTACACTTGCTTCGGAGGTGTATGCGTGAGGCCGTATAACCCTAAGCCGGGCCACCCGAGTCGCGTCCACGAATTCGGTACATGCCGGAGGCCAAACATCGAACTCCATATCGCGAACGACTCCATGCACCGTGCCACTCTGGATCTCGACTCGGGTGGGATTGAGTAACTCTCTCACAACACACGCGTGAGGGATCTCCAGTCTATCTGTGGAACAGAAAAGGGTGTTTGCTTCTCCAGACAAGACCACATCTTGTCGCCCATCAAGGGTCACTTGCTGTGCGTACGCCGCGATTTGAGGGGTCATGACATTATACAATTGGCGGTAGGTGAGCGGCCTCGAAGCTTTTCGGATGGACTGGATCAGGAAGTGAGTCAACAGGCCTGTTGAAGCGTCCACATCGTCATATTCCAGGGCCACCTGCTGTGACTGGCAGGCAGCCAGGAAGACGTGGCAGCGAGACCCCAGTAACCAGTTATTCTGAACTGTCACCCCCCGGAAGCCCGGAGACCGCGCAACAGGACGGAGCTCGTCCTCGGAAAAGCTGGAGACATCGCGCTCGAGAATGGTGTGATCCACTTTCCCGATGCCTCTTATTCGGTTGCGATCGAATCTCCCACGACTCAACCCGCCAGAGTGGCAACAGTCAAATACCACTGTAACCACCAGGCCCTTGTCGGTCATCCTCTGGATGAGACAGGCTAGTTCCACGTCTCGGAGGTATCGTCCGCCATTGCCTATGTCGGGGGGCACCAGAGCTTCGTCGAAGATGTCCGTCTTGAGGTCTTGAAAGATAGACTTGACTCGAGCGCCGTGGCCAGAGTAGTGGATGTAGACAATGTCTCCTCGTTGAGCCTGGGCGGTCACCTCTTCGAACAGATTGATGATTCTGTCATATGTTGGCCAGTTTGGTGGTGTTTCCAAGGGGTTGTCACAGTCCCGGGTCGATGCAGTTAGCTTGGATATATGGATTCCATCGGGTGCACAGTATTCACGGAGACACTCCTCCATTAGATGCACGTCATTGACGCAGCCCCGGAGATTGGCGAAGTCGATATCTGGGCCTCGATCTGTACTGACGTAGTGATCGATCCCAATCAAAATGGCCCATTTGTTCGGGCCCGATTTTTCAGAGGGGACAGGACCGGCATCATCATAGGATTTGGTCTCATCAGGCAAGGCGGATGGAGGTATGAAAGGTTGGAAGGCATGCTGGAGAAGTTGAAATGGTGAAGGGGTATTGAAGATGTGAGCAATTTGCCTGTTCGATAGAAGGGTCGCCATTGAGGTGATGATTTTGCTCTGGAGATGTTAGGGTTGATATAGTTACCCGGAGGGGTGGCGATGACGCAGGCTGCAGGCCACAGAGTGCATCCGCCGCCCGATGATGTCGCCCAGTGTAGAGGAATATGATATGTCTCATTGCTGAAACACAGCACATTGTGGCAAAACTCCAAGACCACAAGCGTGGTTTCATCAGATTCCAATGCTTCTGGTCGAAGCGATATCAAGGGGTAGACTTTGAAACCACACAGCAGAAATGCGTTCAGCCTGTTGGGCAGCTAGACGTATCAAGTCCCTGCCAATCTCAACCCCGGAATGACGCTCGGCTCATGCATGCGATGGGATTCACTGCCACATGATTGATGATTCAAAACTCGCGTATGGCGGTGCATTGGCAGTCGACTCCTCACCGACTATTCCCTCCAGACTGCTCCACAGAGACTTTGCGGCTGAGACCACCGGACCCGCGACGACCCTGCGAGCCTTGCTATTTGGGCGAAGCCGATCGAGTGTTGACTGGGGATTCCATCTCAAGCGGGGGCAGAACCGCCTCAGTCGAGTCGCTGGAGCCTATCTAGAACCAATCCAATGGTCCATGGCGTGACGGCCTCGTTTCCTTACCGTACACCTCTGTCTGTAATGAGTCCGTACGGAGTGTTTAAATCGAGTTCGAGTGCAATTTTGCCACACTGGTGGCGGATGTGGTGATTGCAGTGCTACTAATTTCCGCTTTGGGGTTACTTGAGGTCAACCATCAATGCGTTCCAAGATCCTCTCAACACCCAACCATCTTCTTCAATTGTACTCATACTTTTTTTTTCAATATTCGTTTGGTTGGCTTTTCATCTATTGACTCTTTTCTCTATCATCGATTCTGTTATAGTATGTCGCAGAACCTGACTGCTGCGGTCGACAGACCTCTTGACCCATCAATCGACCTGGTCGCCCTTCTCGAGCTCAAACACTATCATGAACTAGAAAGCCTCGGTTTTGAGTTTGAGAGACTAATTTCTTCAACTCACATCATCGAATCGGCCGGATGGTGTAGTTGGTTATCACGTATCGTTAACACCGATAAGGTCCTGGGATCGAGCCCCAGTCTGGTCATTTCTTTTTTCCTTTTAAAATCTTTTTGCTTTCTCAAACATTTCCTCCCCAAAAGATCATCTGTCTAATTGTCAAACCTAATATCATTCAGTATCACACCTACTTAGGTGTCTGGACATCTTTTTAGTCGAGTGGTCTGTTTGGTCTGTTTGGTCTGTTACTAATAATGATAATTTCCGATCAAGGAGGTTCTACACGGCTGTATCAGCTGGAGCATCTACCAACGACCAGAACATCCAGTAAGCCCATATCATTCTACTTCGACAACAACATCAAGCCTTCTTAATCCACATGGTCTGCGACTGGGTATAACTCTTCAAGCCCTCGACCCCCCACTCCCTCCCAATACCACTCGTCTTCACGCCCCAAACGGCACATGCGGCGCCACCTGAAAATGGGAATTAATCCACACCGACCCGGACTCCAACTGCCTCGCGATCTTCTCCGCGCGATCCAAATCCGCACTCCACACGGAGGCCCCAAGGCCCGTATCGACATCATTCGCGCGCGCAATCACATCGTCCTCCTGCGACCACTTGAGGACTGGAAGGATCGGCCCGAAGGCCTCCTCTTGCACAACTCTGGAGTTTTCCGGCGGGTTGTCGATGATAGTCGGGGTGATGAAGTAGCCGGCGGACTCGGTGACGGTTCCGCCGAGCACGGGCGTCAGGTTCTCGGTCTGGATGGAGGTGAGGAGGTCCTTGACTTTCTCGTATTGCATCTCGTTCTGCACGGGGCCGAAGAAGACGCCTGGTTCGGCACCGTCGCCGACCTTCAGGTTCCTGGTGAAGGCGACGAGGGCTTCGAGGAATTTGTCGTAGATTTTCTCGTGCACGTAGAGACGCTTGATCATCATGCAGACTTGGGCGGAGACGAGGAAGCTCAGGGTGGCGACCTGGTGTGGGGAGTCAGTATTATTTTGCTGGATCGATGCGCATGGGGGTTGCGGTCGGTTGTATATACCTGAGGAACGACAGTCTCGATATCCACATCATCACAGATAATCGCCGGGTCGTTACCACCCAGCTCCAGGGTAAGCGACTTCAAGGAGTTGGCACAGGCCGCCATGATTCTCTTCCCCGTGAGCGTCGAGCCCGTGAAACTAATCTTGTTGATATCAGGGTGCGCCGTAATCAACGGCCCCAGATCGCCCGCATCACTGAGAACCTGAACCACGCCAGGGGGGAAGATCTTAGCAGCCAGTTCCCCCAGCTTCAACCCACAATACGGGGTAAACGGCGACGGTTTGATGATGATCGTATTCCCCGCATACACAGCCGGAACCAACTTCCCCACCGCCAAAAGAACAGGGAAGTTCCAGGGCACAATTCCCGCAACGACACCCATGGGGGTGAACCGCTGGATAACACGCTGGTCCTCCGTGTCCTGGAGAACCACATCGTTGAGCTCTAGCAGCGGGATCTGCTTGGCCCATGTCCCGCACATGCCTATTTCGATAGCAGCTTGCCCTTGGGCCTTTCCTTGCTCCTGGACTAGGAGCTTGGTGAACTCCTCTGCGTGGGATTCAATGGCTTCGCCGAAAGCGATCACCGTGCTGCGACGGTCTTCCACAGATAGCTTGGACCATGTTTTGAAGGCAGCGCGGGCATGTTTTACCGCGCGGTTGAGGTCCTCGGCGGTGGAAACGGGGACTTCAGGGTTGGGTTGGCGGGTGGCGGGGTTGATTCCATGGCGGGTTGTGGGGGTGGTTGTGAGTTCGTTGTTGATTGTGTTGAAGAATTCCTGTAGAAATTGGTCAGGATATATTCACCGGGTCGTGGTGAAGGGGGGGGAGGGAGGTACAGTAAAGGGGATCTTCTCAATGGAGGCCATCTTGGCGATGAGGAAGTCTGGATATTAATATAGGCACGGTTGGTATGATGGCGTAGGATATGCTGACTGCGTCTTGGGGGTATATTGAAAATGAAATGGCAGTCTGGTGGGTTAAGACTCACCCTGCTACCACAACTTCGTATTTAAAGTCTGCTCGAGAAAAAGCCCCCTCCCGACAGGAGAAGCCGGGTTTCGCCATGGCCACACGAGAAGAGATCAGTCTGTGGGGGCATGGGTCATCTGCGGGGTGATCTTGACCCAGCTGGTGGTAGTGATACGCGAAGCACACCAAATAATGGGACTGGTGGGGTTTGAACCATGAGAAGCAGTCCGGAGGCCCAGCTGCCATTCAATCAAGGGCAGGCCATTAGATAACCATCAGATGCATTTTGCGGGGCCCCGCAACCCGGGGGAGGCCCTTTGGCTGAATATTCGGGCTATACGGAGAGGGGGGGGGGTCGGCTTGGTGTAGAGTGGCCGGCAAGTGCTGTCGGGAGTTGCGTGGGAGAGCTGCCTTCCATCCGAAAGTCAGTTTCGAGAATCTCTCGGGCCCCTAATCCATTGCTGAGGGGGCAGATATCCACTTGGCCCACATAAATGACGAACTCCATTGTTGAGGCCAAGGCTTGGCTCTCCACCTTCGTCTAGGGTTATTTCGAACCTTATCCCCTTTCCAATCAAACCGCGCTTCTGGCGACGGAAGCAATTCCGCGAGGCACTTATGGTTTCTTGTGCTCGGTTACCTTCAGATCAAGTCAGTGGAACTTGCCTGAGATGCATGCACATGCTAGCTAACTAACTGACTGACTCTCTTTCTCATCGGGTGACTACAAGTCGAGTGAATAAGCAAAGCTGCCTGGAAGTTATTGGTTTTCGAGGCAGGAAAAATAACTGTTGCCCCACCAATTCACTTCCAGAGGGTCATTCAGACTGGGGTGGAAAGTATGGTTCAGACCCCCCCCCCCCCCCCCCCCCCGGACCTTGAGAAACTGGGGTTTCCCCGGATATCTCTTTAGCTTGATGGGAGCTCGGATGCAGATCACGGCAAATTTGAAGCCAACGGTTACTCGATCAGTCTACATGGCTACCAAACTTGGGGTTCGATCCTCGGGCATTCGAGGGTGGAGGTGATAGCCAGGGTAGGATTTTAAATAAGGACGAATGCCTCCGCAATCTGGGTCGAACAGCACAGCACATCTTGCAATCTTCCTTCAAATACTATACTTGGCTTCTAACATTGCACATCCATACCATCCCTCGCTCCCGCAACCATGGCAGCCACCGCCAACGCGCTGGTGATGCGAGAGATCAAGGGGCCTCTCAGCGTCGAGAAGGTCCAACTCGGCGAACTAAGAGCCGATGAGGTGCTTGTCGAAGTCCATGCCACCGGCATCTGCCACACGGATATTTCCTGCATGAACGGGCAGCTCCCTGCCTCCGCGCCATGCGTATTCGGACACGAAGGTACGGAAAAGCCCACAGTTTGGCCGGCCCTCAACAAACGGCTAACACACAGACCAGGCGCCGGTGTCGTCGTCAGGACCGGTTCCAACGTGACCCACCTCACACCCAACGACAAGGTCCTCCTCAGCTACGCATTCTGCGGAAATTGCGAGCAATGCCTCAGCGGCCACCCCGCCTACTGCTACCAATGGGTGCCCAGCAACTTCGGTCAACAACGGTCCGACGGGAGCTTCACCCTGTCCTTTGAAAACGGAGATCCCCTGCGCGGGAACTTCTTCGGACAGAGCTCGTTCGCGAGTCTAGCCATCGTGCACGTATCGTGCGTGGTCAAGGTAGCTCCGGATTCCCCACTCGATCGATTTGCTCCGCTGGGGTGCGGGTTCCAAACCGGTGCCGGAGCTGTCTTGAACACGCTGGACGTGCAACCTGGGACCAGCTTGGCTGTCTTTGGGGCTGGATCTGTGGGCATGAGCGCCATAATGGCGGGGAAGCTGCGCGGAGCTCAGACTATCATTGCGGTGGACCTGAACAAGGAGCGGTTGGCACTGGCAAAGAAGCTCGGTGCGACTCATACGATGCTTGGCTCGGATGAAGACATCGTTCAGCAGATCCAAGCGATCTGTCCCCCAATGGGGGTTCAGTATGCAGTCGACTGTACCGGGGTGCCGGTGGTGGTCGAGAAGGCTATCCAGGCGCTTGGCGCCAGGGGAAAGCTGGCTACCGTTGGTGCCCCGTCGCCGGGGAAGACCGTTCAGGTTGATGTATTTGCGCAGTTGGTCTTTGGGCGTCAGTACGTGGGGTGTTGTGAGGGAGATGCTCAGGCGGAAAAGGTAGGCGATCATCCGTTCCCAAATCGGGGGTTAGGGTTACTGACAGAGAGACGTCTAGATCTTGCCCTACCTGATCGAGCAGCATGCTCAAGGGAACTATCCGATCGAGGAGTTGATCACGACTTACCCAATTGAACAGTATGGCCAGGCTATCAGCGATATGAAGAGTGGGAAGACGCTGAAGGCAGTCTTGTTATGGAGGTAGAATTGCCATGACGGCAGCGTGGTCGTTTCAATCCGGTGAAAATATAGTAGCGTTACTAGCATCACAATTTCCGCTTTTCTATTTCCTCGCACACATCTGGGCCAAGTTCCAGGCCAACTCGAAGGCTTTATTCCTACAATCACTTGATTTCGTCTTACGGCATCCCTTCGCCATTGTAACGGATTCACAATCGCGGGTATTAGTTATTATAGACATCCCCCTCCCCTCCCCTCACAACGCGCCCATAACCGCTACCACAGCCGCCACAACAGCCGCCAGGACCCCCCACCAACGGCCCTCCCCTCCGCGACCCCCCCACCAGCAGCAGCACCGGCACTCTCCGTCGCCTGCGGGGAATTCAACTTCTCAATCCCGCCCGTAACAACCAAGACATCGGCATAAATCTGGGTGCCCGTCGCGGTGACCACATAGGCGGTTTTAGTGGTCTGCTCCTCACCGTAGGCACTCACCTTCATGCGCGCCAAATTCGAGCACACGGCGGACGTCGAGGCCGTGATGTGGCATTCTTCCGTGATGGTCATCCAGACCTCCACGCCCAGTGACTCACTGGAGACGGCCTGGCTCATGGAGAACGTGGACGGGCCTTGGATCAAGGTGTAGGGGGTGGCGATGCTGCAGGCGGCGACGGTGCAGGAGACGATGATGGTGGTGGCGTCGGCGTTCACGCTGAGGATGCTTCCTGCGTAGCCGCTGAAGGTCGTTGGTGTGGGGGTGCCGGTTGTTTCGACGTCGAAGATGGGGATTAGGGTGGTGTTGGATGAGCCGGTTGTGGCTGTGGTTGTGTTTGTGTTTGTGGAGGACAGGAGGGCTGTTGGTGTGGATGAGGCGGTGGCTGTGAATGATGGGATGGTGGTTCTGAATGATGGGGTGGTGGTTGATGATAGTAGAGGTGTGAGGAGGTCTGTTTCGGTTGATGCCATGGCTAGCTGGGCTAGCTGGAGGGCTGGGAGGAGGGCGTAGAGGAGATGCATTGTTGGTGGGCGTGGTGGTGGTGATGATGGACGTGGTAGAGCGGGTCCGGAGATTTGATGGCGATCCGTCAAGGGTTCATCGTTCCAACGGCCTCGGCCGACTATAAGTAGTTTCCATTGTTCCTTCTTATCTACTAGCCTCACGCTTGACATCTGGTAAAATTGGCATGTCTCACTCCTGGCCTAAGCGATGCTACGGTTGCGGCTGTAGCAGCTTCATTGAGTAGGGCACGGTGTGCCTGCATGGTCTAGCAATCGCTGCCATTGGCGCCAAAGGCGTAAGGAACCACACGATCTCGATAGTTTGGCAACGGTCTCGAACCACTGGCTGGGCAGGGTTCTCTCTAGCCCGTTTTGTGGGCGATAGTTGGGCAGCTAGCGCTGACCCGACCCACGGTCAGTACGGCGACTTGCTGTATTCTGGTTTGCGGTTCTGTTTGCGAGACGGGGATAGAAACCGGTGTCCGGGCTTATCACCTTCCTGGTGGCTGAACTAGAGCTTGTGGTGAAATGACCTTATCTCTCGTTGTGAGAGAGAGGGAGTTTTTCGTACAGACTTTGGCGTTTTCATGTTCTTTGTGAAGTGAGAAGATCGCTTGATCGAGCTTTCCCCTCACAGACGATCCTACAAGACTGGTCGCGATAGTATGGGGTTAATTATGGGCAGGCTGAGTGGTTACCCCTGCCTCTGGCAGGGCGTTGGAAGGCTGTGAGTCATGGAGCTGTGTCGGATAAGCTAATTATTTGCATGGCGTGTTCGCGGTAAGGCTCCAGGTTGACTGAGATACGAAAACGCTGCCATTACAGGTCTGCGCTCAAACAGGATAACGTTTGGCCAAGAGGTGTGTATCTGCTGTCTCCTCACTTAACAAGAGGTCAGGGTAACATATAAGTGCAATCATTCGTGTCAGGATGACCAACCTTGAAGAATGTCTGCTGCTGATTTAGCTGCCCATGATTTCATATTGAATATCGTGAACACGCTGAGAATTGATGCTTCCGCATGGAGCTGGTGAAATCTCAGTCTAAGTAAGTACACCCGGCAAGTGGGTGCCCTTTGGTGTAGGACAGCATCGGGGAATCCAGATTCGAAGTGAATCTCTTCTGGAGTCTAGTCCAGTTGTTCTGGCCGGGTTGGATAAGAAACATGCCATGCAAACGCTGTCTGGCAAGAAGAGACTGTTAATTCCAGCCTCGCATTGGAGTCGAAGTAATTCGACATCTGCAACTCCCTTCAACCACAGATCGTCCCAGTCAACCAACACATCTCGCAGATACCGACGTCGAAGCCACTCCTCTCACGAGACACGAGTCGTCGTAGTGACCCCAAACCCGTTTACACAACAAACCACCACTCACCTATATCCACCACCCTCATTCCTCCCCGCTCAAGCCCAACCTCGCCTCTACAACCTTCACAATCTCCGTCCACTCCAACATCGCCCCACTGCCCACATCCCCACAAGCCAAGACCTTCGACGCCTGCGGCCGCAAGACCTCAAACCAGCCCGTCTCCTCCCCATCCCCAGACCCCTCAACCCTCCTAACCCCCCACTCCTCCTCCAGCACGCGCACATGCTTCGCCGTAACCGGATGCCTCCACATGGCGGTATTCATCGCCGGCGCAACCACGATCCTCTTCCGCCGCCCATCCACCTGCCCATCCGTATCCCACGCGCGACACACCGACGTCAGCAGATTATCGCTGAACCCATTCGCCAGCTTCGCGAGCGTGTTGGCAGAAAGCGGCGCGATGACCAAGATATCCGCCCACCGTCGCAGCTCAATGTGCAGGATGTCTGCGCCGCGGGTCCAGGGCTCCGGGCCCCATTCCGCGCGGTCATCGTAGACGGCCTCCACGCCGGGCAGGGAGAGCAGGGAGGCGACGGTGGGTTGTTCGGCGGATTGGCCCGCCAGGAAGTTCTGCGCGTGGTTGGTCAGGATTACCCGTATTGAGAGGTGCGGGGTGTGGCGCGCGAGCGCGGTGATGATGTTGGGGATCTTGATGGTCGCGACGGAGCCGGTGGCCGCCAGGAGGAGGTGTGTGCGGTTGTTGGTGGTGGGGGGCATTTTGGGTCTGGTTGTACCCTTTTCCGGGGTGAGTGACGGGTTCTATCAGGTTGATGGTGGGGGGGGGGGGGTGTTGTGGATGATGTGGATGCGACGTGAGATATCTGAAGCGGGGGGTGGATGGAAGATTGGCGGAGAAGTTTGGCGGGCAGAAGAGAAGATTCAGTCGATCAGGGTCGTGGCGCAGCAGAGCTCAGCCACCTGCGCCACCCATGTCGGTTGGCTGGACAAATGATATCAGGACAAACTAGTCAGACAAGTCCAAAGATTAAGTGTCTGTATCGCCAAGGGGTGTTCAGATAGCCGGGAGGGTGTATGCGGAACGCAGCGGAAGGCTAAATATAGTTTGACATCGCCAAGGGGTGTTTTTGGAGAGTTTGGATATTAGTTGCAGGTTCAAACCGGACTGGGCTGAAATTATTTTATTTATTCTGGATCAGTATGTGGTTGGATATCTTATGAACGCAAGTTGTGTATCGTGTTGTGCGCTATTGAGGTGGATGTGAGGGTGCAGTAAAAACATTCAGATGTAATTAGAAAATATACGAGGCACACCTATGATCATTGGGATTGAAGCGAATGAAAGGATCCTATAGTTTAACCAGAAGTACTGGCTGTGTCCGAAGAAGTGATTCCCGCGCGAAGGCCCCAACAGGGTTAACCCATAAGGGCCCAATACAATGTATGCGCACATTTGTGATACTGTGAAGCACTGTTGGAATTGAAATTCAAATAGAAATGCTATCATATTGTTCGATTATTTGTAGTAAAGATGCAACAGGTTCGCCATCTTTGGAATTTGCGAGAATTTAACATCGTGCAATCCGAACCCAACCAAAATGACAAATTAGGGTTTACTCATCCACAAGGACTCGAAGCCTTACCAACACCAACCCAACAAGACAGTTTTGCAACCTTTTCATCCAGTACTCTCCCAGAATCCCAACCAAGCACGAAACACACATACCCCAAACACATCCAATGTCACACCACTTCCTCAGCCAACCTCCCCAGCGCCATACTTCGCAAACGCAGCTTATGGCCCCACACATAAAACAAGACAGGAATAGGAATCATACCAAACTCGATACCAGCCAGCACAACCCCAGCCACCCGCGGAGTGAGCCGAGTATAGAAATACTGTCCGGCTTCGACCAACCCGGCCGCAAGCACGGAGCGACAAACCACGTTTGACACGAGTGCGGACGAGGCATATCTTCCATAAGATACCGCGACGTAGTTGAGGCCATGGTTGAAGATGATAGTGTTTCCGAACCCGAAGAGAGCTCCGCCGATGACGGACGCTATCCATGGAATGGAAGTCGGCAAGGAGGTTAGGGCAAAGATCGACTGACCGACGGGGGCGGCGATGGCGGCGATGATGATGACGGAGACCGCGGCCTCGGGGGCGCGTTTCCCAGTGGCAGGGTCGACGGGGTGGCTATTGATGAGCCGTCGCAGCATGGGCTCACAGGCTACTGAGAATGTGTTTCCAAGCAGCACGCCCACGAACGGAAGCCCGGAGATCTCGGGGGACCAGTGTCTGAGACCGGCGAATATCATCGGGTATGCGATAAAACAGAGGTAGAGCACAGCATAGACAAACGCGATGTAGAGGTTCCAGAACCAGAGAACCGGCTCGGTGAGGCATAGCTGGATTGGCCGCCAGATGGCCGTGGGAAGGCGCTGTCGCAAGGGGAGCTTGGTCTCGTCGTGTTTTGACCACCATCTAGGGTCGCCTGTTGCGTGGCGCTTTTGGGAGGCTCGTCGGCGGAGAATGACGGGTTGGTAGGACTCTTGGATGAGACACATGAACACGAGTCCGACTCCCGATACTATCATGATGAACCAGTTGATGCCTCTCCAGCCCCAGCGCTTGTTGACGAATCCTCCCTAATCACGGCTCCTGGTTAGATATCTCTGTTTGCCCGGAAGATCGATGGATAAAACTTACGATGATAGGACCGGTGACCGGCCCATTCAAAGGCCCAAGAGAGTAAATGGCCATGGCGAATGGTAGTCGAGAAATTGGCACAATATCAACCAGACTTCCCGGTGCAAGTGTGATCATAACGCCACCGAAGATGGACCTAGATGGGTTTATCTCGACAGTCAGCATTTGTTTCCTATCGCACTCTGCATGTCATACCATTTAAAAAGACAAAAGGCACACAGAGGAAAATACCGCTTACCCCAATACCCGCACAATCAGAACAAGAGCAAAGGAGTTTGCCAAGGCAACGCCAGGTATAAATCCCACAAACGCCAGCAGCGACACGATATACACTGGTCGCCGTCCAAACGTCTCACTCAACGGAGCCAGAACAAGAGACCCAACCGACCACCCGACAAGATACACCGAAATGCCCAAGTTGGCGAGAGTCTTGCTTCCAATTCCCAACTCCTCCATCATACCAGTGATCCCGCTGGAGAAGCATGTTGAGTATAGAACCGTTGCCCAAGCGCAGTATGTGATGGCTGTGATTGCGAACATCTGATACCAAGTGCTCCAGTTTCGTGGGTTCTCAGGGTCATATTCCTGGAAGTCGACGCAGAATCCAGCAGTATTGTTCTCCGAAAGTGGCGTGTCCAGAGGCGGAAAGGAGTCAGACGGGGATGGAAGCTCTTCAGTGGATATTCTATACACCGGAGGCTTGACCTGGACATTATCTGGGGTGGAGCGCTTCTCGGTGGGTGGATCTTCGATAGACCCAGATGTGATGCTGGACACCATCTTTGTGATAACACGAGCAGTCTGTGGTGACTCTCTTGGTATCTTCACGTTCCTATAACCATGCAGGGAGAGAGGAGAGAGTATGAAACTGGGAGCTGGGGGTCGAAAGGACTGCGTGAGTTGAACTTCTTATATAGACGCAATCCTCAGGGTCAGAATTGAAGCTGAAACAAATACTGTAATTAAGCAGACTAGAATTCACATATTTCCACGTTCTCTGGTCGCCAACCAGGGTTTCCAGGTCGGTAGCGCCACTTAGCGCGTCACAGGAAGTTAGGTGAAGGCTGGATTCAAGTCTAGGCCCTGTCAGTCGCCATGTATGGGATATGCTCATTGGACGTGCTCGCACGGGTCCTGCATCACCTCGTGGCACATGTGGCTACAAGGAGATGTAGTATAAACTCTATCATGCGGGTGAATGGCAGATTGATTTTAAGCACATAATCCAGATAGGTAGTACCAGACCTGGAGATTGTCGTAGACCATATTCACCCAGCCAGGTCATAGTTTGGGCTTATCCGGCGGTGGGAGCAGACCGGATGTTGCAAACACTTGTTCGAGGGCTAGCCCAGCACCAGATATTCATGGCGGCAAGAATTAACTTATTATGAGTCAGATGCGCTTGCAGGCCACCGAGAGTCCCCTATGAGGTTAGATATCAACATGGCTTGACGATCTAGCAGGACGAGAAATCTTGAAAAACACCATCCTTGTACTGATATGCAGGACCATTTTTAAAATACTCCTCCATGATATAATCTTCTCAGGATAGACAGGCAAGGTTATTTGGTAGGGACCGAATCCCTGCTAAGGGAACAGTCAAGTAGTCACAGCTGTCCAACCCTAAACGATCCATGCCGCAACTCCCAATTTGTGCCCCAGAAGCCCTCGATGGAGCGATCTGCAAAATCCACCTTGCCAGAATAGAACCATCCACTCGACGGATATAGCTTTGCCCAGGTCACTGTGTCATTGCCGGATAGTTTCCCGTAAATATTGAATGGACCGGTCATATCCTTGCCAGAGCCAACGAAAAAAGGGGTTTGGTTTGGGAGAAGGTTGTCATCCTCATCGGAATGTAAAGGGCTCCCCCATGAATGGATTGTCAGCGATGTCGGATCTTGGGCTCCTTTATTCCAGCTGTGGTAGGTGTAGTTGCCGCTAAGAATGCCTGACATTGAGGGCCCTATAGGTCACGTGGACATGTTAGCATCTACACCATGGAAATGTGATTGAACCTTTCTTACAAGAATTAATCAGCTCATCAGTTGGAGACGTATTACTCCCAACGCCGAATCCGCTCCGTTGGAGGAGATATTGCACCGTTCTTGCAGCGAGCTTCCCATGGGAGATGGCTAAATTGATAGGAGAGGAGTGGGAGATATCCACCACACATGGATCCACACAGCTTTCAGCGATATCTTGGGTAAGGGAAAGGTGCCCCGCAAAGGCAGCATAATGTAGGGCTGTACGACCGTTGGGCAAGCAGAAAGCAGGATTTGCTCCCTTGGTGAGTAGCTGCTGGGTAATCTCGCACGATCCAACGATGGCAGCGGCATGAAGGGTGCCATCGAGCCAGCCTGTCTGCTCCGCTTCAACAGATGTTGATGCCAAAAGCTCTTTCACCCGACCAATATCACTGCCCAGAATAGCTGTGTGAAGGGCCTGGATATCCTGTTCCCTCAATAATTGGGGCCGCGATGGGTATATGAGTGTTGAGACGAGATTGAGCCAAAGTAACTTGATGCAATCCGGATGATCCCCCCGGATTGCATGGTCGAGTGCCATATTTCCGGGGCTGTCGCATTTGGTGATGTCTGCATGGTGCTGAAGGAGCAACTCAATGAAGGATTGAGACCCATGCCCTGCCGCGGACATGAGCGGAGTGAAACAGGACGTGGACAATGCATCTACATCCGCACCAGCGTCCAGGAGCAAGGCAGTAATGCCATCCTCTGCCCTAGCCGCGGCAATATGTAGTGGGCTCAACCCGTCATTCTCGCCAACATTTACATCTGCATCCAGTTTCAACAGCATGTCAACACAGTCCTTATGGCGACCATAAACAGCATAGAACAGTGGCGTCAAGCCCCAGTTATCGCTTGCATTCACATCGCCACCGGCAGTGGCGAGGAGGCTAATCAAGTCACTTCGTCCATTCCTTGAGGCGATGTGTAAAGCGGTCCGGTTAAAGGGGCCACGAGCATCTATCGCAGACTTGTGGCGGATCAACAATTTAACCACATCTTCATGGCCACAGGATACAGCCAACATGAGGGCTGAACCTTTGTCGGGGACCTCAATATTCACATCGGCACCAGCATCAAGCAGCATGGCTGCGGCATCAACATGGCCCTGGTTAGCAGCAACTCTCAGTGCCGTCTCATTCCCCTGGCCATAAGCGTTCAAGTTAACATCCTCTTTGATAAGTATTCGAAGGACATCGAGGTTCGCAAAATAAGTAACAATGTGTATGGGTTGATTATTGTATCGATCGCGCGTGTTGATGTCCGCTCCATTTTGGAGCATTAACTTGAATACCTCGGTGTTCCCACTGTAACAAGCAGCAATGATGGGATGATCGCATAGACCTTTTGTTCGGGCAATCTGGGCACCTTGGCTGATTAAGACTTTGACCGTTTCGAGATGACCAAATCTCGCTGCCGCTTGAAGAGGAGAGCCAAACTTCCCCCCTTGTTCATTCACATCCAGTCCTGCCTTGTGGAGTTGCTTCACAATCTCATGGAATCCCAGCAGACCCGCGTAATATAGGGGGCTGGTAGGAGTAGAGTCATCTTTGTCTTCTTCTTTATCTTCTTCATTGTCGTCGCCATCCTCGTAGCCTTCATCTTCGTCGTCCGCATCGGGCTCCGCACGGGAATTATTGCCAGATCTGGTGTTTGACACAGTTAGGTCAGTCTCTGATACCGCGTCCTCATTCTCCTGACCAGCTTCATCCATCTCAAACACCTTTGACCAAGTCACCCAGTTTGTGGTTGAAGGGTCCAGCAATTTCATCACAGAGCCAGATGTCTCTGGATCAATCTGGCCCTTGTTTCTCACATGAGCATACCACCACAGCGCTGCATATGATAGAAATGGATATCGGTCCAACTTTCCGTCAATCTTTGGCGTGCTTTCGCCGTCCTCCTCGGAGGCAAAAACGTCGTAGCAAAGGTACCGGAGGCATAGCCGCGCCAGATGATCGTTTTGAATAATGGAGTCGGAGAGGCCGACCTGTTGGAATCTTTCAGTCACTTGGCCATTTGACTGCAACAGGAACTCCTTGACGGAGAAATGAGTGAAATGGACGGTGTGACCAGCAAGGCTTTCGCCCTTGAAGGCGGATCGCAAGTCAATCAAACATCCCAGGGGTTGGCGGATCCAGTCGTAGACGAATTCCTCGTCCAATTCACTGCACCCCCAGGTGTCAGGCAAGTCATCTGCGGGATATCCATCCTCTTCCTCAGTGTCATCCGCATGAAGGATCAGCGCCTCAACCAGCTCTCTCACCGTCAAGGGGCGAAGGGCAAAGAGCATCCACCGCAGAACGTTGATGGCCCGAGCTTGATCCTCCTCGTCCAAGGTCTGGATCCGCGACAGATCTCGTTCGTATGCCTTCTCCAGACCAAGTGGCATCATGGACACAATCTTCTGGAGCCCTTTGGCATTGCTGCTTGGCTTCAATCTTTGTGACAAAAGCTGGACCCACAAAAACATGCCCTCGGCTTTCTCTGTTGCACTTGCTGCCAGCTCATCCCGAAGCTGTGTCTTCTGCCTCTTCAGCTTAGTGTCCATCAACTGCTTTGACACCACCTGGATGTCTGGCTTTGTGTCTTTCTCTTGAATAGAGTACTCCGAGACGATGAGCCGGCTGTTCTCCTCTCGGTCTCTGAAGACCTCGGTGCGAATTTCGTTCGTATCGCGACTCACCAGCAGCACTTGGGTTCGCGTCTGGCTGACATTCTTGATCAAATCGGACAGGAATCGTGAACGTGCGTCCTCGATATCATAAACTTGCGCTCTGTTGACCCCCGAACACTCATCATAACCGTCGATCAGGAATGTGCATAAGGGAAGGGTCCGACACAGCTCTCGAAACAGCTTCCACTGCTCGGAACGGGTGATCATATGCTGTTCATCAGGTTTGATAATTCGACACGCGACCTCGACCGCCATATCATCCTGTTGAATGAGTTGAGCCACCCACGAGGCCAAAATGGCGTACGGATCGCGTCGCGACTCGGTTTCGGATACACAAAAGAAGTACGCCAGCGACTTGGCTCGCTGTTTCTGAAGATAACTCACGACACTCGCGGCGAGGATAGTCTTTCCAAAGCCGGGGGGACCATGAATCCAGCAAAGCTTGGCCGACTGGGCATCAGGAACGACCCACGACCGGAAGATCTCCGTGTCGAAGACCCAACTGGCAGTCCCATCTTGTCGGGCTGTCAGGGAAATATCGAATTTGTCATTCGTGAATGTTGCCCCCAGGCGCTGGAGGATCCGTTGTCGACTATTTGGCAAGGCTGATTTGGTCTCCTGCAGAAGATTCTCTAGCCCATTCATTTTTGTCTGCATGGAAAAGAGCATGTTGCGCTGATCCTCGGCCTGGACGATGTTCACTTGGTACATGATATCGCTCTCCAGCTTGAGCATCCGATCCAGTTTCTCTGATGCACTGGCCTTGGTACTTGGGACCAGAGCTTTACTCCAGCGCTTTAGGGTAGACATGCTATAGTATCGTTTTGCTTCTGCTAGATATTGCAGCGCGGCAACATAAAGCCTCACCAAGGCTTTGGAGAGCTGAGCCTTCAATAGCGACTGACCCCGGAGATGAGTCTTTTCAATCTCCGAGTACCGAGTGATCAAGCCCGACACTTGTTCCACCCCCTGAGCTATTGCCCCGTATTTCTCGATGTCGTCGGTGATGATCTATCCAAATTCAGCATGAAATATACGTACAAGGTCAAGGTTTCTCCATGACTTACTTCGAGGAGAAACCGAATGGCTGCCCAAGGTATACCCGCGTGCCCTGGGTCGTATTGCACAGCAGCATCGCCGAAATCCTTGAATTTGGTGACCCACTTCGCAATGCTCTCGAATATATCGCGGACCAAGTATTCTTTACCGTCTCGTCCATGAATCTTCCACTGCTTGCTGTGACTCTTCTTGATCTGATCCTCGACCGTGGCCAAGACATCGGAGGGAAGCAACTTTTTACCTCCCTTTCCGACCTCTAATAACCCTGCTTCTTCCCTACTGATGAGTTCGGTTGCCTGATCCCACAGGCTCTTTTTATTTCTGGTTCGGCAATAGATTGGTTAGAGACTCTTCCCCTCTCCTGTGGCTATATCCCTTTAGACGAACCTGCGGTTCTTCCGAGTCCGAGACACCAGCAGCTTGGTGGCCACAATCCGCGCCAGGGCATCTTTGCTGGTGAGCACTTCGGTTTCCGACATCTTGCGCAGGCACCTGGTTGTGTTGGAAGTGTTCCAGGTTCGAGGTCCCTCATTTGAGTCTCGGGGAAAGGCGGACTTATCAGTCACCCCTCCCTCCCATAAGCGCTAGGTCTCCTCTAAGGATCACTATGCATGTTACCGCCAGTCAATCCCCACGACAAGGGCCTAGTCCAATTAGCTTCGGGTCTGCCCGCAGCCTGATGAGATGGCATCTACCCCGCCTGTCCATGCTTGCTTTTTGCTGAGTAGAGCAATCATCTAACAGGTCAAACGGAGCATTCTAGGGTGGCAAGGAATGGCAATGGATTGCTCCTGCCAGGCTAAACACTACTCCCGATATGCATCTTTAGGGCCGTGATCCTGCGGCACCGATTCCTTTTATCCGGCTACTATTGGGCTGTGATTCGCAGAATGGTTATTTTCCAGGAACAGGTTTTCCAGTTCATGCGGAGACGAAGTCAGAGGAGTGACAACCACTCCTCCATGCAGGCGCTTATAACAAGAACTGTTCCGCTTAGTCTCGTGAATACCAGCCTAGTTCTATCTGGAATAGACTGTCGTCACATCATCAAGTATTCTATTTTAGAAAGTGAGTGGTGTTTTCAGCACCACACCATCCCATCACGTACAACTTCTGTTCTATTGCCTTCTTGGGTGAGGCAACCAGAAAAGGCCTTCAAATTGAGCTTCGGAAAATATTGCCCTTGACTAACCATCCGCAGGACAAGGTCGAGTGTGTGTCACCCGTCGCTTCCCACAAAAGCAGAGTTTCAACCAGGCCTGGTGCCTGGGAAACCCTTCCTGGACATGTAGCTAATCTAGGAAGTCACATTCCATCTCCACGGTTTCCTTCCTGTTTGTCACTCGATACAAGAGAGTCAAAAGATTCCGTACTCTGTAGTATGTCGTCGAATGGTCCTGCCCCTCTTCCTCCTCCTCCTCCCCCACCCAGGCATCCCAGTCCATGCCCAGTCCGGATTACTCGTCTGGTCTCTCTGTGTTACCTTCCCTCCCCCTTTCACCAGCAGCATCCTATTATTCTTGCAGGCACTTCCCGTCTCTCGACTCTAGTGTCGTCTCCTAAGCAAGACTAGCATCCAAAAAAGAAAATCAGACGACCAGGGTCCGAATATGGATGCACGTGGCAGGCAGCGCAATTAAAATTCTGCCTGAGTGAAGAGAACCTTTCGATCTGACGGGAAATAGTGGGATGGGCGGCCCAATCGTAAGGGTCCGTGGCGATATAAGCTTTTGTCAGCTGTGGGCCGAACTAATTGACTTCGGAAATGCCTCAGCGGGCCGAGAGTGTTTATATCCCAGCTGAACTCTGCTAGATCCATCCTCTCTCTACTCCCTTTTCGTTCTATCGGCCTCCTCATCGTCGCAGATACTCCCTCCTTCCTCCTACTGACCTGCTTTGGTTATTCGTCTAGTCGGGAACATCCTGATTACAGTTCTATACTTCGATGAATAGCCCTACCGTTACCAGCCTTTCGCTCATCACCTCCCCTGGGGTGGTATCTTACAGCCACAGATGCAACTGCTTGTTTGAACAGATTCTGCCGTCTCATCAGCCACCTTGATGGGGATAGATATCTTACTGCTTGAGTTCGCGTAGGTGTTAAGTTTTCCTGGACGTGTCGGCACTTGTCTAACTATCGTCATGTGCCATAGGTCCGAATAGGCGATTTGCCCCTGATAGTCGTCCTACTACGCGTTCTGTCTTCCATATATAAACCAAAAACCAGAATCAAAATATTTTCCAATCTCATCATGAATCGCCTCGTGCAAGTCCTCCGCAGGCCTGGCGCGAAACCCGACATCCAGGGCGTCGCCCCGACTCAGCATCTGCAGAGTGAAAGTGCAGAGAGAATCACTGGCTATGTCGTTGCTCCAAAACAAAGAATGCTAGACCGTTGGTTGGACTGGGTAGTTTGTGCGTCGGGCTCGAGGTTTGTTTTCTTCTCGATCTTGACGGGCTTGCTGGCCTGGGCCCTGCTCGGTATTCCGTATGGAAGAACGGCGAGCTGGCAGGTCATCATCTCGGACGTCCAGGCTATTGTCAGTTATATCTTCGACTCGCTTCTCGTTCGTCAGCTGCTCAACGGATATGAGGATGAGATGGTGGCTGCGGCGCAGGTGCAGTCACGACTTGCAACTCATGCTCGGCTGTTGAGGGCCCTTGGTCAGGGTTCATCGAAGGGTAGTCAAGCTGGGGGTGCAGCTTCTCAGAGTGTGACCCCGGACATTGAGGAGCTGAAGACACCCCTTCCGAAGGAAAATCAATTTTGCCGCTACATTTCGGCGGTCGCACACATCTTGGGGCATCCTGTTATCATCGTACTGTTTTGGATTGGTGTCTTTGTTTGGATTGGCATTGGCAGTCTCTGTGAATGGAGCGATGCCTGGCAGCTGTACATGAACTCGGCTTCATCTGCGCTGATGGTGTTTGTGTTCGCATTTCTGGCCAACGTTCGTGAGCAACGTTCCGCTTCCTCGAGAAGGACTCTCGATGCAATCTTCACGTTGGATTCGACTCTTGAACTCAGGCTACGATCGCTAACTGGCGACACACTACCCAACACTGCAGTCGTGATCTCCGCACCGAAGGTCAACCGGGTTCAGCGCGCGATCTTCTACTACGCAGACTTCGTCGGAACCCTAATCGGCATTGCCCTCCTACTCACCGTGATCGCCGTCTGGGTCGCCGTCGGTCCCCTCCTACACTTTGACTCCGACTGGTGGCTTCTCATCGGCACCTACGCCGGGCTCGTCGGGATGAATGATGCCTTTGTCCTCCGAAACATGCAAATGCGCCTAGGAAGCTACGTGAGTGACGAGTTCGACAAGATCCAGACAGACGATCACCGGTTGTTTGAGACGATCGGACTACCTATCCCTGAGAGGAAAACACTCAATGACTCATCCATCGCCTACCAGGTATCAAAGACTATGGGAAGGATCAGCGCCCATGAGCTCACCGTCGTTGTAGGCTTTGTCACTATCCTGGGGTTGATCGCAGGGGCCAGTGCTATGAAATGGAGCTTGACTGGCCAGCTGCTCTGCAATGTTCCGCCAAGCTTGCTTGAATCCTTCTTTATGATCATCCTCATCACGGGCGACAACTTGATGGAGGATAGGAAGCTGGTTGATCTGCAGAGTATCTATGATCGGAGAATCACTCTTCTCTGGTTTGTCGATTTTCTTAGACAGCAGACGAGGGATTCGGGACGGGCTATTGAGAAGACGACGGTCAGGACTTGTCTGTCTCGGGGTGTTCCGGAGGAGCTGGCTTAGATGGGATTGGGTGTTTTGTCTCATGTCTGCAGGCTGTGCTTTCGGTGTGGGTTTGGGAGAGTGTGTGGAGAGGCAGTGCAACGTGCCCCAATTCGACCCTTGGATACATTTCAACTAGGTTTCTGATCAGTCTTATCTTATTGTTTGTGTTTTCGACGCCACTCTTTTCGTTATTAGTTATTGCTTCAGGTATTCTTTCAATCGCTTTATGGCTTTAACAGAATTCTGGGGGCGTGTTGGGGATAAGCAGTTCCTGAAAGCTATATACACACCCCCATTATCTACATTCGAACCAGTGTTCCGCTTCCTTCATCCCAGCTGAGGAAAATGATGATCATAACCACGAACAACAAAATCGTGTCCCGTAAATACCGAACATCGTTGTATTCTATGTTCACCAAGCTACTGCAGAAAAGAGTTCGTCGGTCAATCTAAAAGGGGTGTCCGTCGAGCGCACCCCTAGATCAAGCACGGCTACCTGGAAAGGCAAACAATGTCGCAGGAATATGGGGTGTTGCTGCAACAACTCCCTGCTAATTCTTAATCCCCCCACGAACGGAATCGCTCTAGAATCTACCCACAGGGTGCGTCACACAAATTATCCCATTTACTTAGTTAGGTCGAACTGTGGAGTTAAGTAAACGCCCAGTCTAGTTGATAGACATACATCTACAGTCTACATCACATTCGACCGAACAGTACAGCTTCATGCTGGATGCGCGGGGTTTGCGGTCGAACTACCACCGAATTAGGAGACTATATAGAGGCCTCTGGGATTCACTCTGCCTTGCTCTATTTTAACTCCCATCCAGCCATCAGCATCAGCATCAGCATCAGCATTAGCATCAGCATCAGTATCAGTATCAGTATCAGCATCAGTATCAGCATCAGTATCAGCATCAGTATCAGCATCAGCATCAGCATCAGCATCAGCATCAGCATCAGCATCAGCATCAGCATCAGCATCAGCATCAGCATCAGCATCAGCATCAGCATCGGTATCAGCCTACTACTCTACGATCCAATCCCAATCGCAATCCCAACCAAGATGAACCCCATCAACACCACCCCCTACTCACTTCCCCCCAACGCCACCTGGCTCAGTACGTCCTCTCCTTCCCCCTTCCCCCTTCCCCTCCCCAGCACTTACGTCCGTGACGCAGACCTTCTCGGTCGCGGCCGCGCACTTCGGCCCGTTCTTCCACATCGACGTTCTCGTCAACAACACCGGCTACTCCCTGGCTGGCGACACCGAGCCCGTCACAGAAGAGCAGATGCATGATGAGCTGGAGACGCTGTTCTTCGGGACCGTGCGCGTCGCGATCCAGGCTGTCAGAGTCAGAGTCATGCGGAGCCATCCGGCCGGTCGCGGTGGCGTTATCTTCAATATCTCTTCTGTGGCTGGCGTGTGCGCGTTCCCGGGCCATGCGTCTCTACATTGCTCCAGTAAGTTTGCCGTGGAGGGGTGGACGGAGGCGTTTGCGAGGGAGATGAAGAGCGATTGGAATGGTGAGTCTCATGTTTACCTACCCTGCTCTACTCTATACACATACGTGCATACATACATGCATTCTCGCTGCAGAACAGAAACACCGGGTTAATTTGATTTGGCTTTTCTTATTCACGGTCAACTTCTGCCTCGTCGAGCCCGGCTCCGTAAAGACGAACGTCGAAACGACCAGCAAGAAACACATCGCGCCGCACGAGGCATACGCGGGCGCAGACATGCCCGCCCGGCAGCTGGGAGCCTTCCACAGGAAGAGTATTGAGGCGGGGGCGGGTGCTCAGCCGGAGGAGATAGCGAGGGTTTTGTATACGGTTGCGAGTCGGGGGGAGAAGATCCCGTTGCATTTGCCGCTTAGTGAGACGGCGGTGCGGTTTATTGGGATGAAGTTGAAGGGGAGGTTGGAGGGGTTGGAGGAGGTGACGGATTTGAGTGGCTTGGATGTGGGGGAGGTGTAGGTGCATTCAAGTGTGTAGGTTGGGCTGGGTGGGTTGAGTCGGTTTGAGTGGGTTGGTTTTGAAGGGGGGTGGTTCATAGGGTTGGGATGGGATCATGATGAGATGGATTTACTATATATATCGCTGCGGGAAAGGTCTACACTACTAGGATCTGGTAATCGCGATGGGATAATCGAGTGGTGTTAACTGCATATAGGTGTTAGTTTTTGCGTTATCCGATTTGAGTGGTTTACAGCGCAGGTATGTGCCAGGTAGAGAATTCCATCGATACTATCGTTCCTGTAGACTGCCTCGTTTGCTCAAAAAGATGGCATTCGACCCCAGCTGTAAAGGTCCGAGGACCCACAGCAGCCGGTTGAACCCTCTGCGGGAAGAGATCAACCATAAAGTAAAAAAAAAAAAAAAAACATAAAAAGAAATGACCAGACTGGGGCTCGATCCCAGGACCTTATCGGTGTTAACGATACGTGATAACCAACTACACCATCCGGCCGATTTGTTGAAATGATGTAAGAGCTATGGCTATATGAGGCAACAAAATGTGATTGAACTGCAAGCCTCAACCAAGCCCTGATTTACCCAGAAGGTGTTCGTTCTTGCATTTTGTTCTATACATGTATTGATTCATCATTGGAGTGGAGAAGTATCTTATTTCTCGGTCATAAAAGGAATGGCAACACGCCCAACGCCCTGGATGGTTCGTCCGGCCAGAATGAGTCCCGGTGAATGCGTCGCCCTGCCATGGCACTGCCCACCCCAAACACAAGGACACTTCCCACCCTCTAACCCTCTCGGCTGGCAGGACTGGCCAAAGTTGGGGGCCGATCCCTGCCAAAACTTGCCAATCGGCGACATTCGCGGTGACATTTTTCTTTGTTGTGTACTACAGCCTTATCTTGCACTACTACAATGTATAAGCCCTAAGACTCAAGCTGCGTAGTGAGCTAGCAGGTAACTATTGTAGTGTAGCTCACCTTACAACCAACTCCTTATCAATTCAATCTGTTGGAAATATTGCTTCGGATTGTAAATTGATCAATTTGACGATTTATGTCCTAGAAGAATCCCCCCAGCCGGTCGCTTCTCAACAGCGCCAAACCAGGCCTTACGCAAACGATATATGCCTCGCGACCAATAAATAAATATCATTAGAAAAAGGTCACACATATCCCCATTCCCCTCCCACGCTCTACGCATCATCACGATAAGTCCAAGTCATCAGACTCAGCGCACTTCCCGGAGGACAAACACAGCTCGTAAACTTCAACTTCGGCTCGACCTCAGCAATCAGCCCCCGAAACTGGTCCAGGGTGCGCTCCTTCCCAGCCAGCAACATATGCATCTGCACATCCAGCCCCCGGATATATTTCTCGACGTGCGACGGCACCGTCCCCGGCTCCGGGGTAATCATATCCATGACGATGAGCCGGGCGCCGGTGCGCATTGCAGGCACGGCAGCCGCAAGGATCCGTTTGGCGTCGTCGTCCGACCAGTCATGGATGATGTAGCGATAGAAGTACGCATCCGCGACGACGGTCTGAGGACGGAAGAAGTCGTGCTCTTGGAAAGACACGTTGGGGGTTTCGGTGGCTGTGGCGATGGCGGCTTTTGTGTCTTGCACGATGCATTTGATGTGCGGGTGGCGCGCGGCGATGGCGAATGCTGCGTGACCGCTTGATCCGCCGACCTAATGTTGTTGTTGTTTTTTATCAGTTGGGGATTCTATGTACAGGGGGGAAAATTGGATGGATACTCACATCTACCACGGAGCCGATATTCTCCCAGTCTCCCCCGCGAACGACATGCTCCAGCGACTCCAGCGAAGAGGCAGAGCTCGAGATCATGAGATCGTGGAATTTCTGGTCCAGACCGGGGATCCTCTCGTTGATATCCCACAGGGAAGGCCGAGCAGCGCCCTCGGTCTGATACGCCACGCTGACTGCGCAGGCATGGGGATCCTGACCCTGCGGATCCAGCTGCAAGGATTCGTGCATCTTGGTGGACGCATTGAACGGAACTTCGAGGTTCCAGATAGCGCCATTTGCTGCGCGCTCGTCCTTGACAAACACGGCCGACATGGCGTTGTGCTTGACTCGGCCATCTTGGTCTTCGCTCAGAAACCCGCATACGCGGGCAAATCGGACCAACCGCTGCAACAAAGCCACGGAGACATTGGTCGCTTCGGCAAGTTGCTTATAGGACCTTGACTCGCCCAAGGGGATGAGTTGGGGGATTCCTAGTTTAACCAGGGCCTTGACGGTCCCGACTTCTCCTGTCTGGGTCAAGCGTTAGTATGATGCTTTGATCAGTGCCAGCTGAGAGGGACGCTCACGGCAAGACAGTAGTTGTTGAGGTGAGTCAGTGGTCCCCGGGCGAGGCGTAGGATCTGCTCCGCGGCTGATATCACTGCGATTTGAGCATCGGAGCCTTCGGGGCTTAGCAGGGGGAGATCAACAGGTGCCCGTTCGTCATCTAGTGAATATTCACCAAGGCCGACCTTGTTCCATTCACTGGCTAAAATATCTGCATTGCGGGAGAGAGTAGTGGCAAGAGATTGGATATTAGAATCGGGTGCTTGCGAACCCATCTTGACCTTTTCCTATATTGCAATCGAGGAGGGTGTAAAGCTTCAAGGAGGCCGGTTCAGCGGATAGTTCAGGTGCTTCGATATTTGATGGCCAGAAATGCCGCTTTCTGAATACACAGTATGCAGGCCATTCAATGGATCCCCGCATACCCAACCCCCCTCGCGGGTGACCCGGCATTCCAGGTTGGACCGAAGTGGATACACAGCATATCCCATCCCCTTGCCTGTGGCATCGAAGTCCAAAGCCCAGCCCAAGTAAGGAAAGCCACAGACATGAGCCTGCTGAGACATTACGCCATCCGGAATCCGATTTATTCACCAAGTGACACCAGAAGTCAGGAGTCACTGTCCCCTCGATGCTGTCTTGTTGCTTCCCCACTACCTTCGTCTCCACGCACTCAGATTTGAAGTTCCTATATTCTGTCCTCCGGCACTGGGAGGCTCCAGAGGCGCTCGATTGCCTCATCCTGTCCAAGATGTTTGCCGTCGAACTTTCCCGTCTCCATGGGTTGGACTTCGTCGTAATCCCTGGAGCTGCATTCTGTCTCTATCTGGTTGGACTGGCCATCTACCGGCTCTATTTTCATCCGTTGGCCAAGTTCCCAGGACCCAGGCTTGCAGCGCTAACCAGCTGGTATGAGTGCTACTATGACCTTGTCAAAGGAGGCAAGTTCCTGTGGGAGATCGAACGCATGCACGAAGTCTATGGTTAGTACTCACTCCTATCAAGTGAGTGAGGATCTCCTCTGACCTCAATCGACCATCGCAGGCCCCATCGTGCGCATCACCCCGCGAGAACTCCATATCAACGATCCCTATTACTACGATGAGATCTACGCGCCCTCGACCAAGCGCCGGGACAAGGATCATGAGTACGTCAAGTTGGACGGTGCCCCGGGCTCTGTCTTCTCTACCACGCAGCATGAGCTTCACCACCGCCGGGCCTCAGCCCTGCTTCCCTTCCTGTCCAAGAAAGCCGTGCGACACTTCGAGCCCGTGATGCGTCAGAAACTCGATCGGCTATGTGATTACCTGTCCAGCTGCATCGCGCGGCAGAATACCCTGACTGTGTCCCACTTTGCGATGGGCCTCACGATCGAGATCATCTCGACCTTTGCGTACGGCGAAAGCTATCCGTGTCTGGAAAACGACTCTCTCGGATCCCACTGGAAGCAGACCCTGGCCGCCGCCAACGAAGAAGCTGCCTTCCTGCGCCACTTTCCTTGGGCTCACGACCTGCTGTCCTGGATTCCCCCGAGTCTCATCGTACGGGTTAAGCCCACATTGGGTCTCTTGATCAGCTGGCAGCAGCAGATCGCCGAGCAGACGGACATCGTTTGCCAGCAATACCGCAAAGGAACCCTACCATCTGGGACCGTCTTTCACGCCATATTGCAGAGCGATCTGCCTGCGCATGAAAAGGAGCCCTGGCGACTCAACAGCGAAGCCCAGAACTTGATCCATGCCGGCAGTGAGACGTCAGCCAAGGTATGTGTCCTGGCCACACGGGAAGGCCTTCTGGCTCACGTCACACTGACTCCTTGTCCCGTCGCGTATTCATAGTCATTGGAAATTTGCCTGTATTACTTGCTAGCCGATCGACGGATGCTCGAGACTCTGCGAAACGAGCTGAAGACCATCATGCCCGAGCCTAGGTCTACTCCCTCTTGGACTGAACTGGAGTCGCTGCCTTATCTGGTCAGAACTCTGTCTTGTTGCCATCTTGCATACCATTCTAACCCACCACACACATATAGTCCGCGGTAGTAAAAGAAGGAATCCGGCTCCAACTAGGAATCACGACCCGCAGTCCGAGAGTCGCGCCCACTGAGGTGCTTCAATATGGGAAATGGATGATTCCCGCTGGTGTAAGCACCCCCCTCCCCCCCCCCTCAAGAATCTAGTCACCGATCCGAGTGGCCATGCAGTATTAACATCAATCCGTCCAGACCCCAGTTAGCATGATCAGCTGGTTCGTGCACACGAACAAAGAGCTATTCCCGGACGGACTAGCCTTCCAGCCAGAGCGATGGATCAAGGCCGCTGAGGCTGGCTTTCGGCTGGACCGACATCTCACGTCGTTTATGAGAGGCGGCCGCCAATGCTCTGGAATCAAGTATGACTTTCCCCTACCCTGACTAATATTCATCTGTCTCGATCACTCTGACCGAGTCAATCCAGTCTCGCCTACGGCCAAATCTACATAAGTCTAGCGGTCCTTATCCGCCGATTCGACTTCGAGCTATACAAAACCACTCTCGACGATGTTCTTCCCGATTGGGACTCGTTTGTCGCGGCCCCGAAGAAGGGAAGTCTCGGGGTAAGGGTAAAGGTTGTTGGCGAGGTCGTTGAATGAATTGGATTGAATGTATTGGGGGAATTGAAGTAGAGGGAGAGGTAGACGGAAACGGGAATACAGTGGAGGAGACAAGCAAGCAAGGGAGGGCTTCTGCTTCGGACAGACGGACGGATGGACTATCAATCGATCGATCAGTGGCTAGCCGCTCCATTGCCTTGTTTCGGGTTATACAACGGGGTGAAATCCGCCGTGGATCGAGATCTTCCCTGTGTGAGGTACATCACATGTATTACTTTGTGCCGATGTGATCGATCTACGATTGCACATCCAAGTACTTGGTATCTCCCGGTGGAAAGTAAAACAAACCGAAAAAAAAAAATCGAATTCCATTAGCTGCTGAGCCCGCTGATTACCTAGCTTCCTCAGTATATACTGCAGTCGCCTCTCCAGGGAATCAGGGCTGCGATGCCGTACGCCTATACTCTTCAGACTCGCGTTAATCCTACCACCAGGCCCGAAACCGCGACCCCACAACTAAAATCATCAATGGAAAATATCCCTAGCTAGCTAACCGGTTAGTCCAGTTTCACAATGGACTACGAGACAGTTTCCTTATACAATTACAGCTACCCAAGTTCCAAAGGGCCCATTACCCTCCCTGCCTTGGCTCTTCCCCACGCATTATCCAAGTATGGATACTTCAGTTATTGCCAAATAGGCGAGTTTCCTAAAACCAGACCACAAGAAAAGTACTGCGCACTCCGTATGTATTTACTTACATCGGACTCATACTTTAGTCATGAGCACCCACCCCTTGCTTTTCGTTCTGGCCACCATGCTCACTCAGGCACCGACTGAGTTCGTTTTCCGATAATCAATATCAATTGGAAAAGAACTTCCGGGTGACATCTTGCAATTGTCACTTAATTAATACCTTGGCTTTTTTGTAAGGGGTGGTGAGAACCGATATCTAATTATCAATAGCTAACCGCAAAGAGCAGTCTTAGTACAAATGCCTAATTCGGTGCTATTGTCACAATGTGACTGGGGAAATTTCAAGAGACTTATGGCAAGCTAGAGTGGAAGAGTGGAAGTTACGGATACCCCAGGATGACGACCGGTAGTATTGCAGCAAAAGGAGAATCCCCCCTAGGCCTTTCTCAGAGGTAGATATAGATATACAACCAACAGCTAATGATATCATGATTCAATTTATTCATCGGCAGAACATTCCACATCTCATCATCCAAATCAATCAAATAAATGATTGGCTGCCGTCAGCTACAGTCTCCTCACCCAATGCCCCCTCCTTCCCTGTCTCCCTCTTCCTGCGTGTTAGATAGACAAGCATATCGTGCACCACGAAGGTCAGGATATTGTTGGTGATGCACGGTCGCAGCGGATCCGCCAAGTCGATCTCAAAATTACGGAAGAGCTGGGCAAAGATCAGTTAGCAGCTGTATGCGGGAAAGCTATCCATCAACAACAATATTTGGGGGGGGGGGGGGGGGTGTACTTCGAATAGAGTCTTTTGGATCTCGCAGAGCGCGATATGTCTAGACAGTGGTTAGTTTCGCCTGTGGGGCAGCCAACATCTCCTCTCGATATGAATGAACTCACTTCCCAAGACAGGTAGTCAACCCAGCACTGAATGTCAAGTCTGCCTTTTCGTACGCCTGGATGGTTTCCGGGTCCGTCAGCCATCGCTCAGGGCGGAAGACATCCACGTCTTCGCCGAACACGGTCTTGTTTCTTCCCAGGGCCCACATGCTGAAGCCTATATTGTAGAAATGAAACGGTTAGTGTTGGGTAGCTGCACCGGATGAGATATTAAACTACTCACCAACATCGCAACCCCCTGGAAGAAAGTGGCCGCTGATAGTTGTGCCCTGCGGTGGGACGGTGCGAGGGAACGGCGTTCTACATATTGTATTAGCCAGTCTGGCAAAGCAAAGAAGTAGTGCGTGCTACAATCAACCTACCCAATCGGCGGATGGATACGGAAGACCTCCTTGATAATGGCATTCAAAAACACAAATTCCTTCGTCTCGCGAAAGGACACGGGGCTCGACAGGCGGCCGGAATCCTCTCCGGCTTGGATCTCGGCCATCAGCTTTCGGTATACCCGCGGTGTGCCAACGATGTATACCACCGCGACGCGAAGGATGGTAGCGACGGATTCGGGACCGGCGATGCTATAAAATCCGTGGTTAGACAATGTCTAGGGCGATTTAGGGCCAGGGGAAAACAAACACGGGGGTAAAAGCCTCGACCTCGAGCTCTCGTTGCGGGATTCCTTTCCCCTGGGCATCCCGATACTGCAGGAACCGATCGAGCAGGTCCTTGGATTCACGAGGGCTGCCGTGTTTGACTCTTCGTCGGACTTCCTTGATTGCCATCTACCGATGCAAATGAGAATATTAGCTGATCGAGGTTTCCAGTCCGTAGGAAGTTAGTGCTGAGTTGAGTTATGCTCACCCCTCTGATCATGCCAGGACCGTAGTCATCCGTGGGCTGCGAGCCCAAAAGTGGGTTCACCCAGGGGTGGTTAAGGAAGCGTTGCAGTTCGGGAAACGTGGTCATGATTCTGGTGATGTTGAAAAGCTCCGTCAATGAGCCGATGATGTTGTTGACGTCTCGGCCTTCCTTGACGAATCCGACGCGGTCGCTGAAGGCCAGATCCATGATGGCGTCGAATGCAACTATTCGACATCATGTTAGGGCTAATTCCACACCCTCCTGCCCACTCCGAATCCATTGAGGAGGTACCCACAGAAGTGAATAAAGTCCGCCAGATCGCACACTTTGCCCTTGGAGGCAAATTTTGTGGACAGCACCTCCATGAACTCTTGTATCGATCGATCCAGCAAAGGCTCCAACTCGTACACCGAGTCCGGGTTGTACTGTGGATGTCTTGTCAGTTCCTGCCACGCTGCTCAGAATCTCCGATGGAAATAACCTACCGCGCTTGCTATTCTTCTGCGCTGCGAATTATGCTGGGCCATCGTCCGGGCCGTTCCCACGCTCTGCAGTCCCACCTGGGGATCGAGCGTGATGAACCAGTCCGACCGATTCCATTTGTGCGCCTCATGGATAAACGCCGGATCGTTGACGATGACATACTTAGGTCCGGCTCGGTATATGGGTCCTACACAGAGCAGCGGGCGTTAATACTTCCTTCCCCTGGGACAAATAAATCTCGGTGATAGTGATGGTGATGGTGACAGTGAATCCCAGCACGCATACATACCGTATTTCTCATGCGCCTTGATATCTCTCATATGAAGCTCTCCGGAATAAATCTGACGCAACAGCCACAGCCTGGTCAAGGAGGCCCAGAAGGGCCCGGGAACGCTGGCCAAAGGATCCTTGGAACGCGACTGATACAGGAGGATCCCAGCCACCACGACGGGGCCCAAAACCAAGGACCAAACAAGAAGCATTTTTTCAGGCCCTGGTGTTACTTCAGGGACGTGTCCTTTCCGGAAATGTCACCAGGAGTGGGAAAGCAGTTTTGGCTTTTTAAGTACGTGACACTATCGGGCCATCTCCATCTCTTGCACTCTCCCCTTAAGATACTCCGTACTTAGCTAGGTAGGTGTAGTTTCAGCTCGAAGGTAGGTAAGTAAGTGGTTGGCTGGCTGGCTGGCTGGCTGGTTGGCATGCAGTCCAGGAAACCCCGAACCCCGAACTGCACAACGCGAGGATGTGTTTCTCAATGTGGGAAACACAGAGAGGGAAAAAAAAAAAAAAAGAAAGACATCAGATAATATCAGAGGGTTGCAGAACATAATATCCCATGCTTCACTACTTTCTTCCTCTTCAGGTATGTGGTACGACCATACGGGCGAGCGGGTCCGTGAAGAAACACAAAATGTCCAGATGCAGGATTATATGCGGATGGGGTTCCGAGCCTTGCCTTGCATATGAAATGACTGGCAAGTGTAGATCACCGTTGGTCATACATACATACAGCAAGTAGTCGCAATCAAGGGGCGGCCCGCATTGCATTTCATTATTGCATCCCAAATCGATCTACTAGAAACGTAGTATTATTCCCGTGCAGGAATGCCAATCCACTTTGCGAATTCGTCACGAAAATGTCATCATACGAGCGGTGTGGGAGAGTGAGCCATGCCCCGTAGGTAGGGGGAAATGGTCAGTTACATGCTTACTCTGTACAGCGGCCCGAACCTCGAGGGATCCTTGAAGATACTTGTATTCATGTGCTTTGGTGCAACGGTTCTCTGGGGTACTGGACACCCCCAGCATAGCGGGCCGTAAGGCCCGCTGAAAGGTTATGACGACTACTGCTTGTTTTATCAAGTTGAATAAGATTGTAAATGTTTGAAAATATTGTTGAGGCTTTGCTATACCTTTGCCAATACATGTTTGCAAACTATTAAAGAGCTTCAACACTTCCTTAAGAAAAAGGCAAATGCGTTCGTTTTCTAAGAATAGTAGCCACCCCCTTACAATATCGTAAAACCCCCAATTGCGATTCTGGACCTATCCTCTCCCAAATAGTCATCATCATACACTACGTACTTTAGAAGATGTCTCAATACAAATGGATCTTATGGTTTGATTGATATAATGGTCCGAAAAAAATACCTATATCTGTCCGAGTTCTATTCTCGGGTCGAAGCAATTACCCGCTCAGGTGGCTGAAGGCAATAGCGGTCTACTTGACGTGGTGGCGGAGGATCCACGTGTAACCGAAATACTCATTCATGCAAGGGTTCTGAATATTTAGGTGCATGTCGAATATTATTCCTCTCGGGGACTCAGGACGACATCGCGAACGGCTCCCTTGCGGGCCATGCGGGAGACATCATGCGCCCCCCAGCCCAGCCCAGCCCCATGCATATTTCTCCCCCACACATTCCCGATTCTAATTATGCCGCAGCTTGAGCTGGTAAAAGCCTGTTTTGTGCGTCGCAGATTAGCCCCCACTCATCGTCAGACGCCCGAGACAGGAAAGAAAGAGAACGACCTACCCAAATCACAGCTGGGGTCCGTGAAGGATTGGATCGCGGAGACCCCAGCATTGCTGAAGAGCGCCTTGCGCTCGGCCTCGTCATACTTGTGGCTGTAGCCGAATCGAACCTTCTCGCCCTTCTTGACGACAACATGCTCCAGGGGGGCACCGAGCCGGATATCGCGGTTGCGCGGCGTGTAGGACGCCTCGTGGCGGCCCTGGATGTGGTTGTACTCGCTGAGGTAGTACCAGTCGTCGGTCTGGAACACATCGATGGCAGTGGCTGCCTCGTCCCCCTGGCCGTCGCGGAGGATCGTACTCGCGTACTTGAGACCCGCCATCGCGAACGGCACCACCCCTTCCGAGGTGTACGCGCGCAGGATCTTGGTGGGCAGCTTGCAGGAGTCCATGCCGATCAGGATGGAGCTCTTGTCCGGCTGGGCTGTGAGCGCGCTGGTTGCCATGTTGCGGATGAAGCTGGCGGCGTTGCTGCGGGAGAAATTGCCGATGGTGGACCCGAGGAAGAGCACGCAGTGAGGGCGGGTGCTCGCCTGGGGGTCGTTCTTCATCCATTCGAGCCCATCCTCGAAGGTGCCGTGTAGTGCGGCGCACTGGACATGCCTGTATTTGTCGGTGGGCAGGGTGCGGAGAGTCGATTCCAGCTCCTCGTAGCTGAGGTCTAGGGCGTAGTAGGTCACGTTCTTCTTCTGCTCTTCCAGCGCGTCGAGCAACACGATCACCTTGTCCAGGCTCCTGTGGGATCGGTCAACCGGTCTGTCTCGGACGCGAAAGGGGAAAAAAAGATAAAAGAAATGAAAAGCAAAAAAAGGGAAAGGAAAAGAAAGCACCACTCACGCGCTGCCAAGATCCACAATGGCGCTGTTGTCCGCAATCGTATCGGCCATGAGATGAGCCTGGGTCCGGAGGATGTGAAGCTCCTCATGCCGAGGGTAGTAGTCAGGGGCATGGGAGTGCTTGTCCCAGTGCTGCAAGCCTTCTGTTCCGTAGAGAATAAGGATGGGAAGTGTGCGCGGATCTTTTTGGATTCCATCCACCACCGCCGAGTAGATGGTGTCTTCCACCTTGGCGGCGCGGATATCAATAATGTTCTGTTGGTTAAGCATCTTGATGGAAGCGGAGAATCTCAATGAAGAAAATCACCTCGGTACCACTGCTATGAGGGGACAATATATAAAGCTCGGGAAGTTGCAACTGCGCAATGGGCGTTCATGAATGCAGATGATTTAATTTGAAGTACACAAGTCCTCCTTCTGCAAGGCAAGGAAAGAAACAGTCGCAGCCATCGATACTCGGTGGGGCTTAGAGAGAGAGGGCTTCTATCGAATGCCGAAGACTTTGGTTGAGGAGTACATATTTTTTTTGCCTCTGTAAACGACAACTTGCGCAAGTCTGGAACTAATTGTTTTTCAGCAGAGAATACCTCCCAGCGTCGGGTTCGACGTCAACTGTCTCATCACATGCACGGGATTTTGGCTTGGCTGGTTGGTGGGTTTACGCAAGGAGCTCAATTATGAAGACTGGACAGGTCTGGGGTACCCTTTCACGCGGATCGCCTTAGCATCGAGCTATAACTGGGTTAAATGAGGCGTCCTGTTTCAGTCGGGGATGCAGAGCTCGGCGACCTCGGGGATCATGGGCTTCAGATCAATACCGCGGTCCCATAGGTGCTACGTGTTGCTGGATTCTGTCTCTGTCTGTGCCCCATTCACCTCAAGAGTGAGAATCGTTATGTGTGTATGTCACAGCATCATATCCCTAACTGTAACCAGACAGAAATAGTTGATCGAGAGCTCTGCCAAGTTTAATAGAGGAATGCGGGGAGGGGGGGGGTACACCCTCTGTCTGGCCACATAATCTAATTCCCCGGGTCCATCTACCGGCAGTTGTTGATGATACCCATATTTTTGTTGTTTTCCATATACAGCTAGATCTACTAAAGGATTAATTATTCACTTCATTCCAGTCCCTACTATGCTAGCTACTCTATTCATTGCCTCGAAAGAATATATGATTAAGAAAGTTTTCTGCCATCAGTGGTTCTCGGGGAATTGTAAAGTCGGCAGCCAAGGGGCTATACTTCGGTGTAGCCTGAGAGTGACTTGACGTGGTCTATAGATCATATGACGTTTTAACCCAGCTATACTGCCCTTAATCACCATCATGACTCTTTCCGACTTGTACCTTTGCAGTACACGCCTTGACTAACCATGCTGCTCAACTGCAGTTCGAGGAATGTACTCAACAAGGGATAGTAAAAGTTGGTGTGTAGATCATCAGAAGCAAGCCTCACTGTGTGAGCCTTTCTATTATGATATTTACCGATTGAAAGTTCCACCTTCAATTTCGGATGATCAAAGAATGTCTTTACAAGATCTCATATTCAGCCAGCCATATCATGTTCCTCAACAGAGCTTACGAAGTTCACACGCAGATGTGCGTACCTTGGTGAGACATTCAACCGCTGACATGTCAATGCTCATGGCTCATGTCGTGTAGCGCTCACCTGATCATGCTGTGCGATGTACTTGAAGGGGGAAAGATGAGAAAGAACCTGTTGCGTCATTATTCACCTCATCCGTCTGAGAAAGGGGGTCTATCGGCATTGTATAAACCGGACATGGCTGGCGATCTTGCTGGGGTGGCGTAGCTGAAGCTGTAGAAGACAGCCCTATTGCACTACGTAGTACTCCATACTAGTAGTTGAATCTGTCAGGGGGGGTATGATGGCCTCTCGGGAAGACCAGGGTGGGTAGTTCTCGATTTACCATCAGAACTCTTTTTCTTTCCCTCTTTCAAAAGTCGTAAAACGTATAAAGCTCTCTTCATAGGTTTCACGAAGCTGTATTAACATCTGTCAGCCCTTTCTCGGAAGACCAAAGCGGGAAGTTTCTTTTTCTGCCTCGGGGGTCGTCCGTTGTCGGCATCAAAACATCAAAGCACACAGGTCAACACTAATAGGATATTTAAGAAAATGCAACCCGGTAGTCAAGACCTGTATACATTTCATTTCACACTCCAGCAACCAACTACCTCATCCAATACCCTCAAATGCCTGCCCACTAACATCCTAAATCTCGAATCTCCACAATCCCCCTTCAACCACAAACACCAACCCAAGAGCAGAGAACACCCTTCCTTCCCAACCCTAAAAACCCCACCCCCTCAGCCTAAGCCAGCCCATACAAATCCGCAAACGGATCCACCTCCGGATCCGTATGCCTCGTATGCTCCATGCCATTCGCAATCTCCAACGCCATCTCCGCCCCAAACACCTCCTCAATCCACGCAATGGTCGCATCAATCCCCGCCGTCACACCGGACGCAGTCCACACATTCCCATCAACGACCCATCTCGCCCTGGGCACCCAAGACACATTCGGCCCCAGGGCCGTGATCTCCTTCCAGGCGAGCTTGTTCGTCGTGGCGCGCCGACCATCCAGCACGCCGGCGCGCGCCGCGACGCCCGACCCGGTGCAGACGGTGATGAGATACTTCAGGCTCGGGTAGACGGTGCGGATGAAGTCGATGACTTGGAGGAGCTCGGGGGGCGAGCCGCGGGTGCCCAGGCCGCCGGGGACAAGGAGGACGTCGAGGGGTGGGGGCGAGGAGAAGGTGTGGGTCGGGACGACGTGCTGGCCGATGGTGTGTGGGGATTCGGGGATCTGGGTGGATACGGGGTCGAGGGTGGCTGCCAGGATGGACATGCTCATGTTGGTGTGTGTCCAGGAGAGAATGTTGAGGCAGTCGAGGGGGCCGAAGACATCTAGGGCTTGGAAGCCTGGGAATAGGGCGACGCCGATACGTAGCGGGGGGGAGGTGGGTTGGTCTGGTGATGGGTTAGTGGGGTGGTGTTTAGAGTGAGGGTGATGCGGAGGGATTGCAGACCAGTTGTTGATTCGGTTGCCATGATGGACGATGAGTATAAGATGCTGGTATATCGTTATACTTTTGTGTTATGTACGGTGCAAGTTTTATAATAATGACCCGGTTAGCACGGTGCTGAGATGATCGCTAGGAGGACGAGGAAGCAAGCATATTTGGGAGTAGATGCGCGAGGCAAGATGAGGGGTTGATTGAGGGCTTGGGGTTCCAAGGGCGGACAACGCATCGTGGTGAGTCACCCGGTATTTGCGGGCTTTGGAAATGGGAAGGATCCGACATGTACAACAAAGGGATTTCACTGCTATCATCAGGGATGCTGGCATTTTTGACAGGAGCCTATTCTTGTGCAAATTGCGATTATTTTTTATCTTTTAGATGGGCTTGATGTCCATGATTGTTTGACCCAGCCATCTAGTCTAGATATATCCTGGGAAGTGCAGTTTCTTACCCTGTTTTCTCGTCCCTATAAACCGGCATAAAATCAAAGCCCTAATTTCACGCCCTTCAACTTCGGAAATCGGAACCGGTTCCGAAAGTAGGTACTAAATATTTGGATCGACGACTGCAATCTAAATAGACTGGACTCGGTCTCGGGCTCATAGATGTCCGTGAAAAGGCGTAGAATCGTCCGAGATATCCCTGACATCGTGATATAGTAGCCTTTTATACAGATGTTCATAATGGCTATGCAAGAAAGCTGGGATTGGTGTGGAAGCAACCGGAGAGTCTACGGGACGTGTATGGGGCTGAAGCCCGGGGCATGATTTGTCGGAAAATAAAAGGGATGAATGGTTAGTTTGAGGTCCGGGTGATGGCGGCGCTGTTGCTCGATGGGAATTGAATCGAGATGGAGAGGTTGTTTTGTGGGCTGGATTATTTCAGGAGAGTTGGGATGGGTGTGGTCCTGGGGTAGGGTGGGTGAATAGGGTTTTGTGGGTTAGCCCTGAGTGGTTTCAGGATGGTGATGGGTGTAGGTCTAGTTGAATCGCTTGATACGTTGGTCGATGGTCCCGTATCCCTGTAAATTGCACTGAAAACTCTATTTCCTATCCATAAAGTATTATAATGGTAGGTTGTATATTATGAGAATAAATAGACATGCCAGTCCTCCAGGGCCCCCCGCCAGCTTCATACCTGATTCTTACCCACCCCCAACACAAAAACACCACCTTCAGTGCAGACATTGAACGAACTCCACCTTGTTTTCGTCATAAGCACGCTTGCCCCAGCCGGATCATATAGTGATCTGATCATTGATTTATTCAGGCAAGAAAAAAATGCAGCAGGCCATGGATACAAATTTCCACGGACCATTGAATCTGACCCACGCCGCGTTGCCGCATTTTCGCGCCAGGGGGAAAGGTCTGCTCATTTATATGAGCTCGCAGTTGGGTGTTGCTGCGGAGCCGGCGCTGGGGGGTTTTACTGCGCGAGTAAATTTGCTTTGGAGGGTGGGTGAACTCACACATACTATACCCCCAGATACGATTTATGGTTTATACAAGCAAGCCAACACCTACAAACTAACCCACCAGGCGCCATCGAAAGCCTCTCCAAAGAACTAACCTACCAACCCCCAACCCCCAACCAACCATCAAGCCCCTCCTCATCGAGCCGGGGATCTTCAACACAGAAGTGATGAACAACGTCACGCACGCCCCCCCACCGCGTCGAGGTCTGGTGACCGCTCAACGATTACTCCCACGAGCAACTGAGTGGGAATTACCACAACGAGCCCGGTAATGCAGCCGAGCTGATCGCCAAGATCATCCAGATTGCGATGGTGCCGCGGTGGACGGCGATCCGATGCGGCCGAGAGTGTACACGCTCTCGTCTCGTGCCTGAGGTAGTGGCTGGTGCTTCTCATCCAGCATCTCCAATGCGGCGAACTGGTCGACCCCCAGCGGACAGATCCATCCGATGGTGTAGTCGGAGTGTTTGAATGGCGGGTTCATCGTACCAGGTTGCCAGGAAGCTGGTGATGTTTTGATGAATGATCAGGTGGTGTGTGAGGAGAAGATGATGTTGGTTTTCCCGAGCCAGGCTGATCACCAGGAAGAGCTCCTGGCCATCCATGGATGGATGGATGGTGGGATGCAGCAGCCACCCGAAGGAGCGGTCGCTCGTTGGCACACTGACAAACCGCAGTCTAGCTAGGGCTATGGGGTCGGAACCACGATGGACACCGGGTGTCAGTTTGAGTCCAGTTAGGCACCAGCAGCAGGCTTGTTGGGTCATGCATCCGTGGCTTACGGGGGACTTCCTTCCCATGGAGAAGGGGTTATTTGTGAAAGATGGAGTGAGCTGGCGAGAGAGAGACTTGATGAAAAGGAGATGTTACATTTTGATCGTTTTCTGCTTTTGACAAGTCCAGCTAATCCAGGATCGCATGTAATGCGTAAACTCGAACAAATCGCCCATCATCTCCCATGACAAACAAAAGAAAGCAAAAAAAAAAAAAAAGCCCTCACGCTGCTGCTGCTTCTGCCGCTGCCGATCTCCCAAATCTCCCATCAAAGGTTTCGCTCTCTCCAATACACATCTGGTAAGACAATTTGGCGTAAACGATAGCCTGCGCCGCTGCTTCCGATCCGATATCACGATAGACATCGGCCAGAAACAGCCAGGCTCCTATGAGAGCTTGATCCATTACGCCCCATTGCTGGACCACAAGCGATCGCCCCGAGCGCGCCATGTCCCCATCGAAAACATAGCCAAAAGACTCCAGTGCTCTGAGCATCCAGTCTAGAGCCTCTAGCGGCCGCTTACGATCCCGGTACCACCTTCCAAGCGCCATCTGGGGGTTCCAGACGCTTATGCGAGGCACCTCCGATGCAGGCCTAGGGTAGGTGGCTTCCATCGATACGATGATATTCTTGACTCTGTTTGCGTCAAGTCGCTCGGGCGACCGGAAGAGCCGGTTGATGACATCTGTCAGGGCCTTTCTCTTGGACACAGCATCCTTTCCAGCGGCCTGGACGTCTGTGCAGATGGCGCACTGACAGTGGAATTTCCAGGAGTCGAATCGATGCAGACACTCGTCGTAGTTATCGTCGCTCGTTGGGAAATAGTTGAACGTTATTTCGGCGTTGGGGGGCAGGTTTTTTGTGGCACGGACGATCATCATGTCTCCAATAAATGAGCGGTACGCATTCGGGTTGCAATTGTTGTTAATGTACGATGCCGTGGGCCAGAGCCCACAGAAAGGAAAGGGTCCGGTTTGGGGATCGGATTCGATGCCGATAGCCCTGAGGTATTTCTTTCGGGATGACAGTGGACAGCCAAAGGCGTTGAGAGTGATGATCCGTTCGGCCAGAAACCTAGACACATCGTTAGCCAACGGGGTTTAAACGAATTAGATGGGAAGACTTACGTATCCACGACTGGCGTGCCATCTATCTCAGTAACATCGACAGTCATGTACGAGCCGTGGTAGAGGCCTGTGATGATCGGAGCCAGAGAGGGATTGCGATACAGTTTCTGGGCAAGGAGAGAAATCAGATACGCCTGTTCTCCCATGCACACATTGTTTCTTTCCGAGTTGGCCAGCAGCAGGACCCCGTTTCTGCGCTGTACATCTCTGGTGTTAGCAGAGGAATGGACAAACGCCTTTTCGCAGAACAACAGGTCGCCGGCGTTGACTGCGTTGGTGGTGAATAACCCGCGGCCTCGGGAGCCGGCGGCGCGGACAGCCACGGGGCCAATGTAGGTGGCACGGTCCAGGAGGGGCGGATCATGGCTCTCTGCCTCTTTTTGCAGGTCTTTGAAGGAGTACCTGCCGTACCGCTGCTCAGCAAGGCGACTGGTCACCTTCGTAAACTCGTTTTCCACCTGGACGGTGCTGGGACCCCGAATCCGAATGGTTTTCAGGGCCTCGTAGCATTCTTCATATCTCTCCAGGCCGTACAATGCTTGATATACACAAAAGAGAGCTTTCTCCAATTGGAACGATTCAGGAACGGAATCAAGGTGCTTAATAGCCGCATCATACTGTTGGGTTTGGATGAGGGCCAGTGCCAGGTTGAGTTTGAAGGACCAGGCTTCACTCTCGGTTGTCGAGACACGAAGTCCATTGACATAGCTGCGACGTGTTAGATGCGCTCTCAACAGTGATAGGAAAGATACATACCACTCCATGGCGTTATAGTACTTACCCATCTTGGAAAGCCCATTGCCCACTTGTTCCCATCGCGGCGCAGTATCCGACTGCTGTGACACTTCCAATCGCCAGAGCGATGGCACTCGCTGATCCCCTCTATACAGATAGATAACATCGGAGAGGTGGTCAACACATACGGCGTATTCTCCAGTCGCCTTGGACCTTAAATAGGGTTCTTTCACAATCATAACTGTACCTTGCCGAAGGGTCTCATGTAAAGCCCCGGGCTCTTGGTTGTAAATACTCAGATGAAAGGCGGTCTTCTGCTCATCCTCGACAAGCATCGTGACGGCAGTCTCTTTACCAATTACCTCGATTGTACGGACAAGAACATAGACCCCTCGGTGATGAATCTCGAGGAAGAGATCGCGGAGCATGGCCTTTCGAAGCCCATTCAACGGGGTTACACATGGCAGGTAGGGCGGGGGAGCGCAGGACGGACGAAACTGGAAAGTCTCAGCTGTGAACATTCAGGGCTGTCTTGATGTTGAACCGAGCATGCGGTTCATCCTGACTCACTCTTGGCTGGGGTCGCTGGCATTTGCGCGACTGGATTATCTGGTCATCGCGGGCTACGGCTTCAAGCACCCTTGCCTTATTAACCAGCCATGGCTCATGTATGTCCATTTTGCCGGTACGATTCACCTCTTGCAGGCTGATCTCTCAGGAAGGGAATCTCTCCGGGAAAGTGACTGTCGACTTTGATATTCGTGAAAGCAGAGGTGAGATGGGCGAGAAAGAGCAGACGGGCCAGGGGGGAGAACTGGCTGCGCGTCCTTGGGGATCCATAGGAGGTTGCCTGCGCGTAAACAAAAGAAGTGAATTAGTCCTGAGATCTCCGATCTCTTCACTCCACCTGGTGAATGTGACTCCAGACATGAGTCCCCTGCAAGTCCTCGGGGCTCTCCTTTCTGTTGGAGGCGAGGCATTCACTCACTCGGATGCGCTTGTATCCCTATACCACTCTTCATTTCTCCATGTCGATCATATTGGCAATTTCTGTGTGTACGATTTGCGAGTTTCGCGATTGATTTGTGAACGTCGAAGCGTCGAGGCATCGAGTTCTTGCCTCGCTGGAGACACGCGTATATGTTCCGTTTCCGCCCATACCGTAGCGTTCCCCTCCAACGGAGGAAGATGAAGCTATACGGAATAGGGCAGAGAAGGTGTCACGTGTCCATCGGACTGCTTGGGAGGATCTTGCCCAGTCTGGCAGGAGCCCCCTGCAGCGGGAAGGGGCTTTCCTTTTCTTTCCCATCCAGAGGTGTTTTATCGGACTTCATTGATATGTTGAGAGACGAAGTGAAGTATCTCTCGGCGAGGTATAAGTGTGGCATAGTCGAGTGTGACATGCAGTACTCCCATGCCGGCAGGTTACAAACTTTCAAAATATCTACTGATTGTTAATTTCCGAAACGCGTCCGTCAACCGTCTTTGTGAAATCCCCCAGATGCTGTTGGCCATTCGCTGCTAGTACCAGGATTGCAGCTTTCACGAAGCTTTCTCTTATACTGAAGGCAGGTGAACCGTCTCAACCCGGTATCAGTCTGTAAGACACGGGCGGGAAATCCTCCTTTTACTTCGGTGACCATCTCACTCATCACAGCATCCAGAGAAGGATAATATTTCCGGTACTCAAACCATTCCCCTACTTGCCAGGTAGCAGAGAATGTGGAAACAAATCCACCCATTATGGAGCTGCCACGTCCCTCCCCTCACACGCAGGTATCAGACTGTCGAATAACGACAAGGGTAGCCTGTACGGACCAGGATTGAGAGTTTGGCCATGTTTCATGTCCGGATGACATATCATCCAATATTACGGTGCTGTGCTGCAGCTGCAGAGTACTTTTGATGTCACCGACGTATTATATGTTCAAGTATATGGCACAATGACCCTCAGGCTATCACCTTCTCTTTCAGATACCCTTATACCCTTAGCTAAGCCATTGCTGTCACTATTGCAAGACCATACCTAAAATACTAGCGGGCGTATTTTCCCCCCGGAAGGACGGAAAGCCCAGCTTGGAAGGGGCGGCAGCCAATGACGTAACCACTCTGGGAGGGCGACGGCCAATGGGAGACGGGCAGGCGGCCCACCCCCGCAAAACGCGCCCCAGAAAGTCAAGACTGGGCGAATCCGCGGATCAGCCCACCCACCAGCCAACCACCTCGTACCACCGCGTCGTCATATGACGGCTTTCTTCGACTGGATGCAGCAAGAGATCGGCTCGCGGGCAGTGTGCGAGTCACCCCACTCGCTGGCGAGGGCTGGATCGATGCCGGTGTTAGACGACCGACTCTCCAGGGCGGAGACGAGGGGGGTTTAAATACCGCCCATCGCTGCCCTTCGACACCCTCTCTCCTTCAGACTCATCAGATCATTGCACCTCCAGCATCCAGCATCAAGCATCTTACATACATACAATATACCACTTCCCACCCACTCATCATCTCTCATAGTCCCCCGAGTCCTTCCATTGGCTTCTACTTCTGCTTCTGACACCATGGATAACTACAACTCATCGTGGGTTTCCTTTCATATCCGGGACCACCTGGAGAGCGGAGAGATCTCCGTCCGTCACTGTGTCATCGAAGGGTATATCCATCCATCCATTCATCCATCCTATCCCATCTATCAATTATCCAGCTAACCCATCAATCTCTTCCTCCAGCGGCGAATTCCACAACCCCGACGACCGCTCCAAATCCCTCACGGAGGACGACATCGACCTCGTGACCATCCCCTCCTACGGCGTCGGCGAGATCTGCGCCCGCGGCCGCCGCGGCAGCGAGGGCCGCCTGGACCTGTTCCACGGCGAGTCCAAGATCTGCGAGCTCCACTGGGACAACCGCACCGGCGAGCTGGCCAACCTGGTCGAGGTGCTGGACAGTAGTGACAAGTATAGGATCGAGCATGGGGGATGGAGCCCAGAGGTCGGACCTCTGGGCCACGTCTACATCGATATCTCAGAGGGCAAGAAGCAGTAGTTGTAGGGCCCCAGATATTCGTTGTGCAGCTGGGCTGCCCATGGGAAGGAGTTAGTGTTTTTTCCTTTTTTTTTTCTGTCTTTTGTCGTTTGCTCGACTTTGGGTGAGTGGTTCTGGAGTGTGGGATGCGATGGGATGAATATTCGGAGACGCGTGCATGCATATTACGATCGGTGTAGGGGAGGTGGGATTTGGCATATTATCTAACTAACTAACTAACTATCTATCTATTTATCTATCTGTTATTTTGGAAGTTATATTGAACAAGCATATGGACAGTTCTACTATCATGGCAGATTTACCGTACTAGCATCGTAGCATAGCCAAAACCCTCGGGAGCAGTAAAACCGGGTGGCAGGCAGCATCCCATCCCTACCGCTATGAATTAAGTTTCCACCCCGTCTCTCCATAAACTCTGCCACCATCCGACTGAGTATATAAGTCTCCGTTAAATTATTACAGGCCCTTCATGTGGATAGCCAAGGACCACAGTCAACCCTGATAATGACGTCTAAACTGAGAGTAAAGAAAGTGTGGCAATCTTGCCTGGCATATATCCAAGAAGCTCCAAATCGAAGGAACAAATCCATCATCAAGTGCTAAAATAGGTGTTACCATGCCCGTAATTAACAAGCTCCGTTCTTTACTGTTAACAAAAACACATATGTCTCAATATAGGTAATTCCCTTGTCTATTGTAGTGTTTTCATTACAGAGTGTGGATTGAAAAGACAAGCACAGCTTACAGTAACTATTATATTTAAGTCAAATATGCCATAGATATATTGATCACAGTATCTAGCAATACTGAAAGAAAAGAAAGAAAGAAAGAAAGAAAGAAAAGCAAACCATCATAAAACCATCGATCACTCATCTTCCAGCCAAGCAGTACTTATCATCCAACACTCCAAAACCACCAAGCCCTATCCATACCTACCCACCTACCTTGCAAGCCACGCTTCCCTAATCTCAACTGTAGCTCAAGCTGGGATATAAGAATCATCTGCCAAACATGGAAGTAGAATATTTTGGAATATCCTCACGGCTGACCAATTGGCCCCACTGATGACACCGAACTCCCTGGGGGATATATACGTGGGTGGGTATCGAAGAGCTGTTTGTTTATTTGGTAGGTAATATACTAGTTAGCTTCTTTTTTTTTTTTCTTGTCAACAGGTGACAATGGATATTAAAGTACTTGTGTTTTATATACACTGTTGCTGGGCTCTTACACTCTTCCCATCATCTGTGATGATAAATAAATAAATAGGACTGCAGGGATATCTTTAGATATTAGAGCGTAATGTTAAACGAGCTGTTTTCCCTCCAGTGTAAACTTCAACGGTCATCCATGTCCCGAAACCCTTTTCAAATACAGAAAAATCACCCGCAGCCAGCCCAGCAAGCCAGCCCCACCTCATCGTGCATAACTTTATATCCAGTCCTCATTCTCACTCTCATTCTCATGAAAGCAACTATATCCACAGCAACTTACCTACCTACCTATACAACCTCTTCCAGTTCATACACAGCGCAGCAGCCAGCCCCACGCCCCCTCCAACCAGGACAATGTAAAATGGCCGCTTCATGCCCTCGGTGATCGCCCAAACGGCCTGCTCTCGCTCTACTCCACTCAGCGACTGAAACACCCGACTCTGCGTCCCCACCACCGCGTCCTGAATATCCACGTGGCTGAATCCCATCGGAGCCAGAACACGGGCTAAATTGCGAGCTGCAATCGACTGGAAGATCTGGCTCGCGATGACCTGGCAAATAACGGTGGAGCTCATCTGGGAAAGGTTCTGCAGGTTAACTGCGTTGAGTTTGTCCTCTCTGGTTGATGCCTTCAGGCTGGCCACGGTGTACCCCAGTTGGGATGTGAGACCGGATCCGACGGCTATGACAATGCTGATTCCAGTGATACCACCTGTTGAGGTAGATGGCGAGAGGAATAACGTAAAGCACGCGGAGGCAACAACCATCAGGAACCCTGAGACGCAGTAGATTGGCATGTGGCGATTGATAATGTGGACCAGCAAGCAGGCGATGAAGCTGGTGACGATGTAGGTGCAGAGGAAGGGCAGAACGCGTAACCCGACCTTGAAGGGGGTCTCGTTCCGTGTGAATTCGAAGTAGATCGAAAGGTAGAACGTTGTCAACATCGCGGTATTGGAGCATCCCGTCGCGATGTTGAGGAGACTCTGGTCGCACGATCGGAGGAGGTGGCCTGGGAAAGATCTGTTCTTGGGACTGGTGAAGAGACAGAAGTATTGCTGCAGGCTGTAGATGATCAGGAGGAGGAGGAGCATCGCTATCGAGGCAATGGTTCGGCCGTCGTTCCAGGGCCAAACTCTCCCACCAGACATGAAACCCAGGGTGAATGCCACCCATATGCCAATGTAGATACCAAACCCCACGTAGTCAAGGCTAAGCGCGCATTCACAGACCAATTTGCCAGTCATTAGGTGAGTCTGGGGGAGAAAGAAAAGAGATATTAGGGATGTGATTCCCCCGATGATGATGATGAGATAGAACCCCCATCGCCATGTCATGGACACTGACAAGCCACCACCCACTAAGGGGCCCATAATACCACCTATAGCCCAGGCGGCGCTCAATTCATTGAGATATATTCCTCGTGTGCGATCAGTTGTCAGAGCCGCGAGGTAGCTCAGAGCTCCCAGGTAGATGCCCGATCCTCCAACACCGGCCAAGACGCGGCCAACGATAAAGGCTTCCATGGTTGGAGCAATACCACAGAGCACAGTCCCGATCAGGAATATCGCGAGCCCGGAGATATACCCCCACTTCATGTTGAAAGTCCTGTAAAAGGCTCCGTAGGGGAGGATCGCTATCACTGATCCGAGGGAGAAGCCAACCGCGATCCAACCGAGCGAAGCAACATCAGAGAACTCCTCGATCACGGAGCCTTGTATGCCTGCGGTGATGGTTATGACAAGACCATACGTGAACGATGTGCTGTAAAGGGCTGTGCAGATCAGAGCCCATGTGAGCGATGGGCTGTAAAGGGCTGTACAGATCAGATCCCAGCAGTATCCGGTGATCCTCAGGACTTCGTTGTGGGCTTCGTTGGCTTTGCCGTTATCGATATTGTCGTCTGGCAGTGCAGAAGGTCGGAAGTGACCTGTGGGATGCTGCGGCGCTCTGAGCTGCTGAGCTCGAGCGCTTTCCATTGTGGAAGAATGGAGAACCGCGGCTTCCAAATCGAAATCCATGCTGGTAGTCGAAAATTGTTGACTATGGTCACCTTTCAGAGAGGTTCAGAGGCTCAGAGGCTCAGAGGGAATATGGGAGAAGTCCTCCTTTTGTCGCAGTAGTCTCCACGCGTATATTAAAAAGACAATTCAGGTTGTCCTACTTGTCTGGGTATAAACCTTAGGGAGATATCTGGGCTGCGCAAGCATAATAGACCTAGTAGTGAAGGTGGTATTTTCACGCACTCGGTTGATGGTAGAGCAACAGATCCACTGATTCGTAGGCGAGCCTTTAAGAAAATGGCTGATCGGGACAGGTGACCAGGCAGAGAAAATGGTAATAATGTCTTCATAATGATGGCTATATTAGGAAATGGGCGCGAGGGCATCCCGTCTCGGTTATACTCGATGGTCAGGGCAATATTCAACTGGGATTATTCGGTCAAACATGTAATTGCGCACTCTTGCCATGAGGAGCTCGGTCTCGACTAGAGACATACCTTTCCAAGCTTTCCATAGTCATCTTTGCCTCTTCTGTAGACGAATTTCTCCCTGACATTGTGTCAACGTGGATTCATTATCCCCAGACAGCCTGGCTGCCTTAACCATGGCTTCAATTAGGGCAAAGCGGAAACAGAACCCTTCAATACCGCCAAGCTGTGGAATACTGAGGGCTAGAACGCATCAGAAAGCCTATAGTCGTCGCAATTTTTTTGGCTCAACCCCAGCTTTATATCTCATCACGATCGTGTCACGACGCCGTGGAAGGAAGGTTGCACGGTTGCACCTACCCGACATAAGATCATTCTGTTGAAATTCCATGCAACTGCTACGCGCAACATCGCAGACCCGCGGGGCGTGCCTGTGCCTGTCTTCTGTCTTCTCTTCGGCCGAGTACTAGACTGCGCGGACTCAATCTCATCACCGGACTCTGGGCTTTCCGGTGCAATATTTCGTCTGAGAGCTCGGACGGCGAGCTTTCCTCTGCTGATTTGTCGTTGGTCGGCCGTGTTGGTCCACGATTAACAAATCATCCATCCCCCAGCTTTCTAACGCAGTACCAGCAGTGGTGGACGTGTAGATCTCACCGTCAGATTTTCCGTGCTTTTTCTTCGGGTGTGTGACTGTGATACTTTCTCTCTCTACAACCTCTGTTTTCAATCGGTCTGTATTTTCTCTGCTGGTGGAGATTTCCTAAAATCAGTGAATAGCAGCAACCGGACCACATAGCCAGATCCCAGACCGTATTTCCATGTCGTCTACCCGACGACGGCTTGGTCGCGGAGACACTACCCGCCTCCAGTTGCATCTCATCTCAGACATTCATACCATCCATCCAGGAGCGATTCCGAAACATTCACCGAGCGTCTATGTCCAAATCAGCCTACCGTCATCATGCCAATCTATCCATCAATACCAACGCACGCCGATCCCACCTCCCTCCCACTGGTCAGATATTAAACCGCCAGATGCGGGACACAATTCAAGCCCTAACCTGGGATCCCCAACACATAGAAGCAAGCCAACCATACAGCCAAACCCAAACCCACCCACTCGCACCCCGCTTCCAATCCCACGCATCAGACAGAGAAGGAGAAGCAAAAACAAAAGCAAAAAGAAGGGCGTGAGCCCAGCCCGAATCGAACGGACAACCTTACGATCTGGAGTCGTACGCGCTACCAATTGCGCCATAGGCCCACATGTGTGACGTCTTTTGGGGGGGTGGAGGACTTTGTTTCTTTAGCGGCGGGTGGACGGGATAGGATAGGATACGGAGTAGGATGAGATAGGATAGGAAGTGGGTCACTTTCTCTGTTAATATCGAAGATATCGTGTTCAAAATGGCATCTGCAATACACATAAGCAGATTGAAGTATAGAGCTAGGTTCTCATCCATATACCTCCCCATCTCTGTCTCTCTAACAAGTGCGATTTGAAGACTTCTATGGGTCTGTGTTGTTCTTTTCCTGTAGGCTTTATACTGCCAATGCACGATGCTTGGTCAGGCTATAGTATAAAGACACACTTATTACAATCCTCGATGGAACCCACACGATAATGGTACCGCCTGTATCTAGTTAATAGCTCAGAAACATTGATGTGGGCTGCGTATGTATAGTATACTAGGTAGGTATGCTCAGCTGTTAATGACCTGGAAAGAGCCCAGGTTCGGTGCCGTACTCGTGGATAATACAATAACAAGTATCAATGGGATTTACAGACCAAGATATCAATAATTCCACCCTATCTGCACTGTCTATGTAGTGGTAGGTCTTATCTATCTCCATTCCTCCCCTCCGCACAAAAAGCACATTCTGCCTCCTAGTAGCCAGGCAGAGCAAAGCTGTATCTTACTTAGACTCTGTATTTAGTACAGGACCGGTGCCGATTATTGTTGGAGGGTAAAGCGTGTTGCTATTCGTATCTACCCACATATTAAAGAGCTGAACTGTGCACCCTCTCTCTCTCTCTCTCTCTCTCTCTCTCTCTCTCTCTCTGGTGTTTACCGTAGCTAGCGAGTAATATCGCGGGATTCATTGCAGCCAGCGAATCGGAGCCAAAAGCGGGATGTATAGTGCCAGAATTCCCCGAAATTTAACCACCATAGACAGATAGATAAAGAGACATTACAGAGCTTCGCTTCGCTCTGTGATTACCCACCCATCTCACCTAAATCACTCAACACAATAACCAAAATACCAAATCCCCCTCCATCTCCTCCCCGCCCCGCGAAGAAACAAAATATCAAACCAAAAAGATTAAAAAAATCTGAGCCCAGCCCGAATCGAACGGACAACCTTACGATCTGGAGTCGTACGCGCTACCAATTGCGCCATAGGCCCACTTGATGTGTCACTTGATCTAATTCTTGGTACCATTACTTAGCCATGTAGTAGCTAACCAGCTGGCTGGCTCACGACCCAGTCTAGTTAACTATCTATTTGACTTTTCGTTCTGTTGTATAATTGGGTCCCGGGGGGGGGGGGGGGGTGGTAGTATTTTCTTTCCGGTGGACTTATAGAAGGGATGTTGCTTCGTAGGATATAGGATATGGGATATAGAATATAGTTATACCAGCTTGGTTATTACTCATGTATTAACTATTTACTATATAAGATATATCATATTATGACTTACATGATATGTAGAGTAGTATGCTGCCAGCGGGTATGGTACCAATATATATCATATCCCAATCGGGTATACGCGACAGCACCCCCCTCCCCCCCCTTCCCGTCAATTCTTGTCCTATATACTAAGTACATACTACTACATACTATCGACCTCAACCACCACATTCTCTGCCCCATGTCCCATTTCAATGCAACGACAGATGAAAGAGGCTAGCGGCAAGGAACGGAACAGGGGGAAGGATAGAGCAAGGAGAAAACACTATTACCAATTGCCAAATACCAACTACCACACCGCAATGTAGGTTGTAAATAGGAGGCTAACTCCTCCGTATCTCTCGGGACGCTATGCAATATGCACAGGACAGACACCTAAAGTAGTATCTGCTAAATGCCATAGCAGGCAAGGCAAGTCAGCTAGTTATGTCGCAACCGCTGTAGCATGAGAAACCATGTCAAAATTATTCTATATACACCCCCATCCCCACCCCCACCCCCAACCCACATCCACTCCACATCCACACCACCCTATTAATATACTATACTAACTAAGCCCGGGCTATTCTATCCCCATCATCATACATGTCTATCGTGAATCATTAGTCATACACATCACCGCGGTCTAACTCTTCCAAGCACCAACACCAACGCGTCTACATCTACACGCACGCCACGCCACGCTCAATTCCCCTGGCCCAGGATCAGCGCCCGGGCTTGCTGCGGGTCCGTTCCGAGGACGGTGATGAGGTATTCGATGCTGCGGCTGTCAGTCAGATGTCTGCAAGTCTTATGCAGGATGGATGCTCACCTCGCTTCGGATGCAAGTCGCCGCTTATGGCCCTGGAACTCCTGCTGACAGGATTCCCACGTGCCGCCCCGCTCGGTGGGCAGGACGGTCTTGATGCGCAGCTTGAAGGTGGCCGTCACCGGGCGATGGTCGGACGCCCGCACTTCGAGGCGTCGGTACTCCAGCTGCCGCACGCGGCCGAGCCCGCGGTACAGTACGCGATCGCACCATGCCGGGGCGCGCTTCTTGTCGCTCGAGTCGTACTCGTCCGTGCCCACGTCGTATTTGTATGTCGGCGCGAACGTGATGGGCGCTTCGTTGAAAGACCGAAGCCGGAAGCCCGGGTTCTTGCGCCGCGACGCGAGCAGTTGGTCCCGCTCAAGCAGCTTGGTGAGGTTGTTGCTGCGGATGTCGTCGATGATCACGTGGCGGGGAATCGAGTCGATGCGGTAGTTGAGATCGCCGTTCAGGATACAGATCTCATGGTCCATGATCATCGAGCCATCGCCACCACTGACGTAGTGGTTTGCGCGGGTCGCCAGGCTGTTCTCCACGGGGAGCGACTCCGCTTCGAGAATCGCGGCGATGTCGTTGTTGCGGTGGGCCGTCTGGGACTGCCCGGCCGCCAAGTGGCAGTTGACGAAGCAGAGGGAGCTGTCGTCGAGAATGAAGCGATAGATAAGCGCGCCCTGAAAGGTCAGTATCGCCCCAAAGGAAAGAAGCATTCGATTCACCCACCTTATTTCCGTGCAACCCCCCCATACCCCGCTTGATCTCCGACGCGCTGACGTTCTTGATTCTCTGCCGCTCCTTGTGCTTCACGAAAATACACGTGAAGAGACCGATCAGATTGGCGCTATGCAGAAGTACGTATGACTCCTCGAGCGGCATGCAGTCGTTGATGCAGCGGGTCAGATGCTCCATCCACACCCGGTACTGGCGGCTCATGTGTTCCTTGTCGCCACTCTCCTTCTTCTTGCTTCCGAGCAGCAGACTCTCTACCAGATATTAGCAACGACATCGTAAAAAATAGTAAGATACGCACTCGCTGTGATTTTCTTATTCTCCAGGTCCACCAGCTCCTGGAAGCCAAACACCAAAATCTCCGGCGGATTCTCCGGATGGATCGCCTCTTGGATAAAGTTAGACGTGCGCACGCTCCCCGGGGTGGAAGCCCCCGCGTTCCAGGTCATGATCACCGCGTGGATCTCGCGGAACGTGCAGAACTCGACGTCTCTGGCCTGCATCCTCGATTCTAATCGATGGTTAGCTTCGTTACGCAGATTGAAAACACAACACTCACCCAGCCAATCATCCTCCAGCATGCCATCCCACATACGGATGCAATTGTCGTCTCCCAAGGAAGTCACCTGCAGCCGATTCATCGTCCACACGCTGCTGGAATCCAGCAAGAACCCACTGACAGGGCTTTCGTGCGCGCGCCAGTCCTTCTTGACCGTCCACGGGTTCGTCTCCGTGTCGTAAACGTAGATCATGCCCGTCTTGTATGCCGCCCACAGATAGTCGCCCACAATGCCCAGGCAGTTGATCTTGTAGACACTGACATTGACCACCGACAAACACACGTAATCGTGGGCCGAATACACCGTGACCTTTCCGTCGGCGTGGCCCAGATACACACGGCCGCCATCCTTGGTGGTGTAGGCACCCGACGTCACATCGCCCGTATGCTGCAATCCCAACGGCTTGCTGAGCACCTTGAACGAGACATCGTCACGCGCATTTGGTCGATAGACGTGCACCTCCTTGCCGGCGGCCAGCCAGAGGAGATCGCCCACCACCATCGAAAAGGTATGTCCGCGGGCAACACGGTCGTACGGGTTGTGGTAGCTGTACTGCAGGTTCGGTGTTCCGGTCTCATCCGGGGGCCACACCAGCAACCGGCCCTCATCGTCAAGAGTCCACATGTCCTTCTTGTGCCGCAAGATCTTGACGATCTCCCGGCGCGAGGGGTAGGACCGCGACGAGACAATGGAGCGGGTGGAAATGTCCACCTCGTGGAGATCGCCGGAGTTTGTGCCCAGCCATAAGCGCTGGCCCTCGTCCTCCAGACCGAGACCCGGCTTGAAGGCCACCGAGAGACTCTTGACCGTTTCGCCATGGCTGAGGCTCATGATCTGCTCGCCGGTGGTCAGGTCCCAGACCCGCGTGATGTATCCGGTTGTGCACACATGCTTCCCGCACACATCCATGACTCGTGTGTCATACTTGGTATGGATCTCCTGAGGCCCCGACTTCAGCAGGGGCGGCCGCCGGTTCGCAGTCGACGCGTCTGGGTAATCCATGATCGAGACCGGCCCTTCATCCGGCACGTGTTGTTCCTGACTCGCGAATGGGCGGACGGGTTGACGTTCCACCACGGGCCGCTCCGGGACCGACGGGGGCGGCACTGGCACCGGCCTGGAGATAGACGGCTGCCGGTGGACCTGCGTCGGGGTCGGCAGTTCGTCGCGGGAGAGTGCGCGCGATTCGCGATACGGAGTCGGCGGGGGCAGTGAATACCCCGGGCTGTCCAGCTGGTACGAATGCCGGGACGGTGACGGCCCACCCCTCCGTGCGACCGACGGCTGCCGCGGGGGCAGCCCAGGGCGCTCGAAGGGGGCCTCGTGTGCTGGGAGCCTGTGCGCAGAGAGCGGGACGGCGGACAGCGGCGCAGCGGACAGCGGTTCCGACTGCATGGACGGCCTCGGGGGAATCTGGACCATGAGCGGCTTCGTCTCCAATGGGGGTTCCGGGATCGGCCGCCGCTGCGAGAAGGACGGTTCTCGGAAGAGACCCGCCTGAGGGGTGGGGGACCTCTCGTCAAGTGAACGGTGAGTCGGAAGACCAGGAACCGGGCGAGAAGGCGAACGCCGGGAGGGCGAGCGCGAAAACTGCGGCGGCCGCGGTGGATTCGACGGTTCCTGTTTGGGGGAGGCTTTCTCGGGGCTGCTCGGAGGGGTGCTAAAGGGCGAAATGCGATCTTCCGAGGACGCCTGGTCCGTCCGGGGCGCCAGGGAGCCGTTGTCGGGGTGTGACAGGGCCGCTGGTTTGGCGGGGATCCTGGGCTTGTCTGCGCGGTTGGCGGGCGGGGTAGCGAGATGCTCTTCCCCTTGCGTTCCGACGGGCTTGCGCGGCCGTTGTCCGTACTTCCGGGGGACAGCCGGTCCGGTTTGGTTTCCGCAGGATAGGACGTCGCCGTGACGGGGGTTGTTGGGCGATGGACGGGCACGCCCTGAGGGATGGTGGGCAGCGACTCCCGGGAAGCGTTCGGGGGGCTGCGAGACACGCGGATATCCTCGTCATGGTCCGCGGCGAATCCGCGCGGGGGAGACCGGGGCGAGTCGACGGTGAGGGTCGGAGCCAGCTGTGGGGAGGAGTGCAGGTTCATGGACATGGGCCTGTTGTGCCGCCTGCCCGGGGAAATGCCGGGGGAGCCGTTCGGGCGAGACGGAATGCCATTGCCGTGGACGGTGCCGTGACTTCTGTCGAGGTCGGTTGTCGAGCCCCAGGGGGAGTGCGAGCGCGGGAGATCCAGAGAGGCCCGGTTGGAGCGGACGTCGTCACCATAGTCGGGGGTTCTGAGGAAGGCGGGCTCGCGGGAACCGTTCACGGCGGCGGACGGAGCGCGACGATGGGAGAGATTCTCGAAATGCGAAAGCAGGGAGGAGACCGGTCTCTGTGGTAAACAGCGGTAAACGGCGGTTAGCAGGGCCAAGTAGGAGGCGGAGGGCAGCGCAGACATACCAGAGGAGCATTATCCGTGGCGTCCCTGCCCTTGGTGTTTCCCTCCATGGCGACGACAGCGAATCGGACACGAAGAGCGGATCAGGGAATGGATCATAGGATGCAGCGGAGAGGCCGCGTTCGAAGGTTGGAAGTGGGATTCAGGCACCAGTGGATAAGATGGCGGGTGGCAGGAAACGAGGCGGAAGTGACGAAGGCGAGTGACGAGTGTGGCGGAGCTCCAGTTTAGGCGGAAGGGATTTGAGTTCGTCAGGAGGGAGGAATTGGGGAGAAGGGGGACAGCGATTGAGGTGGGGGTGAAGGAGAGGAGGATGCAGTATGGAATGATGGATGATGGAAGGAATTGACAGGAGTGTGGGGGGAGAGAAACTGGAGGGGGAGATCTCGGAGGGGGGAAGTAGAGAGTAGAGAGTAGTTAGTAGTGAGTAGTAGAGTGGGAGGAAGAGTGGGGGGAGGAGAGAGAGAGAGGGAGAGAGAAAGGAGAGAAAGAAGGAGAGGGAGTGTAGGACTGCCTTCTAACTGGAGAGAGGAAGAGTCTAAGAGCAGCAAAGAAGAAGAAGAAGAAGATGGAGAGAAGAGAAGAAAGGAGAGGCGAGGAGGAGGAGAGGAGAGAGAAGAGAAGAGAAGAGGAGGGGATCGACCCGCGCGTGATTGTATGCAAAGCAGCGCAGCGCAAAGCAGCGCCGTTCCTCGCCGCCGCTCTTTATTTTTAGCCTCCGCGAACCACTCTTTCTCTGCCTCTGCATCTGCTCTCTCTCTCTCTCTCCACCCATTCATTCTATATTTACTTCTTCCCCCCCAATCCACCCCAACAATGTGGTACGTCCATCCCCTCAACACCAACCTTCTCCCTCACTCACCCAACTAACTCACTCACCCTCAGTAAACACATCCTCAACGCCCAAGTGGCCATCCGCTCAGCCTGCTGTAAGTCCACCATCCCCCCCCACCTTCCACCTTCCACAACTCCACCAGTACACAAGTCCCCAAGTAAACCCTCCCCGCTAACAACCTCCCCCTCTCATAACTTAACAGGCAAGAAATGGTTCGACTGCGCAGAATGCCACCAAGAAAGCGAAACGCACATGCTCACCAAGTCCGACGAGATGGTACCTATCCCCACCCCCCCCCTCTATCCAACCGTCCCAATCCTATAAGCAACGCAAGCAAGCAACCTCCTAAACAATAAACCCAATGTCAATCCTTAGACCTTCGCCTGCAAGAAATGCAAGAAATGCTTCCGCAAAAACACCGCCGAGTTCGACGAGAGGTGCGTATACCGCGCGTCATCCTGCCCCACTTGATTCCCCTCCCCCTTTCCCCCATTCCCCTCTCCTCTACTCTCTTCTTTTTTTTTCTTCTCCTCCTGGGAATGGACACGGACGCGGACACGGACACGGACAAAGAAACGCGAAAGAATACGGAGAGGGAGGGAGGGAGGGAGGGATTACATTCGGGGGTTTATTCAAGCTCAAGCTAATGGGATTGACTGACTGACTGACTGGACTGGGACTGGGTTGGGTTGGGTTGTGTATAGTGATGAGTACTGCCCCCACTGCGACAACCACTTTGTTATTGAAGCGGTGACGCCCACGCCGACGTTGCACGTTGAGGGTGAGGATGCGAGGATTGATGCGAGGTAGGTCTTCCTTTTCCATTCCCATTCCCATTCCCACCCTTCTCATTCCCACTCCCCGGCTCTCCCTCTCTCTCTCTGTGTGTGTGTGTGTTGGGGGGGGGGGGGGGTTGTGTCAGCCTCTACTGTTATCGTAACAAGACTAACAACTATTCAAATAATAGAATGCTCAAGGACGATCGCGTGCGCGGACACCAGGAGAAATCCATCTTCAACTTCAAGGATCTTTCGGATCGGATGGGCTGAATTGCCTCTTCTCTCTTCCCTCGTACGCCTGCTCCTACCCACTCCTACATACTCCGACTCCCGCACACGCCGGAGATCACGACGATATCCACGATCCCATGCATACATACATACATACGTACTTTACATATTTCCTTTATAATCTTCTTGTATATCGACTACATTCTAGAACCTCAATATCCATATCTATATCGGTCTTCATATTCTGCGGAAGAAAGAGAGGTACGGAGAAAACGAGAAAGAAAAAAAGAAAGAGAATACGGCACGGAAAGAGTTTATTCGTGAACTGGACATAGACATAAAGCAACCCGCTTCTGCAAGATCCCTAGACGTAGGTAATAGGTATACCGGTAGGTAGGTAGGTAGGTAGATAGGTAGTAGGTAGATAAAAAAGCACGCATGATCGGTAGGAGTCACAGAGAGATAAAGAATCATCTACTCCTGACCGCCCGGCCGAGTAAGTATGGCGGCCGTCGTGGTGCCACCGCGACCGGTCTTCTTCTTAGCGGCCTCCTCCTGCTTCTCCGTCTCGATGTTCTTGACGTAGGCCTCGATCTGGTCATCCGGGAGCATCTCGATAGTCCGGCCGGGCGACATGATAGCGACCTCGATGTTCTTGGCGCCGGTCTGCACGACCTCCAGCAGCGACTTGATGGTGAGTTGGATGGTCTGTTCGCGGTCCATGTCATCCTGGTGGTTGCGTTCGAGGAACTCGCGGACCGTTTTGCTGGAGCGGCCGATGGCGTTTGCTTTCCTATCCACCACCACCACCACCATCATCAATTAGCTTCTTTCATTACCCTTTATCCAACCCCATCACATCCCCATCACACCCCCCTCGCAAATAAAGCAAAAGACCAATGAAAAAAAAAGAGAGTAAAGAGAAAAACCAACCAAGCAGAATAAATCCCCGACGGCTCAGTCTGATACAACCTCGGCACCTGATCATTCGGATCAAACCCGACGACGAGGGTACTGATACCGAAAGGCCTGACACCACCACTCTGGGTGTAACGCTGCTGCACCCCGGCGATGTATTTCGTGATGTATTCGATGGTGACGGGGTCTTCGACGGTGAGACGGTGGGACTGAGCCTCGAGACGGGCCTTGTCGATGAGGATGCGGGCGTCGGCGTTCAGGCCAGCGAAGGCCAGCACGGCGTGGTTGTCGACGACGGCGATCTTGGACGGCGTGATGCGCGTGTCTTGAAGTTTGAGCGCGGAGCGTTTCTCGCAGCCCAGCACCACGACGTCGCGGCCTTTGACACCGACGGCGCAGGTTCCTGGTTTCGTCACACGAGGTTAGAGGGGATGGGGGGAGAGAGAGAGAGAAGATGTACCTCGTTTCACGGCCTCCATGGCATATTCAACCTGGAAGACGTGCCCGTCTGGGCTGGCGGGGTGTTAGATTATCATGTCATGTCTGGATTCTGGGTTCTGAATGGGATGGGGTGGGGGAGTTGGAGCTGGAGCTGGAGCTGGAGCTGGGTTGGACTGGGTAGCTAGAGCTGGAGCTGGAAATGGGCTGGGCTGGAGCTATGCTGGACGGGCTGGGATGTACCTGAATACTGAGTATGGGTTAGATGAGGTTCGCTGTTAACGGGGGGGGGGGGAGAGGGGAGGGTGTAGCTAGCTGGCTTACCGGAGAGAGCTCGGTCGTAGCCCGACATTCTGGCGGTGGGTAGGTTGGAGAGGGAGGATGGAGGGGAGGGGAGGGGGAGATGTGGAGGTGTAGAGGTTCAAGAAGGAGGTAGGCGGAGCAAAGAGGATGGAGTTCAATGGATGGTCTGTCTGGTCGTTGGAGCTGTCGGAGGGCTGGGCGATGACAGAGGATGGACGCGAGTCCCGCCGCTGCCTTCGGAGCTCCCAAGCGCTAGGCGCGCGGCTAGCGGACGGCACCGCTGCTGCTGTCCGTACCCTATAAATGGGTATGATCGGTATTTATACGCACGCAAAGAGAGGTGACCAGGTAACCCATATATAGGAATGTTTGAATATTATACCCTGCAATGGACTGAATAAACACAGACCAGCCAGAAAGGAGGCTTAGGAGAGAATCCCCCAAACCACTCATCCGCCCGCCCAAGCCTGCCCTACATCCCGAAGACATCATACAAAATACAAGAATATTCACATATCTAACTGCAGCATAGACAGAGAATAGTGAAACCCGCCATCTACTAGCGATACTGTGTCCAGACCCTCGCTCCGTCCAGATACATCACCCAGCAGTACGCAAAAGCAAAAGCAAGAACCAAACAAAGACAATATATGAAGAAGAAGAAGAAGAACAGTACAAGAATTATGGACACGCAAACAATCTGTCGCACACGACTCCCAATCCAGGTGCCTCGCCCATGTCCCAAATCCGTCGTTGCTGGTGGAAATTTTGCTGGCTCAAAAGGAATACCCCAACACCCCCAACAGAGTCCGTTCCAGTGTATCCCAACCATGATCAATACCGTGATTCTCCAATGATCCCTAGTGTCGACGCGCGCAGAAGGAAGTCGGAAAAGCCAATGAAAACAAATATCTAGAATGCAATGCCATGTGCGAGCCCTCCCACGCCCGCCCGGATCTCATCAAAATAAAAAAAAAACCCGGCCGGGTCCAAGCGCGAGGCAGGCCCATGCCCGCTCCAAGAAAGAAACCAACACGCAATAGTAAGACAGTAAGACAGACCGAAAAAGGGTCCGATGTCAACGTCTGCACGAGACCAGGCAAAACAATCGAAATCGGACGAAACGACGACACGCTACCGGCCTGCTCCCCCAACCTAATGCACCAGAACTGCAGAATTCCTTATACAAATGCGCATCAACGGATTACCAACCGTCACATATACCAACATATCCAGACCACCATATGGACAAAAACCCTCAGGGAGACCCGTCGTAGAAAACACATGTAACACCCTCCCCGGCTAAATCATACCCGGCGCCCGCCGCGCTTACGCAGGCGACTTGTTAGCCCCAGCGCCGTTGCGGCGGGGGTGGGCGTCATCTCCCACCGTCAGCCCGCCCAGGCCCGTGGAGAGGAAGGCAAACGGATCGTTCGACCCATCGCTGCCGTAGAATGCACCGTTCGAGGCACTTGTCGACGTGGAGTGGTCCGCCCCCGTGAACGCAGCCTGCGCCGCCGGGTTGGCGAACGAGCCCGCCGAGTGGGAGGCGTTCGCGGAGCCGTAGCCGGCGTTCATCTGGCCCATGGGGGGGTACGCAGCCGGGGCGTTGCCCAAGCCCGAGGGCAGGGCGTAGTTGTTGGGAGGCGCCGCGAACTGCTGGTTGAAGCCACCGAAGCCGCCGCTAGAGGCCGTGAACGGTCCGGGGGCCGGGGTGCTGGTCATCGAGTTCGGACCCATGCCGAAGCCCGTGGGAGGGTCCATCGGGGACGGGAACGCCGAGTCCGCCACCACCGCGGCACCCGACCGAGGCGCACCACAACGCAGGCAGTTGATGTTCTTGGCGAAGTTGTGGTAGCCGCAGCCCTCCGAACCACACTTCCAGTCACCCGCGCGGAAGGGCACGACACCGCCGTTGCCGCCCATGCCGCGGGAGTGGCCCATGCCGTGTCCGTGGCCACCCATGTGAGGAGGCACCATCGACGGGGGTCCGTAGCCGTAGGCTCCATATCCCATCGGGTCAGGGGCCGCAGCCATAGCGGGGAATGAGCAGCGGAAGCAGGCCGTGCGGCGCTGGAAGTTGGAGAATCCACAGGAGGGGCAGGTCCAGTCACCGGGACGGGGGCGGTTCTTCGACGGGGGGAAGGGCGTCAGGATCTCCGCGGCACGGTCAAGGACCCGGCTGGACGAGGGCGAGACCTCGATGGCCTTTTCGTTGAGGGCACGACCGTTCATGCAGAGAGACTCGGCAGCCTGTAGAGATTAGATCCCGCTAAATACAGAAAAGAATCAAGCAATTGCCTACCTCTTCGTGGGACGAGAAAACGGCAAATCCGGTACCGGTAGGCTTGTGCTGGTCCGGGGTGCGGAGGGTCCAGAAGGCGATGGGGCGGCCACCGAACTGGGTGAACCAGCTCTCCAGCTCCGACTGGGTGGTGTCGTGGGGGAGTCCGCTGAGGTGGAGCACCTTGCTGCGCTCGGTCAGGAAGGCCCGCACGTCGGCTCTGGCGTCCATCGGCCGGGTGAGGATCTCGGGGTGCTCATGGGGAGGCTGGGACTTGCGGATCAAGCCGCGCAGCACCCGCGCCAGCGTGATGGCCTCCTCCATGGCGCGGCGAGGCGAGGCGGGGGCCAGAGCCTGCAGGTGGAAGGGGAGGTTGTGCTTGATGGGGGCGGAGGACTGAACGGGCTCGACCTCGAGGGCGGCGCAGATGTTGGAGAGGGAGCTGGGGCCGAAGGGCAGCGACTCGGGGTGGTGGGTCTGCCAGCGCTGGTACTCGGTGCGCAGGTCGAAGGTGCGGGAGTGCTGGAGGTATGCGGGCAGCACGACGGCCTTGTCGCGGGCCTCGCGGGGCAGCTGAACGCGCAGGTCCCATGAATCCAGGGTCACGAAGGCGAACTCCAGGTTCTTGCTGATCAGGTGTTCCTGGGCGAAGGCGTCGAAACGGTTGATGGCATCGCGGAAAGTGCCTGCCGAGCGGACGTGTTCCCATGTCAGAGTCGTCAGGCTCGCTTTCAAGGACCGTCAGCCATTGAACCAAGAGACGGATACACTCGGGGCACGGATGGAAGACGGAGACGGAGACAAGTCGCTTGGGGGACTTACTGCAAAGAGGCGTGATGGGGGTGTTGACTGGCTTGACGAGAACGCTCTCATGGTGCAACTAGCGGGCGGACGGAGTTCGAGTCAGCGGTGTCCTGGGACGTGGGAGGTTTGACATTTCTGGTCGGGGAGACTCGAGGGGAGGGGGGAGATGATTGACCGGGCCAGATAAGAATCCTCGGGTCAGGGAGGGGAGTGAGACAGGGGTTGTTGGTTGTTGGGTGTTTTTGGGGGGGGGGGTGATTGAGGGAGTTGAGTGCACGCCCGAGGCCATCACATAAGCCCACCTACCTCCTCGCAGGTTTTGGTATCCAACAAGATCCAGCCCAACTCGATCACTTCGGCGGAATCCTTGGTGACGTAGACGCCATGTTCATCGCAAGTAGTCGCGACATGGATGACAATGTATCGATCCAGCTTGGGGGTGGGAGCTGAAACGGCCATCGCTCACGGGGGGGTCCAGGCAGACGCTCGTTGGGGGTCGGAGTCCAACGGAGCGGGAGAGAGTCGGGTCGGAGAAAGGGCACAACGTGTGTCTGCAGGGGCAGCAGGCGACACGGCTTCACGATCGGAAGGGGAGATGACCGTCGTGAATTGGTGAGTGGTGGAGAGGGGGAGGGGGGGGGGGAGAAAGGAAGAAAAGACCACACAGGGAAAGGGGAGGAGGGAGAGAGTGGAGGGAGAGAGAGGGGGGAGAGGAGGAGAGAGGAGAAGGGAAGGAAGGACAAGAGAGAGAGAGAAGGAAAAAGAAAGTCCTCAGGCCAGGATGGGGAGGGAGGAGGGGGGGGGGAGAGGCAGCAGGAGGACGGGGAGGGAGAGGGAGAGAGAGGAGGACTGCTTGAACTGGGCTGGAGGAGAGGAGAAGGTGGTGGTGGTGGTGGTGGAGCGTCGAGATTAAAAGAAGAAAAGTTTCGGGTTCAGTTTTTGAGGGGGAGCAGCAAATCGGGGGCTGTCGCTGGTTCACCACCGGGCGGGCAGTGACAGACGGTATTCCCGGTCTATCTATCTATCATCATTCTACACAATCCCCATTACTTCTACTATCTATCGACCTACCTAACACTTTCTTGTCTGGTCTTGTCTGGTCTCTCTGCCTGTCCCTTTTCCAACGGTCTGATGGTCCCGACAGGGAAGCCAATGGATGGAAGCCGTGCTTGGGTGATACATCGTGTATCTGCAGCGTATAGACAGACGGAGGAGGACGCCGTCCGTATTGTATGACAGGTCCGTACAGCAGACAGCCATGCACCATCATCAGGGCATCATCATTCATCATCCATATGCCATCACCGCAGAAAAGAGGTCCACGAGTGTCTGGAGTCGACTACAGACCGCCCGTCCATCCCGCGAGAGACAAAGAACAAAGACAGTCAGTCTCGTCCATCGCATCCATTGAGACACCGTCCGGATCCCAGCCAACCCTGACCTGACCTGGCCTGACCTGACTGGACTGGACTGACGCAACGCAACGCAACGCCAATGGACAACGAATGGCTGACGGCATACACGATAGTTACTGATTGATACTGATACTGAGACTGAGACCAAGACCAAGAAGAGGAGCGGTGCACCGTATCTGACATCCAAGTCGTACTTCTGTCAGACCTGACACCATCTCCGATACTCCGACACCCAGACTCGGCGGTACCATACAGCACTCTACTTACTAGGTAGATACTATTTAGTAAGTAGTTTCAACAGCATCCATCATAGCATCTAATTGGCCATGTATGTATGTATGTATGTAGCATGCCATCCCACTAATATTATTATGAATCAGCAAAGATTTACCTTGAAGTGTAGTTAGTGACAGTACACAGTATCCAAGGTAAGTAGATACAGTAAGAGGAAAAGGAAAAGGAAAAAAAAAAAAAAAAAAAACGAGGAGGACGGGGAGGTTCCTGCGGCGGTGACCAATGGGGACGGCGCAGGGGCCCACCAGCCGCCGGTCTCGCGTCCGAAGTGGAATTGCCGTGACCACCACCGAGTTCAGTGGATTACAGTTACAGAACACCACGGTAATTGGGAAATGATACGCTGATGACAGTGAATATATTATGTACCTAGGTACTGAGTGTATGTTGACCATCTGCATAGCATCTATATATACGGTTGGCTCGGAATCAGAGTAGGTAAAGGTTGAGACAGGCGGTTGACAAGGACACACCATCCCGATCAGGCGATGACACTGCCCATCGTTAATACTGCTAGTAGTCTAGGAAACTGCCACTAGCGTGCGCCGGCTGCCACCGCCGCGCCCACGTTCCAGATCACACGATCCAGCTGGCACCACCAGATGTACTACTGGAACCGTAGACCGCCGCAGGAACCCTCCCCGGCTGCATCATGATTCAACTCAATTGTCGCGGTTATAGACTCCTTAATTACACGGCCCGCCCAGACAGAACCCCCCGGAACTCCCCTCCCGTCCATCCCAAACGCCGTTCCAAACAAAGACAGACCGGAAATTACTCTTCTTCGTCTTCCTCCTTGACGATCGTCATACGGCTGTCCCCGTCGTCGTCCTCCCCCTCGTCCTCTTCCATGATGCTGGGCTCGACAGAGAATCCCCGGCGCATGGCCCCAGGCTCGATCGACGGCCGCACACTGCCCGACCGGACGCTCATCGATCGCACGCTCATCACGTCGCTGTCGCCTTCGTCCATGCCTTCGCGGGCGCGCGAGCTGGCCGGCCGGCCCCCGTGAGCCGCAGCCAGGAGCTTGAGCACCGCGTTCTTGACCTTGACCAGGGCGTTGCGTCCCGCCGCTTCGGCAGCCACGCCCTCTTCGATCGTCTCGTCCAGGAGCTCCTTGACCTCCTGCGCCAGCGTCGTGTTCTCCGGCGTGATCTCCGGCTGGGCGGCGCTGCGCACGCTCGACCGCAAGGGGTCTTCGCCTTCGGGGTTGCGCGAGCCCGACCGTGACGGCACCACGGGCGGCGCGATGTAGAGCTTGCCCAGGAGGGAGAAGAGTAGCTTCTTTTCCTCCTTGGAGCAGCGGTTGGTGCCCGCGCTGATGCCCAGAACCCGTTCCAGGATCTCTTTGACCAGCGCCAGGTGCACGAACCCGCAGGCGTTGGAACTGGCAGTGCCCCCCATCAGAAGCTTCTCGCCCCCGAGTCCGATCACCCGGCGCTCGTCCGTCCACTCCGCCAGCATGCCCACAACGCCGCTCATAAGCGCCTTCAATTCGCGCTGACCCGCCGTTTCGTCGATGTCGCCGTCGCTGTCCTCCTCCGCCTCCAGCGAGTAGTATTCCTCCGCGGCGTTCAGGGTCGCCCGGATCACCGGCACAGCAACCTTGCGCATGTGTTGCGTGTTGTCCACGCGCGAGTGGCAGTACACGGGGAAGAAGTAGGCCAGGGCCTGTCGGAGCGCGGGGTTGTCGCGGGTACGGGGGTGGAAGAAGGAGAGCACCAGGGACTGCAGGAGGGTCTCGACGGCGGTCTCGTTGTACTCCTGGATGGCCTGGGGAATGTTGGGCCCCGCGGGCGTGAACGAGTTCGTGAGCAGCAATTTCGAGAGGGCCGACGCAGCCGCCGTCTGGACGCTATTGGGGGAGCTGGACTTGAGAGACCGCGCAAAGACCTTCAACAGCGGCTTCTGGAACACCGGCGGGGCGACTGTCTCGCCGTCGGATTGAGTCACCGGCGCAAGGAGCGTCGGGTGCGTGGCCAGCATATCACACAAGATGTGGATGGCGGTCACTTGCAGGGCCTCGTGTCCTTTGCTATAACAGTGGATGAAGAGGGTCATGTTCTCCTCTGCCAGAGACTACATCGTATCCGTCAGTATTTATCGTAAGCGGCTGTAGATGCACTCACCTTGTCGAGCAAGCAGCAGAGTCCCAGGCATTCCAGACCCTTCTCACGGATGGGAGCTTCGTGACTGCGCACCGCAGGCACAACCAGGTTGTTCAGCATGGTCACCAGGTTGATATTGGCCTGCAGGTTGCCCTCAACGTTCTGCAGCATGCACTGGGCAATGTCCAGACATTTCATGTTGATCATGATCTCCTTGAGGACCTTCGCTTTGGCCTCTTCTTTGTTGTAAGGCTTGTCATCCTCCGGCTCCCCCGGGGTCTCAGATCGGTGGCGGGTGGAGCTGGTGTCGCTCATCTCCGACCGCGCAGAGACAAAGCTGTCTTCCGTCACAATGGTGTCGTGAACTTCGGCGATGGCTTCCATGACGACACTGCAGAACTCTTTCTCCGCGGCAGCATCCGCGCCGCATACACACCGTAGCGCCTCGATAGAGAGTTTGGTGCATTCCTGGGGGAGTTCCGGAACAGCCAACGACTCGCGTAGGAGGGAGAACATCTTGCGTCGTCCGACCTCATCGCTGTAATCCAGGGTCATGGCAATATGCAGCAGCTGTTCGACGACGAACTCTTGCTCGATGGCGCTGTCGTCGTTCGCATCCCCGGTGTCCTTGAGGATCTTCTTCCGCTGCAGCAGGACGGTCATGTACTTCTGGAGGTAAAACGCCAGAGCGGTGACCTCGGGAATCTTCTCATCCGCGAGCTTGTCGTACTTGCCTTCGTTCTCCACGCGGCAGAAGTCGTTGAAAGAGCGGATGACAAACGCCGATTCGGCCGTGAGAGACTCCCAGAAAGGCTCGTCGAAGAGGACCGCCTCCCGGTAGTCGGGACGGCCTTCCCAGAAGCTGCGCATGGCTTCATGCGCGATTCCGGTCTCTACTCCAGAGTTGGAGACGTCGATTCTCTCCAGAAGCTCCATCAGAGCCGCCTGGTTGGGTGCGGAGCGTTGACCCGTAGGGCTCTCCTCGGACTCGTTGTTGGTGCCGGCACAATCCTCGATCCAGCGGTCGAAGAAGAGCTTGCCAGTGGCCTTGCGGACGCTCTCGTCTCGGTCGCGCAGGCCCCAGCGAAGCATCTTCTCTCTCATAGACAGTGACAGATGCCGGAAGTCGCCGAGGTTGGGGAGAAGACGTGAATACAAGGCTCGGCGCGTGGCGGCATCCAGATCGCGGGCCCGTTCAAGCAGATACTTCAGGGTTCTCGGGACGAGGGGAAGGTTGACAAGCAGCGTCTTCCGCACATCTGCACTTGTATCGTTCTGCATGATATCGATGAGCTTCTCCAGGAGCGCCCGGCTGTCATCGTTGTCGTCCTCTTCCTCGTTACCTGCGAGCCGGCCCAATCCCATGACGGCCTGGACTCTCACGGCGGGCTCCTTATCGCGGATCCGCTTCAGGAGGCCTCCGCGGATGGTGTGATATTGGTCGTCGTCTATCGTATCGAGGGAGTTGACAATGTGGGCGATGATCTGGGTGGCGCGGAAGCGCACAACCTTGTCTTTGGCGGCCAGCATGGGCACGATCTGGTTGACCAGGGCGGTCGTCAAACGGGCGGTGGGTGTTTCGGGTGAATTGTCCATATCCTCGTCTTCGTCCTCGGTGGCAAAGAGTTCCGCGTCCTTCTCCGACGCCAGGGCTAAGAAGGTGCCGAGGAAGCGCAGGATGCGGTCGCCGGCTGGCTCTGACTTCTTGATGGGGAGGATGCGGAGTGCGCAGCGGCTGACCTCGACGTTGAACTCCATCTCAGGGAGGGTCTCCTCCGCCGGAAGCGAGATCTGCTGCTGCGCCTTCTTGCCATCTTTCTTGGAGCTCGTCTGCGAGATGCCGCAGCATGCCTCTTGGAGCTTTCTTAGCCGCACGACGAGTTTGCGGTGTCCGGTGGTAGAGCGCTGGGCATCGGCGAACAGGGAGCAGACATCGCGGCGTAGGTTGGGGACGGCCTCGGGCAGCGCGGGGTCCTCTGGGATGGCAACGGATGGAGTGGCAGATCCGGCGCGCGAGGTGGGCTGGGCGGAGGTCTTGCGCGAGGTGGCGGACGCCGAACGGCCGGCGGGTCGGCCAGGCATGGTGGTGATGGGGTAGCAGTCGTGGTCGGGTAGTCGCAGGTGGTCAGTAAGGGGTGGCGAGAGGCAGATGGTCGTGAATCATATTAGGAGGGGGGGGGGGGCATGAGTCGTGGAGGGGTCGATGGAGTCGATGGGGAGTGTCGGCATGAAGACAAGACAAGACAAAGAGGGACAGACAAACAGACAAACAATCAAACAGGAGGGCGGTCACGGGGAGGGATCAACAAACAGCCCAAACGGGAAGCATCAGATAAGGGCTAGGGCTGCACGTGCTATCAGGGAAATAGTGTTGTTTTCATCTAGCGCTCAATCTACTATATTTGGCATGATGTCAAGCAAACCGGTCCTTTGCATTACTGCCAATGACTTAACCCAATGACGCACCAATACCAATTCAATAATGCCATAGTGCCACAGCAATACCATCCCCGTATGGCTCCGTCTCCAATACAATCCAGGTGGAGGAGACGATCACGCCATCGATCACCTGACCGCGCTGACTAACGCCGACCATCGGCCATCATCGGGGATGCTCCAGCTCCAGTTACTCCATCATCCAACAGTACTACTACTCACAGCAGCAATTGGCAGCATGATCCGGCAGAGCATCCGGCGATTCGGCACGACAGCCCTTCGGGCAGCCGAAGCCTCAACCTCAACCTCCTACAACGTGCGCGTGTCCCAAGCGCAAGGCTTCGTCAACGGCCTGACCGAAGGTATACCCACTCACCCACACCACACACGATGACATACCCGCAACACGACCGCACGGGCATGCTAACGAGGCTCTAGCAATCGGCAACACCCCCCTGATCCGACTGAAGAAACTCTCCGACGAGACAGGCTGCAACATCTTGGGCAAAGCGGAATTCCAGAACCCCGGCGGCAGCGTGAAGGACCGAGCGGCGCTGTTCGTGGTAGAGGATGCGGAGAAGAAGGGCCTACTGAGAGCGGGCGGTACAGTTGTGGAGGGCACGGCCGGAAACACGGGAATCGGGCTGGCGCACGTGTGTCGGTCCAAGGGGTATAAGCTGGTGATCTACATGCCCAACACGCAGTCGCAGGGCAAGATTGACCTGCTGCGGTTGCTGGGGGCGGAGGTCTACCCGGTGCCGGCCGTTGCGTTCGACAACCCGCAGAACTACAACCACCAGGCCCGCAGGCACGCGGAATCGCTGGACAACGCCGTGTGGACCAACCAGTTCGATAACACGGCGAACCGCCAGGCGCATATCGAGACGACCGGGCCGGAGATCTGGGCGCAGACGGGCGGGAAGGTCGATGCGTTTACCTGTGCTACTGGGACGGGGGGCACGCTGGCGGGGATCACGCGCTACCTGAAGACGGTCAGCGATGGGAAGGTCAAGAGCTTCCTGGCTGATCCGCCGGGTAGTGTGCTGCATAGCTATATCCAGAGTGGGGGGAAGCTTACGGACCGTTCGGGCGGCAGTATCACGGAGGGCATCGGGCAGGGCCGGGTGACGGACAACCTGCGGCCGGACATTGGTCTGCTGGACGGATCGTTGAACATCCCCGATGAGAAGTCAATCGAGATGGTCTATCGCTGCCTGGACGAGGAGGGTCTGTACTTGGGGGCTAGCTCGGCGCTGAACGTGGTGGCCGCGCAGGAGGTGGCGAAGAAGCTGGGCCGCGGCAACACGGTGGTGACGATCCTGTGTGATGGAGCGTACCGGTACGCGGACCGGCTGTTCTCGGAGTCGTGGCTGCAGACGAAGGGGTTGAGGAGCGCCGTCCCGAAGCACTTGGAGCGGTACATTGTGCTGCCTTAGATAGTTGTATACCTCCGTACATCCTGTGTCATATATTCACACTTCATCTTCCATTCAACCACTGTATCCCTATGCCACGATGACTGCTCTTCCCTTCCATCCCCCCTCGTCTATCCTTCACCTCACCCACGCCAAACACTAAATCCAGTACATGTACCCCCAAAATCCCCATCAACCGCAACAACCAACCCCATTGAACACAGGCTCTCGTTCCTCTTCCATGACACCCAGATGTAGATAATACCCAACAACCCACCAACAGTCCTAGCGCAAGTAATCAAAAGACCGAATTCAACACTGCCCATCCCAACTCCCAACCTCCAATCCCTACACCTGCCTGCCCCTACTATATAAACCCAGCGCCATAATACTGCTGTCTCCCAGACACGTGCAATCATTAATGCTCTGCTGCCGATCCATGTTCCGCGTCTGATACACGTCGAGATAATTATCAGATCTATAGGTAGTGTCTATCTACACATACATAGTATAGTATACAATTGAGTTGAGTCTGAACCCCATCGCACCCCAACATGGCCAAGCCAAGCCAGCCCACAGGAATAGGCATAGGCATAGGCTAGCCACATGTAGCCGCATCGTCAGCATCACCATCAGCCAGCCAGCCAGCAGCAGCAGCAGCAGCAGCAGCAACACTGACCTAACCGCACCTCTATCTCACCCCATAAGAAAGAAATGAAACCCAAACACCATAAACAATGCACCCGGTCCAAACAGAAACACAAATACAAGCACAAACGCCGTCCCGTCCATGTAACAAAGCAACCCCCTCTCCCCCTCCATCCCCACCCCCACACCAAAAAAACCCAACCCAACCACCTAGTCATTCCACCTAAATAATCATCAATCATCCTTCTCCGGCATCCGCATATACGCATCAATCGCAGCACTAAACGCCGCGAAACCCGCACACCCCGCGGCAGCAGCCTGGGGACCCGCCTTCGCCCCCAGAATGCCGCCGGTAATGCACCCGGCGGCGACACTATTCGTGAGGTCGTTCTTGGCGCGCAGGCCCTCGACGCAGCACTCGGTGCCGGCGTAGAGCGCGCCCACGATGCCGAAGTTCTTGGCGCTGGACCACGAGCGGCTGCCCATGTCTTTGAAGCCGCGGCGGACTTGTTCGCGCCAGGGGAGGTCGGCGATGGCTTGGCCTTGCGGGGTGAGGGTGGAGTCGTAGGACATCTATTTGGTTTGCATGGTTAGTTAGTTGGGAAAGGGGGAGGGGGGGTAAAAATGAGGGGAGGGGGGGAAGAGGGAACATACACTAGCCATGAACAAGCCGAATACACCACCGAGACCGAAGCCCATTGTTCCGGAGATGACGGTCTTCATGGGGCAGGATTCCATAGCTGCTTGCATCTGGATTGCATTGGGGTTTGGTTAGTAAGGTTTTGTCCGTGTCTGTGTCTGTGTCTGTGCCTGTCTGTATCCATATCCATTTCAATGTCCACATCCACATCCACATCCCCATCCACGCCATATAAACCAAACAGCAGCCCACCCACCAAACCACACCAACTCAATCTATTAGAAAAGAAAGAAACAAACTCACCCCCTTAACCATAGCCTGCTCCTGATCACTCATGCCCTGCGCGCCTGCGCCAGCACCAGCACCAGCAGCAGCGCCGCCGAGCCCGCCCATCGGGGGAGTCATTCCGGGGAAGCTCATTCTGAACAGTTTCTCTTATTTCCGTTATTCGGATCGAGGAGGGGGAGGGGGAGGAGGAGGAGAAGGGAGAGAGGCGTCAGTGTCAGTGTCCAGAGAGGGCTGGCTGGTACACTTCGTGTGGCGTGGAGTCGTGTCAGACAGAGACAGAGCAGAGCTGAACAGCGGAGGAGAGGACGATGGGCTCCGCGGCCGGGATGCGGAGAAGGCAAACAACCGGCGCAAATTTATTTTACGGGGCGGGGGAGAGACCACTTGTGCAGGATGATAACATGCACGTCACGTGATGGGCGGGGGTTGAGTGACAATGGTTCATCTATGTACTGTTTTGGTTGGTTGGAGGGTTGGGGTCTAGTATTTGGTATAAGTAGCTTAGTGGTGGTGGTGGTGGTTGTACTACTATAGTGGTAGTAATATAGAGGTGGTAGTATGGTGGTAGTCCGATAGTAGTGATAGAGTAAATATAATGAGAATGTCATGCAGTATACGCAGCACATATGTTACAAAGAAGGAAAAGATGTATTTCAAACAAGCACGAAGCCAAAGAAAAAGTGAAGAGAGTGAAATCAACGCTGATCGTAAAGGGTATTGCGGGAACAATCATAACCCTGCGTGCGTCATCCGTACCAGCTCAGCTCGGGGGTGCTAGATCCACCATCCTCCAACCATCCACGTAGATCGCGCATGTCGTGTCCATATTTACAATAGCAGTGAAGAAGTGAAGGGCCGTGGTCGAACGGCATGTATAAAAGATCGATCAGTTAAAAAAGAAAATCGGGCGGCCGATCAATCGCGTTTGTCATCCTTCTCGGTCGGCGACGGCGGCGACGACAGACTGCGCTCCCACTCCGCCATCAGATTCGACGCCGTGCGCTGCAGCTTGGACGGCGCCAGCTTGGTGATGGCCGGCCAGGGGATGCCGTCGGAGACGCTGGGATCGGGCACGATGGAATCGTGCAGGGCGTGCCAGTCGCCAAAGCTAGTCCCAGTCAGCGTATCACTGTCAACCCCCCCCCCCCATTACCGTCACCACCCGATAGGACGGACGTACCTGGTACTCGTGCGAGGACTGCTGGACTGCGTCATCGGGGACTGGTCGTGCCGGGCGGACTCCAGCGTCGAGCGGCTGGACGACGGGGTGTGCGTCCGAGTCCTCGTCTTCGTCTGCGGCTGCGGCTGCGGCTTCGGCTTCTGCGGCGAGTCCCAGTCCCAGTTGTCTTCAACATCGGGGGTGTGGGAGTCGGCTGGTTCGGTCCGCCCGCTTGGGGTACTGGAGGCTCCGCGAGCGCTCGGGGACTTCTGCCCACGTGGATCAATGCCGAATTCACTCCAGAAAGACGCCTCTATGTCCGCCGATTTGGAGTCTTTACCGGAAAGTTTAGCCCCCACCCCTGCTCCTGTCCCCTTGGTCCCCACGGACCCCGTCGCCCGCGGGAGCTTGCTCCCCTGCAGCGATAGCCGGTCGCGGCTGCGTGATGTCGAGCTGGAGTCCCGCGTGCGCGTCGGCGGCACCGCGCGGGACTCAGTCGCGTTGATGCCCTCCTCGCCCACCGTGGCCTGGCGAATGTCCTCCAAAAACGTCCACAGCCCTTCGCGCAGATCCGATGCCATCTGCTTCCCCGTGCGCACCAGCGCCTCGCGCGACGGCGGCGGCATGGTGTTCCGCCACTGCGAGATCATGTCCTCGGTGATCTCCGTGCCGTCGACGGAGATCACGCCGCGCTCGACCGACGACGGTAGGGTGGCCGACCGGGGCGAGCGGCCGATGCGACCGGGCAACGAGGTCAGGTCCGTCTCAGACCCGGGCTTGCTCAGGTCACCGGCCCCGGTGGTCGGGGAGAGCAGCGACAAGGCCCGGGTGTGGGAGCCCCGGAACACGCGCCGTCCGTTGGCGGACACCGTCGTGCCGTTGTTGGCCGCGGAGCGGAAGCTGTGGCGACGCTCCAGGGCCAGCTCGCGGCTGAGTCGGGCCTGCGACAGCGAGGGACTCACGGAGCCGCTTTGGCTGGGCTCGCGGCGATGCGAGCGCTCCGGGGTCTGGTCGGGCGACCGCAGAGGCACGAGAGGCTCTGCGCGGTGGCTGATCTCCGTCCGCTTCTTTGTCTTCTCCGTCAGGGCCCACTGCTTCTTCAGCGAACCCAGCTCCGTCTCCGCGCGGGAGAGCTCCTCGCGCAGCTCCAGCACCTTTCGTTCCTGCGAGGCGATGGCAGTCAGTAGGCCCGAGCCGTCGTCGGGCTCCTCGAAGGTCAGGGGGGCGCCGAGGGGTGGCACGGAGGAGGGATGGGCGGAGTGAGGGGCGGGGGTCATGTTGCCGGTGCCAGGAGAGGCGACGTTGGACTCGAAGGCGCCGGGAGGGATGTTGATGGGAAAGTTGAGGGTTAGTCGTTTGGCGTGGCGAGCAGCGCCATTCGGACGCGGGGGAAGCGAGGAGCGTTTGAGTTGCAGGGCGCGATCAGGGCCATGCTCGGATGCCGGGCGGTGGTGGGAGAAGGTGGGAGAAGGTTGTTGTTGCTGTTGCTGGTGCTGCATTGTTTGGGACGGTTCCGGCGCAGTTCCCGGCTCGCCCGTTCCCGGGGAATCCCCCATGACGGACCAGCGTGCGGAGGGTGTCTCGCGAGTCTCTAGCAGCCCAGGGGCTGGAGCATGGCAGGGATTGGGGAGGGATCGATTGGAATGGTGGATCGGAAAAGAATGTAGGGGCTGGCCAGCAAGATGTTGAGATCAACCACCCGACCTAACAGAAAGAAGAAGAAAAGGAGACGGAGTAACCGAAGTAGGAGGAGGAGGAAGAAGAAAAGGAAGAGAGGGAGGCGGAGGAAGAGGGAGAGTAGAAGATTAGAAAGAAATACGACGGGGGGAAATAAAAAGGTCTGGCCCGTCAGTTTAGTGAGTGAGTTAGTGGTAAAGCTGGTGAGGATTCACGGCGGGTCAGCAACGCGCATCCCTTCCCCTTCCACTCCCACTCAGCCCTCGTTTCACCGCATCTCAGGGGCCGATCGCCACAGTAGGTGCACGCCAGAGTGAGAGTACCGAGTGCATGCCCGTGTGGACGAGCGTGTAGTGTGTAGTATCTATGTCCTCCATACAGCAAGCATCCAGATCTCCCACACTGGGGATGGCATCACTGCAAGTAAGGGGCCCGAGGATCCTCATGTGGTTGACTGCTTGACAGCCCCGGCCGCCAATCTACCTGCGGCCCTCACGTCCTGCTTCCTGCACGGGCGTCCCCACGATTGATTAATTACCCGACCATCGTCAGATCAGGATGCATTTACGCCGGTAAGTTAGATAAGTAGCAACGCCTCTCATCTCCCGGGAATTACACTGCCTATTTTTAACTTCCCCCCTCCCGTCCATGTTGGATGTTATGTGCATCGTCAATGTTCAATGCTGATCAATATACAGACCAGACCACCTTCCTTACACCAACACCGTTGTTATATCACAAAATTCAACTCAATACAATAATACACTGTCCAGGTCCAATCCGTCCGTCCGCCTTTTTTTAAAACAAAACCAGCAACAATAACAACCACAACAACAAAAGAAACAGAAACAGAAAGAAAGTCACAAAAAGCCTATCTATCAGGAAGAGAATTTAATACACAAACAAGCTCGCCAGCAATATGATCACCAGAAATGAAGTACCGCAGATTCAAAACTCCGTATCCAGAGCCAAATTGAGCAAGATCGGGATGCCATGCTGCTGGCCCCTCGCCTGGGCGTCATTGTCCCGCAGCTGACCCCAGGGAGGGCAAATTAGAGCCCGATGGGCGAGGCTCATCGGAGCCAAGCAAGGAAAGAAATTATGCAACAAGAAAAAAGAAAAAAAAAAAAAACAGAACATACCACCCCCCATCCATTCAACGCCAGCACCATCTTTTGTACACGCAAAAAAAACTCAAGGATCCCGCAAGGGAGAGCGTCAGTCACTCACATCCCCGGCCAGCGGTTGCGAAGGCCTTCAGACCAGCGGTTGTAGAGCACGTCGGAGAGCTGTTTGGTGTGCTCCATGCCCGGCACTTGCTGGCCTGGCAGATTCGCCAGCTGGACGGGCTGCAGGCTGGGCTCGGGCACAGCCGAACTCTGGCGTCGCCGGTGGCTTTTGAGGTGTGGGTTGCTCTGAGCCAGAACCAGCCGCGGTCGCTGTGGGGAATCCGCGGGTGGAGCGGGTGGGACGAGACTGGCCAGCTTCGGGTCGCTACAGACAAGACACCAGACACCATCAGCATCCCGTCCAGCATCAACTAGACAGACAGCAGGATCACTTACCCTTGCAGTTTCTCCGTCATCGACTTCAAGATGTGGTACAGGCCTTCTGGGTCGACCATCTCCAGGTCACTCCACGCCTCCGCCAGTCGTGAAATCACCTCCCGCTTCTCGTCGTCCCCCGTCGTGCCCAACACCTCCTGGCACGCCAGCCCGACCGCCTTGCTGTATGCGCGACGGCCCAGCTGTGCCTCCTTGCTGCTGGGTTCGGAGAACAGCGTCTTGGGGCTGGAGTTCTCGTCCCCGCCCAGGGAGTACGCAGAGGGGTACGACCCGTCCGCGATCTTGTCCGACACCCGACGGAACTGACGGACGGTCGAGGGGGTGTTCCCGAAGCTCATGTCCACCCCGAGCGGCTGCTTCACTCCGCTGGAGCGGCGCTTGGCCCGCCGCAGCGACGGGCTGTGGTCCCGGGCGGCGGGCGGGCGTCTCACGGCGGTGTTGTTCGAATGCTGGGTCCCGGTCGGGCTCGAGATGTGGAGGTCCTCCATCATGTCGGACGTCTCATCGAACACCCAATCCTGGGGTTCCTCCTCATTCTCGAATTCGTCGAGCTCGTCACGGATGATCATCGTGGGCGCTTTGACGGTGTCGAAGACCCAGCCATCGTCGTCGTCGAGGTTCCGGATGGTGTTCCTATTGCGGAAAAGAGTCAGTGGGGATGGAATGGCAGAATGACAGGGCGGGGTCACATACAGAGACTCGGCGTAGTACTTCATCTTGCGTGTCGCCCCCCGACCGGCATTCCAGTCCTGCCGCCGAAGGATCAGTTCCTGCAGCGCCTCCGTCTTCCCCGCATTGCGAATGAACTTGTGTCGCAGCAGGTCTTTGGCACTGGGTCTGCGGTCGGGATCCTTGGTCAAACACTGCGAGATGAAATCCTTGAAGGTGCTGCTATACTCGTTGCCCTGGAGGCGTGGGGCGGGCTCCTTGGGGATGAGGAACAGCACCTTCATGGGGTGGGTGCTGGCGTGCGGGGGCTCGCCGTTGATCATCTCGATCGCCGTGATGCCCAGAGACCAGATATCCGCCTTGTAGTCGTACCCAGCCTGCTCGATCACCTCGGGCGCCATCCAGAAGGGCGTCCCGACAAAGGTATTGCGTTGAGATTTGATGTTGGTGAGTTGCGCCGCGACACCGAAATCCGCCAGCTTGACCTTGCCGGTGTGGGACAGCAGCACGTTGGCGGCCTTGATGTCGCGGTGGATCTTGCCTTCGCTGTGCAGGTAGTCCAAGCCCAGCAGCAGCTGCTGGCAAATAATGGCGACGTGCGCCTCGTTGAAATGGCCGGGTTTGAGCTGGATCCGGTTAGCGACGAGGTCCGGAGCAGACAGGTCATCCAGGGATTACCAGGTCGAGACAGGAACCCCCACCCAGATACTCCATCACAATCCACAGCTTGTGACCTCTCAGAAAGCTGGCCTTGTATTGCGTCACGAAGGGGCTGGCGCATGTCGCCAGGACGGAGATTTCCTGCTGGATCTCCTGGATGTCGTCTTCACTCGATTCGAGATCGATCTGTGGGCACCGAACCGGGTCAATTGGGTCGCCAGGCAGCAGAGAGAGGGTCCGTCAGATCAGTCACACGCACATGCTTAACCGCCACGATCTCCCCCGTAGCTTTCTCAATGGCCTTGTACACCGTGCCGAAGCTTCCACCTGCACGCGCGACCGGTCAGTTCCCGCTGCAATCGGTTCGATGGGCTGCATCTCACGGGGGATGGCGACTTACTGCCCAGCTCCTCGAGCATCTGATAGTGACTCGCCATGTCGTCGTCCATGGTGGTTGTCGCGCGCGTGGGAATTCGGGTGTAGCTCACGGGCGGAACGGCGAGTTTTGGGGAGGAAAAAAAAGAAGGGAAAAAAAAAGCAAGGACCACGGCCCAAGACAGCGCAGTTCAGCACAGGACACACACGGAGCAAGCCAGTAACCCACAAATGTAGACGGGCAGGTGTGATAAATCCAACCTGTCCGGGGAGGGATTTGAGGGGGGGGGGGGGGGGGGGAGCAGCAGCACGAGGACGGAGCTGAGCTGAGCTGAATGGAGATAAGAGGAGATGATAGTAAACGGGCGACCCTCCGACGCGCATCGACTGGGTCGACGGCCGGGCGCATCCATGGATGGCCGGAGAAACAACAGGCGGTAGCGCAGGGCAACCATGGTTCTGCGCTTGTCTCCTTCACCGCCACCCCTGCTCTCCCCAGCAGTGGCTGCCTTGCCGCCTGCAACCCTGGCACTTCGCCCGCCCGGCCCCGTCCGTCGCCTCACCGCCCCGCTCGGCGCTTCCTCGGCCCGGGCGCTGTCCGGACTTTCCCGATTGGGAATGCTTCCAGACTTGGTCTGACAGCTTCTACTCTTCTACTACGAACTCGTTCCTCAACTCTATCTACCACTTTGTACTCCGTACCACCCACTAGATAGACTAACACGGGCCATTGCCATGGACCCCCCTCTCCTCGCAGAAAAAAACCTCCTAGCAGAACCATCGCAAGGGCTCAACCTAAACCCGAACCTCATCTCCTCAAGCAAGGTCCAGGTCGCGATATACTCACCGGGCGCCGGGAAGCATACTATGTAGATACCCTCCGGAACATGTCCATTTGCACCACCAGGTCCACCCGGACTGTGAACATCTAGATCCTCGACGTCATGCGAGGGATCTGGGGCATGGGTTTTCTGGATTTCTTCTAAGTTCTGTACCCTGCGGGGGCTGGGGGGTGGAGTGGTTCTCTGACTTCGAGACTCGAGAGAAGGATCTCGATGACAAACTACGTCACTGTCTTTTGGTTGGTATACACCGCCCATTCGGTGGTTCCCCGCTTCCCAGGATGGATGTCTTGTGGTGGCGGGGAACATTCAAAGTGACGTACTGTCAGACAATACTGGAGAGGCTTGGCCAAAGGACGAGTTGACCGAGGAATAGAGCACTGACATTGGCATCAAATGTCGTGGTTGTGTGTGCGTCACAAACAACAACAGCAAAATTACGTCCGGTCTGTGGAACATGATTGTGCAGCGGGGAGCACGCGAGTGGGGTGACGGCACTCCTTCAACACAGACTCTTGGTCGAACTCGAAAGGGCGGGTGCCTGCTTGCCTAGCTGGCTATGCCAAATGGGTCGATGCATACTTTGAGGGGAAAGCTACCGAGAAGGCTCGATTCTAGTCTTATCAACTGGCCAGTTCGCATGGCGAAGCGCACGAACATGCCGACCACTCAGCTGGCAAACTTGGTATCCCGGGCATGATCCTCAAGTAATGTCTGATACGGAGTACCGGGTCTGGCATGCATCTTGAAATCTCCGAAAGATTCAATAGCTGTCACATTGAATCATATTACCAGCCTTGCTCTGGACTCTTCTTCGCAAGCTTGTTCAATGGAGGGTAGTGGGCATCTGGAGCACGCTCACTGATACATCAGATGCTACTGAAATACCAACTAATATAACACGCCCCAATCATTGAATTTATTCCAGACTCATCCTCGCCGCGCAATCCAGGGCTACACCCCCGATCTCCCCCCCAAGCTGCCCCCCAAGCTCCTCGAATCGCCGCTTCCAAAACCGCCATCGATCCCCCGACAGCCTTTTTGGCCCGTCATACAATGCCCCGCCCGCCATACGCCGATCTTCTTCACCCGTGGCCTCCATCCGGGCAATATCCTCAAGAAAGAAACGTTGAGTATGCACAACCCACTCCGCTGCCGCAGCTACACTGCATTCTCGACCAGACCTGCTAAGGCCCGTCTCTTCCAAGGCGTCCCGGATGGACCAAAAACCGAGTAATGTGTTGGTGAGAATTCCTGCGTTTACGAGGCGAGCAGTGAATGAATTCAGGCGGCGCCACCCTATAGCGTCTGCTTCTTCGATTTCCCCGGGAAGAGCTCGCGGTCCTGCTCAGCATTGTAAGCCACAATTCATTCCATGCAACCAACATGCAAAGTACGGATACATACCGTTCCAAGCCTCGCGCAGACTCGGACCCAGAATGGGCAGTTCTTCCCAGAGAACATAATCTCGCTACACGGAACAAGGACCCCCCATTTATAGTATTAGCGTTCCAACCCCAAACCCACTGATGGACCACAGCCCCAGAAAGCAAACATACCAGGTTCCAGACACTAACCCTTCGGGACGGAAGCTTTTGTAGCTCGACTATCACCTGGACCAGTCTGTCCTGACCGGGGTGATCGTGGGGCGTTTGTTCGGCTGCGTTGAAGAAATCGCGCCATAATTGCCAGAGATAGCCCTCTGCGCTATTGTTCTCTGCATTCGAAAGGTCCTTTTCGTTGCGTAGTAGGCGTTGGCTGATATGCTGGGCGGCCGTGGCCGGGGTGATGGGTGACGGTGACTCGCGGAGACAGTCTTGGAGGATACTAGTAGTCGTGTAGCTCTCTCTCATCGAGGGAGTCTTCTGAATCAATGGAAGCCGCTTTATCCTGATGTGAAGGCATGTTGAAATCAATCACACGGAAAGAAAACCATTATAGTTGAAGGAAATACTACACCGAAATGGCATGCTTCTTGTTTAAAAAACAGCCTATGTACCCCTAGGTAGGTAGGCGTCAGGAAAGTAGGAAAGCAGGAAAGACCCCGCGCATGCCCCCCCCACTGTGACGTGAGACACTAGTACCTAGCTAGTAGATTTAAATAGTCATTTCGTCCTCAGCGCAGTGAATCATGACGCTATTTCCATCCGCTGATAGAGAGCATATACTAATAACCATCCAACCAGCACACCAGAACCCAACCCCCCCCCTTCTCTTACCCCTCTAAACACTAGATAAAATGCAAACTATCCCTCGCATGCACAACCACGAACCCATCTTCCTCCCCCTCCGGCTCAGGATACTTCTTCAAATTCGCAATCGCCCACCTCGTCCTCTCATCCAAAACAGGCGGACACCTCCCCTGGCCCTCCAACCTCGGCAACCCGGCCAACTCAAACAACCCCCGCAAATACTCCATCGTCTCGCCATTATCCCACGGAATATCATGAAACTTCCTGCGCTCTTGTCTCGTCAACTCCACGCGATTGGCCTCCCACCGCGCCTGCTCCTCCGTGCTGGGCAAGCCCACCGCGTTCCGCCCCGCCCACAGCCTCGCCACCGCAATGGCCTGATACTCCATGGACCGGAACGTCAACACCCTCGGCAGGCCCACGATCGCCAGATCCGCAAACCGCTGAAAGAACGTATGGAGGTAGGTTCCCAGCAGACGGTCCTGCGCGTAGTCGTAGAGCGGATGGCCGCCGTTGCGCGCGGTGTTCCAGAACGGGAAGGACGGTTTGTACCCCGTGCAGTAGATCACAGTGTCGATGTCGGACGAGGAGAGCATGGATCCGTCGGAGAAGATGATGTCCCCGGATGGGAGGTACCGAGTGATGATGGGTTTCCAGACGACACCCGGGGGGGGCGTATCGCCGTCCCACCGGCCCCGTGACCGACGGGATTGGTAGATGGGGAGCGCGGCGCTGTGGAGCAGCGAGGTGGTGAGGTCCTGCCCCGAGGAGGAGTTGCCGATGATCAGGACTTTTTTGTTGGTGAAGTCGCCGGCGGAGCGGAATTGCTTCGAGTGCATGATGCGGTGCGGGGATTCTTGCAGCCCGGGGACTTGGGGGATCTGAGGGGGTTGTCAGCGGGTTGGGACGGAGGTACTATACGCATAAGGCGCGTGTCCGGGGCGGCTACATACATACGGAACAGAATAATGCCCGTTCGCAATAACCAGGGCATCGAAATCTTCCGCCCACCATTCATCGCGTCGCGTCACCGGATTCAAACGTCTCAGGGTGAGCGACCACCCGGACTCTGCATCTGGATCCCGTCTCGAAACATCCTCCACCGTCGTGTTCAGCACCAGGTATCTGTCGACTTCGTGCTTGGAGAAGTATTCCTCGATGTACTGCTTCGGTACCCAGTGCGGCACGAACGGGCCGTAGGCGAAGGGGAGATCGGAATATGACATTGCGATGTCGGGGACGTTTGTCCTGTCCGGGTCGTGTCAGGTCAGGTCAGGTCAGGTCAGGTCATCTCAGGCCAGGTCAAGTCCAGTCAACCTGACATTCATTCATTCATTCATATCACAGCCACAGAAAGCACCCCGATCTTCTTGACCAAACAAAATAAAACAAGTAGGGCGAGACAAACGTACGTCAGATCCTCGTATATCGGCGTCCGATCGAACCGCTCCCTGGTTACTGGATCCGTCGCCACGGGCAGAGTCCGTGGAATCGATATCGGGGGATCAACCTCCGGTGGTATCTTGCCGGGATGTAGCTGGAATGGAGGGCCGGGATCCGCATCGTAGATCCTGACGAGTACGTATCAGAATATCATGATGGAATGGAGACAGAGTCTGTCTGTCTGATGCTAGGTGGGGATTAGGCGATCACCATGTCCCGCCGGCGGTCTCCCGTCTCTCGAAGACCCGGATGCGGTCGAAGGATTTCTCTGCCGCGAGAGCGGAGGCCGTGATTGCGCCTGGGGGAGGTTATTACTGTGGCGTGGCAGGGGTGGAATGGGTTGTTGGTTGTTTACCTGAGGCGCCGGCCCCGATGATGGCCACTGATTTTATGCGTGCCATGGATGGGATAGATGGGAAGAGATGGGCGTTGACTATTGATTGATATGATAGACTCGATCGGTCAAGCCGGACGTGAAGTCTGTCCGTGGAGTCTGTCCCCGGGGTTTCACCTTCGTTGCATGGTGGAGGTGAAGTTGGAGTTGGAGTGAGGGGGGAAAGACTTCGCAATCCGGTCGGGGATGGCGTGCTTGCTGCATGTACCTCTCTATCTTACACAACAGATGAGGATGTCACGGTGGTTAAGTTCCAATTGATTTTCGGATGTTGACCATAGAGTAGGATGCAATGCTGCGTTGTTAGAGCCAGTCTTTCTTAAGATGCTGTCCCTACGAATGGTGATTTTCAATCCTGAACTTGCTCCTAGATATGTTACTGAAATGCAGATACCTTTCTTGATACCAGCGAGGCTCATTAATGGGCTTATTTGTCCGCCTAGTTACATGCTACATCGTAATCATGTTTGGGCTGTTTACTACTACACCTGGTGCTCGGTTGGGAATTGGATGGATTTTATTTATACTATACACTCTTTACTGGTAAATATCAGATAGATACTAGGTTTTTTTCTGATTATCCAAATCCCATGCGTGCATCATCATGTTCTGTACAATATCAAATCAAACCAACTTGGTTATTTATTTTGGTGGCATACATCGAACTTCACACATGGAAAGTAATACATTATTCAGAATCCATGACAGACAGGCAGCACCTACAACAAAACACCTAATTAAGAAAGAAAAGTAACAACAATCCAATACCAATTACGCAATATACCCCATACAAAGCCAAACAAGCCCAGAAAAACACCGAGTACACAAGGGAACAATCCCCAGCCATAACCATTACATGAACGGCGAGGTACCACCCAGGTATTGGGACATGGTGTCAAGTGGAAAATATTACAGCATAACACATGGGCCTATGGCGCAATTGGTAGCGCGTACGACTCCAGATCGTAAGGTTGTCCGTTCGATTCGGGCTGGGCTCATGCCTTTTTTTTTTTCTTCTCACTTGAGTGAGCAGTTGAGGAGGCGGGGGTTTTTTTTTCTATTTTTATTTACTATCAAATATATATATATATACTCTTCTTTCTTATCTTCACATAATTGTGTTTTGTCGAAAAGGGCATGCGATAAATTACTTGTATTGTATCCTGTGGACAAGGTCACTTTTCTCGAGACTGTTTTCTTTTTACCCACTCAGTCCAATTTACATGACACCCTTTAAAAGAGATACGTAAGTAACATCGAAGTCATGCCCCTCGCCAACTGTTCAGTCAGTAATTTCGGGGCAAGCTTTGACGATTTACAGTATTCGCCGCCTGGTATTCAAACCTGCATCCTTAATGAAAATTTAGAAAGCTTCTTTCTTTCTTTCCTAAAAAAAAGGCCTTCATAGCCGTTACGCTACCAGAGTAGCACGACATGGATACCCATCAGCAGGATGCGTGCCGGCCTTCTCAGTCTGGTACGCCCTCTCTCCATCCACCGTCTTCAACCCAGGATTTCCACCCCGAAGCCCCGCGGAGCGAGCCAATCTTGCCACAAAACCATCTGTTTGAGGATTCATCGCGTCCCACTCATCATAGGCCGGTCTGATCTCGAACCGCCGGGCAGTCATCACCAGAACCACTCGCATCTCATTATAGACAAGCGTTTGGCCGATGCAATTGCGCGGACCTTGCTCGAAAGGCCGATACGCGGCCGGATCAGGGTAGAGCTCGTGGCCTGCCTCCACCAGCCACCGCTCGGGGAGAAACTCGTCCGCTCGGGGCCATACTCGTGGGTTCTGTTGAATGGACGGATGCAAGATAGTTATACTGAGATCATCTGCCAACGGGTACATGTTTCCGTGTCTGTCTGTTAAAGAAAGGCCGTCTCGGCCTTGACGCATAGTTCCGGCGGGGGGATAGAGTCGCAGGGTTTCTTTGATGACGGCCATTGTGTATGCGCATTGGTTGAGTAAAGCCGGTCGTTCGCGGAGTAGCTGTGATGCAGCCGAGGGATTGTCTCCAAGCACAGCATCATGCTCTTGGCGAACCTGAGTCAAGGCTTCGGGGTGTTTCGACAGCAAATGATACACGTAGACGATACTGCTAGACGTGGTATCATTTCCGGCAAAAAGAAACAGCCGAATCTGATACGTCACGTACTCTGCGAAGTGGTCGTCCAATTTGGTCGCCTCCGAGATCTTTTCATTCTTGGTTTCCAGATATGCCTCCAAGGCCAGTGCGATGATGGATTTGGCGCGTTTGGGGCCGGCATGAACACCCTTCTTCATCTCGGAGAATCGCCGATCCAGTTCCTCGCGAATGGACTTATTCATGACGCGACCGTAGTACCATTGCACGATGGGCCGGATGGGGTTTGCGCGAACACGGGGATCCCAGAACGAATGCCATCTGGTGATGTGGCCCAGGGCGGTCGCGAGGAGGTTGTCCGAGTTCTGATGATCCAGGTCCGCGTCGAGGGTGACTTTGAGGATCACGTCCATGGTCAATCGCGTGGTCAGATCATCCAGACAGAATAATTGTCCGGAACTCGCTTTCTCATGCAGCTTATCGCAGAAGACTTGAACCGAGTTGATGACTTCCGGCAGTAGATCCTGCATGCTTCCGGCACTGAAACCAGGGTTAAAGATTGACCTCCACGCCTTCCATTCCGCCGGAGCCATGGATATCATGCTCGGCCCGCCCGTGATCGGCTGCATGAAGCGGGGCTGGATGACGGTTTTGGGCAGATTAAGTCTGGTGGTCGCTTGAGACGCGGCCTCTGGGTAGAACACCATGTACTGCGCTGGTGACACCGGCCAGACATCTAGCAGGAAGATCTCCGTGTCGGTGTATTCGGACGCCAGTTCGCGCGTCGCGAGCGTGACGTTGGCGTCGGATGGAAGGCGATTGACATAGTCCGAGAGCACGAGCATGTGGCCCGTTAACCAGTTCCATCCTTTGGGCATGGGCTGTAGTCGCCGCGTTAGCAACTGGCATAGTCGAGGTAGAGAGGTGGGGGCGGAGCTTACAATGCCTTGTTTGCGGAGCCTGTTGATCCTGGAGCGATGGTCATAGAGCACATAGAGGCCGTACGCGACGGCGCCTATTAGAGGCAGACAAAGGGTTACGAGAATGTTGGCGAAAGCCATGGAGATGGCCTTGCCTTCAGAGAGAGACACGGATTGTGGGAGATGGAGAAAGGAAGAAGACCAGAAAGGGGAAGGTTGGCTGGAGATCAACAAACCGTGGCGGTGGGTCGGTCCGGGGATCATCGCCGCAACTACAAAATACAATCAATCATCTTGCAACATCGGACTCGTCTTTGGAGTGTGTTTATAGTACGATTATTGGTCTGCATAGGTGTGATTAAAAACTCTTGACCCCCCAGAAAAACCGGGATAGACACATCATCCACTCAGGCATCCACTTAGACTGCCGGAGTCCATTTCTTGCATGGAGAGACCATACTACACGACACGTGAGAGAATGAAACGTCAAGGTGGCTGAGTTTTGTGCTGACTGCCTTCCCCCTTGCGTTGTCGCATACCAGAGCATGTCGCAGGCTGTCAGCCTTACTCCCCGCGTCTCCGAAAACCAACCCTACGACCCAACTGACCGACCTTGGACAATCTGTGCTCTTGACAACTTAGGCATCCTGGCATCCTGGCAGCAGAGACTGCAGGCAAGGTATGCGATTAAAGATGATAGACAGAGAGGTGGTCTCAAGAATGGTCAGAATTGACCAACAAAACAGCCTCGAGAAACATTTACTCAGACCAAACAAATGTCTACTCGGTTTGACCTCGGATCATACCCCGAGGGAGTTGACCAGTTGCTGCGATAGTATCTGGACATGAAGGGATTATTCCCGTGACATCCACAGTCAAGTCTCCGGTCTTTCATCAAAGTAAGATTGCAGCAAACCACACGTTAAATATAATTTACTGAGCGAATCCTGGGAGTCGAACATGGAAACCTCCAGGAATTGAGGCTGTACTAACCAAGGAGACCAACAATCTGCAGACACCATCTGCCCCTTGCATATCTGGTGCCGCGGTATAGTCCGCATGAGGTCGAGTATATGCAGTCAGCCCCAAGTATGTAAGAATGTGTCTCAATCAGCCTAACGAGTCTGCAAATGCAACCATAGGCCACCCCAGCGTACATAAAGTAGAGCCCTGCTGGTCGTTGCACCAATATGATTTATGACATGCACTTCACCCGGCTAAGCTGCAATGAATAGCTCCGTGCTGGCAGGACTTCCGACTCAACTCTCGCAAGCTCCAGACCCGCTAGTGGGAAACCTAGGTCGGATTACTCTGGTGCAGTATAAGGTATGCCATGCCAAAACAGCCAAAACATTATCATTCATCAGACTGTGTGACTAATACCGAGCAAGATAATTACGGGCATCTTCTTCGGAATCGCAGTCCTTTCCTTCCTCGGGCGCATCTTCATCCGACTCTTCACTCGACGCCGGCTGTACATCGACGATGGCTTCCTCAGCTTTGCCTTTGCCACCCTATGTGGAGGCACAGTCCTTGGCTACCTTCGGATCTACATCGTCTATCTCCAGTTTGCCGTTCTCCAAGGCGACCTCGCCGCGACCGAGATCGTGGCATCCGACCCAGGCCAGCATGCCCGGCAGTTCGCATACAACCTTGCCTATATCGTTCTTCTCTGGACAACAGTCTTTGCGGTCAAATGGTGCTATCTGGCCTTCTTCCACCCTTTGCTGGTGGGCATGTCGCGTGGCTTCGTTTTCTTCTACTGGTTCACCATCGGAGCGTCTGTGGTTGCGTGGATCTTGAGCGTGGCCGTGGCGCCTGTCATTCCCTGTCCGTATGTGGGGATGACGGCTGTTAGTAAGTATCCAAATCCAGATGGGGTGTGGATCCTGCATTGCTAAGAATGATTAGTGAAGTGTTTCCCGACTCTCCCGGTCTCGCATAGTACGATGCTTGCGATGTTCTGGATCCCTCCGATCCTGGATGCGCTTACAGACCTCATGAGTATACCACCCATTCTATCAGCAATGGGCAAAAGCTAACAGTTCATAATAGTCATCAGCATCCCGATTCGACTCCTGTACAAAGTCCAAGTGCGCACACTGACAAAAGTCGGACTAGGCTGTTTCCTCTGCCTATCCATCTTCATGTGCGTATGCTCCATCATCCGCACAGCAGGGACCTACTACCACGGGGCGCTCGACTACCCGTGGCAGGTCTTCTGGCTGCACCTGGAGGGATGCATCGGCGTGACCATGGGCTCGATCACCGTCTACCGATCCACTCTGATCGGCTCTAATGAGGTATCCGCCGTGTTCAAGAAATACATCACCAGGATGAAAGGTGCGGTGAGAGGGTCATCGGGTGATAATGGGATGCCGCAGCCTGAAGAGGAAAGTAAGACGGAGAGGCGCACGTTTGGGTTACCTTCGATTCCCCAGGCGACTATTTCGGGGTTGCGCACGTGGGATGGTCGGTCTCGAAGAGACAATTCTGGTCCTGATGATGCGGGGCTGAGTAGCTTTGCGAGTGGTGATTTTGATTATCATGCTTTGTTGAAGGCGCCGAAGACGGCGGCTGGTATGTCTTTTCTTGAAAGTTATACATGTGGCATTGGATATGGCTGATTGGATATAGCGAGTCGATATACTCGTCCCCGTCCCGAGATGGCATGAATGGCTAGTCCCTTTGATCAGGAGTCTGAAGTTCGAATTGAATTGTCTAACAACCGGACTAGTATGCTAAATAACAAACATAAGATCGGAAGGGGAAAAAAAAAAAAAAGAAAAAAGAAAAACCAAGGCCCCGTGGACATATGAAACCAAACAGCCCATTTAAGCAGACTCTCCCCTCACCCTCAACACTCCTCCACCAACGGAACCCCTGAAGAAGAAACCACCCTCCTCCCACGCAAACTCTTCCAATCCGGAATAACAAACCCCGTCGCAAGATAAACACAAACAACAATACACTCCATCAACAACCCCATAACCAGGAACGGCGCAACCGGTCCAACCAGATCATTCCAGCGCAGGTCGGACGCATCCACAACCGATAGGAAGAGGTACGTGATGCGCACAATAATAAACGGCAGGGCTGCAGCCAAGGCCTGGAGGATCTATGCAGCACACAACCGTACCTATTAGCCTCTCCAGATAATAGACCCGTTGGTCGAGTAAATTGAAAAAAAAATAAAAAAAAAAAACTTACACTCAGACTCATACGCGAGACCTCCTCCCGATGAACCCAGAGATAGCCCTGCACAGCTAGCAAGCACGCCACGAAGACCACCACGCAGCTGTATCCCGCTTTGACGAGCCTGAGGCCAGTCTCGACGTTGCTGACGCTGTCGCTGCCCTCGAGACATCCGCCGGCGATTTGCAGGCCGAGGCCGACGAAGAACAGGATACGCGAGAAGAGGAGGGATTGCCCGATTCGGACGTGTACTTTTTGTTCGTGGGATAGGCTGGGGAATGGGATATGTCAGTTGTACAAGCTAGCGGCCTCGTATATCTGCGGGCCTGTCTGTCTGGCGCTTACATGATTCGAAGGAATCCCATGGTGGCGGCGACTAAGGGGAACACGCCCGTGTTGAGCAGGATGATTGAAGCGACCATAAGGCCGGTGCTGGGGGTTCGCTCGTATAGGATGACCAGGATGGCTGAGGCGAGACGGACTGCAGGTATGTGAGACTCCATGCGGGGGGGAGGGGGGGGGGTTGGAGGAGGCGAGTGGCTCACTGGTGGAGAAAAAGAGGAGAATGTTCCATGACAGGCGAGGGCGTTTGTGTCGGTAGCATGCAAGGTATGCTGAGAGGATGGTCGCGGGGATGTAGAAGACTATCACTGCGATGCTGGTTTTGCCATGGTTGTTGAGCATAGTGACTGGATTTGCTGAATGCGACCCCGAGTTATTTTCCTTTCTTTCTTTCTTTCTTTTTGGGATAGATGGAGAATAGAGATGCAATCATTCGTCAACGGTTGAAGTCGGAGTAGAGAAAAGTCGTAGAGAATGTTCCTTTCCACTTCACTTCCAAAAATTTGGGAGCTACAAAATATCCAGCACTCAGTCCACCCTTTATACAAATTCTTCACCCCCCAAGTCTGCCTTGCTAGAGACCGCATCCCGAAGTAGGGCACGATTTTAGCCTCCGATCCGCAGATAAACTCGCAAGATCAACCCCATATGCGGTTTAGCGCTGGGATCAAGGGATCCACACCATCCCACAAGGCTGGGTGAGTCAACCCCACCTTCAGCACTCAACAGAGCTCACAATCATCCTCAGGGTCAAGCCAACAACTTCACTCAGCCCCGTTGCGAACGCGCAAAGCGCAGAATGTGACCTGTTTAGGCATAAGGATGGATCTTAGCCCGGACCACACACACCACACACACCACATTTACCACCTTGCTGTCTATCCACGCTGAACATTGGCAAGCAGACTCTCAGGAGTGAGAAGATCAGGCTCTTCATATTCCGCAGTGGAGCCGAATCGGCTAGTATGCTAGTATGGTCGGCGTGGCAGGGAAATCCAAGGGGTGCAATACGTGCCGGACGCGGAAAATCGCGGTACATGCCAACAACCCTACCCCTTTACCCGTGGTTATTCGTGTACGGAACTGACTAGCACAGTGCGATCAAAAAAGACCCGGATGTGGCCAGTGCGCCCGGTCGAACCGAGTCTGTGGCGGGTATCAGAGGGAGAGGGTCTTTGTGTTGGTGAAGCCAGCTGCAGCGGCCAAGAAGAAACACATCTTCGTCCGGACCCCTCCGTCTTCAGGATCGGATTCCAACATGGCCGCCTCGACGCCAGAGTCATTCTCCGCCTCCGCGGATCAGTCACCCGCGTCGCTGGTCCAACAGGACAGGAGGTATTACTCCTTCACTGAGCGAAGCGCAGCATACGCAATGATACGGACCCAGAACGAGCGGCACAATTTAGTCCTGGCCTTTCTCTCCACCTGCCTCCCATCGCAATTGACATCATCTCCGCGGTCATGGATCTCGTTACTCGCCGAGCTGCCCACAGGAGTCAAGGCCCTGGAGTTAGCAGGCGCGGCCGTCGCGGCCTCGGCGATCGGACACCGGTTCCAGGACCCCGCGATGAAGAGAGAGAGTCTCAGCCTCTACACGCAGGGGCTTCAGCAGCTGCAGAGGGCGCTGTGGAGTCGTGATCTCGTCCGCGAGGATGGGACTCTCGCGGCGTGTATGGCCCTGAGTCTTTACGAGGCGATGGAATGCCCGAGTGCCGGACCGGAGGGCTATTTCGGCCACTGTCGCGGTCTCCTCGCGTTGGTGGAAGCGCGGGGCATTGATGCGCATTGCTCGGGGGCGGGACATCGGTTGTTTCTGGGTGTGAGGACTCTAGGGGTAAGTCTGTTTGATGATCTTTTGGTAGATGGGGATTGTTGGTGATAACGGTCTGTGGTAGATCTTGTATTCTCTGGAGCACCAGTCTCCAAGCTTCATGTTTGATTCTGCGTGGATGGAGCAGCCCTGGGAGCGGATACCCAAGACTTTCTTCAGTCGGGTGGTGGATTGTCTCGCGCAGGCACCCGGGATCTTGCAGCGCGTGCATCTGCTGCCTCACCTGAGCCCCGATCTTCAGATAGGCCTTTGTCACGAGCTGATTCGCGAGTGCTGGACGATAGACGAGCAGCTGGATATGGTGTGGAATGGGATGCAAGATGCCATGCCGGATCCGCTGTACCGGCCGGTGCCCTCCCGACAAGCCCATGCCTTGGTCGATGACGGACCCGGCGAGAATCTGTTCCCGGTTGTTCTCTGCTTCGCTAATGTGGAGTGCGCCACAACTCTTATACTTCTCTGGGCTGTGCGGGTGATGCTTTGGTCGGGCCTCTGCAATTTATACAACGGCCTGGCTGTTCTCGAGCGCTTGATGCCCCAAGTGGTTGACTCTTCTTCCGACGGCACTTTTACCACAAGATCAGTCAACCCGCCGGTTCCTGATCTCGGCCATCGCAGAGACTATCTCTCCATGGCCCATCATGTCTGTCAGTCCGTGGAATATCTTTTGCAGGATGAGCTGTTGCTCGTCGGGCCGCTATCAGTATGCCTGGCGGTAGGGATTGTGATTGATTCGCTGCGGGATCAACCTCGCCATGCTTTGGAGGTTGCGTGGCTGCGAGAAGCCCTGGGGGCTATCCAGAAGAAAGGTCTCGGTCTTTTGGAACACAGTCGATGATGTAGCCAGCATGATTGTTGTGAGTATAAGGCATACAGTTACTACATCCGGACTAGTACCGGCATCCTCCTCAGGCGCCGATTATCTCCGCGGACTTAAAAGCCCTCATCCATCATCTCATCCCAACCGCCATCTGTACCTCGCACCAGGGGTTCAGCAAATCCGTGGAGATGGACTTTACGATGGAAATGACCTTATCTCCATCCGAGATGGTCGAGGCCGTGTCAGTCCATTCCACTCCGCCCAAAGAAGTATAAAACCCCCCACTCGACCTCCCAATATCAACCTCCATCTCATTCCCATTCACTGTCCCAGACAGCAAAACCTAGGTACTTTACTCCCTCACCATGTCTTCCAAAGAACTCCCCCCCTCGACATCCCCCTTCTTCCCCAACATCTTCTTCTACAACCAATTCCGCGCCAAACCCAGCTGGCCCCCGGCCTCGACCAACCTCACCGGCCAAGTCGCCATCATCACGGGCGGAAACGCCGGCCTGGGCTACGAGTGTGCCATGCAGCTGCTCTCCCTCCGCCTCACGCACCTGATCCTCGCCGTCCGCTCCCCAAGCAGAGGCGAGGCCGCGGCATCCAAGCTCCGCCACGCCTACCCCAAATCCACCATCGACGTCTGGCCACTCGACATGAGCTCGTACGACTCCATCCAGACATTCACCGCGCGCATCTCAAGCCAACTCCCCCGTCTCGACACCGTCATCCTCAACGCGGGCGTCCGACACACCAACTTCCTCTCCGTCCCCGGCACCGGCCACGAAGAAACCATCCAGGTCAACTACCTATCCACCGTCCTACTAACCATCCTTCTTCTCCCCATTCTGAAAACCAAGTCTCCGTCCGGAATCCCAGGGCGAATCACAATCATCAACGCCGCCCTTGCCCTCCTCCCCAAACTGCCGAGCGTCGACGATGATGCGCCACTCCTCAAATCCTTCGACAGCCCCGCCCAGTACGATGCCAACGGGCACTACTGCATGTCGAAGCTCTTTGCGCACGCGTTCCTCTACAAGCTGGTCGACTATGTCTCTGCAGACGACGTGGTCGTTAACCTAGCGGATCCGGCTTTCGTCAAAGGTACCGGTCTGATCCGTGATGTGAATACCGTCGGGAAGGTGTTCATGGCGCTGTTTGGGGCGCTGTGCGGGCGGACGGTCAAGGTCGGTGCGTCGACGTTCGTTGATGCGGCGGTTGTTAAGGGGAAAGAGTCGCATGGGTGTTTTTTGATGAGCTGGAAGATTGAACCGTATGTACTTGCCTGTGCTGCTGTTGTCTATAATGTTCTTGAAGGGGGGGGGGGTTTACTGACGTGGTGGGTTCTAGGTTTAACTCGTCGTTGTATACGTCTGATGGGGAACGGGCTGTTGAGCAGCTGTGGAGGGAAACCATGGATGAGCTGGCTTTTGCGGATGTGAGGGGTGTGCTTCAGAGTATGAAGAAGGGTTTGTAGGGCTGGCGGAGAGGTGGTATGTAGTAGCAATTTAATCATGTTTTTATATTTTCTACGGGTATTCATTACTTGCTCATTGTTGTAATTGAAGCGGATATATGGATCATTCGCAACAACTCTGACTGCATATATACGTCATGAAAGATTTGTGTAGTAGTACAAAAGGGTTGGGATGTGTCTAGTAGGTAGATTCAATATTTACTTCTTAATAGGCAGGGGTTTCTGTCTTCTGACCAACAGGCTTTGACAGATTATGTGAATATGGTAAGGACTGCTTTCATTCAGACAAATCCATACACAGAAAGAAAAGAAAAATAATAAAAAAAATACCAAAAGTAAGAATAGAATCAAACAAGTAGAGTAACCGTCTCGGCCGACAGCCATCACGTCGCGCGGGAATGACAGGAAAGAACCTTAAAAAGGGCTCTCTCTCCCAATCCGCATCCGCCCTTCACACCTCACATCTCTTCCTCGACAACAAATATCTTTTACCATGCCGCAAGATCCACCCCCTCCTGCATCAAACGACGATGTGGGCTGGCGTCGAGTGGTCCGCCATTTCACTCCCTCGTGAGTCACTGCCACTGCCACTGCCACTCCCACCCCCACTGCGTCGAGGGATCCCAACCCAACTACTCACACGACGCAGATGGTTCTCCGTCATCATGGGCACCGGGATGGTGTCCATATTATTAAACAGCCTACCTTACAACGGCATCTGGCTGTACTGGGTCTCGATCGTGGTGTTTGCACTCAACACCCTTCTCTTTCTCCTAGGGCTGATCATCACCCTCCTCCGGTACATCCTGTATCCGCAGATCTTCCTCGCCATGATCAGACACCCAGTGCAGTCCTGCTTCCTGGGGACGTTTCCGATGGGCTTCGCGACCATCATCAACATGTTCTGCGCTGTGTGCGTACCGGCCTGGGGGGAGTGGGCGCGATATTTCGCCTGGGGGATGTGGATATTTGATGCTGTGATTTCTGTTCTGATTGCTTTGTCGCTTCCTTTCTTGATGTAAGCCCCCCCCCCCCCCCCCCCCCCCCCCCAAAACTCATCTCGAGTATGTAATGTAATCTTCATCCTGACAAGCCAGGATGTACCACGGAAACGAAACCCAACTATCGTCCATGACCGCCGTCTGGCTCCTCCCGATCGTCTCCTGCGTGGTGGCCTCCACCTCCGGCGCCATCGTCGCCGACATCCTCCCGGACCCACAGCTCGCCCTCTGGACAATCATCACCAGCTACGTCCTCTGGGGCATCGGAATGCCTCTCGCTTTCATGGTCATGTCGATCTACTTCCAACGGCTCACCCTGCACAAGCTCCCGCCTCGCGCTGTGATTGTCAGTGTCTTTTTGCCGTTAGGTCCGCTGGGTCAAGGCGGATATGCGTGCGTCTTTCCCCATCCCCTCATCCCCATTTACCTTGAAAAAGAAGAGAGAGAGAGAGAGAGAGAGAGAGAAAGAGAGAGAAAGAAAAGTACCATTAATACCTATATTCCAACCACAGGATCATGAAACTCGGCCTCGCCGCACAAACCATCTTCCCCCAAACCAACACGCTCGAAGGCTCCTCCGGCCCCACCTTCTACACCGTGGGCTTCCTGATCGCGCTCATCCTGTGGGCCTTTGCCCTCGTGTGGCTCTTCTTCGCCTCCGCGTCCATCGCCCACTGCAAGACCTTCCCGTTCAATATCGGCTGGTGGGGCTTCACGTTCCCGCTGGGCACCTTTGCGCTGAGTAGTTGTCAGCTGGGGAGGGAGCTGCCGTCGAGGTTTTTTGCTGTTTTTGGGACGGTGAGTTTATATACCTACCTACTGAGATAGCTGTCTACCTACCGACCTACCTACCTACCTACCTACCTACCTACCTCCCTACCTACCTACACACACACATACAAACCCCCGTTACCACAGCCATAATAGAATAGAATCTATATGAAAGGATCATGCAAATGCAGCTACTAATACCAATCCTAACCCTCAACAGATCATCTCCCTGTGCGTGGTTCTTCTATGGATCGTCGTGAGTATCGGCACTTTGAGGGGCGTGGTATCGGGGAAGATCTTCTTTGCGCCGTGCTTGGGGGATTTGGCGGTTGGGGTTAGGAAGGCTGAGAGGGGTTGTGGGGGGAAGGTTTGAGGGTAGGTAGTTAGTTTAGTTGATCAGTCATTGCGTGGAGTTGGATTGTTGGATGGATCATCATGGATGGTTTGGCTTAGCGGGGTACCTTGGTTTTGGGATACATCGTACATCGCTTCTTTTCATCAATTGCATTTTTCTTTTCTTCCTGTTAGTTGTTTTCTGTCGATTGTTTTCTGATAAAGATAATGGGCTTGAATTGGGGAGAGGATGGTGGTTCAGACTTCAGAGATATATAGTGTAGTACTAATACTAAGTAAGATGTTTTGAATTGAAAAAAGCCAATTCATTATCTTGTATGGTATTTCGTCTGTTGCTTGGTGAACTTATACTGTAGGATTGTGCTGCGAGGCTGGAGGGATACACTGAATTGATGCCGTGCAGAGTGATTGGGCGTAGGATGTGTGGAGGAATTGGGAGGTTTATGGCTGTTTTGTGTCTTTGTCCAAGGTGAGCGTTAGTTTGATTGGAACGATGTGGTGGGAATGGATAGACATAAATATAGATATAAGTATAGGAAAAGCTAGGGGATTTGAAAAAAAAAAAATAAAAAGAAAGAAAAAAGAAAGAAAAAAAAAAAAAAATAGACTAGAAAATAGACAAAAAAAGAAAAAAAAAAAAAACATGTATATTCAAGCAGGATGGGAATAATAAGTCTATAATAATAATAGTAATAATAATAATAATACATGAAATATCACATCAGAAAGAAAAGAGGACAGGTTTATACATCATTCAGTGCCAGCACGATCCTCCACAGCGCCTCCTCGAGATACTCCCTCCGATGGGAAAACACGATCCGGAACCACCCGCCACACTCGGACCCAAACAGCGCGCCCGTGGCCAGGAAGACCTTCCGGCGCAGAAGCAGCTCCATGACCTTCTCGGCGATCGCATCGCCGTCCATCTGCGCCGTCTCTACCGGGTGCAGCTTGCGATACTTCAGGCCGAGGTTGACCCAGAGGAAGAAGGCGGCGTGGGCGCCCGGCGCGTACTCGATGCCCTGGCTGCGGAGGTGCTGGACGGCGAAGGCGTACGATTCCGACAGCTTCTGCTGGTTGAGCTGGATGTAGCGCCTCGTGAAGAAGGTGTCTTCGAGGACGAGGGACGCGAGGTGTTCGGAGACGGAGGACGGGTAGCTGTAGAGCGAGGCGCCCTTGAGGGCGAGGTGGAGGGCCGGGTTGTTTTGGGAGACGATGGCGCCGATTCGCAGGCCGTTGGCGCCGAAGTCCTTGCTCATGCCCCAGAGCACGTGGACGAGGCTGGGGTCGATGAGCCGGGAGGTGTTGATGGAGAGGGCCGATTCGAAGGCCACGGCGGCGGGTTGCGGGTCGACGGTGTTTTCCCACACGGAGAGCGCGTAGATCTCGTCGCTGATGAGGTGGATGTGGTACTTCTGGCACAGTCGCATGAGCTGGACCAGTGTGCTCCGGGGGTAGCAGCGTCCGAGGGGATTGTGAGGGTGGCACAGCATCAGGGCTCGGACTTTCCGGCCGGTCTTTTGCTGGAACTCGAGCAGTGCGGCCTCGTATCGGTCTACGGCGGGCAGGCTGAAGGGGTCGCAGTCGCCGAATTCGACCGGGACGACGACGGCGCCGGGCCGTAGCGACATGTCCGGGATGAAGGTGCCGTAGTAGGGTCTTCCTAGGAGGATCCCTTCGCCCGGGTCGGTGAAGGCCCATGAGACGTGCTCGATGGCGGCGGAGACCCCGTTGGTGATCACGACGTCGTCGCCGGTGATCGGTTGGATGGGCTGGAGATGTTTGTTGAGAAAGCCTGCCACGGCGCGTCGGAGGCGCTCTGACCCGATGCCCCCGTCGTTGTACGTGAGGTATTTGGCTGGAAGATCCAGCTCGGTGTTGATGTAATCCAGCAGGTAGTCGTGCATCAGCGCGTTCTCCGCCACGCCCACGTTGACATAGCCATTGGGCTTTGTCGTCGGACACCATGGGTTGCGCATAATGTCCCACATGAGGTTGTTGGATGCGGACGCGACATCGCGAGCCCGCTGGGAGAGGATCGTGTTCGGCATGTTGCGAAACAGGCCTGCTGAATGCGCTGGTCTCCGACGGCTGCAACAAGGGGTTGAAGGACACGACCAGCAGACGCTCCGGTCTTCAGAAATCAGGACAATTGAAGACTTTTGAAGGTTCCAAAGGGAGCGAGCAGAGTTTGGTTCCAGCCCAACCCAACCTTATCGGCCCGGGTATCTAGTCGGTTGCGGTACCCGCCAGCAGTCCCAGCAGGAGGGAGGGTAGGGCTATTTCATCATCGGTTCCGAAAAGGGGATGGGACGACGGTGCAGATGTTTCACATATCCAAAGCGCGGTGGGCCAATCCTGTAGTAGATGTCCTCTCGCACGCAACAAGGGGCCGCAGCTGCATCGCATCGCATCGCGAGATTCCAGAAAAGCAAGGAACGCTAGAACGTCATCCTCGCCCATTAGGTTCGTCCCTCGTATATGCGCCCCACCAGACGCGTTGGAGCCTAGAGCCTCGTGGAGAGCCGCGACCGAAGTCTAAAAAATTCTGCGTGCTCGGGAAATTTGGGAGAATTGGGGGGGGTTTTTTTTTTCGCAGGCGGGGCGTCGTCGAGTCAGTTCCCGAGGATGGAGAGTGGAGCGGCCCGGAGATGATCCCATCGGGCATCAAACATCAACAGGTGGTGAGGTAGGGAGCTAGCTCCCTTGACAGCTCTGTCACATCATTCCCCACTCATATTCCAGTCATCGTCCGCTTCTATAACAGAAATCGTAGGCAGGGAATAAGCCAGACTCGTGATTGATTTGAAAAAGTGTGTAGAGCCTGCATCTGATGAGAGCTGCAATGGTGTATAAAATGGGTGCTGTATATCTTGGATGTTGAACGTCTAAATATAGACTATTCTTTCCATCTTGTTGGAAATGTGTGCTTTTCTTATGTCAAATGTGGCAGAATAAAAGATTTAATTCTGATTGTGTGGCTATGGCATATGAACTATCTTCCATGTTTTCTGAATAAAAATCAAAGTTTTCAGGAAACATTCTCTTTCTTTTTGTTGATTGATCGCTGCTTTCGACCCTTCTGTGTTCCATCGTCTGTCATAGTAGCCGGACGAGCGTGAACATTGCTAGGGTGAGGATCTTTGATTTGGGAGTAAGCGAACCCAATGGAAGTCGTTGACAGTAGTCGAGTGATATCAGTGCTGCCATCTCTGGCCATGACGCCAGTGCTGTCTTTGTCCCTGGAGATGTTGTCCGCTTCCTGCGCTTTTCCAGTAGCATGCAGGATCTTTGCTATCGTGGCATGTACAAATAGAAGTTCTGGGCTAGGAAGTTGATATCTGGCATCGTGCTGCTCAAATGTGACAATACCAGACGACGGCAGGGTTCTCACAAATGCGTGTTGGGGATCAAAAACTTTGATCCGGTACGAATTGGGTTCTCTGAGAGCCTCGAGCGCAAAGTCGAATGTACCGAAATACACATGAAGCCCATGAGTCATAGTGATGGCATTTCGAGGTTCGTTAATCGAGCTTTGTGTCAAGCCTATTCTGCTCCTCAGGGATGGAAAACATCGATTTAGACTGACCCAGATTTTCGCGACCGCATTTTGCTCTGTCTCGTTGGTCCAATTTCCAATGCAAAAGGGAATGATGTGGGCGCAATTTGTCCTATCGATGATTTCAGTGGAATTGCGTTTGTGCGCAGGATCCCTAGCACCACTTAGGCAACATTTGTAGTCGTCACGCCTCAGACAGGCCGTTTTGAGCCAGGTTTGATCTTTTCTGGCTGCCGGCTCGTCCAGTGCGGCAGCGATGTTCTCGATGGAGTCCTCGACTCCAAACCGGGCGGAAATGGTGATGGATGGAGTTTTCGAGTGGGCTCTCAACGGAAATAACAGCCCCTCGACAAGAGTAGTCGCGTGTTGGTTTATTTCTTCATCTGTCTGGAGTGAGTGCAAATCTTCAAGTAGATTTTCTCTACCGTCCTTTCCAAGATGCTCGAGAAAAGCATGGAGGACTTTCACCGTATCATCCTTGGGATCTTTAGGACGGTACCTATGTAGCTTCTCAAGGACCTCCTGTTCGACAAAACCCGAAGCAGACGAACTCAGGCTTGTAAGATCAGATGTTGAGATCGACATGGTGGCTGTCTGATTGGGGTAGAAAAGAGGAAAGATGTGCCTGTTATCAGTATATGGGTATATAAACCCGGCACTGGTCACGTGGTGCAGCCTAAAGTTTCCATCTCCAGTGAGGCCTGGGTGAGGTTTGCGTCAGTATTTTATGTGAGGATCTGAGTGAGGGCAGGGTGATATTTCTAAATTTCAAATCAGCATGACATCATAGAAAGCAGATCTTGATTTTGACGGCTGTACATGCGATACCAGGGACGAAGAGGCAATTTCGTCGATCGAACACATCGTGAGCATTGGAGTTCTTTCTTCATGAAGAGCTTTCCAAGATTTATGATATGCTGCGGCAAAGAGATGGGTTGGCCTCAACCAGTGCGTTCAAACACAACTTTCGACCAGTTTCAATTAACAGAACCCGGAACACTATGACAATGTCTAGGGCTCCCATCATCACGCCGCCCGCTGAAATACGCCCCTTGAGGCTAGCGAACCGAGTTTGTATCGAATTCGAGTATTCAAATCGAATGATGTAGGTAAATGATCTCCAGGCAGAATACGAGATGGACAAAGAACATGAGATGGAATAATTTGCAAGCAGGGAAATACTATATTATTCTTCTCGCATGTTAGCGGGTGGAATCGAAAGGGCCTGTATACGGCAGGGTTTATTTTCTACACAGAATATGAAGTCAAACATCTACTGGCTGAGGGATGATTAATTTGATGGAATGGTTCATACCGTCCTTTTGTAGTCTGAAGACAACATAGTTATAAATCAGTGCAAAATGTGCACCACAGCATCGTAGAACCAAAAGAAGAGTTACCCATCTGGACACTAGGATCTGCTGTTTGAAAAGTGAGGCGCTCTGGTGCACTGTAGGACCAAACCGGTTGTGCATGATCCGACGATTCCGACATACTACTGTGTATTGCATGGCATCCGGATCGAGGCTTGTCTTTCCCTCTCCGCAGCTGAGAGATGTTCTAGGCACGGCCTTGCCGGGATCACAGACACTTGGACTCAGACACAAATTAGGGCTCGCGGGGAGTCATCAACCTCGGCCAAGCAAACAATGTTAGCGTCTCGCCACCGATTGGCGCATTTATTCCAGGTGAAGGTCTGATCCGCCGGTCTGACGAGCTATCGATCAGGGCCCGTCCATCGTTATCATATGGTCCTCGGCTGTCGCCGTCCCGTCCAGCCTTGAGGTGGTGGTATTCCGCGTCAGACTGTGTTTGCTTCTTCAAGCTGCTGCTTGATGACAGTGTCGCTCAGTTCAGACAGAGTCAATAATCAATATCCCAGTCACATGCGATGAGATAACCGTCATCATCCCCAAACCCGAGAAACAGACCACAGAGGATCCAGAACTGGAAGTCCCATCCTTTGCATACGGAGTAGAGGAACAATCGTCCCATGCAAGAATGCCTAACCCCTTCTTCCACGGACCACGCCCAGTCCCCCGCCACCAGGAACAATCCCGGGGGCCAAAGTCGCACCACCATGCGATGTTACATGCGCCAAATAGGCTAAATATGCCTGTCTGACGGAGTACTACTACTGGTACAACTAGTGAGGTAACCTGCAGATCGCAGGGCATGCAGGCTTGGCGGGGTTCCCCGCACGAATCGAGCCAGAAAGTACTTAAGAAGGGCGAGGATCATCCCTCGCTGAACTGACCGGCGACTAGCCGATGACTCGAAACAAGATGCGGTGGATTCTCCCTTCTTTCCTGCTCCTGGCTGGGGCTGATGCTCTGCTTCGTCCGGATGGTGTGGTATGTATGCATATGGCTGCAGTTTCAAGATACCAACCAAGTTTTTTTTGGAAAGAAAAGTCAGCTAGTTCTTGATCAAGTCGGCTAATGGAAGCAGGGTCGCGCCCCTGCTCTGGGCTGGAACTCGTGGAACGCGTATAACTGCGAGATCGACGCCGACAAGATCCTGACTGCAGCGAACGAGGTCGTTAATCTGGGACTGAAGAGTCTGGGATATGAATACATCAATAGTACACCCCTCCCCACTTCAATATCCTTGAATACAAACTAATGCAACCAGTCGACGACTGCTGGTCCGTCAAATCCGGCCGCGACCCCACGACGCAGCGCATCATCCCCGACCCGGACAAATTCCCCGATGGCATCTCGGGCGTGGCAGACCAGGTGCATGCCCTGGGGCTGAAGCTGGGGATTTACAGCAGTATGCTCCACCACCGCCACGGATCTCCTACTATACAGCAATACTAACACCATCCAGGTGCCGGGACAACCACCTGCGCCGGCTACCCCGCCAGTCTCGGCTACGAAAACATCGATGCCGAGGCCTTCGCCGAATGGGGCGTGGACTGTACATCCCTCCTTCCCCCCTCTTCCCCCCCCCCCCTTCAGCAATCCATCTCTAACAAAAAAATAAAACAGACCTGAAATACGACAACTGCGGCGTCCCCACCAACCTCACAGACGAATACACCTACTGCGTCCCCGACAGCACCGACGGCTCGTTCTTCCCCAACGGCACCTGCGTGAACCTGACGGACGCCGCCCCGGCGGGGTACAACTGGGCGACATCGACGACCGCAAAGCGGTACAAGCGCATGCGCAACGCGCTGGAATCGGTGAACCGCACCATCCTTTACTCACTGTGTGATTGGGGCCAGGCGGATGTGAATGACTGGGGCAATGCGACGGGGAATTCCTGGCGGATGAGTGGGGATATCACGCGTTTGTCTACCTCTCTTTCTTCAATCGGAATCGCGTCTCAAGATACCCTCTTCCTACACCCTGCTCTCACGTATAATAATTCCTATCCTACCCCACATACGCCCGATCCTCCTCCCCCCATCTTCGCCACCAGACAGAGAAAGTACGCAATACTAAACATATGTATGGGACATGGGGAACAGCCTACTGGTCCCGCATCGCCGAAATCGCCAACGAAAACTCCTTCCTCATGAACTACGCCAACTACTACGGCTACCCGGACCCCGACATGCTGGAGGTCGGCAACGGGAACCTGACTCTGGCGGAGAACCGCGCGCATTTCGCCTTGTGGGCGGCCATGAAGGCGCCGCTGATTATTGGGACGCCGGTATGCCCTTGCTAAACCCACCCATAGATACATACTACATGTATATATTCATTATGACGGCCACAACAACAACAACAACAAGAACAACACTAACAGGAATATTTATCTATAGTTGGACACAATCGACACCTCCCACCTCACCATCCTCAGCAACACCTACCTTCTCACCTTCCACCAAGACCCGGCTGTCGGCCGCCCCGCCTACCCCTACAAATGGGGCTACAACGCCGACTGGACCTTCGACCCCGTCCACCCAGCAGAGTACTGGTCCGGGCCATCGCCCGCTCTGAACGGCACGCTGGTGGTCATGCTGAACACGCAGGACACGACGCAAACTCGTACCGCGTACTGGAAGGAGATTCCCGAGCTTGAGGATGCGTATGCGGCCGGGAGTAGGGGGTTCAGAGTGCGGGATGCCTGGTCGGGGAATGATTTGGGGTGTGTGCGGAATAAGTATGGTGTTCGGTTGGGGGCGCATGATGTGGCTGTTTTGGTTGTGGGGGGGAGTTGTTGATTCAAGTGAGATGGGGGACGGTCTATAAGGAGGATGGATAGGGCTCTTTGCAGAAGGGAGGGGGGGGTGAACCATGGATGGAATACCCACTATCAGGTATCATTAGACCAAGATATGACATCTACTGTCTACACTCCACAGGGTATCTATTCAAATTAAGCTCATCCCTGTCTGGTCCATCCGATCGCAATCCAACAAGTAGGCCAGACTGGCTACATCGCCATGACATCATCCGTCATCCCAGCCACCATCCAGCAGACGGATAAATAGAACACGAGGAGGTGAAACTGTCCATCTACTATCATACTGTCATAGTCTGTCTCTTGAGCATAAGACTACGCGACACGACCATTGACCCTTAATTCCCGTCCTCTACCATATCACACCACACCCAGACCCAGACCCAGACCCAGACCTGATCTCACCTGCCACTCCCATCCACTCCACTCCACAGCTCTATACTTATACTATCCTACATTGTTAAAAATGACATCGCAATACAGCGGCTCTCCCCTCCCCGGCCCAGTCATCAGCAACCCGCCCCCGATGACCTCCACCTCCAACCCCAACCCTAACCACGACCACAACTCCAACCACAATCCCGACCATAACCCCAGCCCAGAAACCAACACCAGCACCAACACCAACACCGACTGGACAACCCACCCCCCCTACAACACACCGCCCCCCTCCGAACTCCGCCCCGCCAAATGGCGCGGAAGATGCCAGTGCGGGCAGGTCACATACCAGTTAAGCCGGGAGCGGCCCCTGAAGGCCAAGTTCTGTCATTGTAGGGGATGTCAGGTGATGCATGGTGGGTGGCGGTGCACTTATTTATTTCATATATACATACATCCACATTCATACATCCACATACACATTTATATGCACAATTATATGCACATTCACATCCACTCACATCCACATCCCACTCCCACCCACTCCCAACCCGAGCCAAACCCTATTACTACCACTACCACTACCCCCTCCCCTCCCCTCCACCCCACTCCACCCCACTACCTAGCCGACTGACCTTTCCCCAGGCGCCCCCTTCCAATGGGCCGCCATATTCCACAAAACCGACCTGACATTCACCCGCGGCGCATCAGGCCTGAGCTTCTACTCGTCGTCGCACAACACAACGGAACACAAGCTGCCCACGAAGGTGCATTGCCGTGTTTGTCAGACGCCGATTATGGACGAGGGCCGCAATGTGTGTTTGCTTTTCCCGATGGCGCTGCAGAGCGTGCTTGTGCGACGCGATGAGGGGAGGGATGGGTGGAGGGGGCGTTTGAGGTTGAGTGAGTTTTCTCTTTTCTTTTCTTTTCTTCTCTTTTTCGTTCTGGTTGGTTGGGTGTTGGTGTTTGGAGATTTTCCGGCTGACTGTTGATAATGATGCTGATGGTGGTGGTGATGTAGTTGCCATATCTTCTACGGGCAGCGGGTCGTGGATATCCCAGACGGAAAGCCGAAGTGGTCGGGGCTAGATGGGAAGAGTGATCGGTTGGATGATGAGGGGGGGGTGGTCACAGACTAGATGACTGGACTAGATGACTGGATGACTAGATGACTAGATGGCTGGATGGCTGGAGTCGGCTGCAGACGCCGCGTGGTGTCGTCGGTGTAGTGTAGATACTTGCCATACCACACCCTGAAAGAAGGTCTGACAGACACGCATGCGTAAGGTTAACCTGGAGCATGAATCTCGACTTGACTTGACTAGTACTGTGTCCCAGTCCCTGTCCCAGTCCCCGTCCCGGAGCCGTGGCTCCAATCTGGATATCCCATCAGTGAAATAAAACCCGAGCGGCAGGATAACCCGAAGAAAGAACCGCGTTTTTGCGTTTCTGACTCTACATCGGTCATGGTCAGCAGGGAAATTCCCTTTCCATATCAGTTGAGGGGCTGAGCAAGAATTTCTCGGGACATATGACATTCCAGAATAATCGGGGTCATGCGGCCGTGGCCATGGGATGACTATCATCTATATCCCCGGACATCAGCACCTGACAGCTCAGCCCTAGGACCCGCGCCAAAGACCCTGCATGCAGATCCGGCACGATACGATGTCCGACTCCCCAGTCCCGAATTCTTCAGCACCCTGGAATGCACGGCGTCAGCCTACCCGCAACCTCATCAAGACCTCATCGACTATAAGAAGCCAGTCAAGTCATGGCTCACCACATCTCCCGGGATGACCCCCAATCCCAATCACCATGAATCACAACACAACAATGTGGCCACAAACCAGACACACCGTGCTAGCCCTCCTAGCGACAGCCACGTCCACCGCAGCCGTGACCACCATCCCCGACAATGAGATGAACAGCCTCATCAGCCACGGCGCCGTCTCACTCGCAACCCGATACGCCCCTCTCTGGTTCTTCAGCCAAGCAGTCAACCAACCACCCTGCTACCCCACGTGGGCGTTCGGCGGCACCCCAAACGCGTCAGATATCTACGACGCGAGGCACCGCACCCCCGCAGCGCCGCAATGCGAGTACCCCGACGTCGGATGCAAATGCCGCAAGCCGGGCGTGGAGCGCGGCCATCCCGGCCCCGCGTTCCCGATCTACTACACGTTCGCGAGGTGCAGCGAGTCCGAGGTGCGGGTGGTGTATAACCTGTTCTATGAGAAAGATGGCGCCGAGGTGTTGGATTTGATTGATACCGGGCATGACTAGTGAGCCTGCCCTGCGCCTGCGCCTGCGCTGATCCATCCAACCAATCTATGCAACCCCAGCCAGTCGGGTCGGGTCGGGTGAGTGACAACCAAGAGTTATCCACCGGTCTAACTTGATCGTGACCAGCGACTGGGAACGAGTCATCGTCATCCACACCCGAAACGCAAACCGCACATGGGCGCCATCGCGCGCCCTCCTCTCAGCCCACAGCGGCTACCACAATCTGCCCTGGGGAAGTATCCACAACACGCTGACGAGCGCGCAAATCCTCGCTGGAAGCGCCAGGCTGCCTGACGGGGTCCAGAATAATGATCATCCGAAGGTGTATGTCTCGTGGTCGAAACACGCGCACTTCGATACCCGGAATACCGTCTGGGTGGATCCGCTCAGTCAGTCGCTCGATACGGCGTTTCGCGGTCAGGACTGGTGGCATTTCGTCGAGGAGAGGTATTATGTTAGTGGTTACTCCGTGGTGTTGTTGTGCTGCGCTGCTTCTGGCGCGATGTGAAATATGTGGAATATGTGAAATTGCATGTATGCTAACAGGGCCAGCAGATTCGCGCGGATAATTCGACGGCCGCGGGGAAGGCGCTGGGGAGTGCCAATTGGGGGTCCGCGACGAGTAATCCGCCCTTTGTGCAGATGGGGGTATGTGCTGCTGGTTGAGTGTAGATACTAGGTATAGTAGTCAGTTAATAGAGATGTGTGTATGGAGAAGTATAGCTGGATAGTTGGATAATTGGATAGGATGGTTGGGTTAAACCGTCCAGCCTGTGGTGGTGGTGCAGCGATAAATCATCAGCGCGGGCTGCATGACGTCGATGCCGTTCCCCACTGGACACCGAAATTCCTCACCACCTTTTACTCTAAAACCTCCTCATCACCACCACTGGCCCAACCTACACATCTACAATTACTTACCCTCGAAGTACGTTCCCATTCCACCGCAATCACCCCCTCCCAAATCCCCATCCAACCCTCCCTCCCCTCCCTCCCCTCCCTCCCCTCCCTCCCCTCCCTCCCCTCCACTCAATCTACCAACCAACCAATCAACCCCGCACCAAAACACAACCAACTAACCACCCACAGCCCCCCCCCCCTCTACCAAAGAAAGAAAATGTCCTGGACCCAAAAAACATTCACCCTCCCCGCGCGCTCGCGCGGCAGCTACCTGATAACCGACCAAGTGATCTCCGAGCTGCCGGAACTGCGCAACTACAAGGTCGGCATCCTGAACCTATTCGTGCAGCACACCAGCTGCGCGCTCTCGCTGAACGAGAACTGGGATGACGATGTGCGCGCCGACATGAGTGACGCGCTGGACCGCATCGCGCCGTACGATAAGAAGGGCAATCTGTATAGGCATTCCGCGGAGGGGGAGGATGATATGCCGGTTTGTTTTCCCCCCAATCATCTCTCTTTTTTTTTTTTTTTTTTTTTTTTTTGCTTGGCTTGGGTTGGGTGGGAGGGAGATCAGGAGGCTGAGAATCTAGACTAACGATTCTGATAGGCGCATATCAAGTCGGCGTTGATCGGGGCTTCGGTTTCGATTCCCATCTCCAATGGACGCCTGGCGACGGGGACGTGGCAGGGGATTTGGTATTTGGAGTTTCGCGCGGCGAAGCACTCGCGTAAGGTGGTGGCTACGATTCAGGGGGAGAAGGCGTGACTTTTTGGTTATGATGGTGGTGATGATGATGGTGGGGTAGACTATAGGAATACTATAGCCTGTGATATGTAGTGTAAAAGCATATATGACAGGCTGGTGGACATCAATACGGAATACGGATACAGACACAGATACGGATACTATATCCCAAAATCACAATTCAATCGAACTTCATTGCCTGGTACATCTGTACAACAGCCAGAGGGCTAAAACTCAAAGGAAAATATCGTCAACGCCAATAAAACCAACCTACCGCTGCTCGAGCCCGCCCTCGGTCACGCGCTGGCTCTCGTTCACCTCCGCGGCATCACCGGTGGGCTCGAGGGGGTAGCTGGTGGCGGGGAGGGACTGGAGGTATGCTCTGTGCTGCTCGTGGGCCTGTTATCGATCGTTAGCATGTCAGAACAGTTGAGTCAATGGTTTTATCCGGACGTACGAAGGGAATGCCGCAGTAGCCGCAGGTGGCGATATCGGGCTTGTCGGTGTTGATGAACACCTTGGGGTGGCCGAGGGGACCGCCGCCGCCGTCACAGCTGACGACGCGCTTTTTCGTCCAGCGAACGGGCTGCTTGTGGATGAGCTCGATGGCGGCCAGGGGTTGGGGCTGGGGATGATGTCAGTACTGTATCTTGGCTGGCGGGGTGTTTATTTTCTGGCGGCGTCTCGCACCTGCATCTCCATTATCGTCTGCTCGAAGCGAGGACCGGTCATGGCCTGCTCCTTCGGCTGCTGGCTGGCCGCCCAGGTGGTGGCCCGGTTGGGGGCCTGCAGGTGACGCAGGCGCTCGGCCACCTCGGGCTCCTCACGCAGGGGGGCATCGTGGGCGCCCATGGAGTCGACGGGAGTGGCATTGGTGCCGGAGACGTTGGGCTTGGGGGTGGGCGGGGTCGGGTTGTTGGCAGGGATGAAGTTCTCGGAGAGACGAGGCACGGTGGTCGAGTAGGAGGCGCGGGCGACGAACCGCGGGGTCCAGGCGGAAGAGAGAGCCGCGACCCGGCCGCGAACGCAGGGCAACATGGTGAAGGTGAGGATTGGAGCCCGGGGGATGGGACACGGAGGAGCAATGGCGGGATGAGGCGGAGGAGGCGGAGGCGGCGGAGGCGAGAGGTCGGGATGGAGAGAGTTGGATGAGGTTTCCAGTTTGCGGACTCGGAGCTGCTGCGCTTGGCCGGCCAATCGGCGGCCTTCCTGCCGGGCGGGCGGTGGCTTTCTGCCGCGCGGGATTTCTGCTTTGCAATCGTCGCGCTTTTGCTGGTCGCTCGCTGTCGAACGGAAGTCTTAGTAACTTATCGTCGTGCAGATTCTTTTTTTTTTTTCTTTTCGCTTCGTTGCAACTCCCCGGTCATTCACTACAGCAGCATCATGCGTGGCTCTCCCAGTTCTGGCGCAAAGCCAGAGAAGACCATGTCTTCGCGTCTGCTGACGATGAAGGTATGAGCCGGTTCGTTCTCGATTGATCTGCCATGCTAACCCAGCCAGTTCATGCAACGCGCTGCCGCTACGAATGCCGCCAAAGAGCCCTCCCAGCCCGCCTCCGCCGAAGAATCCAAGATCGCCACCCCCAAGCGACAGAGACTCTCCACCGGACCCGGCGAAAGTCCCATTGGCACCCCCCAGTCCGACCTGGATGCGATCTCGGCTGCCCTGGCGGAGGAGGAAGAGAAGCGCAGGGAAGCTCTGTCCCGCCAGGCCCTGGACTCGGGGGACACAGAGTGGGTGCTCGACTACGCTGCCAGCCCGGTCGAGTATGCGCCGCCGCCGTTTGTCGTGGCGGACGAGTCGCTCGACGCCGACGACGACGACCTGGCCGGCGGGGGTCGACAGGCCTATGGGAATTTCAAGCGGAAGAAGAAGACTGCAGTAAGTTCATAACATTGCGCGAGTGAGCTGCTCTAACATCAACTAGACTGGAGAAGAAGTAAACGAAGAAGACATCGAAACTAAAAAAGAAAGCAAGACATCGCGGGTTAAAGTATCGCAACTCACAAGCATCTCAGGCGGCCGACAATCGACCATGGGGGGTGAAGACAAAAAACAAAAGAAGCGCAAACATAAATAGATACTTTTTTTCTCATTTCTCATCGCAGCCTTCACATCTTCTTGCTCACGCTGCCTCTCGTTCATTAATTCGCATCCCTCGGACTCGCTGGAGATGGGTGCATGCTCTCGACTATCACCAGAAACTGGCATCCGCCCTGACATGCTCGGGCACCTCTCTGGGGCGCTGGACGGGGGCTGATGTCTTCAGAATTGGGCGCGGATACTCCGGGTTGTACACCCCATACCAGGTGGTGTCTCGAGGCTTGACGTTGACGGCGTTGCCCTTCGGCACCAGGACTCTTTCCATCACGTCTCTCTCCACAAATCGCGGCGCCTGGCGAACATCACGCTGCTCTCTCACCTCGCGGTCCTTGTATCGGACGCTGTCAGGTTCGCGAGGTCCATACTGCTCCCTCTGACTGCCGCGCCGCTCCACAGGCCACTCGCTAGACTTTCTCAGCTCGCGTCCATGTTTCTCCGCCCAGGCCTTCTTGCCAAGATCGATAAGCTCGCTCTCAGCCACCCAGTGCCCTAATACCATTAGCCAGGCCCTTCAGAATCCGGAAGCAGCACTTACCATATTCGGATCCGTCTGGGACAGAGTACTCAGCGCGCACGCGGGGACGAGGGGGCAGGTGAACGGGGGGATAGACGGGGCGATGAACTGGGCGAATCACCTCCTCGTAGGTTTCGCGCCGGAGAGGGGGGTGATAGATATAGTCATGAGCCGGTCTCCGGGCCTGTCGATGGTGCTCGCGCGATGGCTGGCGGGTCCGTCGATATCCGTCGTCGTAGCCTCGATGATGGATATTGGGGGGGAGAGAGGAGCGTCTGCTGTCAGACGACTTACGGCACACTCGCGGCCCGCGCTCATCTCTCTCCACCCAGTAATCTCTATCGTCGCAACAGAGGAACATCTTGTCTGCGGTGGGTTGGGTAGTAGGCAGTACGCTGTGGTTGAAGCCTAGTCTGTCAGAATTGCATCAATATAGAAGAGGTGCCGTTGTGAACACTTACAACTATCTTAGACACTGTAGTCGTCAACGTGGACACTATAGTCCTCAATATAGACACTGTAATTCTCAACGTAGGCACCGCAATCCGCAATGCAGAGAGAGAGAGATGTATACAACTGCTGCGTGCGGCGCATGGAGATGAATCCATCCAGGAAGGCGCAGCGTGCGAACAGTCGCCCAAAAGCCCTGAGCCCGCATCGCAAATTTCACGCCGACTCAGCATTCACGACGACTCAGCAAGCGAAATGAGACCGTACAGAATTGGTCTCAGGAAGCGAGATGGGGGCATGCAGCCTGGTTCTACACAGTGAAGTAGCAGCAGCAGCGGCAGCATCGTAAGACAGCGTCATGAAAGGAATCTCCGCCATGAAGAAAGTGCCCCGTCATGAAAGAAGCGCGTATCATGAAGAAGCCTGAGCCTGCGTCACAAAGAAACCTCATAAGGTAGTGACTGGTGGTATATACAAACCAATCTACTAGTACCTCACCTACTTCTTCCACCTTCCACCCCCGTCTTCTCCATCATATCCCATCTCCATTGCACCTCATACCTTATATCCCAATCCCAATCCCAATCCCAAAGATAAACACATACATACATACATACATACAGACATACAGACATACATACCCCTCCCTCCCTCACAATTTCACCTTCCTCCTCCCCCTCCCACTCCCCCACCAATTAACCCCCAAATTCCACGCAGCCACCAACCCCCCCACCGGGGGCAACAACAACAAAACCCACGCCCACCACTCCGGACTCCCGCCCCTAACCACCTTCATCGCGCGCCTCACCTCTTCCTCCAAATCCACCTTATCACCATCATTCCAAACCACCAACCCCCTCCCCTCACCCCTCAACCCCACCCTGTGCACCTTCCCCGCCACATCCCCCTGACTACTCACCCGATCCATCGCCTCCCGCTCACTCAAATGCGCATCCCGCGCCCTCAGCCTCCGCATCTGCACCTCCGGATCCCTGACCCCCACCACGACCACCGTCCCGCAGAGGACATCCATCCCGGACTCGAACAGCAACGGGACATCGAGCACGACGGCCCAGTGGCCCCGCACGTAGTAGTGGAGGAGCGCTTTGTAGATTTCGCGGCGCACGGCCGGGTGCACGATTTGGTTGAGGGTGGTGCGGGCGGCGATGGCGGACGGGGAGGTGCCGAAGACGCGGCGGCCGAGGGCGGGGCGGTTGAGGGGCCGCGGGGAGGAGGGGTCGTTGGCGTCCAGCGGGGGGAGGAGCAGGTCGGGTGTGGAGGGGAGGAAGTGGCTGAGGATGGACGCGTAGCCGGGCGTGCCCGGTTCGACGACTTTGCGGGCCAGCAGGTCGGTGTCGATTATGGGGAGGGAGTAGGGCGGGCTGGAGAGGAGGGCGGAGACGGTGGATTTGCCCGTGGCGATGGAGCCGGTTAGGCCGATTATTAGCATTTTGGTTGGTGTTGTGGTGGTGGTGGTGTGAGGGGATGGTGGTGGTGGAAGGGAGGGAGGGAGGGAGGGAGGGAGTTGAGGGAGGTTAGCGATGCGGTGTGGGGAGGAAGACTGCGGGCCGAGGCCGGCGTCGGCGGGCGGAAATGTACCACCGCTGGCAGCTGTATAATAGTACTGGTATAGATGAAGAATAAAGTTGGGTATAGATTACTACTTTCAGAGAATAATAGTATAATACATCTGACCGGCTCCCGTTGCCCGGTCTCCCTCCTGGGATGAAAGTGTCGATATCAACCCGCATCCTGCGTGGGATGGAATGGCTAAGCATCATCCATCACTGTCAGCGCATGCTGAGCTCCATTGGCGCCGACTATACTGCCACCGACGCCTGTCTGGCCATGGCAACCAGTTACTCCCAGTAGACGAGAACCACCATATAGTCCACAAGGATTATACATGTAATCACCACAGATATACCACTGGTAATCACACATGCAATACCACACACGATCATGTATGCAATCACACAGGCATCATCATAATGTATAATCCCATCACGCCTCCGGAAGCCCCTTACTCGGGTCCTGCTTCTGACCCTTCCAGCCAATATACGGCCACCCCTTCGGTAGCGACGAATACGGCGGGAGCACATAGCGACCAGCGCAGTCTCCCTCCGTCGGACAGTCCAGATCGCACAGCCCAAACACCTTACAGTAGCACTCCTCCGCCGTGGGACAGTACACCGGGCCCTTACCAAAGATCACTGCTACAGTTAGCACCACCATCACCAGCAGTCCGTTGGAATCACATACTATGCCACGAGTATTCCATAATGCGCCCGCTCAGATCATCCGGCAGGGTCGTCTCGGCCAACCACTTCCGGTAGCGCTCGTAGTCGCTCTTCGGGCGCTGGCGGATCTTCCAGCTGGTCACGGCGATTTGCGCGCAACACGAAACCCCCACTTCTTCGGGGACCTCCACGCCGGGGAACAGCTCCATGAAGCCGGTCTTGAAGTACTCGCCGGCGTGCACGTCGTTGCGATGCGAGTCCGTCAGCGGGTGGATCTCCGCCGGACAGCCCAGCACCCACGCGCAGCGCAGATTCACGTAGCCCTGTTTCTGGAGGTAGGGGAGCTGGAAGTTGCGCAGGATGGGGACCCCGTCGTAGTACGGATCGTCGTTGTGCCATTGGTATCGTTTCGAGTGAATGAACAGGATCGAGTCAGGGAGGTTGTGGTAGTTGTCAATTATATAACTAAGTCAATAACATTGTCAGCTCGGCCTAAATGGTTGACGGTCACCTCCTGCTGCGCCTGTCACTCACGTCAGATACACCATCGACTCCCTCCCCTTATTCAACTTCACGGTCAACGGCGCATTCTTGTCGTCGACCACATACACGCTCTTATGCCAGTCGGGAAACGACTCGTACAGCCAGGACACATCCTCGCCCTTCATGCTGGCCACGACCATCTCCTTGCTGGTGGTCTGGGCTTGCCGCGACGCGGACGCGGACGGGGACGCCCGCCCCGACCGCGAGTCCCGGTGCGGGCCTCCCTGCACGGCGGCGGTCTCGACGCGCTTCGGGTCGGAACTGCCGGCGAAGAAGAGGAAGTATAGGCCGTAGACGATGAGGATGGTGCAGAGGATGGCTTTTTCTTGGTTGCGCCGGCGCGGGCTCTGGACGCCGCTGCGGAAGAATAACATGGCGGGCGGCGGGGGGGAGGGTTCGGAGGGGAGGAGAGGGTCGTGAGCATATGCTGGTCGAGATAAAGGGACGCCACGGGGTCAATTGAGCGTCAAATCAGGCCGACTGGGCAGCGACCATGGCTGCACGGGGGCGATCGCTGACGGGGGATGGCCGGTCGGTGAACGAGGAAGTGGGAGGGAGTGGCTGCGTTTCGAATGTTTCGAATGTCTCGGGAGTCGGAGGGTCTCCCCTATTGGTAGGTGGAGGGCCGGCCGTGAATCAGACAGCCAGGAGGTGGACTGGCCGGGTTGTTGGAGGGAGAAGTTGAAGTTGCAGTTGAGGAGCAAAAGTTGTGGGAAGAAGAGGAGAAGGTGACACCACACGTGGTTCGGCGCGCCCCCCCCCCGCTACGTAATGAACTTCGACTTCGCTTTGCTTCATTCTTTCCCCTCCCCTCCCCTCCCCTATATACAACACTACATACAACGCCCCACCACGTCCGAACATCCCCCCCTACAGACACGTCGCAATGCTAAAAAAGTACCACAGATGAGCCAGGATACTCTCCGTCGCCTCACCCGCATTTCCCGCCGTCGAGTCGATCCCCTCGATGATCTCAATGTCGTCCGCCGTCACCGCGTCCAGAGTCCCACTGGTGATCCAGTACTCCGGGCTGGGGTGGCTGTAGCCCAGAAGCATAGGTGGCAGACGGGGGACGATATCATTCAGATGCGTGACGCGGAAGTTCGCCCCTGAGCCTTGGCTCGTGATATACTCGGCCAGCTCATAGTTTCCGACCCGCGGACATCCATACGTGTACTACTGCCGTCAGCGCGCTCCCCTCCCCTCACTCGGAGCAGAACAGATCGAAACTCACCAGCTCGATGGTATACCCTGCAGTCCGCAACGCCGTCGCGCCCAGCATCGCCAGGGCGCCGCCCAGACTATGTCCCGTGAAATACAGCGTGTACCCGGGGTAGGTGGTCATGGCGGTCTCGATCTCGCTGGTCAGGGTGTCTGCGACGGTTTCCCACGACTTCCAAAAGCCCTCGTGGGCTTTGCACCCGCTGCAGATATCGTCGATGTCTTCGAACACGAAGGTCAGGTCCGCAATCCAGTTCTCCAGCGTGCGGCTGCCCCGGAACGCGACCACCAGGCGCTCGTTCGTCCTGTCGACGGCGAAGAAGCCCGCCGTGTCGCCGTAGTCATTGGTTCTGGGCCCGTCAGCCATGTTCTTTGTCTCGGGACGGGGGACATACTCATCGAACTCGAGCAGAATCTCCGTACTGGCCGCCTCGACGGATGGGCAGGCATCGTCCGCGCACGTCACGCTGATATCGTCGGTTTCGAGGTTGGTTGAGCAATAGGCCGCGGCAGACCATTGCGCGAACAGATCCAGCTGGGTCAGGGCCGTGGCCGTGACGTCTATTCCGTCAGCATCATCCTCACTTTAAACGCTGATAAATGATAAACAGACACTCACCTCTAGCATCCAGCTGCACTGTCGCCCCCAACACGGCCGTCGCCGTGGCCAGCACACTGAAACAGAACCGACCAGAGAACATTCTGCAGGATATATAGCCAGCCAAACGAGGGGGGAAATCCACGACTCAGCAACTCAACACAAGAGCAGCAACAATCATCGTATCCAGCTCTCTATATATACCCAACAACCAATATCCTCACGAGTTCCGAGCGGGGTAAGCCAGTCCAGACAGACAGACAGACAGACAGACAGATAGCTAGTCAGGCCGCATTCCCAAGAGTCGGACCAAGACCCAGTGAGCTAGCATGTTTGTCCGGCGGGACCAACATGCCTCCCGTTCATCCTGCCACCCATCCCTTGATCGGGTCCGGTGCGCCCTCTACAACCAGCAGGGGAGAGAGAATCGTCATGACCCGGACGTCCCCCGAACGCCTGCCCCGGTGGAGACATCGGACCAAAAGAAAGTCTATTAAAGTAATCGGACGGCAGCGTGACGGGGTGTTGGCGATCGACAGGCGGAGAAACGGCGGTACCTCGAACTAGCGCGGCATTGCGCATAGAGCGAAGGATATAGACAGGGGTGGGAAGTAGCAGGGAGGGGAGTGGTTCACCGAGGTAAATTGGGAGGTAAACAAAGCGGTGGTGCATGATTTTTCACGTGCTGAGAGGTTTGAGCTGGCTGGGGGACTTGACTGATTGCTCGTGCTGTGATCGGCGCGAGCCAGCGATATAGTAAAGGTAGGGTAGGGTAGGTCGTGCCTATACTGAACGCGCGCCAACAACCCCCGGATTGTTCATACCCTTCTGGGGGCGTAACAGTGTTAGTGATAGTGGGTGGGTAGTGAGTAGTCAACAGTGGGACTAGCACCAGTATTACTAACGAGTAGTCAGTCATGAATAATGCCGAGACTGGTGCAATATAATTCAATTTCAACAACTACTATACCTACGGATTACTAGATAGTAGTATCCATCCATCTCTCTCTCTCCCTCCCTCCCTCCCTCCCTCCCTCCCAACCTACCCAGCCTAGTCAGTCAGTCAGTTCCTATACTTAGCTCCTGTCCCCCACCAACCCCCAAAACCCGAAGAACCTACCGCACTAACCACAAGTCTACTCCGCAAAATAGATAGTACCCAATTTATTTCCTCTTCTATTTCACTCACACCCACAGTCCCACCCCCTCAAGACCAGACCATCACCTCCAAGCCACCGGCTGCGGGGTGCATCCCGACCCCAGCCCAACCAACCTATCACGGCCCTCATCGTGCCCCATCACCCCCCCCCCCCCCGCAGTGCAGTGCAGTGTCCGTGTGCCGGAGAAGTCGGATGTAACGCTAACCTGGCCTTTTCTTTACCCTTTACCTTGTTGATGCTGATGCGGGTGTTGGTGCTGGTGCTGGTGCAGGTGCCGTTCGTACTCGGACTGGTTGGGTTAGGTTGGGTTGGTGCTTGCTGGGTTCCTCGGTATCACCTGTCACCTGTCACCTACACAATACAATATAGACAATCCACGACCTACAACTTGGATCAGGGGGGGAGGGGGGGGGGGAGGTGTAAAGTGTAAGGTGTAAGGTGTGAGTGTGGTGACTGAGTGAGACCTCTGGGGCCAAAAGCAGGGAGGGCAAGGACAGGGCCGGGGGGCGAAGCAGAAGCAGAAGGAGGATGAGGAGGATAATATACCCTGTTCTCTTCTCATTCCTTTCCCCTGTTTTCTCTGCGCTGCTCTGCGCTGCTCTACTGTACTCTCCTCTGCTGTACTGTAGCTATCGTATCATATGACATGAACCATCATACTACTCTCAGACTAGACAGGGGCCGAGGAATACTGGCATGCTGGCTGCCTGACGAGGAACGGTACAGCGGATGAGGAATCGACTTTGATGGATGAGTGAATGGATGGATGGATATGAATATGAATATGAATATGAATAAATGTGCGGAAGTCAAGAACTGTGGTAGGTTAGGGCTTTCATGTGATACAACTAATCTAGTACTAGTAGTACTGCATATATGCTGAAGGTCCGGGAGGGCCCCTGTGCCCCCCCCCTCTGCCACCATGTCCCATGTCCCATGTCCCATGCAGCCTGCTGTGAGAAAGAGTAGTACAGTACTATACGGATTGGTTGGTTGCCTTGTGCTAGGCTCTTGTCCCGTGCATGTATGTTTACAGGATTACCCTACTACTACCTATAGTACCTGTAGGTAGGTGAATAGGCTGCCTAGACTTACCACAAGATACTAACTAACAACATACAAAATAAGTATGTTCATCTCCCACATCCATATCCCATTCTCATAGACGATAAATTCCGATATTCCTAAATAGAGTAGCTAACACGACAAACAAAAAAAAGAAGAAGGAAAGAAGGAAGGAAGGAAAGAAGTAAGTAGACAACTCGCTCCTCGAAACGCCCCAACACAGCAAGCATGCAAGCACCACCACATCTCTTTTGATGAAGAGAACAAAAAAGACAAAAAAAAAAAAAAAGGAAAACGGGAAGAGAATAAAGAGGCTAGAAGAAAATCACCTGCCCCGATCAGCAGGGGTAGCCTGCAGCCTGCAGCCTGCCTAGACCATACCATGCACGCGTCCCATCCCATTCCGACCGGCACGGGGAATAATCGGACGTCCTGATCCTTCAAGCACAGCACAGTAGAGCAGGGCAGGGCAGGGCACATATCCCAGGCACAGCACGGCACGCACGCATGATCCTTCAGGCTATAGCCAGGGCCAGTGCAGACAGATAAGCCATGACCATGACCGAGAGGCACGTTCATCCGTAGCATACGCCAGCTACAGGGGTCCTCATCCCTCTTCATCTAAGCAATGGCCCCATTCTCCCCCTCAGCGCTATAATCCGCCATGCCCTCATCCTGGCCATCGCCCGCCAGCACCTTCGTGCGCGGGATCTGGTGTCCCGGGAGCGGCGTCCCCGGGGTCGCGGCCACCACGTTATCGTTCTCATCCACGAACTCGAAGTTATATCTCGACAGCAGGTGCGGGATGGCCGAGAGCTGGGGGCCGTATCGGGCGGTGTTGTCGTATAGCTCGAAGAGGGGGACGGCGAGGAGTTTCATGTTCTTGGGGACGGAGAGGACCTCTGACACCATGTGTTAGTACAATCCCCACCATCACCATCACCATCCCAACCATCTCCCAACCACAGAAAAGAAAACAAACGGGTACTAAGGGAAGGAGGGGAGAGCTCACTCTTCTTCGGCAACTGAATAAAATACAACTTCTTACACTCCTTCGGCCGCGTAACATGCCCCGGCAGAAACGGGTACATGAAGGTCTCAAAGTTCGGTCTCCACCACTGCGCCAAGGTATCTCCGATCTCCCAGTCCTCGTTGACGCCCTCGCCCGAGAACTGCGACCCGACGGGCGCCAGACGCTCGTTGAGCCGTTTCTTGAAGCCCTCGACTTCGTCGTCTTCGAAGTGGAGGTAGTCGCCGGGACTGTGGACAAGTAATAACATGGTTAGCATTTGGTTTTGGGAGGGGAGGGCTATTGTTTGAGGGGGGTGTGGGGTGTTTGAGGCCGTTCAGGATATTCGATATCGGTTGGAGAAGGAGAATCGATCGAGCAGGTAAGTGTAAAGAAAAGGATAGACGTACAGCTTGAAAAACGCATTCGCAATCTGCAGCATCAAAACATGAGGATGATTATGCTCATGACAGACCAGAACGCCCTCGCAGGTACGTCTCATGCCATGTTCATCGTAGTGCTCCTCGAGGCGTTTTAGACGGGCCAGCACGGAGGGGTCTTCCTCGGGCTGGGTCTCTTTGGTGCCGAAAGTGTAGTTGGAGAGGGGGTAGAGGCGGATGGTGTTGGGTTGTTGGGCGGAGAAGTCTTTGGGGGCGATGGGACTGTGTGGTGGTCAGGTCAGGTCAGGTCAGGTCAGTGGTGGGAGCAGGCAGGTGAGTGGGCTGGACACTGCGAGGTCGCGGGGGAGGACGTACGGGCGAGAGCTCTGGGTGGCTGTCGCGGTGGTGGTGGACATCATGAGGAGGGCGTGATTGAGAAGGATGGGGGATCGGGATGGAGAGAGGGGAGAGGGAGAGGGAGTTGCGACAAACAGCGGCGAGGGGAGGAGGGCTGAATGAAGCTCCGGTGGTGAAGCGCGGAGGGCGGAGCTGCTGCCGGAGCTGTCCCGCGAAAACATTCCACCGCCCCGGTCGCACTCGGGCAACTGGACAGTCCGGATACTAGGTTGAAGGCTTCTCGAAGGCTTAGCCTGTATGTATTACATGACTGGCTGGAATACTGCTGAAAACATGTCTATTCCTACATTATCCAACCGAATCTACCGGCTCTCAAACCAAACACTCCATTCTGACCATCCGTATCAAGAAATCTACTCCCTAAGGTCACAGCTTGGCGTCAAAGTCCTCAAACTCGCTGAGGTCCAGCACCGGGCTAGGGCCGGAGCTGATGGCCAGCCGGGCCTTGAATTCGGGCACGTTAGTGATGTAGGATGAGGGCGGGTCGCTCGCGCCGTTCACAGCCCCGTTCGAATGGGACGCGGCGTCACTCTCCACCTTCTTGGGCGCGATGCCGGCTTGCTTCAGCTGCAGACCCAGGTTGGCCTCCACGGGTTCAAGAACGGTCTTCGTCTGCTGCTCAGACAGGCTCATGGAGCCCAAAAACGCCCGGAGCGTGGCCAGGATATGCGCCTCGTCGCCGCCGGACACGTCGACACTCGCGAAGGCCGCCGTCAGCCGCTCCGTGTCCACGGCAAAACCTGCGGTCTCAAGCTGCTTGCTGAAGAACGACAGCAGCTGGGACTTCTGCTGCTCGGGCTTGGCGTGCGCGTGTGCCCCGGCCTGGGCCTTCAGGTGGATCGCCAGCTTCGCCCGGGTGGGCGACTGGGGCTCAACGAACTGCCCGTAGAACTGTAGGATTTCCGCCTTGGTCAGCGAGCGCACGTTGGCGGCGTCGTTCTCGTTCTGCACGAAATCGAAGTACTCCGAGCCGATGTGCGACCAGAACCGGTTGGTCTCCGAGCCCAGGTTCTTGAGCTTCTCCAGGCGCTTGTTGATCACGCTGCGCTTGTGGTTCTCGAAGTCGCGCTCCGACATGCCCTCGAACGTCTTGCGGAAGGAGGTCAGGAACGCGTCGATGCGGGACTCTAGGTACGGGGCGGTGCGCTCGCTCTGGATGATGACCCGGTAGCCCATGGTCGTCGCGGAGTAGCGGGCGCCGCTCCAGACCACATAGCCCAGCTGCTCCTTGCTGCGCAGTTGGTCGAAGGCCGGCTCATCCGTCATCTGCGCGAACAGCAGCAGCCGAGCCCGCAGCGCGCTGTCGTCCATGTTGCCGATGTACAGGTAGTATTCGATGCAGTGGTTGACATTAGCGGGGTCCTTGAGCGTGCGCTCGTAGATATGATCGGTCCCCGGAGGCAGGATGATGTTGCGGCGCACGTGCCACTGGGATTCGGGCAGGGTGCGACTCTGCAGGGTCGACTCCACCAGGTCGGTCATGCGCAGCGCATCCTCCTTGTACAGGTTGCCGTGGGCCAGCACCTCGATGTGGTTCTGGCGCAGGATCTGGGGGAAGAAGCACGACACGTCCTCCGCCTCCACGTGTTCCAGTTCGGCGGCGTACTGCTCGTTGAGCCAGGTGCGCTCGGCGGTCAGGTACCGGGTGTAGTCCCCGACCTGGTAGAACGGCTGCTGGTACTCCGCGTTCTTGTAGCCCCGCGTGAGGCGCTCCTTGATGATATGAAACCGATCCGGCTTGACGGACAGCTCCCGCATGCTGGTAAGCACCTTCTCCAGGAGGACCGACATCTTGTCGTTGTAGCCGCCCACCGTGATGTCCAACCCGAAAATGCTGGCGGACAGCTGGTAGTCGAGACCGGCCAGCTCGGCGTCGTAGGAGTACTCGGTCAGCGCGTCGCGCACCAGCTCGCAGTAGAACTTCGCCTTGACCAGGTTGGCCGGAGTGGCCCACACCAAGGGGTTCCGCAGCGTCACATGGACGGTCGCCTTGGGCACCCAGAAGCGGTCATCCTTCTTGTACCACAGGCGGACGTGGTCGTCGTGGCGGATCAGCTTCGGGGTCTTGGCCGGCTCCGACACCTCCTTGCGCTCCACGGAGAGCCGGGTCGGGACGAACTCGTTCTTGTGCGGCATGTGCAGGTCGGGCAGTCGGTTCTCCGGGGAGGTCTCCAGCGCCTGGCGGATGCTGGCCATGAAGTCCTGCGGGATGTCCTCGATCCGGTACTCGGTGCCGTACCACTTCTCGCGGCAGTTCCAGTCCCCGGGGTAGTCCTGGGCGACAATAACCATGCGGAAGTTGTCGGGGCGGAAGTAGGACAGGGCCTTCTTGACCGACTCCGCGTCGAACTTGCGCAGGAGGTTGCAGCTGAGCAGCCACTCGCGGGGGTACGGCTTTTGCATCACGCTGCTCAGGCGACTGGTGAATCGGCTGGCGGGAGACTTCTGCTTGAACCGGAACTCGACCTCGGCCAGGTTCTTCATCTCATCGAAGATCCACTGCTCCGGCTCGCGCTCCTTGATCATGGCGATATATTCGAAGATCACGCGAGAGACCTCGCGGTGCTGCTTCAAGCCCTCGGGGGTCAAGCGGATCGAGATGGTGAAGAAGGCCGACCCGGGGCAGACAGGCATCACGCCGGCGGACAGGCCATTCGCCCAGCCTTTCGCCTTGATGTAGGACAAGATACTGCCCGGCCCCTCGTGGCCGATCAGGTGGCTGAGGTAGCGGCTCGGCTGGGACTCGTACAGGGCCTCCTCGTCCATGAAGGGGAAGTAGATGTCGAGCGAGCGCATGTCCATGACGGGCTTGGCGAAGATCAGCTTCCCCAGGTGATCCGGGGTGCAGGGCTGCACGTCATCCCAGCGGTTCTGGGGGAGGTCCTGGTTCTTGACGTCGGAGAACAGCTCGGCCACCCACTGCTCCATCTCGTCCAGGGAGTCGCGTCCGAGCAGCACCAGCTTCATGCGGTTGGACGAGTAGTGTTTTTTGTAGAACTTGATGAACTCATTGCGCACCTCCAGGCCCCGCTGCTGCGGCCCCTCTTTCAGGGTCTGCAGGTTGCCGGTGGAGAAGTGGTGGTACGGGTGGGCGGGGTTCGACAGGGTCTTGTTGAGCTGCATCAGACGCCACAGGTCGCTCTGCAGGTTCTTCTTGTTCTCCGAGTCGACGGCCTGCAGCTCGCGGTCCAGGGTCGATTCCAGGAACAGGGGTTCCACGAAGAACTGTGCGAAGCGGTCCAGGGCGCCGTATAGCGGGGAGGCCGGCTGGGTCGACTCGGGGGTGACGGCGCCGTTCGCGTCCGCGGCGCCCGTATTGGCGGCCTGCTTGTCCTCCGCGGAGGCAGCGGTGGCGGCGACCTCGAAGAAATAGTTGGTCTCAGTGGCGGCGGTATAGGCGTTGGAGGAACCGGAGTGGGCGGTCAGGTATTGGTTGTAGGCATTTTCTAGGGGGTACTACTGGCGTCAGTGTCCGTCGCGATTGTTTCACGTTCCGGGTTTCAGGATGTAGCCCCTACCTTCTTGGTGCCCATGAAGAGCAGATGCTCGACGGCGTGGGCCATGCCGGGCATGTCGTCGGCGTCGGAAAAGTTGCCGACATTGACGTTGACGGCGGCACTGGCCTTATCCGTGTCGGGATCGTGGACCAACAGGGCTTCTAGCTTGTTGGGCAGGCGGATGACGCGATATGAGCGGTCGTCGAGCTCAGGCTTCTCCAAGCTCTCGGCGATGCGCTGAACGGAGCCCATGGTCGCGGCGGCGGCGGAGGAGGAGGAGGAGGAGTAGCTGGCACGGAGAGGGACGGGCGGGGAGACGAAGGCGTGCGGCGAGCGCGGGCGAAGCGAGGGGAAGCGTGGCGAGGGGGAGGCTGAATGAGGGGCAATCGCCGCCGAGGCGCCTGACAGGGAGAAGGAACGGAGGGCCGGCGATTGAGGGTAGGAAAAGTGTCTGGAGTTCCACAAGCGGCGAGCTGCAGAGGACCTTGGAGGCATCCAGAGAAAGGAGGGTTGGAGGCGGGAGGCCGGAGGGACGCCGTCTGGGGGGAGGGAGACAGGCGGAGTTGCGAAGTGGGCGGAGGAGATGGGAAATAAAGGGGGAGGGGGAGGAGAGAGGCGAAGCGAAAGGGAAAGGGGTAGATATAAGGGACGGAGAGGGGGGAGGGGGGAGAGAGGGAATGGGTCAGCAATGCGCCACGAAGGAAGAGGAGAGAGTGAAGGCGATGGGATGAATTCACCAGAAGACGAGCAGATATGCAGGCGGGATGAAGCAGCGACGGTGACTTGCGGCCAAAGAACCCCAATCCCAGGCGGTGAGCGGCCAAGTCGGGGCGGTGAGCGAGGACCTGACTGTATCTACCCACTACTCTCTACTCACTACTCTCTACTCTCTACTCTCTACTCTCTACTCTCTACTGACTCCCACTAACTCATCGCCTCGGTCGGCAACATGCAGCACCACGGAATGATGCAGGTTTCCTCGGGGGAAAAAATGATAATATCAATGCCACGACATTCCCTCTCCTGATTAATTTCCCCCCCTTCCCCTCCCGCTCGGATGTCCATCCCGGTACCGGATCTGGGAACCGACACCGTATAAGAACCATCCCAACTGGACAACTCACCACACATCTGCTGCCTCCATTCACCACTGACATCCACACTGTCGATCCCACCATGGACCTTGCCCAATGCCTCGCCCGTCTCCCCGGCACCGTCCACTGCATTGACATGCACACCACGGGCGAGCCCACCCGCATCATCTACGCCGGCTACCCAGCCCTCACCGGCACTCTGCTCTCCCAGCGCGACCAAGCCCGCTCGCACCATGACCACATCCGCAAGCAGACGATGCTGGAACCCCGCGGCCACCCCGCCATGTACGGGGCCATCATCCGGCCCGAGACGGAGCTGGTGGCATCTGGGGAAGCAGACATCGGGGTGCTGTTCACGCACAACGAGGGCTACTCGACGATGTGCGGACACGCGACCCTTGCCTTGGGCCGCTTCCTGGTGGACACGCACGACCCGACCGTCTTTCCGGGGCGGGAGGGGCTGGTCCACGACCCTCGGAGCCAGACGGTCAGGCTTCGTCTGCATGCGCCCTGCGGAGTGGTCCAACTCAGCGTGCCGACCAGCGCCAAGGGAACCCAATCCGACCCCAAGCGGCCCGTCACTTTCCTGTCCACTCCGGCCTACGCCACAGCCCTCCAGGTAACCATCCCCATCCCCCCCGACGCCCGATGGCCGGAGCTCCCCGCCACGAAGCACTCCATCGTGCTGGATGTCAGCTACGGCGGCGCCTTCTACGCCATCGTCGACGCCTCCGAGCTGGGCTTTCCCGGCCTCGCGCACGTAGATCTCGCCGCCACCACCCGCTGCATGCATATCCTCAAGCCCTACCTGATGACCCGGCCCGAGATCATCGCCGCCGTCCAACACCCGCACGAGCCGCGTCTGTCGTACCTCTACTCCGTCATGATCGTGGACCCCACCCTCGGGGCCAGTAGTCCGGGGAGTAGCAACAGCAGCAGCAGCAGCAGCAGCAACGTGTCCGGGACCGAGACAGGGCTGTGCTATTTTGCAGATAACCAGATCGATCGGTCCCCGACGGGGTCGTGCGTCACGGCGCGGATGGCCCTCGCGCACGCCAAGGGCGTCCGTCCCGTCGGCCAGCGCTGGGCGTACCATTCCCTCGTGTCGAACCACTTCGGGGAGGGCGAGTTCAGCGCGGAGATCGTCGAGGAGGTGGATGCGGCGGTCTCGGGGCGGGATACCCGGGCGGTGGTGGTGCAGGTCGAGGGCAAGGCCTTCTACACGGGGTCGGCCTCGTTCATGGCTGAGAGGGGGGATATCACTGCCTCGAATGGCTTCACCATGGAAAGCGTGTGCTGATTATAGATCATACCGCATTCATCATCATTCTGATTCCGCCATGTCTCTTCCTTGTGCCGCGGGGTAGGGTCTACATGGGGCCGATGGAGCCGCCGACGGACCAGAGGTAGATTTGTGCTGGTGCAGTTGTTGGTTACGAGGGCGAGGGTGAGGGAGAAGGAGGAGGGGGAAGGGGTCGAGGTTCATTCTGGTGGATGGTATAGTGTAGTATGGTGTAGTATATAGTAGGAGAGGTAAGGTGTGGTGTGGTGTGGTGTGATGTGGTATGGTAGTTCTAGTCTTTTGGTTGGTTTGGTTTGGTTTTTTTGGGGGTTTGGTGGTCTAGCCTGTAGCCTGTACCGTAGACTCGGTGGAGTGGATGGATGGATTGGTTTGGATTGGACTGGATTGCCTGAGGTGAGGTGATGCGAGGTACAAGTAAAGCCGTAGTACCGCCTAGACACTGAATATCCTTGGAGGGGGGGGGGGGGCAGGAAGGACCTGTTAGGGCTTATACTTATGTCCAATGTCCAATCATCTCATCTCATCTCATCTCATCTCCCCTCTCCCCTCTCCCTCGTACACCCTAATTCTGAACTCGATCACAAACTAAACTAAACCAAACAAACTACTAAAATCTAGTATCTCCTTCCAGATCTAGATCTAGATCTATATACATAGATGCATGCATGTGCGGGGAAAGGTCAAAAGTCAAAAGTCAAGTTTGGGTTGGGATGTGTCGGTGGTGCTGGTCCTGATTGTAGTAGGATAAAAATAAAGATACAGATGAAGGTGAAGGTGGAGGTGGCTCTAATAAAAATCCAAAACCCAAATTGAATCAAAGTATTTAGGGTTGGTGGGATAGCCAAGCAATCGGATCAACATTTACTTGGCTTGGCCTGGCTTGGTTTGGTTACATTAACCTACTTACCTACTTACCTTCTTACTATCCGGTCATTAACCAACTAGTAACTTCCTCGGGGTTGAGATTTGAAGTATAGTATTCATTCACTCATCCCGGAAGGAAATCAATCCTACGTAAGTTGGTTGGTGGTGCTGGTGGTTACTAACATACCCGGACGCCCAGCCGGAGTTGCGGGATCACATGGTTATGGTTATGGATGGATGGATATGGATGGGCATAGACGTGAGTCATTGTGAAATGCCCATTGTGAATTATTAACATAATACTAAAGAGGGGGGGGAGAACAAAAAGAAACGAAAGAAAATGCATATCATCATCTAGACACCACCACCACCACCTATCCTATCTTATCCGGCTACGGGTACATGTGCCATCCCTTACCACCACTACCACACCCCTTGATCCAATCCCCAACCTAAGTATCCACCTCATATCATCCCGTCTATGCACAAGTAACCCAATCCACATCCTCATCATCCCCAATTCCCAATTCAGAATCGGGTTTAGATTCACATTCACATTTGCATCCAGATTCAATTATGACCCTCCTTCACCGGCGATCGACTCTTACTCTTGGCCGGCTTCGCCGGCGGAGGAAGGAACTTCTCCTCCTCGGTCTCCTCGCTATCATGCACGTCCGCGCGCTCGGCAATCCACTCGAACACCTCCTCCTTGTGGTGCATGAGCATCTCGCTGAGCCCGGATTTCGGAGACTGCAGGAGGTGGCCATAGCGCTTGGAGGGCTTGCGGCGGGACTCGTCGCTGTTCCAGACGCCGTGGGTGTGGGAGACGAAGACGAGGGAGTTCTGTTGATTATTAGTGTTGGGTTCATCAGGGTGATTGGGGGTGGGGGTGACTGAGTTAGGCGAAAGGGTGTGTGAGGGAACGAAAGTAAAAAAAAAAAAGCTTACATCTTTGTACCACCGCGAAAGCCAGACCTGGGTGTGCGAGGCGATGGCGCGAACAGGGTTCTCGGCGACGAAAGAAACCACCGCGTTGACACGCTTGTACAATGTCTCTGTTTCACGGTCAGCTGCTGTATAACCAGCTGGGTATAGATTTTGTCGGATGCTCACCGCGGTTGATCAGCAGGTTGGCCACGCCGTAGAAGGCATTTCCGATGCCGAGGAAGAAGATTTCGCGCGCGTCGTTGGGTCTGAGGTTGTTAGATCGGGTTTTAGCTAAAGCTAAGGGGGCTGGCTGGCTTACTCGATGTAGTTATCCCAGAGGTACGCGGCCAGTTCTTCGGTGGCGGTGGGTCGGTTTTCGTCCTCTTCTTGGTATTTGTGGGATGACTGCTAGGTCAGCGGTGATCGCTTTAAGGAAGGGGAGGGAGGATCTTACAGGACCCGTCGTCACATGCTTGGGGATGTTGACATCGATGACGGCATACCCCTTGCCGACGGCCCAGCCAATGTAGTCCTTCATCACATCAGCCTATTTCTGTCAGCGCATGCGGACGACATGGGGGAGGGGACTTACCAGCCAGCAGTTGTGAGCCTCCAGCTTGTTGGTGACTGGATGGGGCAGGCCCATGATCTCGGGGCTGCTCGGGTCAGTGAGAGATCGGATTGAATGCACAAGTCACTTACGGGTCATGGAAGATAACGAGCAGAGGCACGGCTTGGTGATAGTTCGGACTGAGTAGTGTCAGCAAGATTCGCTTCCTCTTGGAGCAACTTACGTGGCTAGAACTTGATTCTCGAATGACTTGGAGATGGCGCTGCGGTAGATGTAGAGAGACGTGAGCTTGTAGTTGTCGTAAAGCTGTTTGGTTTGGTAGCCACGAATGACATCTGTAGGCATTAGCGTGGTCCTAGTGAGAGAAGAGAGATCCTACCATGAAGCCTGTCGGTGTACACCCCGCCCTCTTCGGGCCCCTTCGGATGCATGCAGTGCCAATGGCGCGACTGGATCATCATCACACGACGCACGGCAGTGGTTGCGACTGTCGAAGGCGTGGTGGTGTGAATTCTGTCAGGCGGGTCGCCCATGAGGGTCTTCGTGACAGCAAGGGCTGACTTGGAGATTGATCTGAAGTTGTATCCTCCCTAAACGCCGTCAGTATCATTCCACTGCCGGCAGCACCGTACATACCTCGAGACAGACGGCAACTTTGCCATTCGCGAGCCGCATGAGCATGTGCGTCATGTGAGCGTAGCACGATGGTGTGACAAAGCACCCTCCAAGCTCATCGCCTACAGCGGCATCAAATCCAGATGCGACTACACAATTAGTATGAGACGCGAAGTGACTCGAGAGTGCGTACCGATAACCAGGTCCGGGTCAAATTCTTGCGCAATTGGCATCACGACCTCCTGAAACGCATACAGGTAATCCCCGTCACCCATTCCCTGGCTGGGCCAAGGGATATTCACGTTTCTAGGTATGTGAGCAACCTTCCAGTAAGCCAGTCAATGTGCATACCTTCCGAGGCCAGCGCCTTCACCGCAGTGGTCCCAGTCACCCTCATCGCCTCCAGGGTAGAACTTGCCATCCTGATACACATGGAGTGAAATGTATAGAACATTGGGGTCCTCGTAGAAGGCCTTCTGAATGCCGTTTCCTATGACGTGTAAGTAGTACTCTCACGTACGTTGATGGCTGTCATTACCATGATGAACATCCCTAATCCGTCAGCATCTTTTCACATCAAATACAGAGCCTAGCTTACCAATCCAGAATCATAATCTTCCTGCATTCGTCTCCTAGACGCTGCTGGCAGACGCGTGCCGCTATGGAGACATTGTTGAACAGACAGAAGCCCATGGTCTTGTCATGTTCGGCATGATGTCCAGGGGGCCGAATGACTGCGATAGCGTTCTTGACTTTGCGAGTTGCGACAGCTAAGCATGTTTCAATCGCGCCTCCAACCGACAGTATCGAGGACGCAAAGGTCAGTTTATTGAAGTATATGGAATCGCGGGTGTGCTCCAATGCAATCAGAGCGTTATCAGACATGTCTGCCAGCCATCAGCCGTCAGCATACTCAGCATCGCGTGGACAGCAGCCTTACCTTTCGTGCTTTCTACAAATGCAAAATGGTCTGCCGCATGGACAAGCGAGATTTCCGCCTCCGTGGCGTTGCGAGCATCGATACGCTTGAGCGGGCGCGAGACAAGGGGTCGACACGACTCAGGGTCATCGACGAGCCCTGCTCGACAAAGCTCCTTGTAGATGTAGTAGATTCTCCGTGGATCTTCTGGGTGGACGTCCGCAGTGGGCCGCACCTCACAATGATAGCGCATCTGCACGTCGTAGCATAACCCCGACGCGAGGGACGCGAGGGGAAGCCCGGTGCGCGCCGTGGTATCGTCATCGGGCCAGTCGGAGGCTTCCTCTTCAAGGCTGTCTTGCTCCTCAGTCGTCGCGTCGCCGGAGTCGGTGGACTTGGGCAGGCTCTTCGGTGGCGACACTTCCTGATTACTGGGTTGGGGGTTCCCAGGCCGCGAGTCTCCCGAGTGCACCGAGACCGGCAGCTTCATGGTCTGTCCCAGCAGCGGGGGGGCAATGGATGGATCCGCGCGGCCATTCAGTTGGCCATTGTTGGACCAGCCATGGGCGGCGGAGAGGTGGTGAGCGCCTGCGTCTCCCATGACGGTGTCTTCGTCGTCTTCCATTACCATTGTGGTCGACTGTCAAAAGTGCGCGTAGTTGTCCTGGGTTAAGTGGCCTAGTCGCGCAAACATTCCATGGCCGAGTCCGCCGTGCAAGTGATATCCAGGATAAGGGACGTGAGATCAGATCCTCGACGAGACGAGTGGGAAGCGAAGAAAGCAAATGATACAAACAGTCGAAATAACAGAGAACGGGTATACAAGTAGACTAGAGTCGGTTTCTCCAGGTGCTTATGAAATGGACCAGGGTATCTTTACTGCGGGTTGGGGGGGGTGCCCACGGAATGAGGGAACTAGATAGTCCCCGGTCCGCAGCTCAGTAGGCCTCGCGCGCGACGAGCAATGCCAGGAGGGCCAGGCCGAGTCCAGAGAGAGGGCGAATGACGCAGAGCACACTTGAGACCCGGTCGGGCAGACGACGGGTGGCTGTGGATACGGCAGTCACCGCAACGCGCGCACCAGCAGCAGAGAGGTTCGGTCCAGGAGTCTGGGATCAATGTAGCTCTAAAATCCGTGGTCTAGCTGCCCGCCACGTGACCCGGTGGCCGCGGTCCCCCCACGGTCCCTGGCGCGGTCGGGTGGGTTCTGAGCCAAAGGGATCGGACGGGGTCGAGAGCGGTGGATGTTGACCACGCGGTGTGCCGGCGAGAGAGGGAGAACGATGGACTGGGAGGGTGGAATGGGGAGAGTCGAGGGGGTTATTGTTCCCCTTGTGCGGCCTGCGCTTTGCTCCCCGAGAAATCCCCGCGGCCTGCCGAGGGGCTTAGTCACCGCCGTTGCAGCCACTCATTCATTTACGATGCACTATTCACTCCTCACAATTGTCTACTGTCTACAGTACACAGTACAGCAGAGCCCACGACTAGCACTCCACTCTGTGAACGGTGAACATTGTATGAACAGCATTGTCATTTCATTACATAGTACGTCATCATAAGCTTTTACGCTAGGAGTAGAGATCCTCTCGCGCGGCCCGGCAAATTGGTTCCCATGACATGATCCGGCGCGAGCACATCGGTCTCCAGCTCAAAGCACACTTCTGAGCTCGATCTTCCGACCTGATTCCTACTGGGAGTCCACCTTGGAGATGTAGGCTGCAAGACACGTTAGCACCCGGCCATCCAACACAAACAGACTCGCAGACTTACAGATGAGGTCGAGGACACGGCGGGAGTAACCCCACTCGTTGTCGTACCAGGAGACGAGCTTGACGAAGTTCTCGTTGAGGGCGATACCGGCCTTGGCATCGAAGATGGAGGAGTGGGAGTCACCGTTCAGGTCAGTGGAGACGATGTCGTCCTCAGTGTAGCCGAGAACACCTGCAACCGACGTTAGCCTGGGGCGCATGGATCGCGAGAATCGCCCGACTTACCCTTGAGCTCGCCCTCGGAGGCGGCCTTGATGGTCTTCTTGATCTGGTCGTAGGAGGCGGCCTTCTCGAGACGGCAGGTAAGGTCGACAACGGAGACGTTGGAGGTGGGCACACGCATGGCCATGCCGGTGAGCTTGCCGTTCAGGGCGGGGATGACCTTGCCGACGGCCTTGGCGGCACCGGTGGAGGAGGGGATGATGTTCTGGGCCGCAGTACGGCCACCACGCCAGTCCTTAGCGGAGGGGGCATCGACGACCTTCTGGGTGGCGGTGTAGGAGTGGACGGTGGTCATGAGACCCTCAACGATACCGAAGTTGTCGTTGATGACCTTGGCGAGGGGAGCCAGGCAGTTGGTGGTGCAAGAGGCGTTGGAGAGAACGTTGATGTCCTTGGTGTAAGAGGTGTTGTTGACACCCATGACGAACATGGGGGCATCGGCGGAGGGGGCGGAGATGATGACCTTCTTGGCACCACCCTTCAAGTGGGCAGAGGCCTTCTCGGTGGTGGTGAAGACACCGGTGGACTCGACGACGTAGTCGGCACCGGCGGAGCCCCAGGGGATGGCAGAGGGGTCACGCTCAGCGAAGAAGCGGATCTTCTTGCCGTTGACGATCAGGCCCTCCTCGTAGGTCTCGATGGAGCCGTTGAAGCGGCCGTGGGTGCTGTCGTACTTGAGCATGTAGGCCTGTTTGGGGGGGGGATCTCATTAGCATCCGGCTGCCACAGCCCGCAGAGGTGTAGGCGAGAACATACAGCATAGTGGATCTCAATGAAGGGGTCGTTGACGGCAACAACCTCAACATCGGCGTGCTCGAGACTGTGCAACCATCACCGTCAGTACAAGGGTTCCAGCGCTTCGCCATGTCCGTTTCTATCGGCTGGCGAGGTTTCAGGAGAGTACTCACGCGTTACGGAAGACCTGTGGTGATCTGTTAGCGTCTGCGGTGCTGAGCAGCAGGGAGGTGAAGGGGTCACTTACGATACGACCGATACGACCGAAGCCGTTGATTCCGACCTGAGTGGGAGACATGTTGATTTGAGTCTGTCGGCGGGGTAGTTGGTCAGCAGTGTCCAGCGGGGACGGAAGAAGCTTCACAGAGGGGACGTGAGAGTAGAGGATGGAGGGAATGGAGGGAATGGAGGGAAGCAGATGATGGAAGAGACTCACTATGGATGAATTGGATGGGGAGGAGATGGAGAGATGGAGAGGATGGAGAAGAGAAGGAGGAGAAGAGAGAAGGGAAGAAAAGTTCGGCGGGGGAGGGGAAGTAGAAAAAGGGTAGCCGGGCAGGTCAGTGACTGACGCAACGACCAGGCCCTACAGTTGCCAGGCCACTCACCCCTCCCCCTCTGGCCCCTCCTCCCTCCCCCCCTCCCCTCTTCCGCCGCAGCAGGCAAGCTTGCCGCGCCGCGCCCAGTCAAAAGCGCACACCGGGCTGACCGACGGGGCAAAGGCCACACGGGCAGCAGTGAATTGGCAGCTTGGGACCTTGGGACCTTGGGTACCCGGCTTGCGCCGCTCCCCAGCTCCCCAGCAGCCTTTCCGGTTTCATACACCGGGCAAAGCAGGAGACTCACGATATTGGGATCTCTGGCAACCCCTCGGCAGCTGCCGGCTGGGCCAATCAGGGCGCGGCAAATCCACCCGCCGGGTCCTGGGCTATCATCTCGAGAATGTTTTGCCAGCGGGTCGGGATCTCAGGGCTTCAATTTACCTAGGCTACGGGACACCAGCTCGGGGCGACGGGCACATCCCCCATATTCCTGGCACGATCGCACCCGTACGTTGCCGCGGAGGTGAGGAACAAGCCGGAGGGCATGATGTAATGGCTGCATCGGCCCATCGCAGCCAACAGGCTACGGGAGTACTTACTTACCTTAAGCTCCTTAGCCGGACTCTACTCAGTACTTACTACTACGGAGTACTACTTAGTACTACTCAGCAAAGAAGAGGGGCAATGCCGGCCTTGCCGCTTTCGGCCCGTAAGTCCGGCGCGGATTAACGTCGGGCCCGTGCCCCTCTTCTGCGACTGTCTGGGCCATGACAAAGAATTAAGAACGGCGCTGGTCCGCCTCGCCTCGCCTTCTGGGTCTGTCTATCCGTCCCCCAAAGAATTCACCGGCGACTAGAACGGTCGTCACGCGCGACTGCATATTTTTTTTCCACTGCGGGATCGATGGGATGGATTACTACGAAGTACTGATTTTATCATTATCAATATTTCCATGGCTTTCGATTCGTTGTGGCGCCTGTCTGTCCTGTCTCTGTCTCAATCTCCAATAATGGGCCGATACGGAGTGAGTATCTGGAGAATCATCCAACAACGCCAGCCCCCCTGGTGGACCGCGTGGCATGCATAAGCCATAAACCTGTCTGGGAGATCAACTAGTGGCCGTCTGCATCCAGCATTATTATTATTATTTATGATTATTATTATTATTATTATTACTATTACTACTACTGTTCCTCGTTACTATCTATGTTACCGGGCCATGCTCTGGACCTGATAGACCTGACAGGCCCCCCCAAACGCGGAACAGGGAATCGATTGGGTCGAAACGCATGTGGCTTAGAAATCGAAATTGACTGGCTGGGACTCGGACGCATAGCATGACCGATAACTCTGTAGCCGTCCATCTTGGGATCACGGAGACGGACACCCGGGACGGACGGTCGTATTTGCTTCCCATCCCACGCAACCCTGGTCCAACCTTACACCTTCTGATCGTCTGGCTCGACTCAACCCATGTCTGTCCACGGGAAAGGGGGGGAGGGGGGGGGTCGTAAGATATGCTGACCAACCCTCCCTGATGCGGCCGTGGCGATTTATTGATGACCGACCGCGGTGAACCAGAAGAATACCCCTCTCCTCCACGGCGGCATGACACCATTGCCCCGATTTCACAGATACGCGGGCAAGTGACTCGGTCGACGGTCGGGCTGGATCCAACTGGCTTCACCGGTGGTTAACGTTGCCGTTGGGGGGTGGGAGCCGTCCGGGGGGGACACCACTTGCCACTGTAGCTGGCTTGGATTTCTAATGAGGTTCGATAGGTGAATGATAGGTGAGTCATGGGCCAACATCATCTACGAGGTCGAAAATACGAGGGAGCAGCCAACGGAGGTCTAATATTGATAGGAGCTCGTTTTGCGAAGAATATTGACAGCAAGGATAGGACATAAGCATAAGTATAGCATCTCCAAGCGAAAGCAAGCAAGCGAGTGGAATTCCAGAAAAGCCCATATCCCAGTCCCCATCGGATTGGCCCTCACAGTAACACCGCATCTATAAATACAGAGGAAACAGATATCCCCCTCCCTGCTGCACCACGCCCCGAATCTACTCCTCCTTGACACCGCCCCGCCAGTTCTTCTCGGCGTTCTCCACGGAGGCCTTGTCGCTCTTGATCTGGCCCTGGTTCATGAAGCTGTTGCTGGCCTTGAAGGGGCGCTGGAGGTCGCCAGTCGCGGGCTTGCCGAAGATGTGGATCTTGACCAGGTTGGACTCGATCGCGCCCTTGAGGGGGATGATCGACTGGATCAGAAGAGGGTTGGTGTACTTGAAGTAGAGGTGCATCACGCCCATCATGCCGACGCCCATCAGTTGTCCCCGGATCAGTGTGCGCAGCTGCTGCTTGTCGTACTCCATGTTGGTGGTGGTCACGGGACGGGGCTCCTCGCCGCTGCCCATGGGCGACGGCTCCACGTACTTCAGAGTAGTCAAGTCTAGGATACGGGTTAGCGACGGCGCGGTGCGCGACAGACGGAGGATGCGAGCGTACCATTCTTCTTGCTGATCTTGGCCTGCGTGAAGAGGTAGAGACCCAGGATGATCACGTTGGACAAGATGTACATGCCACGGACCAGGAGAAGGACCTGGGGGTCTTCAAAGGGAACCTTCTTCGCTAGCTGCATCATCACCACGATGATGGCTAGGTTGGTACTGCATGGCAGAGGGGTGGTTAGCGATGATCACCGCGCGTAGTGGCGTAATCTCATGGAGAGCATGGGCAACCCTCTGGCCTTTGCATCGCGGCCGGGGGGGGGGAGGGGGGGGAGCGAGAGACGTAGGAAGAACTCACATCTGAGGAGAGACCATATTGCCGGTGACGCTGAAGCCAAGAAACTGGAGAAGAGAAGCAACACACAATGGGGTGAAACGGGAGAGAGTCGATGGAGAACACGCGTGCAGGGACAGAAACTTCCACGAACTGCGGAACTGGAGACCGGGGAAGTCGGACAGCTGTCCTGACAGGGCCGGGTCACGTGGGCGCTCTTTCCCCGTCGCGGTAAGGTCGTATCAGCAGTCGCCGGTTAGTGGATCACGCAAGAGATAAGGCGGCTGGCTGGCGGCTTCTTCCCGATTCCACCCACTCGCAGCCTAAGGCAGCCCCGGATCACCTGGCTGCTGAGGTCAGCCGGCCAGCAACTATCATGCTCTGCGCAGTCTCCTGCCAACCTCAAATGTGTCACGGCGAAGCGCAGTTAACCTCCACCTTGCACCATGAGGGACTTTTTCAGACCTTTCCTGCGGATCGTTTATCCAAGGGCTGATCTCCGTGAGCCATGAAATTTACCTCTCAGCATGCGGTGAAGGGGGTTCCGGTGAATCTTCACTGAGTGACTCTACCCAGCCATGGTGTAGAGGTAGAGGGCTCCCCCCAACTTCCCCCCTCCCCCCCCCCATCTCTCTACCGCTTGGACCAGAGTGAACGGTCCGGCGGCTTTCGGTGACTCGAACTGACCGGCTCAATGCAGCCCCCCATGGCTGGACGCCGCTGCGACGGTGGGCGACCACATACTCGGGGGGTCGAGGCCTCGCCGTGGATGAAGCTGAGCAGGCTGCCGAAACGGGACTAGCGCCACTCCATGTTCGACGCCCGTCTTTAGCGACCAGGATGGCTCTGACATTTCTGACTCCTTCATCCATCAACAACGCGCGTGCTTGTGCTGCATCGGATCGCTCCAACATCCACCCTCGCACTCTGCCACTCCCAACACTCGATTGACGCGACTTTTTCGCCCCTACGGCCCCAAATCTCGACGCTTATTCAAAATGCCTGGTGGAAAGGGAAAGTCTATCGGTGGAAAGGCCGGCTCGAAGGACTCTGCGGGGAAGAGCCAGAAGTCCCACAGCGCAAAGGCTGGTCTGCAGGTCCGTATCCGTCTGGTTTCCTTGAGCAATTCTGTGCCCTTGAATCGTCGCCTCTCGCGTTGCGGCGGCATGTGCTTCGACCTGAGATTTTCCTCCCTACCCCTCACGCATGCGGTGCCTTGGCACCAGCACGCGTCTTCGCCTTCCTTATCGAACGAGAGCATTCGAAGACCCTCCTGGCGCGCGGACTGTCCCTGTTCGAGCGTATCCGATCGAGGGAGGGGCCAGCGCCCCGCGAGGCCACCTTCGCATTGCAGCTCCAGCTCAATCCATGCTTTCTGACTCCTTAACTATCTTCCCGGATGCCCGGCTAACCTCTCCCTCGCCACAGTTCCCTTGCGGTCGTGTTAAGCGCTTCTTGAAGAACAACACGCAGAACAAGATGCGCGTCGGAGCCAAAGGTACGAACCCCCCCGTCGCAGCCGCTGCATGACTTCGGTCCGTCTTGACCCAACACGTGCTGACAAATCCTCTCGCAGCTGCTGTTTATGTCACTGCTGTCCTCGAATACCTGACCGCCGAAGTCCTCGAACTGGCCGGAAACGCGGCGAAGGATCTGAAAGTGAAGCGTATCACCCCGCGCCACCTGCAGCTCGCCATCCGCGGTGACGAAGAACTGGATACCCTGATCCGCGCGACCATCGCCTTCGGAGGTGTCCTACCGCGCATCAACCGCGCGCTGCTGCTGAAGGTCGAGCAGAAGAAGAAGAACAAGTCCGAGGCTTAAATGATGGCGGATACCCGACGAAATATGGCGTTTGGTGATTGATGATGCTTCCATGGGAAAAAAAAGCGAGGAACATGTTTTTCACTGGCCTTGATCCTGCCTCCCCCCCGGTTCTGTTCTTCCAGTTCCCCCGCCCACCCCCACCTCAACAACAGAGCGAGAGCGGAAAAGGGGGATGGATGATGGGCGGGTTCAAGACAGCGCACGAAAGGAAAAACAACCACCGTCCTCTCCTTGCTTCCTTATCTCCCCTCTTTTCACGACGCTGCAACAAGCTCGCAATGTTTCTCTAGGATTTTTTTTCTCTCCCGTTCCTCGCCATTTTTACTTCCATTGATTTCTCCCCGCCAGGCTTGATCTATCTTCTCCTCATGCTTTTGCTGATTCCGTCTTTCGCGTGAATTTTTTTTTCTCTCTCTCCAACGGGCGCTGTAATGGGAAAAAGGGGAATATTTACTTTACTTATTTTATCATATCTTTCGGTAGTGGGAAAGTCAACTTTTTTTTTATTATTCTGTCTTCTTATCCCCCTATGTGTTTCTAACGTTGCTTTTTTTTTTCTGACTTTCGTTTTTAATCAACGGTGTTGTGTGTCTGTCTTATCTCTTTACTTATTTTATTCATGACCATTCGTTACCCCGTCCATCCGTGGAGTGTTAGTGTGTCAGTCAGTACCAGCGACTGAACCCACTCACACTCACACTCACATCGGATGAAGAGATGGTACTTATTTCGCCTTGCCCAGGAGTAGCTACATAGGAAGAAAGGAAGAAAGAGATCGATTGTAGGTAAGAGTACGGGGTAGAGGGGAACAGAGCAGAACAGAGGAAGAATCGAATCCCCTACCTACCTATCTGTCCTGTCTATCCATCTACTATATCTATCGTATCTATTTTTCAAACAATAATAATGCCTATTTCATCAATATCCAATATCCAATATCCAATAATTATCCTCCTTCTCTAATTCACATTAATAATTAGAGAATTACCTACACCCTCCAAGAAGTACTAGTAGGTTAGTTATCCACACCCTTCACTGGGGTTGGTTATCTATCAGTGGGTGGTGGTAGGAAAATATGTATACACTGGCAGATAGTAGATAGATATAGTACCCGATGATCAACCCACCCCAAAATAAACAATGATGGCATCCATAGTTGAGATTCAGGTATCTTCACCACAGCTACTAATTGAACTAGTTAGTTATGTATGTATTGGCAGTGTATTCCTTACCCCCCAGAAAATGATAAATAAACATACCCATCACCAAGAAAGAACAATCATGTTACTATTTACCACCTACTTACTTACTTACTTACGTAGTATTATAGCTACCGAGTACGATCATAGTACTTATATATTGAACCACCCCTCCTCCATGAATGCATGCATGATATACTACAAAAACAAAACAAACAAAAAAAAAACAAAACACTATTACTCTCCCACCCAGTTAAACAAGAAGTCAAGTCCATCTGCCTAGCTAGACAGACAAAACAAATACCCCACACAGTAAATAGAGATGATACCTACTATACCTACATACATACTCTACTTACCAGTATAAAACCTACTGTACCTACGCAAAGTCAACCATCAATCTAAAAACAAGCAGACAAGTAGAGAAGCAGACAAGCGAAAGCACCAACCACCACTAGGTACAATAACAATAGTAAGAAAGGCAACCAACCCCACGCACCAAACAACACAACACAACTAAAAAAGCCGTAAACTATATACATATATTCATCTACATACACATCTACAGACATATCTACAGACATATCTACATCCACATATACATCCACATCTACATCCACATATACATCCACATCTACATCCACATACACATCTACATCCTACGCACCCAGACACAGAAAAGAAGCAAGATACTAGGTAATGCACAAAGATACAATACATAATACACGAACCCCCAAACAGTCAGCAACGCAATGCAATCACCATAGGATGAATCAGATCACATGACTTCAAAGATCCCCAGATCCCATTAAGTCACCTACCTACCTACCTACCTACCTTGCCGACCAGTAAGGCAAAGTAAAGTAAGGTAAAGTAAGGTAAGTGAGGTGAGGTGAGTAAGGTAAGTAAAATAAGTGCGGCACCATCGATGTCATTAACCTGGCATCAACAAGTACCTAGGAGAGAGAAGAGAAGAAAAAGAGAGAGAAAAAAAAAAAGGAAAGAACAACAGATCACAACTCCAGAGAGGAGCTGAGCAAGAGAAGAATGCAAACATCCGCCGTGTGGGTCGCCACCCAAGCAAAGCAAAGCAAAGCAAGCAAGCAAGCCAGCCAGCCAGCCATATTCTCCCCCCTGCCCACGCCATGCAAGTCAAGTGAAAAGGGATGATTACATACACATGCAGGGGCTAGGGGAAATAAGTAGACAGACAGACAGACAGACACACAGAGCGAGGCAAAGGCGCCCGTCGTAAGGGGGGAAGGGGGAAAGAGAGCCCGTCCCCGGCAACAGCCGTGGTATGCCAACAAGGTTTAGTAGCCAGTTTCCAGCCAACCGATCCATAATTCGAGTGCCAGCCATAGAGGAAGGAAAGTACAGCACCATCGAAGAGGAGGGTCGGACACGGAGATAAAATGTGGAAAAATAAAAACATTAAATGATGCAAATCGCCCCATATACAAAGTTAACAAACACATTGATGATCGAAAAGAAAATAGTAGAGAGAGAAAAAAAAATGCAAATGCTGAGAAGTCATCTCTCTTGCCATTGTCACACACACATCGGGATTTTTTTGGGGTCGTCCTTCGTAGTCTTCTTCCGAGTGGGGATGATTTTATTTTGCTTCCCGCCGACACAATTTGTAGAAGGGTAAAAGAAGAAGAAGGGGAAGGAGAAAAAAAAAGTATAGGTAATAATGTTCCTGCATGCAAGGCGCCCGCGTCTCCCAGTTCACAACGTTCTTTTTGTGGTTTATTTTCCGAGAATCAAGGACAAAGCGTAAAAAGAAGTCCGTTCAAACAGCGTGCCTGCTGGGCTGCCCCAAAATAACGTCTAAACTTGGCTAGATCAGAGAAATATTCTTTTGTGGTTCTCTCGGTTGAGTGTCATCTCGTCATCCCTCATCGAATCGTAAGCCAATAATCGCAGAACAGGATCAGGCCTCGTGATATAAGAGTCGTATGCATCTTGCGGCAAAGCAATCTAACAAGTTTCGTCGTCTTCGTCTCCCATCAAACGTTCTACTCCACGATAATCTCCACTCCTGAGCTGGTGCGTAGCTCGTCGCTCCCGCGCGATTGGTGTCCGGTCGGGCGTCGGAATCCTGGCCCCTTCTCGGGCATCGGGCCTCTCGGCTGCCTAATGGGCATGCGCTCCTGTGATTGACCGTCAAATCCAACTCCGATGGATCGGTTACTACCGATGGGACCAGCGCTAGAAGGCTGGCTTTCTGGCTGCTCCCAAGAGAACATACCCCGCAATCTCCTGGGGCTCGCATTCGGCCCCCCAATTCCCGTGCCCAAAGAAAGGCTGTTGAGGCTGTTCACCAGCAGGCCGTCGTCGCGCGCCATGCCGAGGGAGGATCCGGACGGAGCGGGCGTCAGCGTCGGCGTGTTGGACGCGCCGCTGGTGGTCCCGTCGTAGTGCTGCAGGCGCGCCCCGTTCGACTGCAGGGCGGCGGGGAAGCTGGCCGACGAGGGCACCGGCGACGGGGTGTACGAGCGCAGGTCCGCGAACGATTTCGCAGCCCGGAGGTTCTGGGTGTTGCCAAAGTTGCCGGGCGAGTCCAGGACCCCGAGGAAGCCTGCCGACGGCTGGCCGCGCAGGGTGTTGAAGTGGGTGGGGCCCTCGTTGCGGGACTCGCTGAAATCAATCGTCGCTGCGCGGTTAAGGCCCCGACGGGCCGTCTCCGCGGGCTGCACGGCCGCCGGGATGGAGGACAGCGGGGGGCTCACGTTGGTACCGGGGGCCACCTTGAACACCTGCACCTGGCGCTGCTCCCCAGACCCACGCGACGCATGACCCAGGCCCATGTTGTGGGCGAGGGTATGGACGGTGCGGCGCTGGACGGGCGACAGGTTGGCCGGGAACAGGACGCTGTCCCGCGCCGTATCCTCCTTGAAGAGCAGCAGCTGGGAGTAGTAGGACAGGGTCGTGCTGTCATTCAGATCGACATCTACACATACACACACGGCACAGTTAGCGAGGTAAGGGGATCCCGACACTCAAGCAACGCATCACTTACCCAGTTTCTGGCCGCGCTGCGAGACGGGGGACGGCGAGGTCGCGGGCAGGTGCGAGGTGAGAGACGACATGGAGCTCTGGGTCTGGAGCTGCGAGCCCGCCATGGGGCGGTGCTGCTCCTCCAACTGGCCCCGACGCTCCCGCTTCTCCCGCTCGATCCGCTCGCGCTCCTGGAGCGGCAGCATCTTCTTGTATTCCACCCGCAATTTCCGACCCTGCAGCTCGAAGTGGTTGAGGACCTCGATGACGGTCGCAGTTTCTTCCGCGGACGTGAAGTTGGCGAACGCCAATCCCCGGAAGACCCCGTTGTCAAAGTGGTAATTGAAGGCATAGGGGAGCGGGAGGTTCAGTTCAGTCATGAGTTGCACCAGCTGCTCCTTCTTCACGGCGAACGGGATGTTCTTGATGACGATGGCGGTGGGAATCAGCTCATCGTCGGTCTCCGAGGGACCAGTGGGCTCGGGGCGCATCGCGTTGCTGGGAAGGGGACCAGGGCCGAGATTCGAGAAGGGGCTCGGCATACCCGGCTGCTGATCGAGCCACGTCTACACAGAATAACCATTAGCAAAGCCATTCCCGACCGTGGTCTACTCCCGTCGCGTTGTCCAGATACATACCGTGGGCAGACCGGCCCTGCCGGGGCGCGAGGTCGTCTTCAGGCTAGTGGACGCCGACCGGATGCCCCCGAGGGCCTGCGCGTTGGCGAATCCATTCGGATTCCAGGTCTGAGAACCCGCGATATCGTAGGCGTAGGAATTATTGTGCAGCGACGAGTTGATCCGCTCCAGCCGAGCGGTGTCGTAGCGAGCCATGGACTCCTCGTACAGGTTGACGGGCATGGGGCCGTACGCGTCGAACTGGCGCGAGGGCTGGCGATGCAGCGGCTGCTGGTGGCGCTGGGAGCCGGGGGAACGCGCGGAGGAGTTGTCGTGATACATGTCCTGGGCTTGTTGATAGCTCATGGTGGCAGAATTGCAAATTCCGGCGAAGCAACCAAACCGAAGAATGTGGGCACGGAGAAGATCCACCACACAACAAACCCGTTCAATGAGATCCCAAGAGTCCGACGGAACTACTCGAACATAGGAGCGACCGGATGGGCGCTAGGACGAGTCGACGGGGGGAGATGCGAACGGAGGAAGGACCCGCGATGGAGGAGGGCAGGTAAAGTGGGAGGAGCGGTTTGAAGCGACAGAAACCGAAAAACAAGCTAAAATCGCTCACAGCTGCTGAACTAATTGTCTCGTGACTGTAGGGTCATCAATGGCCGTCGGTGTCCTCTGGCATCAAATGTTAGGAAATGCAGTTTTTTTTTTTTTTTTTTTTACTCGAATCCCAGAGCCCCTAGGGGCATTTAGAGACAGTGCCCGGGAAAAAGTAAACGGGGTAGGGGGAAAATTGCGGACCCCAAAAAATAAATATAGGAACGGAGGGGGGGGGGGGGGAGAAAAGAACGCAAGCCACAGAGGAGGAAGAGGGGGGGGGGGAAAGAGAGGGAGGTGGGAGGAGAGAAAAGGGAAAAAAAGAAAAAGATGTTGCCACTACCTGGGATGGATAAGCAGTGCCCAAGAGATAGGAACCGGGATGTGGTGGAGGAGGAGGAGGAGGGGAGGGGAGGAGGAGAGGAGGAGAGGAGAAAAAGAGGAACGAGGGAGGAGGAACGGGAACGAGCAGGTAGCAGAAGGTGGTCCAAGACAAGAGACAGACAGATGCCAGTCCGTGTTGCTACTGCTGCTTGGGAGGGAAAGGGAAGGGGAAGGGAGCGAAGGGAAGGGAACGCCCGCCAGAACGGCACGCAGGAAAAGCCGGGAGCACCGCGACCGCCTAGTCGGGTCTGGTCTGGTCTGGTCTGGTCGGCCTGGTCTGCCTGCCCTTTCCGCGAGAAACCCACTCACTCTCCTTCACTCAGGAAAAGGACCAAAGCACTAAAGCACTAAAGCACTAAAGCACCGAGGGAAGGATGTCCTGCACGGCACTGGATAGATCGGCTGCCAAATGTGATCGAGAGGGCCGCCCGATGCACACCGTCGTCACCAACAATGACCCGGTCCGATGCAAGTCAACGGCAGTGAGAGGAGAGGGGGGGGGGAGAGATAATAATCAGGAAGGGGCAGAAGGAGAAAAAGAAATCATGAATGGGGAATAACAACAACAACAACAAGCACAGACACAGGCACTGACTGACGGACTGGGCAGGGGGAGGATCAACAAGGCAGGTCGGCGAAGGGGCAGCGAAACCAGCAGAGACAGTCGGGACAGTCAGGACAGTCAAGACACCCCCAGGTGGGCGAATGGGATGAAGGGATTCCCGACGAGCCCAGGCAGGATGGGGGACGGCACGGCGGCGGACGGGGAAGATCGAGCGTATCCAGTCGGATGCTCTTGGCTGCTAGTGGCTGGCTCTTACCTTTTTTTTTTTTTTTTTTTTTCCCTTTTTCCTCTTTTTTTTTTTCCTCCTCTGTTTTTTTTTTTTTTTGCTTCTGCTTCGGGTGAGAGGTTTGGTTCGTGAGCGTCTGATATCACGGCCGGGATGAAGTCACGGAGATGCGGCCGTCGCTGATCACGGAGGGGAGGGAGGTGGTGGGTTGGTTCTGCAGCGGGCGAGTCTCTGGGGGGAGGGTTGGGTCGACGTCCTCTCGCAAGTGGCGGAGGCAAAAACGACGACGCGACGAAGCGACAAAACGATGGAGCGCAGGAAGCGTTGGGGAAGTTCTAGTAGTAGTGTGTGGTGTGGGCTCAAATTGTGATGGAGAATCTGAGGCTTTGCCCAAAAAGGGAGACGGGCGCTGATTGGCCGGGGCGGGCACGTCGAATGAGTCGAGTCCGGACAGACAGTCTTACTACTGGTCCAGGGCGAAGAAGAAACAACAACAGAGGATCGGAAGGGACAGAAGAGGCAGGAGTGGTCAGTCACGCCCAAATGCAAGCAAAGCAATAAGCTGAGAGGGAGAGTGAGGTGAGGAGAGTGAGTGAGTGAGTGAGTGAGCGAGTCAAAACCGGGCAGGTCCGTCAGGTCAGGTCCAAGTCAAGTCAATCAAGGGCACGCAACGGGAGGAGCCGCGGTCGATAAGTATGAGTGGGAAAGGTACCTGGTTACGGGCCAAGTAGTTTAAGTACCTGGCCGGGCAGCCCTCTTCCTCTCCCCTAGTACGACGGATGGCCTTGCACCGCCCATCCGGGCCCTTCCTCATTCTTCCCTAATGCCTAATTCTAATTTACCATGAACCATCTATCATTTCCCTGCCTTCTACTAGTAAGTAAGTCGGCAGTATTACCACTTACCACGCGTATTGCCTTTGCCCCTGGACCCTCTGCCGTCGCCCTCCCCCAATTCCCCAGGAACCACGAAGTGCTGTGACTCTGTGAAGGTACTCGACCTCAGGGCCAGCCAGGGCTGTTCCCCCCAGTATTATCCTGTCAGGTCTGGACTGGGGTAGGTAGGATGCGTCTTCTCTTTGTTCCAAGTTCCAGTTCCAATGTCCACTGTCTGTCATTCCCTGTTGCCCCCCCCCCCCCTCTTCTCCTCTCTCCCCTCCAGGATGGTTGATCACTTATTAAGCCATCGCCTCCATGGCCGTTCCCTCCGCGTCATCGCCCCTGCTCCGTAGCCAAACCAGATCACGGACGGTATGGTCTGTTCTCCTGTCGCGGTGTTTCAGACTCTCTCGTCAACGTGTCTCTCCGTCCCTGAGGGAGTACCGGAGCAGCGAGAGCACCCCGCCTCGGGTCCCCTCTTGCCACTTCTGGCAGCACGGGCTATCTACTGACTACCGTGGCTTCTAGCTTCGTCGGGAATGACGAGGAGGGTTAGAGGGGAGACGGGGGAGAGGGATGGATCAAAGGCATCATGGGATTCATGACGTCCTCCTTTCGTGGGCGGATATTTTGCCGGTCACCCTGGCCGTCTCTTGGGCTCCCCCCTTCCCGTCTACCCCAAGATTCTGATCGAGTCCCATTCATCTCCTCCTGCCATCTATCTACCCATGAGCTCCATGAGGGTGAGGCCAGGTGCCGACCGGTTCCTCATGGATCGTATCCGGAACAGCTGCACGCCTCCAACGCGTCCCTACGCTCCCTAGCTCCCTAGGGCCGTAGACAGCTAGACTCCGGTGGGTTCGGGATCCGCCCTGAGTGGGTAACGGATGCCCTATAGCTTCATCACCTCTCCGAATAGGGGAAGCTCCCTGTCCACTACTGTGCACTACTGTCTACACGAGCGCGCCGCCGGTTCCTTTTTTTTTTCTCGTCGGTCGGTCGATGCGGTTTCACATCGCCAGCAGTGTCCATCTGTCATCCTTCTCGCGAAAAACGGTCAGGGCAGCAGGCGCCGGGATCTGGCGCCGCCCACCGTGCTGGTGCTGGCGCTGGTGCTGGTGCTGGTTCTGGCGCTGATGCTGCACCGACACACGCGGTGGGAAAGCTGGAGCATCGCTGGCCGGACGCAGCACGGGAGATCCTACCTGTCACTCGGAATTCAAGCAGGGCCCCTGATGAGCGCCTGCCCTTCCCTCCCTTCCCTTCCCTTCCCTGCAGCCGTCATTTCGCAGGCCCGGAAAGGCACTATCGCTGTTAAAATTATCCCGTGCTATAATTATCGCGCCGACGTGACCTTGCCAGTTTCCAATCATTTCCATTTTCTATCTATTTGACACGCAAGTCCCCGACTGCCCTTTTTGCCCCCCCGACATCCGACTCTTCCCCCCTTCCCCTCCCTCCCTATCCTTTCTGGGAACTGGGAAGTGGGAAGCCCGTACCGACGATACGGGTTGACGGAGACTCTCCTTTTTCTTATTTTTATTTTTATTTTTTATTTTGTTTTTGTTTTGGTTTCTGTTTTTGTTTCTCTCGGAGTCGAAACCGGACCCATCACCGTGGACGACTAATCGGAGACTCTCGCCACGATAGGACGGTACGGAGCAGGTCCCCGGTTCCCTTCGGTCGTAGGAAGTATCTAGCCCATAGTCCTATGGGGACGGGGGGCCCAATTTGGGCGGTTGGTTTGGGATTAACACACAGGCTAGAACCCCGCTAGAGGGTCGCCAGAACCTGTTCCATGGAGACGTCAGATTGTTCCGCGCTTCTAGAGATGGGCCGATACCGATATTATTGCGATGGATCGTGAGGTAATTTCAGCCTGTAATCCGGTACTTCCTCTCTTCCCTTCACCTTCCCCTGAGGGAGTCAGTTCAGTCCATTGTCCAACCATGCTGTTCGTTCATGTAACATCCATTTATTGACATTTGAGCAGCAGCAGCAGCAGCCGCCTTCCATCTTTCCGGCACGGATACTCCGTACTGAATACATACATACATACATACATACATACATACATACATACATACATACGTACATACATAGATGGATGGATGGAAGCTGCATAGCCTTCCGGGGAGTTCTGGGGGCGATCCCGGCGTGAGCTAATCCCCCAAGCGCTTCTATAGAACATTCTTAGTCCGTTCCCAATGTCCACTCACTCACCCACCCACCCACCTTTGCGGCCGATTGATTCCTTCTTTTCCATTAGTCTAGTATCTACTCCGTATTTCTTCTTCTTCTTCTTCTTCTTCTTCTTCTTCTTCTTCCCCCCGTTCCACGGCAAATTGGGATGGAGGCCGCTAGTAGATAGTCTAGTCTAGTCTAGTCTATTCTTCTCTGCCCACTCACTCACTCACTCACTGCCCAGCCGATCCTGCTGCTTACTGATTGGAAGCTTTCGCTTTCGCTTTCGCTTTCGCTTTCGCTTTCGCTTTTCCCCCATTTTTTCTTCTTCTTTTTTTACATATATATTTTTTTCAATAACTGTAGGTAATAACTTTAACGGTGATGCGATTACTGTTAGATAGATAGATGGATGGATAGATGGATAAGGGGGGTGCTTCTCTGCTTTGCTTTCTGTTGTACTAGTACGGAGTACTTGGCTTACCTACTATAGCTTAGCTTCCGGTTCTCTCGGCCGTTAGACAGGAGGTAGGTATTTATTTATCTGGGTAGGGTAGTTAGGTAGTTAGGTAGTACTGTCAATTTCCACGGAGTATGGAGTACGGAGTACGGAGTACTGAGGGGATGATGGGATGATGATGATGATGATGATAATGCGGACGGATGGATGGACGGACAGCCCAGTCTATCTATCTATCTATCTATCTATCTAGATAGATAGGGTAGAAATAGTAGGTAGGTATATAGGTAGGTAGGTAGGAAGGAAGGGAAGTTGTTTCTGACAGATTTGATTCGCAGTCTCATCGCATAGCATACCTATCTAAGGTACAGCAGGGTGAGTGGGAAAAAAAGAAGGAAGGAAGAAGGAAGTTTCGGATCATCGACATCAAGTCTACTGTTACCGTAGGTACCTAGTAGCTAGGTAGTTACGGTGGCTAGTCAAGTATGTATTAGGATTAGCCATCTGAGTCTGATTGACGGTCTGGCCACTCACAGCACGCCCATCGGTCTTATAATTAGGATCGCACTGGGAATGGATGATGATTCACTGGACAGTGGACTGGACAGGGGACAGCGGACAGTGGACGGAAGGAACTGGGGGGGGGGGAGAAGAGGGGGGTACCCAGCAAGATGAATCAATAGTCCGTTCGCACTTGGGACTGGATCACTGGATTCAAACGCCGATAGAATGATCAGTGCTTCAGTTTGGCCTTGGCTTGGTGGCGAGGGTGTTACCACACACACACACATACACACACACACAACAAAAGAAGAAATCAGGGACGAGGTGGTCTTAATTATGACCCCGGGTGAAGAAAATGCCTCAGGTTTACTATTATCGCTGAGACTTTGTCTGGAGTGGTAAATAGATGGTATATATGTAAGTAAGTACTTGAGTAGTAAGTAGTAGGATTGATCTTCCGCTTAACTTTTCTTTTCTTAGACCTACGTAACGTATAGTCAGTAAAGGATGATGATAACCGTGTAAGTAGGTACGGAGTACTCCGTATCAGGTATTCAAAAGAGGGACTGCTCACTGCTGCAGGTCCATTCATCCGAAGACCGAGCGAGACATTATTATCCCGTTTTAGCAGACACACACACACACGCTCCGGATTCATTATTCCTACTGCTGCAATCTGTAGGGTACAGACTACGGTACCTATTTACGGGGTATCTGGATAGTCTACTATCCATATCCTGCAGCTTGGGCATTGGGAAATATGCAATATTGCATGCTTTGCAGAGTTGACTTGACCTATCTTCTGTCTTCTCTCTATCCGTGCGTCTGTGCATAGGTAAGTAACAGCGACATATAACTAGTAGTAGCTCCCTAAGTAAGTAGATATAAAAAAGCATAACAACAACATGAACAGCAACAGCATCTACAATCATAAAGAAATTCACAACAATAAACTCCAAATAAGTTATCCCAATCTCCCACCACCAAAATACAACAAAGTACAGAGTAGTAACTAATTCTTATTCACCAACCCAGCATGCAGTCTGGACCCCATTCAGCACAAGGATTAAGGATTAGTCTTTAGCCCGCGCTGGACCGGACCTGATTATCGTAATTCCAAATCCCCTTCTAGAACGATCCTGGTCTAGATAGTTAGTTATCTAGATGAATAGATACCGCCCTACTTTCTCACAATCTAGTAGTCTTAATCTAAGTACGGCTCTACCCTGGCCTATGATAGTACAGATAGTATAGTAGTAGCCTTAGCCTTAGGAAGTGGTACTATATGTACTCCGTACCGCGTCGCCCTAATGCACGCGCGAGGCGGCAGCCGAGATGGATGGATGTAAGCAAGCAAGCAAGCAAACTAAGACAGCCACTGGATGTCAGCTGATTTATCTGGCTGATTGATTATCCATCCGGGGAAGGATTTATCTACATAAGTACGTAGATAGCTGTTGAGATGGGGTGGATGTAGGTACATAGTAGTACCGTAGAAATAAATAATCTTAATACCCGTACCGATTGTACTCTGTACTTAAGACGGAAATCCCAGGAAAATAATAATAATGAATGATGATGATGATGAAATTATGAGGGTGGTACCGTAGATGATAATTATACACTGACACAAATAATAATACCTAGGTATGTACCAATGATCAGCCCAACCAGGCAGATAAACTGTCTTCAATTTAAAGATAAATACGGATACGGAGTATGTAATCAGGGATAGAATAACTATTAATAAGTAGGATGGAAGATCCTGTGTAGGTAGGTACTTGATTAGAAAGAAAGAAAAGAACTCTTCCTAAATTGTTCTTTCCCCTGAGAGTTGTTTTCCCCTTGGCTTGTGCGCATTAACTACTACCCCGTACCATCATAACACTTTCACAATAGATAGTTAGTAGTAAGTAGATACTGTACTCCGTAGGTACTCCATACTTAAGGTATCTAATGGATAAATGCACTCATCATGCAAGGGTTCACACCGAATATCAGAATTCCCGTGCGGGTTGCAGCCGGGAGGGTTCCTTCCTCTGCCTGTGCCCTGTGTGTGGTAGGTTTGGTCTGTCTGGTCTGGTCTGTCCTCAGTCTCAACCAACCAGGTGTTGGGGATTCTGCATGAACTTGAGGGTGGTGATGGAGGAGGGTTGTGATTGGATTTGGTTGGTTGGATGGTTAGATTTGTTCAAGGTGTTGGAGATGACGGGACGGGAGAAGATTAGCTATCTAAGTTATCTAGTTGGCTGGCTGGGACGGCCTGTAGCCGTTACCGGGAGTCTGTGGCATTTACAGCTCCCTCCTGAGCCCAGAGTACTACTTTAAAGCCAGTAGAGACAGCATGCTGTCTGTTTAAGCGTAGTGAGAGCGTGGGCTTTAGCTTCCCTGGCTTACAATTTCATTTCAATCCAGCCTGCAGTCGCAGTCGCAGTCGAGTCCCTCCCTCCCTTCCTTCCTCATGACACAGTTTTCTTTTTTCCCGCAAGGTCTCACAGAGGACAATCAAGCATCAGGCCGATTTACTTTCCCGATGCATGATTCAGAAGTTTCTGCTGTCTCTGTCTCTGTTTAATTTAATTTAACCCAATACCTTTCTCACATTTTTTTTTTTTTTTTGCCGCGAGGGGCAGAACATCTAGCGGGTTAAAATTGTTAGATTGTCTTGCTTGTTGACAGTCGAATGTGAGACACGGGCCGGACAGACAGAAAAGGTGGGCATAAGTATGTATGTACGTACTGGGTTAGATTAATTAATAATCAGATGCATATGCTGGGTGTTTATGCGCTTCATAATTATTCGCTACAAGGATATCCGGCGGTCAGGTGATGAGGCAGATCATATCGGCTTTCATCTCTGGTCTGGCCGTTGAACAAAGGACCAAGTCCAAGTTGGTGGGTAATGTGTCTTGTCCGCCGTGCGATTTAATCGCGTAATCCCCATTTCCCATTTCGTTGGATGTTGTGGATATATACGTCTACATGAAAGCATCAGTAAGCCTTTGGCTCGAGTTTATTTACTATCCCATCTTGAGTTGACAATTCTATCTATCTATCTATCGTCGTGGGAAAGCAAGCATCCGTCACCTCCATACCATAGTTAGCCACCAACCCCGCCCAGACAATACATCTCATATCACACCTGGATCAAGTCTAACCTCCGTAACCATCTGCAAACAACCGAACCGTCCCGTCCCGACACGGAGTCCTTTCGGTGGATAGATAAAGCCCGCACCGCACCGGACCGTAGATAGTTTACATGTAGATAATTTCCGGAATGAATTTCCCTCGACGGCCCGGAGGGGTGGAGAACTGCAACTGCGGTCGAGGAACGAACTATCGGTATCTAGGTGCATGCTTTCATCCTGTATCGAGATGCTTGTGACAGGGAAGAGAGGGATTTGTTCCCCGGTGCAGGAGAGAGTTCGCTAGCTCATTGGGCTGGGACGGACGTACATGACGGCCGGAAAAGCGGTGGGCTTGGTTGCCCCGGTGAGTGAGTACGTGGGAGGGAGGAGGGGAGGGGCAAGAGCTGTCTTTGTTATGATTGTTGTTGTTGTTGTTGTTGGTTTTGTTTTGGCTGTTGTGGGGGGCGGTTGCGGCAGTAAATATTGAAGGTTGGAGATGGTTGCTTCACCGTAGGAATACTTTCTTTGGACTTGGTTTTTGCTCACCGGTATGGGATAGATAGATAGGACGTGGGAAGAACTTCTGGGTTAGTTGATGGGGTTGATTTTGGCGTGCGGGTCCGGTCCTGGGTTTGGCAGCTGTCAGTCAGTGCCTTGAGTCGCGTGTAGAAGAGTCGGCTTTGGACGGCGGCGTTGATGACTTATATACGCTTGATTCCTGGTGATGTTTGAGCTTTAAGAACAGGCTTGTCAGTATCATCGCGTGGATATTGTTCCAGAAAGACAGAAACATGGCGATAGCCAAGCTGATCCCATTCTGTGGAGGATGCGATGGAAAGCTACCAACCAGATCAACCCGTGACGAGGCAGGCAAGAAGCTATCTTAGCAGCCACGCAGCCCTGTGGAGTGGAGTGGTATTCACGCGCTTCCATCCGCCTCTCCTGGATTGGGAATAGTGTGGAAGAACTGAGAAAGATACTCTCCTGGCAGTCTAGCACCTTTCGACACCTGCCACCATGCCGTATTGGTCGTGAAACAAGTTCCACCCTCCCTCGACCGCTCTTCCTTCCCGGAATCCCCAGCCGGGTATATGCTGCCACACGGAACCGTTCCTCGGTGGCGTCGCGCCGGCTCACGGCCATGCTGCCAATCAGGGTCTCTGGCTCTTGATGCGGTGTACTAGAACGGTTCTCGCAGGAAGCACGGACGCTCCTGTCGGACTGGGTGGGAGTGGGTGGTCATATCCAGGAATGTGGCTTCCGAAGGCGCCGGGTGATGGCTGGCTTCATGGCAGGGCCAGGCTGGTGGGAGGGAGCCTTGAGCGAGTGTGGGAGAGGCACGTGGAGAATTGCTTGTTGGCACTCCTTGTCGGAAGAGTTGGAATGTGGGCACCACGTTGCGTCTCTTGGGTTATTATATGCCCGCAAGTAAGCATGCGTATCTATCCTATCGTCCAATCGCAACCTTGTGCATCACAATGAAGAAGCTGATTTGTCTCTGCTGGTGCTATGGTAGTGATACCCGTTCCTCTGCGTATAGGAGGTTCTCTTTGACTTCACCGAGGTCCAGAGCGCGGAACAACTGCGGATAAAGTAAGGGGTAAACGCCATATGGAGAGTCCACGACCTGCCAGAAATGCGACCACCCGGGTAGAAGGATGTTGATCATGCATAGGCCACCCCCTGGGGAGACTCGGGCGGAGAGTTCTCCCTTTGCCGCAGTGGTCTTTCATCAAAAGCTTTCTCGACAATCGCCCAGTCGGTTATATCGCTTTTTCCGTGACATTTGATACGACCCATTGATAAACGGGTATGCGACACGGATTAAAATCCCCGGGTGTCGTTTAGCCTTCAGCACGGTTGAATATTCAGTGAAGCGGCAAATGGATAGAAGACTGACCCTTGAATCAAGGATTAAAGGTTTCTTGGCCACTCAATACCCATTGTGATAATCAGACGTCCTCAAGACTCCAGGATTTGAGTCCTGGGACATGCATGCTTCACATCCGATAGCCGTGACGTTCCGGAGCAAAGCAGCCTGAGTCCATGTCTTGAGTGCTTCCCAATCCCAATCCCAATGTCAAAGGGAGACCCATACTAGCCATGATATATACCATCAAAACCAGGAGGGAACATCTATCTCCAATGCTGGATGCAATCTCATGATTGCTGCATCCAGCATTATGGATGCGTGTGTTGGGTGAAGACCAAGCCAACGAGGTAAAAGACGTACTCTCCTTCAAAGGCTTACCGGGAAGGCCTGACATTGTGCTGTCAATCTCCAATGCACAGTCGGATAGGACACCCCCATCAAGATAGATGCAGAACGCAACTAGGTTATGTATTTAGTCAGCCTCTGCCTGGAAGAGCACATTTATGCTCCAAAAAAAGGCATACAGACCTGGTTCAGATATCTGAAGCATTCAACCCCAGAGTATATTCTTCAATTGCTCTATATCCAAGATCAGCAAGCCTGTGTCAAAGTTTCAGGTCTTTCTGGAAAACCAGAGCGGGGAGTCCAGCTCCCCTTTGCCTTGCCTCAGTAGTCCTTCTGTCATAAAGAGAAAATAGGAGTCTCGCAAGTCATTACGGAGTACAACATAATCATACTCGTTCTGGAGAAAGATCCAACACAATAACTTCAAACCTTAATAACATAATTATCATAAACTATCACTGCAAAGGAAAAAAAGAAAAGAAAGCAGAGGTCAACAAACAAAACATACACAACCCATCCATCATTCCGGGTATAGGACCATCAGCAGAACAAACTCATAAACATGAACATCAACATCAACATGAACATACAATCATCAACCCCCCCCTCAGTCCCCAACACATCAGCATATCACATCCACCCAAGCCCCGCCAGCCCCAAGCCCATCAGGACCACCGCCCCTGGAACCTTCGCCGTCACCCCCGCCACACTGGAACTCGAACTCGAGCTCGAGCCCGTCTCCTGAGCCCCAGACGTGGTCTTCGACCCCGTCTCCGCAGACTCAGTCGCACTACCGCCCGTGGTCGTGGTCGTCGCCGTCGCCGTCGCCGTCGCGGCCGTCTCGGTACTCATAACCGAGCTCGCCTCCGCCGCGTCCCAAGACGTCGTCGAGAGCGAGCACGAGGTGAGAATGCTATACGCGTCTGCAGTCACATAGTCAGATCCAAACGTCTCATCTTCAAACACCGTATCGCACCGCGAGTATACTCAAGGAAGGCATACCGTTATCATCGTCATCCTCATAGTAGGCAATGCACGCCTCACACAGCGGAAGTAGGTTGGAAGTCTGGGACGAGTCGCACACGCAGGTCTCGTCTGCGCTGTCGTCGTCGTGGTACCGGTGGCTGCAGCCTTCGGTGAGGCCGACGATGGAGCCACAGACCGACCAGCAGCTGTTGGGGACGTCGGAGGTGGAGAGGATTTCCATGGAGAGGATGGGGGTGGTGAGGAGGAGGGTGGTGAGGAGGATGGGGTGGGCGATCATATTGTTGTTATCGTTGTGGGATAAAGGTGATAGGGATTGCCGATTGCTGTTGGTAGTCGAAAGCTTGACTGGTTGGTTGCTTGGTGAATTGGTAAAATGGTAAATTGGTGAAATGGTCGATGCTGCTGTTGAGAATCAATTCCACCCAGATCCAAGCCCATACTTATACCTTCTCCGCCCCCCAACTCCAACTCTAACAATCCTATATTTGCACACAACACAGAACATACATCACTGCTACCTAACCTAACCGAACCTAACCATGTGCGCCAACGGGGATCGCAATCATCGTTTGCATCACACACCTCCACTCTCCATCTACCATGCATACCCAGTGCTGTGTATTTACCCGGCCAGCGCCATCATCATAAGAGCAGGGCAAAGCAGAGCAGAGCACCACCCTCCGCGGAATCAGACACCCACCAGCATTCAGAATCCTACCACCTGCTAAATGCTAAGCCTTGCTCCTCCACACCAAGTCGCGGAGAGACCCTGGACAGTGGTCATCCCAGCACCAATGTGAGGTGTGGGAAACAAAGTTGCCTGATGCTAGTTTTTTTTTTTTTTTTTTTTTTTTTTTCCGTGAATACTGAGTTGTCTTGGCAGATGTAAAACTATTAGGTCAGTTAATTCTTTTTCTATTTTATTGCTTCTTATTCTCTGCTCGACATGCAGTGTGCTGGTTGTCGAAAACTCGCCGCCGCTGGGTGGATACGGCAGTGTTCTGCTGTGTGGTAGGGAATAAGAATGTGGTGTACCTGGGAAGTGGATCTGGGGGATGGGATTTGATTGATGTTGGAAGGGGTGTTGCATGAGGGATGGAGTGACTATGATGTCATGTGCATGGATGAGTTTATCCTTCCTTCCACTGCTGGAGTAGAGGCGGATGAATATACAATCCTGTCAAATGGTAGATAGATAGTGGATACCGTCACTTGAGCTTGTTTTATTGTAAGCAGCCCTAAACCTATGCATGTATGTGCATGTGACATAATGTGATGTGGTGAAGATTAGGCAAGAACTTAAGTAGTAAGACTTAAGCGTTAAGAGTGTCCTCCGCACCCTACCATCCCATCTGATTAATTGCGCCCAGCCCATTAGATAAGTACAGATAACTAGAAGATAAGTATCTACTGCAGTCTCTGCTCTCTGCAGCTGCACAGCCTCCCGCCCGCCGGCTATATATAGAATCCAGACCACCATAAGCTATCCAGACCACACTCATTACTCACTTATTTTTTTTTGTTCGTTTGTCTGCTAGTCAGATATAGGGTAATTGTGTTGCCTTGCATCTGCACCTGATATTGTGGTCGGGTAGTTGGCAATGGGGTCGGAGTAGTGCCCGAGGCGCGACTATCCATCCATCCGACTGATAACGTTTTATCCGTCCGTCGTGTTGAGGCTAATCGCCTGTCGATATGATGCTGCGATGTGATGTTTGTGTGGGATTTGTGTATTTGAGAGAGGGGTTATGAAAGGAAAAAGATATCATAGGGAGGGGGTTTGAATCTAATTTAGGATGGGTGTGAGTACGGTGTATGCCCGTGTAAGTGTTGATCTCTCGGCTCTCAGCTGTGGTTGGAGGTGACTGACTGACTGACCGACTGACTGGCTAGAGAGCAGATTTAGCACGAAATGTCCCTTCCTTTCTACACGCCCCAATAAATATCAGATAGAGAAGATTATCGGTCAATGATCAGTGTGATATCATATTAGTTAACTAGGAGGACTGAACTGTACTCCGTACAGTTCCCCCATTTGGGCCAAGGACACACAGACCGCTAACCGAACATGGCTAGCCTCGAGAAGGTAGGGCTAATGGTTAGCTGACACCCCTGATTAACTATTCCACATGTGTTCCCCAAGGCTGCCAGATATAACTATATCAAGGAAGCTAGTTAGCTATATTGGGTAATATTGTGTGTACAATTTGAGCCGACTAATGCGCGCACACCTGGAGGTGTCGGTTGAACACAGCTATTTTTCTCACGGCTAGCCTGTTGAATTGAGGTTAGATGATGTTTGCCATGTCTGCTTGGTAGGATGGGATAGGATGGATGTAAGTAGAGAACTGCAGGTATTATCTCCCCATTAGACCTCATCAACAGCTGAGAAAGGCACCAGGCCTAAAAACCCAAAATGTAACAGACCATAGACAACCTTATACACCGGACAAATGGGATGGTTCTTCCTTCGCTGACAACGTTCTGGATCGTGTGGGCGACCGGGTAGACAATATACATATGATTAACTAGTCGTTGGTGTATCCGGGAGAGGCTAGATAGAAGAGAGAGGCTTAGGGCCAGTACTTACATTGGTCATGGTCTCCACGCTGCAGGAACCGTGCTCCCAATCCACCCACACAAAGTCCGTTCCTGACTGGGCTACAAGAGTGGCGTACCCGACCAAGGGGGGAATCTTGTCCGGATATGGCTGAGAGGCGGAGGAATGCAGATTGATTATCTTCAGGCTTGGATCTAGCATAAAAAGCAGAAAGTATAAAGATGTAGTATAAGTTCGCGCAATAAAAATAAATCTTCAAGATATAAGTAAAATAATATTTATTCATCAACATATTCTGAGAGTAATATTAGAGTGACTTTGAAGAAGTATATAGGTTCTCTCCTTTACATGTAAGGCAGAATAACATAATTAAGCTAGTTTAAGAAATAATTTTATAAATCAGTCTAGGATCTATGATATATGAGAAAAGAAACTCAAGGCTTTGTATAAACATTGTCCATGTTTTCAATGGCATCACACCCCTTTGACAAACGATATCACCTTATTCAGACCATCGCCCATTGTGATACGCCCATCCGGGATTCATCAATTCATTCTTGCGTTTAATGGGATCCCAATCTTGCCCGATGTGGGCCTTTGCGTCCTGCAACCACTGATCCCAAGCAGGGGTCGAGGGGGTGAATTCGCCATTGACGACCCAATCGATACTCCCGGACATGTTGATGACCGCCCACAACGTCTCCGTATAGGTGGAGGCGGGGGTGCTTGGGCGTTGCTCGACGTATTCGATGTTGTACCTGCTCATATCCCACAGATCGCGAGGCTCGACCAGCAACGCCAACAGCCAGTACAGGATATTCAGAATGATATAAGCCACACCGATGGCAATCTGCATGACGGAGCCACAGTTACTCAGCAGGATGATCGACGCCATGAGCAAGACGGTGCTGGTTCCCAGCAGCCGGTGATGCTTCTTGCCCTTGTACATGTACTCGCAATCCTCCATGCCCTCGTAGAGCTCCCGGATGACATTCTGGTCCCCGTAGACGAGGATGAAAGCCCCGGCCCGGGTGCGGATGATGACGTCTCCGCTGGGGACGTCCGCTTCCGACGTTCGGCCCGTGAGTCGTGGATACCAGCGCGAGGAGAGACTGGCCACGCTGGTTGAGCAAGACATGGTGGCTAGGCCGACGAGGGCGGTGCCGTCGTGGATGCACCCGGCCCAGATGTACAGGCCGACGGTGATGAGGATCGAGATGAGCGTGACGAAGTTGAGCCAGCAGAAGGTCTTGAGTTGGATGGGGATTCGGTGTCGGTTGGATCGGTGGTTTTCGATCATTTCCGGGATCTTCATGAGTTCTCCCCCGTCCTCGGAATCTCGCGTCGCATAGCGGATCCTGTAAACGCGGAATTCGTACTTCTCCATCTCGTCGACGTTGTGGATCAGGTTCGCGAAGAAGTTCAGTTCGTTGAACTCGGTGCCCGAATGAACGCCCACAATCTTGACGTCTTTGACGGATGGAGGTCGCGTCGGTCGATCCGTGTCGAGAAGTGACTCCGGAGCAGGCATCAATCGAGGGAATATCGCGAAGGGAGAGGCGGTGATGGCCTGCATGTGCTTTTGAATCGCAGAGCTGCCGATCACAGCAAGCAGGGGGATGATGTCGAAGCGCCATTTGTTTTCATCCCCCTCCAGCCCAACCGGAAACCAGCCCATGCTTCTTTTCTTTCTTTCTTTCTTTCTTTCTTTTTTTCTTTTTTTTTTGCGATTGTGATCGTTATGGGTGGTGATTTAGATTGTCGAGAAACAGACAAAACAAGAAAGAGGAGGTGACCAGAAGATCTATAATATAGGCCTCAAGTAGCGAAAGCCACCACCGGAAAAAGATGATCAACAATCATAACATGGCCCATAGGAGCGGTGTAGAACCAGCTAATCTAACCATCATCGCAGAGAAATAAAAACGGATTCTTGGCAGGATTCTTGGCCCAAGACACCCAAGTGCTCTGCAGTTTTTCTTCTCATACTGTCGAGTTGCTGCCAAGATAGACTACCTCCTAGTCAGCCAGCGGTCCACCAACTATTGTGAGATCAGCCCTACTTCGATCCACATGAGATGGAGTATCTACCTACCTACCCACCCACCTACCTACCCGTGTCACAATTTGACCAGGTTGTTTGGTTTTTATCCCCCTTGAGGGCCTCGGAACACATCGAATTTCGAAAACCAGGACATATATATAGTACTTAACTAAACCAGTGATCCAAGATCAGATGGCTTCATCTGGGCAATTATCTCGCAGGCTGGCTGCAGAACGGGGCGCGGGTGTCTGCATGGGAAATCGAGCCTAAAGGGAGACTAAGTCGCTGATCGTTTCTCCGAGTCCCACTTGAGCGGGGAAATCCCTCACGGTGGCTGAAGACGTTTCATTTACAGAGACTAGTCAGTCAGGAATCATGCCACGTAGATGGATTCTAGACCACTGGGGTGGACTGTCATCGGCGGTTTGTTTGTTGACAGGAACTAGATATCGATGTTTGACTTGTACGGTGGCCGGTGGCCGGGGCGGCCCGCATATCAGCCATGTATTATTATATTCCGTAGTAGGCCGAGGGGGGTTGGTTTCTTTGAACCGGAGAGGGTGTAGATGAGGCCGGAGCTGATGCCGCAGCTGATCAGGAGGGGGAGAGGCTGACCACGACTTGGAAGAAGATGGGCAGGTAGTACAGGAGCAGGTAGAAGGCGCAGGCGACTAGGAAGCCGATGACTTGCGCGGAGTTCCAGGCCTCGTAGGTTCCTAGACGGTACTGGGTTGTTCATTAGGGTTTTAGGGTTTAGGGTGGGGATGGGGATGTGGGAGTGGAAGATGGGGGAGGAGAGGAGGCGTTGGGGGTCTTTTGAGACTGCGTTTTGCGTGGGAGGAGGAGGGGATGATTGCGGACGGGGGGTTGGCGAGGGTGGTGAGGGGGGGGGCTTGGATTTGGACTTGGAGTTGAACTTGGACTTCGACTTGGGGTTGGGGTTGTGTAAAGGGCGTTTGTTTTGGCTGGGTTGGGTTTGGGGTTGTTGTTTTGTTTTGTGGTGTTGTGTTGTGTTGTGTATTGGTATGGTTCTGTGGTAGAGGAGCTGTGAATTAAAGATAGATTAAGATGATCTGTATGACAATAACAAACATTGCGAAAAAAAAAAAAAAAAGAAACAAGGCGTCAGGATGAGTATACACCACGGGCTAGGTGTTATACCATATACAATCAACCATCAACTCAAAAAAAGGATAAGCTGTATGATGATATCCAAAAGACCCTCTTGGGTCATTTTTCTTCTGCACACATGCTGTTCTGTGGAACAGAACCAGCCGACTGAAAGAGTAGTCAAGTGGTTTTGTTTGACAGTGTGATAGTGTGATCCAGACTTTGAAAAATACTAACAAGAGACAAGAACATATCAAAGCAATCATAAAGTTTCAATTTCATGAAAATAACACAAATATCATCATAAGCAAGTCCCACGTCCACGAAGGTGTTGACTCGGCGTCGGCGAGGACCTGTATTGGAGTTGGAGTGTGCGAATGCTGCAGGTGGGAGTTGGTTCCACTTCCACTTGGCCAGAAGCAGATCCTGCGGCTTTGAATGTCCGGAGATCGATCATGGATTATTTATTCACTGGGCAGGGTGCAGTTGGTATGGTTTATTATCACTGCGCGAGCGAGCGTTGAATCAGTCGTGTCGCTTACTACTCTACGGGTATATCTAGGAAGCATATACATCTAGATGGTTATGATGTTGCTTCCAAGGTCCTGTCTTGTTCTTCTTGTCCGTACTTAGTATATATCCCCCCCCTCCCCTCACAATTCCTGCCCATTCACACATCTAGCCGTTCGTCACAAGTCTGTCATCTGTCGTCTGCCGTCTGTCTACCTGTAGAATCCAAAATCCAAACAGAGATCCCAGGGGAGGGCTCGGCGGTTAATTAAAAAGATGGCGTGGTAGGAGAATACAATCCTGTCTGAGTTGATTAGTATACATAGAGGTATGAGAGGGATCTAGGGAAGGTTGCAGTTGCAGTGAAACCATACAAGATGTATGGAAGGGGGAACAAACACATCACATCCCAAAAGGGTAATCAGGGTTTCTGCCTCAGGGTTGACGGGATGATGCCTTGGGTTTGACGCCTTAATTCTTGTGGCCTGACTGCCTGTATGCCTGTATGCCTGTATGCCTGTATGCCTGTATGCCTGTATGCCTGTATGCCTGTATGCCTGTATGCCTGTATGCCTGTATGCCTTATGCCCTAGGTCTGAATGCCCTCCCCGTCGCCTGAATCCTCGATGCCTGGATGTGCTGTACGCGTACGCTCTCTGTAGATACAAACCGCATAGCTATCTAGACAATAGATAGTAGATGAATATCGTACTCCTTCCTTTCTGAAGCTATGATATGGTATGGTAGATTCTATATACATCCCTCTCTCCCTCTGTCCCTCTGTCCCTCTGTCCTCTCAACCATACAACATATAACATACAATCCCTCCCCATCCCAACCAGCACACCACCCACCAAACATTTCACCAGAACCGCCCAGATTTCCGAATCCTGATCTTGATCTTGATCCCTGATGCTGATGCTGATGCTGATGCTGATGCTGATCCTCGATACTCACTTCCTCCACTCCAAATCGCCCACCCTCCCTCTCTTCCTCTCGCGTTCCCTCTCCCTCTCCAACCCCCTCCTCTTCCCAGACCCAGACCCAGACCCACCGCCCGTAATCTCCCTCTCCTTCTCGCGCGGATCAATCACCATCAAACTATCGACATCGTCCGGGTTCTCCTTCTTCCAATTCAGATCTTTTCCGAGTGTATCCTTCCCGAAGCGGAGCTGGTGGGTCAGCCACCCGTGGTCTGTTTCGTCTGCGCCTGTGCCTGTGCCTGTGCCTGCTGCTGTGTCTGTTCCTGTGGGATCCGTGTCGTCCCACGATTGGCACGATTGGCAGTTTGCGATGAAGTGGAGGTCGCAGAGGTGGGATTCTTCGTCTTCGTCCTCGTTGGCTTTGTCTTTGTCTGCGTGCTTGTGGATTGTGTTTGCGTGTGTGTTTGTGGAGGGGGTTGTGGTGGACGGGGCCTGAGAATCCGCATTCTCAAGTTTTGCTTTAAACGCATTGAACAACTTCAGCGCGGCTGTTTCGCTGCTACTCCCGCTGCTGGAGAAGCCCGTCGTGCCGTTCTTTGTGCTGCTGCCCGGGGCGGGCCGTCTGCGGCCACGGATCGCGGTGCTGGGGATCATGGACTCGAGGGCGGATTTCTTGTGGTTATCGTGGTGGTCGGTGGTCACGGTGCGGCGCATGGAGGCCTTGATGGATTCGATTTCGGCGTTGGTGCGCGAGAGGCGCGTCTGCTGGGGAGGAGAGCGAGAGGGCGATTCGGGGTCCGGGAGGGGGAGTTGCGTTGCGGGATCGGGGTCGGGATGGCTCTGGATGCTGTCTTTGCGCGGAGGAGGAACGGGGGAGGGCGAGCGCGGGCGTTTGGAGATGGGCTTTGATTTGGCTTCTGCTTTCGCTTCACCATGCATCTCAGCCTCAGCCTTCGCCTTTGAAGTCGCGCCCGCATCCGTCACCAACGCAGCATTATACTTCGGCTTCGCAGCCCTGACGGGCATCTCCTCACCCTCCTCCTCCTCCTCGCCATCCTCCCCGAAACTCAACAAGGTCTTCGCCCCCTTCGCATTCTTCTTCTTCCTCGCCTTCTCTTTCGCCTTATCCTTCTCCCCTCTCTTCTCCCCAGCCCCAGCCCCAGCGACAGTCGCCGTAACAGCCCTCTTCACAACTCTCCCTTCCAACGGCCCCAACTCCCCCACCTCACACCCCGTCACACTAACCGGATAGACCAACCTCTCCGTGCCCTCCACAACCTCCCCCTCCGCAATCCGCAACACCGTATAGATACTATCCCCCTCGACCCTCCCGAACATCGTACACTGCCCATTCAGCTCGCGGCTGACATCGCCCAGCGTGATGAAGAACTGGCTGCCATACGACCCGTCCTCCGCCTTGGCCATGCCCACCAGCCCGCGCCGATTGAACTTCAGCCGGCTGTGCAGCTCGTCCCGCAGCACCACTTTCTCGCTCGGGTCGCGCGCCTGCGCGTCGTATTCGAACTCGGGCGTTTCGTAGATCGAGGTGCCCCCTGACCCCGTGCCCGTGGGGTCACCGCCTTGGAGGATGAAATTGGGCACCAGTCGGTGGAAGATCGTCCCCGTGTAGTAGGAGTCTTGGATGTGTTGGAGGAAGTTGCGGCATGTGAGCGGCGTTTGGGTCGCGAAGAGCGAGATGTGGATTGGTCCGAGGGTCGTGTGGATGGTTGCGGAGGCCGTCGCGGCGGGTTCGGTGTTGTAGTGGGAGGACATTTTGAGGGGTTTGCGGGTGAGGGTGGTGGTGGTGGTGGGATGAGGGTGGAGGGTGAGGGTGAGGGTGAGGTGGTGGTGGTGGTGGTGGTGGGACGCGATCCGCGGGTTATTGCAGCTGTGGTCGTGGATCGAATGAGAGGCTGATCGGACGGGTATGAATTGAGAAACGACGAAACCCGCGTTGGGTCAAGGGTCGAGGGTGGTGTGGTGTGGTGTGGTGTGGTGTGGTGTGGTGGGGGGGAAGAGACAAGAAAGGGAGAAAGGAAGAAGAGGCAGCGCGACGGAGAAGTTCAATTCGTTCTGAAGCCGCGGGAAATTTGCGGGCCACACGTCATGTCATGTCGCGCCGCAGCCACAAACACCACCATGCTGTAACATCCTGTCCTTCCACTCAATTCTCGATGTCTTTCTATTTGATTTATGCCCACATTACTGATTACTTCTACTCTGTTTACTTGACAACCCTGCTTGAAGAGAGAATAATCTGGACTGTCCCGCAGTCAGCATATATTGTGTCTATCCAAGACCCGGTGTCCAACCTGCTTGGGATATACTATACTACCGTCCTCTCTAACCCTATACCGATGGGTATGCCTATGCCTATATCAACTCCATCCATATACTCCGGTTCCAAATCCAAATCCAAATCCAAATCCAATCCCAATCCAATGCAACCCAAGTTCACTACAGCCCATACACATCATCAAAGCACTGCGTCGTCGCCGGACAACTATCACCCACAAGTCAGCATACATCACACACACACACACACATCACAACGCCCCTCCTCACTCATGTAAAAGAAATACTTACTAGATAAACTCCTGCCCAAAAATGACATGCCAGAGATACCCCATCAAGTTCTCCACATCTTCATCCCCCATGTCCGTCTCCATAATCCACTCCTGAAAGCGGATATAATCCTCCCGCGGCCGCTTAAGCACTTGCTCCCTCGACACGGCAAACTGCCCACTGTACAGCGTGCCAATACTCTCGGGCACGTCCGTGCTATTGAAGAACGTCTCCCACACGGCGGGCAGCGCCCTCTCGATCGTCGTCTTCTTTTCGTGCATCGGCCGCGACGCGATCCGGTCGCACTCGCCGCTCACGCTGCACCGCAGGTTGGCGAAGCCGGCGCGCGCCACGAAGTCCCGTTGCAGCAGCGTGACGGCCGCAATGTTGCCGCCCGAGAACTCGCTGTGGCCGGGTTTGCGGTGGTTCTGCAGGAAGACGATCGTCGCGGGCAGGTGCTGGTAGTGGTCGATGAGGTATTGCAGGTAGACGGAGCTGCTCTTGCCTTTGTTCTTGGGGAGGCTGAGCGTGGCGCGCCGGTCGTCGCGCGTGTAGACGGCGTGGTTCCAGCTAGAATTGGTCGTATGTGAGTATGTGTTTGTGTGGGGGAAATGGAAGCACTCACTCGCGCAGCTCCAGACGAAGCCAGTCGGATCGTTCGCGCTTCAGCTTCCCGATGACGAGGACGCCGTCGATGGCCGTTTCCTTCGTCCCGAGCATGTCGTCCGTGGTCCATTGGGAGGACGCTCTGTCCTGTTGAGGCGAGGGGATGAGATCGGCCATGGAAGGGCGCTTCTTCGCCGTGGGTTCCGCGGAGGGCGTGAGGGAGAACTTCCACGACGAGCTCTCCGCGGCCGATGTGTGTGGTTTGCTGCCGTCATCGTGGTGGTGGGCGAGGCTGGACAGTTTCCCTCGGATGGAGCCCAGCTGGCTCAGCTGTGTCTCGATCCAGAAGACCGTGAGGATCAGCAGGGCCGCGGCGCTGAAGCGGATGAGGATCTGCATGGTGATGATGCCGGATGCCGGATGCCAAAGGTGCCTGCACCGGGGGGGAGGGTGGGAGGGAGGGGTGTCGAGGTCAAGGTCGAGGTCGAGGTCGAGGTCGAGGTCGTAAGGGTCGGGAGGAGGGAAGAGGGAGATGATATCTTGTCCATGCAGTGAAGCGTGCGAGGAAAAGGACCGGGGCTCGCCTGACGCCCGCGCAAGCCATGGGCGATTGTGAAACGGTGGGAAGCGTTCTGGGCCGAAGTATACGCAAGCGCTGGGGTCCATGACGTAACACACGGTTGATCGTGGCGGACGGGCCGTCTCCCACTTGGGGAACTCAAGGGCTGATCGGTCCGTGGCTCAGGGGATGCGCAAGCATGGCAGACCTGCCATCGTGAACTATATCTAACTGTCCGACTGTCTGGCAGGCTGTCAATCCGTCAGTAGCCTCTGTTCGCGGGACGAACCCGGGCTCGACCGTTTCAGCCCTAGATCCCCCCTCCGCCGAGCGTTGGCCCGGTCAACTCCTCGTCAGACGGTCTGCCAACAGAATAATCAGAATCCAGCAGCAGCTCAGCAGCTAAGCAGGTCCAGATCTCACCTGACAGGACCCCTCGGGCGCGGGCCAGAAATAAGGATAGGCAGGTCCCCTGCCCAATGTCTTACTTGGCCGCTGGCCACGGTTCTAGCAGCCAATGAGGCCAGGGTAGCCAGGACAGGACAATGCATGCAGGGCTAAACAATATTCCCATTCTCTGCATCCCCGGCTATCAGACAACTGCCAGTAAGTCAACTTTAATCAATTAACCATAAGCTTGTCGTTTCATCATCCCGTATCTGGCTACGCCCGTTCTTTTTTTATCGATCTAACCATCCGCCCCCACTAAGACGTCTTATTCTCCTCGTCAGCCTCATCCTCTGCGTCTTCCCGCTGCTTGCGAATCTGGAGCCTTCCCAGGAATAGCACCAGCGCCTCCACCCCCAGTACCACCGCCAGAGTGACCATCGCCCCGATCGCACCAGCCACGGGCCTCGAGACCCCGTGCTCGCTCGCCGTGGTCTCCGCAGGGGCGGTGCCCGTCGTGGACGCTGGGCCGGTGCTGTTCGAGTACACTGCGCATTGTCCGGCGGTGTTTCCGCACATTTGGCACCACTGCGCCGTCGAGGTCACGGCGATCTTCTTCGTCTGGGAGACAAAGTCGGACCAGGAGATCGTGCCGTTCGATTGGCCATAGAGCGGGTATTCCGTCGGCGCGTCCGAGCCGCTGATCGTGCCGTTGTGGAAGACAAACCGCACGCGGAGCTCCGACGGCGAAGGGAATTCGGTGGTGGAGTTGGTCACCAGCTCCCAGGCCATCGTCGATGCATAATCCGGGATGCCGGTGAAGTTGTCGCTCGTCGCAGGCAATTGAGCCAGGCCAAAGTACGAGAGGAACGTTCCGTACGAGCCAAACTGAATGCCGAGTTTGGTCTTCCCCTGGGATGTGACGGTCTTGTTCAGGCTCTGCAGCACGTCTCCCGCTAATCGGGCACCTGCAATGGCGCGGACAGTTTCAGACGAGTTGTAGGCCAAGTTATACTGCTCAATGTTGGCCAGCAGGTACAGCTGATGGAGTTCGTCATCCGTTGCGCCCTTAGTGGTGTTGTGAATGGATCCGACCTTGAGATAATCGAAGATGCTGTACGCATTCTTGAATGTCATGGCCGACTCGTTAAACGTTCCATTCAGCAGGAATGATATGGAGTAATAGACGCTCTTGGTGGACTGGAGCAGCGAGGAGTACAACTCAGAGGAGTAGTAGTTGTTGCTGCTGACCTCAGCTTTGCGGCAGTCGGTGGAGCTCTGCAGCCAGGCCGTGTCCTCACTGTTGGACCCCGAGCTGGTCGTCGCCACGGGGATCAGCTGGTACCCATCCAAGGGCCCCTGCACGGTGGTTCCATCGGCCAGGACCTCGTTCGATGCCTTGCCTGCCGGCGGATAGATGGCTTGCAGGAATGCAGTGGCGGAGTTCTGCAGCACGTCGTCCGATGGCGACGAGGCGCTGATCTGGCTGAGCTTGACCAGGTTCTCGTTGATTCCCTGGATGTGCTGGGACGAGTTGGCGTGAATGTATCGGGTCCGGTAGTAGCTGCCGGTGTCGAAGACCTCGTTATAGCCCAACTCGGTGAGTTCGGTGTTCTTCAACACCTTGGCCGTACGGTCCCCGTGACGGGCGAAGATGTAGGCCCCCAGGACCCTCTCTGCGGAGGCAGGAAGGGCCAGAGGTATGGCCAGCATGGTCAGCATGGCCAGCAGGACCAGCAGGAGGGAAGAGTGCATGGTGAGCGGGTGTCACGGAAGTGAAAGTATGAAGTGGAAGGGGATACACGCTATAATGCTGTGGATGATGTGAATTTGCATGGAGGTCACTGGTCACCTCAGGGAAACGAGAAGCAGAGGGGGTTATCCTGATGGCTGTCAGTCCCGGCGGAGTTGCCCACCACCCAGGGAAGGAAGGAACCACTCACTGGCCCTGGCAGGGCTCGATGGGAAGGCACATCCGGCTGCAGCCGGTCGAGACCCTGCAGATGGCAGGAACAAATGCATCGCCAGGCGTTCAGTGGCAGCCCTGGTGCGATAGCAGGCCTTGGCTGTGGACGGGATTGCACCGGATCTTCTTGGCTTCCTCGCATCCCAGGGTTCGGTCGGGCATTCGTCCGTGTCACATCACAGGTCTGGATTGAGAAGCGAGGAGCCAGGAATGATCTGTGGGAGGTGTTAATTAGTAAGTCAAGCAGTGGTTGAGTGAGCGTTATACCAACAGTAAATATACTATCTACTCCATTAGTCTCCACATCAGGGCCCTGAAACTACTGTTACCCACCATAAACTCAATCCAAACTAGTTAATCGTCCCCACGCACCCCGAAATTAAAGAGATATATCATTCGTCAATCAACTGGCTCTGGGGGGGGGTTCGGATTCGACCCCTGCGGGTGTAATTTCGTCACACAACCACCCTTCCATCCGTACGCTTGTTGTATGGAGACGTGTAACCCGGAGGAAGACTCCCTCGAATGCCCATGTGGAAAACCTTTGCATGAATGATAGTACACTGTGGGTTTAAGATTGTAAACAGAAGGCGGTGTCCGCTCCTTGAGGTTGCTTGAGGTTGATTCAAGGACGAGAGTGCTTGGGCTGGGTTGATACTAGGTTAGAGGGTTGTTGTACTATTGTTGTGTTTTGGTTAGGTTGCCTTGTTGCTTGATCGCTTTGTTGGTATATTCATGTTATTATGTTCTTCCTTTTCGGTCATTCTGGATTTCAATGAGCAACATCTGCCTCGTGTAGGTGAGTAGGATATGGTCGAGTCAAAGCAAGTGCACCCATCAGACGAGATTGATATTATTGGATAGGATTATCATGGAAACGCCGTCATATTCCTGCATGAGGAGGATTGGATATCATTGAATCAAAAGTTAAAATCCATAAAAGCATCTAGTACCTACCTACCCACCTTCCCACCCATCAGCTCACACCCATTCCGCACCACCCCGACCAACCCCCCAGTCTGCATCGTCTCCGACCCCCCGCCCGACAACCGCCACTCGATCTCCGCCAGCCCCTCCAGCCACGTCACTCTCGTCTGCGCCGGGACTTCCAGCCGTTGCAGCTGGTCCGCCAGCGCGGAGAGGATATCCGCTAGGGCCAGGCCCTTGTTCGCCTTGAGGGTATTCACCGTATTCAGACAGGAAGTGACATCGCTCGTGGCGAGGAGCGTCGTCATGATCTCCTCGATATCCGAGGGATGCGGCGCCGCAATGCAATCGTAAATCGTTTCATTCGTGATCGTCTCCGCCTCGGGAATGGGTTGGTCTTTCGGGGCGTTCTTCATGGGGAGTGGTATGCCTATGACGGACTCACAGTTGGCGATGATGGCAAGACAACCCTCGGGTCGGGGTGGGGTTGGTTCGACTTACTGCTCGCGTGGCACGCCTGGAGGACATTCAACGCCCGACGCATATCTCCCTTGCTTAGTCGGACCAGACTGTCGACTGCCTCCGGCTGGATGTTCACATGCTCCTTCTCCACCACCTGGTCCACCAACACTCGGATATCTTGCTCCTTCAACGGACTGAACCGGAACCGGGTACATCGGGACAGCAGCGCCGGGGACAGCTTGTGCGTGTAGTTGGCGATGATGCAGAACCGTGTGTTTGCTGTGTATTTCTCCATGATGCGGCGCAGCGCCATCTGCGCCGTAGAAGTCATTGCATCGGCTTCGTCGAGCACGATCAGTTTGTACGAGGCGAGGGAGCCCCCCGGGCCGGCGGAGGGGGCCATGGAGAAGATCTGTTTTGTACCTGTTATGGTTGTCAAGGTGAGTGGGTGGTTTGCTTATAGCATGGGTGGTGGTTGGGTCACGGACTGGCAAAGGTCTTGATCTGTTCGCGAACAACGTCAATACCGCGGTCGTCACTGGCGTTCAGCTCCAGCACCATCTGCCGCATGTTCTTGGCTCCGTATATCCGTCGGGCGAGGGCGAGGACTGTGGATGTTTTGCCCGTTCCGGGAGGGCCGTAGAGAAGGAGATGGGGGAGGCGCTGTCCGAGTTAGCATGGCTCGAGTCGGAAGAGGGTGGTGGATCGCGTACGTTGGCTTCGACGAATTTGTTGATGGTCGCGAGGATGTCTTTGTGGCCGGAGACATCTTCAAGGGAATTGGGGCGGTATTTTTCCACCCTGAGATGTTAAAACAGGCCAGACCGCATCTCTGGTAAGAGAAGACTCACCAAGGTAGGTTATCTTGGGCTTCGACAGGCAGATCGGCCGCCGTCCTCTTGGCCTTGACGCTGGTGTTGTCGGAGCTGAACTGGATGGCGCTCCTGGGGGGAGCGTCCACATCCATTGAATCCTCGTAGTCGGACATCTTGGCTGATTCCGCTGTGACGGGCCGGAAAATAGCTGCAGAGCAAGCACAATGGACCTGGATACAGCGACAAGGAATCGACGCGTCCTCCGCAGCGCGTAAAGAGGTTCGGATCGGAAAATCTGGTGAGCTCCGCTCCGGGCGGGCGCGGCATGACGAGTAGCCAGCCAGCCAGCACTGACTGCTACTGCCTGCCACTCCCGCCCTCACCTCCGTCTCCCTCCTCACTCCCCTCTTCTCTCCTTCTCCCTCCTATCCTCCCCTTAGACCGGCTCTAAGAGGATAGCCATTGCTCGCATCTACACTCATCATGCCCGTACGCTTCCATCCATCCCCCCCCCACCAACGCAATGCATTCCAACCCCTCCCCCTGACCCATCATCCTAGGCCTACCACTCCATCTTCCTCGAGGACCGGGATGTCCCCGTAATAGGTACGTCTGGCGCAATGCCCTCCCCTCCCCCTCCCCCACAGGCCCCCATTCTGCCTCTCCTCCCCTCTCTCCCCTCTCTCCCCTCTCTCCCCCTCTCCCCCTCTCCCCCTCTCCCCTATACAATATCCTCCTAACAACACCAGGCAACTTCCCCGTCCTCCCCCTCCGCACCCGCACCCGCGGCCCCGCATACACCCTCCCCGCGCTCCCGCCCACCGCCGACACCGAAGTGCCCGCCGACAGCGAGTCGTACGACTGCGTGGATGAGATCCTGTCGCTGTTCCGCGCCAACGTCCTCTTCCGCAACTTCGAGATCAACGGGCCCGCCGACCGCATGCTCATCTACGGCACCCTGTTTATCAGCGAGTGTTTGGGCAAGGTCAAGCCCGCTATGACGGCGCGTGAGGCTGAGAAGGTATGCACACATCTACCCACCCAATCAACCAACAAACACTGGGGAGTAGAGGGATAGGTGGGGTGTTTGGAGAGAGAGAGAGGGATATTGGGCTAATTATCATGACCATGATACATACTGACTGGAATTGCGGCTGGCGGCGTAGGCGTTGATTAATGTCGCTCTGGATCACTTCGCCATTCCCGGTGACGTGTCGTTTCCTCTCAATCAGGCGTTCGAGCCGCCCAGGGATAGGCAGGATGCGGAGACCCTGAGGCAGTATCTCTCCCAGGTGAGGCAGGAGATTGCCGTCAGGTTGCATGCGAGGTTATACCCTGGTGGTGTGGGGCCTTCGAAGGTATGTTTTATCTTATTCTGTTTGTTTGTTTGTTTGTTTATTGGGGGTGTGCTTGGGGTTGGGGTTGGGATTGTGGTGTATTGGGACAGTGCTAATGTCTACAGTGGTGGCTGAGCTTCGCGAAGAGAAAGTTCATGGGAAAGAGCTTCTAGGTTAGATTATTCTGTATGCTGCTTTTGTCTGCTCCCGCGCCCGCGTACATCTAGCGGGTGACGACCGTCCCGTCGGGTCCTCCGGCCCTGGGCTTTTACTCTTGTGTATATTTCGACATGAAGCGATTTGAAAACTAGACTGATGTCTGACGTCTGTGTGCTTGGTATCATAGAGGCCCGGTCTGAGGGCTATGTATCCCCATTCCCGTCTGGCTCGGGGGAATGTATGAGTGTATGAGTCGAGGTGGGGTCTCGTCATGCGATGGCAGCCATAGGACAGCTGCAACGGCCCGACAAGCGCTATTTTACATGAGGGTGGTGAGGTGAATGGTGGATTGGTCTCGAGGCGGTTGTTACGAAGTCATCTCGACATCGCCGCTGGCCGCGGGCGTCTCCGTCGGGGTTTCGAACTCGGGTTGCTTCGCGAGTCTCCGCCGCTTGCGCGCCGGATCGCCCGCCGCCTCGATGTTCACTGCCCGGGGGATCACGCGGATGCCGTGGAAGATGTATCCCTCCGCGCCACCCCGGCCGGACATCAGCGGGTGCGTGCGGCCGGGGAGAACCTGCCAGACGCGGACCCGCGATGTCTGCAGCGTGGGCGAGAGCAGCGTCGTCGGGTCGACGTAGAACTCCTCCACCAGTTGGGCGGTCACCTTGCGGCTGATCTCCTCCGGGTCCTCGGACTCCTGTTCCGCCTGCTCCTCCAACTCGCGCCTCCGGGTCATCCAGGCGTTTTTCCGGGCTGTAGAGTACAGGTCGGTCACTTCCGTCAGGGGCTCCACGGTGGGCGAGTAGATGACGACGGGGGCCGAGCCTGAGAGTAGAGGGATGGCATGCTTCAAGATACTGCCGGGGTCCATCATCGACGCAATAATCAGACCGTCGAAGCCGCCGGTGCGGGCTTCATCGACCACCCGTCGGGTGCGCATCCATCTGCCCCGCTTGCGGTGGTAGGAGCTGCGTTTACTGGACTTGTATGTAGCGAGCTCGGCGTCGGGCACCACCGGGGGCTCTTGGGCGTAGATCGTGTCCGCGTTGGGGTCGAGCAGCTGCAGGAAGGACACCGTCTTCAGGTTCGTGTACAGGGGATGCGTCTCGCTGATGTTGTCCTGCTCGTAGCCGAAGTATTTCAGCAGGTTGAGGTTAGGTTGCTTGTTGGCGTGCAGAAGCGTGATGGTGTTTCCTTGCGCGGACATCTGTCGACGATGCACACGACCTGCGGCGTTTGTGATCGGTTCCTCCTCCTCATTCCGCTCCTCGCCCTCTGGTACCTCCGGCTCAGCGGCATCCTGCTCCTCCTCATCATCCCCATCATGAGGGTAAAGCATACCCATCCGCTCCGCCATAGCCGCAACCACCAAGCCACCCGTATCATCCACAACAAGATACCTCCCATTGGGCCTCGCCGCAATCGTCTCCTCAAACGAGCTACTGCCGCCATGATGCACATTTCCCCAACACCCAATCAACCCGATCAGTTCATCGCGCAGCTCCAACGTCTTGGCCGCCTCGCGGTCCTCCAGCATATAATTCGTCAACAGGCTGACATCCAACGGCATGACCGTGAACCGCTTCATGTACTTCCTCTCCTTGCGCAGCTTATACTTGGCGAGCGAAAACGCCGTCTTCTGATCCAGCGCCTGATGCGACTCCAGCAGCTTCGCGATGATCGCCCGTCCGGCGCCGGAGCTCTCCTTCTTCAGCGCCTCGATCTCCTCCAGCGTCAGCTTCTGCGTGGACCGGTCATCGACGGTCTCGCGATTCGTGCGCACGGGCGTGCCGTCTTCATTCAGCTCGAGGTCGTCACCATCGTTCTCGCCATCCGTGATCAGCGACTCCGCGTGCAGTTCGGCCGCCGTCACGATCCGCAGGTACTTGCTGTTGGCGTCGCCGGGCGTCTCGTGGATCTCGTACGTCAGGTAGAAGGGCCGGCCGATGATCTGGTTCGCGGGGAAGGAGCCGTATTTTCCGAGGAAGATTTCCCTGTTGGTTTGAAATCGGTTAGCACGCTATCATTCCCGGGTATAGGCCTGGGTCCGCCGCGGCGCATACGTGTTGGGAACGATCTTCTGGATCCTCGTCTGCTCGGAGGGCAGCTTGAAGGCCAGAAACTGGTTCGGGCGCACGTAGGGATGCATGGTGGGGGGGGCTGTGGTCGAAGATGGGGAGGAAGGGACTCAGCGCATGGCACGCCAGGAGAGGAGAGAATAATTCGAGCAAATGGTCCAGACCCGCTCAGCGTGGCTTCCGACACTTTTTTCTGCGATAGCGCACGGACCCCAATCCAGCGGCCGATAATCGTGCTTATGTAAAGTAACGCTGCGGGTGCCGCCGGAGGGACGGGTTGATCCGGTGCCGGGGAACGACGTCATGGGATGTGGCGGGTATGGCAGGTGTGGCAGTGCTGCATTGCGGAGACGGTGGCTGGGGGGCGGGACGGGCGAGAGGTGAATGGTGACGATACAATACGCGCAGGCTTGGCGCAGGGCGTCGTCCAGGCAGCCGGATTGCCGGGCAGGGCGGTAATTGGTTACCGGGACGGTATTGGGGGATCTCCACCGCCAGTCCGCCTCTCAAGTCTCGCGCCATCCCAGCTTCCAGCCTGCATCTCCCCTGGGAATCCGGGTGCCTGTCGCGCGTTCTGTTTTCGTTTGATTTCCTTCCATTTGGCTTCGTTCTCACCTGTCGTCCTGCTGCTCCCACTCACTGCCTTCTCCGCCCAGGAATGCATGGCCTGCGTCCAGAGTTCTTTCTAGCGTTGCTGCTGCAGACACCCTGGTTACGTATACATCCCGGATAGCTTCCTCCCTCGCCCGCCTGCACTCCGCGTTCATTCCTGCGTCAGACGATAATCTGCCTGGGCTGTCGTCCCTCGAGCTCCCGTCCTGGCCCTCTGACCTGACTCGGCTCCCCCCGCGGGTCTCATTGGCCCCCAAGCTTGTCCAACGTTTCATTGATCACCCGTAAGCAAGCTCGGGCGCCCAGGCCTGCCCGCTAAGAGCCCGCCTCATGGTCCTGCGAAAGCGAGCTCCGCCACGCCTTCACAGCCTCACCCTAGGGAATGACCGTTCAGGCACCCGCGACCCCCTTTCAAAAACCTCCCCGACTTCTAAATCCCTGTCCTCCTCCTCCCCCAAGCGTCTGACCCGCCCGAGACGGGCCCAAAGCTCCCCTCATCCCCACCGGGTCGCTTCCGAGGAATCCATCTTCTCTCCTGACCTCAACACCTCCCCGGCATTCGACCTGATGCCCCTGGAACAAGCCCAGAGGTCGCCGATCCGCAGCTCGGCCGGCGATGGGTCCAACCCATGGGCGGACGAGCTGACGGAGCGGTTCGGTCTGGGCCCGCCTGATGCGGTGGGCTCACACCAACCTGCACCCGAGAATCCTGCGCAAACGGATATGGCTGGTGACAGAAGAGCAGAGCAGGTGCCTGCCATCGCGATCCCTCGCGCCCAGGACAGACCCGCGGCGCAGGAGTGGCAACCTGACCGGCGAGAGGGACATGCCGACTGGGAGTACCTGGGCCAGTCGCCCGTGCAGCTGCAGTCGAACAACCCGTTCCTCAAGCCTAGAACGCCCGATCCCAACCCATGGCAGGAGAGGAACTCGCGCTTATCGTATGGAGAGACGTCATCTCAGTCGCACGATGGTGCAAGTATGCACCTTGGACAAGGTATGTCGTCATCGGACATTCTCTGAATGCTAAGCCAACCGCTATAGATGAGGGCTACATCCCGATGACGGCGCGCTTGTCGCTTTTTGATCAACCCGAGGCAGAGTCGCCGTGGGTGGGCGAAAATTCGACTTCAGCACCCCCGACGGCATCTCTACCAGCGTACGCATATCATGGTGCGGATCAACCGTATTCAGACCCATCGGCCAATTACCAGGGTCCTGCGAATCCTTCAGCCGCCTCTTATGATACTCATCTTCAACCTACACAACCACTACATGCTGAAGGCAGACACTCTCCGGCAAAAAGCACGAGTACGCCAGGAACTATCTCCACCAATACAACCGGGTCGTCTCATGTCCTGATTGAGCTGGACGAAGCGCGTAATCCGTATGCAGAGGATGTCCCGAAGAAAACGTCTCCGAATTATGATTCTGTAGCTCTCCCTCCGCTACCACAGCAGGAAAGGCCTGGCCCGCCTTTGCCAGAGCGTCCTGATTGTGCGGAGCCTAGTCCAGGCCACCCGCGGTCAGCATGGAGTGCACCGATCTCCGAAGCAGAGGCGAAGCGACAACAAGAGCAACGATCTGAAACGTATTCGATCAGACACGTCAACTGGACCGATGGCACGGGCAACCTCCGCGAGTCGCCAATGCTGGTCCAGAACAAGAATGGCCCATGTCCTCTTTTGGCGCTTGTTAACGCCCTCGTTCTGCGCGCAGCCAGCCACGATTCGCAACCCCCCGTCGTGAGAGCGCTGCAGACCAAGGAACAGATTTCTTTAGGGTTGCTAATTGAGGCCCTCTTTGACGAATTAACAACACGCTTGGGGCCCAACGACGAATTCCCCGATATCGAGGCCCTGAGCCGGTTCTTGACCATGCTGCATACTGGGATGAACGTCAACCCCCGACTTACTCTGGTGAGCAACTCTCCACATACTGGTTTTCGACGTGCTAACAGAACCAGGCATCAAATGATAGCGTTGGCACTTTCCTTGAGACCGAAGATATCCGGCTCTATGGCACATTCGGAGTGCCACTTCTCCATGGCTGGGTCGCTGAACCGTCTACGGAAGCCAATGCGGCTATGGTGCGCGTGGCCCAGTATCATGAAGATATCCAGCTGCTTCCTTTCCGTAGGCAGGATCTCGAAGACCGTGTCTTCCGGGGCAACTCATTGACTCCAGAGGAAGAGAGAGTGATGGCCGATATACACACCATCGAGCAGTTTACCGATATCGAGAACGCAACCCAACTAAGTACCTTTGGCCTGAGACACTTGCTCACAAAGCTTCAACCCGGGTCGTTCTCAATCCTCTTCCGCAATGATCACTTCTCCACCCTGTACAAGCACCCCCAACTCAACCAGCTCTTCACGCTGGTCACCGATGCCGGCTACTCCACCCACGCGGAAGTGGTCTGGGAAAACCTCGTGGATGTCACCGGATCCGACGCCGGGTTCTTCGCAGGGGACTTCCGCCCCGTGAGCCATAATACGTCCCAGCAATCAGATCCTTCCGGCCCCAGATCCTCAAGCCACACCGGACGCACGTCCTCAGCACCACCCGAGCCTCAGCGAAACAGCACCATGACACCCCAAGAACAAGCCGACGCCGACTACGCCTACGCGCTTTCCCTCCAATACCAAGAGGAAGAACAAAGAGCCCGCGCCGAGAACAACCCGACACGAAACTCGCGATCCTCCCTCCCCTACCCACCCTCCGAAATGCCTCCTTCACGCACCCACCCCCACAATCGATCCTCCAGCGCTGTAAACAACACCAACGGCAACGGCTCTTACGCCGCAGTCGCAGGAAACCGCTCGTCGCGCCAAAGTCAGCGTCCCGCCCGATACTCGCAATCCCATCTCGACACTCACACGGCCCGTCGCACAGCCGACGATGACGATGTCCCTCCCCCGTCCTACGAACAGGCCGCCCGGACCCCAGTATACCCGTCCCCGTCCCCGCAACGCAACCCCAACACCACTTTCTCAGACTCGCCCAGTGGCTCTCCCTACCAGCGAGCCCAATTGGGCCGACGCCCTCCCGGCCCTCCTCCCATCGCCACTGTGCCCGGGGAACGCGTCAGGGATCGCAACAAGGACTGCGTGGTCATGTAAGCTGACCTAGCCTGACCCGACCCCCTCGCTACATGGGCTAGTTATCTTCAGGACAGCTATATCGGCTGAGTCAAGCTCCTGACAAGAACCTATCACGACCGGACAACGACGACATATACGACACCAACCAAGACAGACACTAACGACATCATCATCATCATGTATTCTACATAGCCGTCACCTGCAACAGGCGGATTTAATGCTTCTATCCTACCTATCCTACCTACCCTGTGAACAACCATCTTCTTCCCTCTCTCTCTCTCTCTTAACGACATTGCTACGTGAACCAGACCTTTACTTGGGATTCGGGATGGGATGGGCGGCGTGGTACTTCGCATTCTCTTTTTTTTTTTTTTTTTTTTTTTTTTTTTTTTTTTTACTATTTTCTTATGCCTACTCCTGTTACTGCGGTTGTTGCGGTTGTTGTTTTGCGCTCGGGTTTGCTTTGCTTGGGTAGAATTAAAGTATATCTGAACTCTGAACTCTGAACTCATATCTGGACTTATATTCTTATATTTGATTGAGGTGGTTATAACTGGGCTTGGGGGTTGCGTGTAGATTCTATGTTGTAGATTTTATGTTGTCGTTTATTAGCAAGCATACTTGGCCATTCTTGGTTTTAGATGTAGAGATCGAGAGAGTGAAAGTGAAAAAGGAAGAGAATAGCAGCAGAGGATCAAAGGGGGAAAGGGGTAGGAGAGACGGAGAGAGTTGGAGATGGGAGAGGGGGAAGGGGAGAGAGAAAGAGCAGTGCATTGAATGCGTCACCCCTAAGCAACATGACCGAGAGTTCGACAATTCATTATCCTACTTAGTTACTTGCTAGCATCACATCACACCCAATCAACAAACCAACCAACATACAATGTATGGTATCCATCCATATCCATATCCATATCCATATCCAGTTCCATCCATCCATCCAACCCAAACTAGTGCAACCCAACCCAAGCCCATATCAGATATCCATATACCCACCCATTCCCCCACCCATCCCTTCATCCATCCATCCATCATCCATTATCCATTACCTCATAACACATGCACACACAATTGAATCAATACAAAATCTTCAGTTCCCAAAGCGGCAGTTTCGGATCATATTTATCCCAAACAATCCTATTCTTTTCACTCAGATGAGCCCCCTCATCCGTAATGGGGATCCCAGCATCCGTCTCCAGCACCTCCTGGCGACTGAACCCCCATTTGTCGCGGGGGATCCAGATCGTGGGTGTGCGCGCGGTGATACACGGCTCGTAGTACGCGTTGTTGCGCTCCTCCTCAGTGTATCGGATCTCGACGTGGTCGCGGGGTACCTTGCCGCGGAGGGCGGCGTAGTCCCGGTAGAGGTTGGGGTGGAACCATTTCCAGGCTGATTCCCATTTTCCAACGAGGGGGGGGGAGGGGGGGAGGGCGTCGGTTTCCAGTTTGGCTCGCTGGGCTATTTCTTCGACGTCGAGGGTGCGGGGCAGGAAGGAGTAGAGGGGTTCGAGGGCGTCGTTGAGGGAGATGTGCGCGAGGATAGTGGCGATGAGGAACAGCGCCATGATGATGAGCGGGCCGATGGCGCCTTTGATGGCGAAGAGCCCGATCAGGCAGATGTCGGCGAGGTAGATCCCTGTTAGTAGGTGTTGGAGGGCGCGCGGGTAGACCAGGCCTTTGGTGTCGATGCGCAGGTCGTAGACGAAGAGGAAGTTGTAGCGGTAGGCTTGGTAGACGAGGTATAGACCCAGGAAGGCGAAACCGAGGATTAGAGGGGCGATGCAGGAGTATGTGATTGCTGGTTTGGGGGGGGGGGGGGGGGGTTAGTATTTTGAAGCTGGTTGGGATGGTTGGTGGTACGTACCGATGACGCCCATGTTTGTGAACACGGGGAAGACGTTGCCCCATCCTATGCCGCTGAGAGCGGCCCATTTGCGGTATAGTCGGCGGGGGGTGCGGTCGAAGAAGGTCGTGATGAATTTGAAGACGACCGCGCTGGCGACTTGCACTAGCGCCATTGAGCTCATGGTTAGGCCCTGCAGGAGGAAGTAGGAGATGTAGAAGTTCGTTGCTTTGGGCAGGTTCTCCGCCAGCAGGTCTTTGGCTGACAGGGGGTTCTGGATGATTTGAGCTGTTGCAGCAGAGGCTGCGGAGGTCAAGGTAGTGACGAGGAATACTTGAACTACTTGGAAGCAGAAGTGCGCGCTTTGAGTGAAAAGCTCAACTCGAGAGGTGGATGGTACACCGGCACATCTGGCGCAGGCTACATGGATGTTAGAAATGGAGATAAGGCTGGTGTGGATTGGTCCATACCTCTACATATAATTGGGACGAGAGACATCAATAAAGCAAGTGCAGCAGACGGCAGAAGACCAGATATCAGGCCTAGGATTAGATCCGGGAGCTTGTTGATGAACCCCAGGAATGGGACCAGGTTCGTGAGGTAGCTGATGTTGGAGATTGTGCCCACCATGGCGGATGGAATGGACCAGAAGACGACGAGTGCTGCGAGGCCACCTTGAACTGAGAATCTGCGCACGATTCTTTGCCACCAACTCAGATTCAAAGCACCCCACACAACCTCGTCGGGAGAGATTCCAATATAACGAGGGGTCATGTGGAGTGGCTGGTGGTGGGACAAAGTCTGCAGAGCGACCTGGGCATCATTCTGCGAGCTAAATTCAATGAACACGGCGGAAAGGTTCTTCATCTCTCCGTTCTTGTGCTTCGTCTGCATACACTGGATTTCCTCGGCAATCTTTGCAAGCTCAGCGCGCAGCCAGCGGATTGTATCGACCTTCTTGCCGAACATTTTCACCCGGTGAGTCGGCCTGCGGACTCCATGGTATGACGCGGACGAGCCGGATTCGCACTCAACACAGGTTTCCGAGTTCAGACACGTCTTCGAGGAGATGACACCCTTTTTGGCGTCTTTCAGGCGCGCAGAGTTTGCCGCCCGAATCAGCTTTGTCTCGGCGTTTTCCAGTCTGAAGGCCAGTTTCTCTCTTTCTTGGACCTTTTTGTCCAGCTCTTTGCACTCCGACGTGATCCATATCCGATTGATGTTGTTTCCGAAGACCTGACGCAGTGTTTCCTCGTTCTTGTATTCCTCCGGTACTGACATAAACAAAACAGTCCTAGACGAAATACGCTCTGCGTAGGCCGGGGAGTTGAAGTATGCCTGGCGTAGGTTTGCATAGAAGATGCTCTCGCGTGTAACCACAAAGAATACAAAGGCTGTCACGGAAGCGTTAGCTTTGCGCGCACATTTTGGCTCGGTACTTACTGAAAAAGATGATTGCCATGACTGTGTGAGCATAGTAGCGCGTCGGGTCTTGGACATTGCTAAAGCTCAGGGCGTCTAATTGGGTATTGCCTGCGCCACCTGTGGCGTTGATGGGAAGGAGTATAGGCCATGTGATTACACAGCCTGTAAAGCAGGTGGCTGAAAGCACTCTGAGAAATCGTAGGAAAAGGTATCCGTCCATGGAGGAATGGCGAAGCACTTGGGCATCAGAAATCCTCAGGAACTGACCAAACCAATTGACAAATCCCGAAGGCAGTTGCGGGGCACGTTCACTACAGCCTCTTCAGAGATCGCTCGGCGCAATAAAGAGTCGGGATACATACTGCTGGTGCCAGCACGGCAGATGAGTTCTCGGCGCATACCATCGCAGTTGAGTTCGTCGGCAGATCAGGAATAGGCCAAACCAAAACGCCGCAATCAGCAGGGCGGGTATCAGGGTGGTAAGAAACGAGGATAAAGAAGTAGAGTTTCCACCAAGCCCAAGATCATCTATTACATCGGACGTCGTCGAGGATGCGTTTCCTCGGGAGGATCCGATATTGGGGTCATTGTCGGGGTTCTGTCCAATTGACTGTCAGCATCAGAAAACACGAGTTGCAACTCGTTTACTTACCAGGAGGTTATCCCGTCTGAACAGGATGTCAAAAGCTACCGGATAGGCCATGATGGTTGCCAGCAAACTCAGGGACGGCCGTCCTCTGGCAGCTCTCGACTCGAGCGAGGCAAGGGCTGCAGCCAAGGGCGGCAGCACATTATATCAGGGCTACAGATCCCGTCCATTCCTAGAACGAGACTGCCTCCTCAGAACCGCGGATTCCACGACATGTTTTTCACAGGCTAAGGGTGTCGGACCTGTCACTCTAAGTGCACGCACAAAAGTACACAGTCGGCCGAAGCATGCGACTAGTGTCGAGTGACAAGGCTGCCATTGGTGGGCCACCAGATCCAAATGTTTGGAATGTGCGTGTTTGTAGTGGTTATCGCGGGTTTTTCAGCCATCGCCAATCATGGTTCGCTTATCCGCGCTCCCTTGACGAGGACCACCAGCAATACCAAGGTTTACAGTTGCCGGACCGCCGAGCTAAAGATTTTGATCCACTTGACGTCGGGCAAGGTGGGCGGGCTGGCGTAGTCTGAAATCAGAGGGCACGCAGTGTGTCAATCCGATCCAGGGGTCATCAAACTCGAGTCGCGAACCAGATCGAGCGTTCGTCGGACGCCAACCATCGACAGGCCCAGAAGGCAAGGATGAGACGAATGATAATCGACCTTTCGAGGAACGCGCAGAAGATCGCCTGGGGGGGAGGACAGTGCAGTTGCTAATCGTCACTAGTGCCCATAAGCTCGACGACGGACCACCCAATAGATGATGGGTCCCGCCGATCCGCGATATCACAGCTGCATCTCCGCAGGTCCCAGCAAGGGATGCCCTGGCTTCTCAGATTACCACCACGATGGTCTTAGGTTGCACCGTAACATAGCCTATTGTCGCGTCCACCATTCAGGAAGGCTCCTACTCCCTTGGCCTCAGTGTTGACTTCCAGGATGTGCACTCCTGGCACTGCAAGACTTTTATCACAGGCAAGATCCGTGGGCGATGTGACAATAATCTTCAGAGAAGTAAAGATGCCCGAGCCTACCAAGGAAAACCACCTAGCAGCCAAATGGGCCAGGATCGAGTTAGTGTCGTGTGCCTGACCCGATCTTCCCCTCACTGATTAGGTACAGCCTCGGTACTCTCGGGTTACACTGATGATATGTGGTCGGAGATGGCTTTTCCAGCCCGCCACCTTGAGCCAATGCGGGTTGAGCAGCAATGGCCAGACAGACGTCAACTGTTGTCCTGTCCCCCAACCTTCGGAGCAGTCTTTTGTGGTATCCCGCGCTATGGACGGACCGGTGCAATAGTCTAAGCGGTTGCTTGCTGCCGCCTAAATGACGGAGAGTATTCCTGCAACCTCGTAAGGCGAGTCCACGGGGATCCGCGATTGCCAGGATCGGATCCGACATTCCTTTCCCGGGCAAGATCGTCCGTGGATGTCGGGGCTGGTGGTCGTTGCTCTGATGGTGGTGGTGGTGGTGCAGTAGCAAGCTTGTTTCACACGCGTCCATGGGCGAAGGAATTCATTCTCAGGTGGAAGAAACCTGAGTGATGTCCGGCATTGTGGCGACCTGGTGGGGCATGGGAAAAGAAACAACGAGGTGAATGGCATGGAGGGGGGAAGAGGGGAGAGGGAGGAATTAGGAATCAAGCAATCGAAACTCCTGCATGCCCGCCGGGATCTGCCTGAGGCCGGGCAGCATGACCTGACACGCGGTGGCTGGGATGTGTCTCTCCCATTCTTCTCCTCTGGCCCAGTAAGACTCCATTCCCTATCCATACCATTTTTGCTTGACTAAAGTACAACCCAGTGCCTTCTTTGCAATTCCAGGGAATGTCCTCGCATCACCCGGGCTTGAATTCAAGCTGGAACGTGTGTAGCCCACGAGGCAACGTGGTTGGGTGGCCGTGCATCCCGACGAAAAAGCAATCTGGACGACGGTGTCCTCGGACACCTTGAGTCTATCTATCGTACATATACGAGCGTGGACGGATGACCTTGGAACGGGAACTGGAATTGGACGCGCATCCTGCAGCTCAGCTGCATACACAATGCTGTCTGTCCTCGGGTTGTTTCACCAATCTCCTCCGAGCATGATCCGGTATTGAGTGGCATTCTTTGGTCGCACGACATGCATTGCGAGGACGGATATAAAACGGTCCTCTGTTGACGAGCAGATGAGGGAAATTGAACAGGAATATCGCGTGCATGGAACTGTAGAGATGGTTTGTCTGGCTTGAGGGTGACTAGGCTAAGCTTCTGGTGGCTGAATGTCTCAAGACTTGTAAAGGAGAGGGGGGGCAGTTCATCGTAGTTAATGTCAAAGGTATGGTGTGGATATTGCCTTTGTGATTTGGATTATCTTGGGTTTTATGCCCTCAGGACCTTTTGTCCTTAAGTAGTTCTTAATGAGTTGATAGTATCATCCTGGTTGTAATGCGTGGTGAATGTTTAGCCGCAGTATATATTCCCGGGATCCACAACATAAGTATAGTAAAGTACTCAGGCCACGACTCAACAGAGGTTGTGAAAGATGATGGTTCCCAGAATGTAGCATCATCGCAGGCAAATTACATACTATTCAATTCACTAGACTATATTATCTGTACCTTCATCTCAGCATCAATAGTAGCACCGCGATCAATCAACATCGCGAGCGGTAAGCCGCGGCAGTATAAGTCCGGGGCATCAATCGGCGACGCTCGACCCTCCCAGCCAACCCAAGCCAGTCGCTATGCGCGACCAGTCCTCCGAGAAGATGTCTCTCCCGGACAAGGACGAGGAGCGGAATCCCAACCACCTACGAAACGACTCGGAATCACCCTCGATTCTCTCCTCAATCGAGCCCAAACAGCCTTTCCCACCGCTCCCCGCCGACGACTTCGCGACAGTCCCTCAAACCGCGCCCATCAACGACTCGACAGAGGAGGATGACCAGGACATCACATCGCCCTCTCACCCCGACATTGACGCTGAAGACGACGCGGACTTCCAATCGCAGTACTCCCTCGAAGACCCGGCCTTCTCGGACGCCTCCACGGACTCGGAAGAGCAGTCCCCGGAAGATGGCATCTCCATGCACCACCCATTCCGCCAGTCCACCAGCTCCCTTCACGGCCTCAATGCCTTTGCGCCCCCGTTCTACAATCGACCTCCAACCCCATTGCCGCCCTCGCCCTCGCTGACCTCCCTGCTCCGACCCCCTTTTTCCACAACCACCTCGCGACCTACCACGCCTGACAGCTCCGATGTCGAAACCCCCAATGACACGGAGGCGGCCGTCGCCAAATCAGCCCGACGCGCGACAACCGTCCCGCGCGCCAGCCCGAAGGTGCCCACGTACGAATACTACGGATTCGTGCTATACCTGGCCTCATCACTCGCCTTCCGTAAGTTGTTCTCCGCCGCTGCGAGCATCACTCCGAATGATACGGACTAACTCGTCTGCTGCGCCAGTGATCTACATCCTCTGGTCCTACCTCCCGTCCCCCTTCCTGCACCAGCTTGGAATATACTACTACCCGAACCGATGGTGGTCGCTCGCGTTCCCGTCGTGGCTGGTCATGTCGATCATCTACATCTACGTGGCTCTGGCGTCGTACAACACGGGGTACCTGACGCTGCCGATGAACAGCATGGAGAACATTGTGGACGAGGTGGCGAATGTGGCGGTCATCGACGGCAAGGGCCGACGACGCCCCGGGGGGGCAGCCAAGATGAGACCCGGCGCGACGTCCTACCAGATCATGGGGCCGCAGAACCGAAAGGTCAACTGGAAGGAGATCTGGAATGAGGGAACCGATGCGGTACTGGATGTCCCCGTGGGCGGGGTCTGCGAGGTGCTGTACGGCCAGGAAAGGGATGACGATGAATTGAGTGAGGAGTTGGCTGGGTTGTCATAGCCTGAGACCAGATGAAACCCTGAGATACCCCCTTTGCAGCACGGAATCTTTCTCCCTTATCAGACCGCCTCGGAGCTCCTTATCGCCACGTGACGGGGTGATGAAGGGCCAATGGTATTTCCGATCTATGTAGGAGCCAATTTCCGGCGTAGTGTTCCGGCATTGTGCAGAATGGTCGTAAGTTCCGGATAGGGGTTGCAGGCAAGGGCATCGCGTGGACGGTAAGGATTAAGGTTGGGGTTGGGGGGGAAGCCCAGACCACCGTGGCTTGGTACTCTTTGTTTGTGTTGATATCGACCGAGTACACAGTCGTCGGTAGCAGAGCCAGCCTTACGGGAGACTGCCGGCCAGCTGCACCGCGTAAAAATAAGGCGAGAAAAAAAAATAAACATGAAAAATAAAAATAGCGACACGTTCAGGCCCTCGGCCAGGCTCGGCTGGGCTAAAAAGCAATCGAAGGAGAGACTGGCGGTGATTGGTGGCCGGGCTGGGAGATAGTGCCTTAGGCCGGGCTGGAGTTGGATTGATCGCAGGCGTCTGTTGTCTGTGCAGTCTGTTTCGTGCCACTGCTGGCTTTCACTCCCTGCTATACTCCGTACTGAGCTCTTCTCCCATCACGATCACCCCCAACCAGACCGCATTGAGTGACCGCAGCTGGCGGAGGCTGGGAATTGGCCGAGCCATCTGACGCGCTAAAGGCGGTTAGGGCCGCGAGGGCGCTTGGGGAGCCAACGAGAAGAGGGCGGCGGCGGTGGGCTTCCCCGACCTCAGCGAGGAGCGAACGCGCAGTCCGACTCTCTGCCTCTCTGGCATCGCTGACCGTCTCCTTTCTCTCCCGCTGAAACATTCTCGCCGCCTTTTCCGTGCTTCCATTCCTTGTCTTTCTTCTAATCGTCCGTTGACACGGCCTGGATCCCTGTTTCCTGCCCGCTGTCTCTGCTCTACTCTGCTTGCCCTGTCCCGGCAAATCAACAACTCGGCTGCGATCCCACCCCCCCCCTCCCAACCCCCAAAGAGGCCACCAAAGCTATCCGGATTGGCTCACCACCCCCCTCCCCCTCCCTCCCTCGTCGCGACCCCGTGAGCCTCCAGTGCTCAGTCGCTGCGATTCCCACGCCCGGAACCCTCTCGATTGCTGATTTCGCATGGCTTGGCAGTCTCCCTCGGCCATGGCTGGGGGTGGAGGGTACGTCGGCGGCGATGGGTCGCCCAACGGCGGGCAGCCTCAGGGAACGGAATATACTTTGCAAGGTGGGTCGCTCCGCGCCCCGGGCCTGCGAGAGTCCATGACGCTAATTGTATCGGTGCGAGGGCAGGTGTGATGCGCTTTCTGCAGACGGAATGGCACCGGCACGAACGAGACCGCAATGCCTGGGAGATCGAGCGCGCGGAGATGAAGTCCCGTATCGGCAAGCTGGAGGGCGATGTGCGTACGAGTAAACGACTACACGAATCACTGGGGAAGCATGTCCGACTCCTCGAGGCAGCTCTGAAGAAGGAGCGCGAGAAGGTCAAGAAGCTCACCAACAACGAGAAGGTCGAGGACACGCGGGATCCGAAGGAGATTGCCCGTGAGAGTATCGGCGCTCTGAAAGGTAAGGATCCAGCTAGTAGTCAGTGGCAGCGAATTGGTTTACTGATTGCTCCCCCAGCCCAACGGCCGAAGTCTCACACGGACCTCATCGAAGCGGACCAAAATCATGACAGCCAGCACGAGTTTCGCCAGGAGAGTGAGCGGGAGAAGTCACGACTGTACCTTTCCAAGTGCTCCCAGGAGGTCGCGTACCATGTTATTCCTTCGTCACACCCGCCCCCGGACCTCAGTGAGCAGGATCTCCCGAGTCACATGTACGCGAACCAGCAGCTGTCTCAGCAGAGCCTGGAGGAGGCGTATCTCCAGCAGCAGCGTCAGAAGCAACACCACCAACAACAACAGCATGCGAATGACATGATGGCCCGAGAGATGGCACTCCAGAACCACCAGCCCGTTATCACACACTACGAGAACCCGGCCTTGGCCCGCGCGCCCAACCAGTTCGGGTTCCCGGCTGCGTCGCGAGAAGCGGCAGAGAGACGGCCCCTGGAGCCCCAACAGACTCCGATAAATGCCATCGATAGCAGAAGACAGGCATATGACAATGCTGCGATGGACGAGCGAGCAGGCCAGGGGGAGCAGGCGCATGATGGGTACGGCGCGCAGTCCGCCATCAAGCATACAAAGCAACAGCAGGCGGAAGACCAGGCAGACGATACGGACGGCTGGAACTTCGACGAGCCGGCTGACTCGGCACCCCAGGCGGAACAGGTCCCGCCGCATCGCCCGGATGTGGATGCCTTCCCGAATGCCAACTTTGTCGGCTCGAAGTCTCCGTCGAGGGGCGGTTCCATGTCGCATCGGAGGAAGAGCTCCGGTGCGAGGAGGAAGAGTGATGGCGCCGTTGACCTGACAGCGGCAGCCAAGTCAGATCCCACATTCAAGGTCCGCTTCGCTCTTCGCGGCCATTTGGACGTCGTTCGCGCTGTGATCTTCACCGGTGGGGGGAGCCCGTCCGAGCCGGAGATCTGCACGTGTAGTGACGATGGTACGATCAAACGGTGGATCATCCCAGCAACTTATGGAGTCTTTGGGGCTCATGGCGCGAATTCAAGCAGTGATCTGGACATCACGAGCTACTTCACTCACCGTGGACACGTTGGAGCCGTCACTGCGCTTGCCGCATGCCCCCCCTCGCAGAACTTCTCCAACGGGGGTCGTGCGTTAGGGGATGGGTGGGTGTTCTCCGGCGGTCAAGATGCCAGCGTGCGCGTCTGGGAACGCGGAAGGGTCGATCCGAAGGCAACTCTCGATAGTCACACGGACGCCGTCTGGGGACTCTGTGTTCTTCCCGGAACCACAGGATCGGTCTTTGGCGATTCCAACCACTATGGCGGGCCCGATCGCATCCTGCTCGCGTCGGGTAGTGCAGACGGCCGGATAATCATCTGGGCTGTCAGCGCCCCCCCGCAGGTTTCGTCCCCCCAGGCCGGATCTCGACGAGCTGGAGGCAGTCGGCGGGCCAATTCGATCTCCTCGGGGTCCAATTTCCCATCCTCACCGCAACCCAGCACGGCAACCACCACGCCGTTTCACTACACCATGGTCCGCCAGATCGTTCGGACCGAATCCCCTTCTCCGACGTGCATTAGCCCGTTGTCGCTGGCGGGAATCAACTTTGTCGTCTCGTACACCGACGCTTCGATCCTTGTGTACGACACGAGGACGGGCGAAGAGATTGTGGGCATGGCGAGTCTGGAAACGTATGATGGCACCCCTTCCACGGGGGTCAACTCGGTTGTTGCAACCACCGTTGGGTTTGATGGGACGGCCGGGCTCGATCCAAGCCGGACAATGGGCGAGGAGGAAGTGGTCCACGGTGCGACTGGCTCGAGTGGTGTTGAGGGGGTAATCATCAGCGGGTATGAAGACCGTTATATTCGCTTCTTCGATGCCAACAGCGGTACGTATCCCCCCAGCTGTTCTCAGCGGCGTATTTACTGACATTCCCAGGCCAATGCACGTACACCATGCTGGCGCATCCATCAGCGATCGCCTCGCTTTCCCTGTCGCCGGACGGGCGGGAGCTAGTATCTGCGGGTCACGACGCCAGCTTGCGGTTCTGGAACCTCGAGAAGCGGAGCTGCACTCAAGAAATCACGAGTCACCGGCTGATGCGTGGTGAAGGAGTGTGCTCGGCGGTCTGGAGCCGCGATGGCCGCTGGGTTGTCAGTGGAGGTGGCGACGGGGTGGTCAAGGTCTTCGCCCGATAGCGAGGCCGAGGCCATGGCCGTGTTGTATGATTCTTTTTTTTCCTTCTTATTTTTTCTCTTTTCGCTGATACTTCCTTTTCTTACGGCATGTTCTTCGGACGCATGAAATGGATGAGCGATTGGCCGATTCTTGAGCATTTGCACCAACGGTGTCCATCTACCTGGCATATGTTCCTTTCTACTCGTGTGATAGTACCTTTTTTACCCTTCTATTGCCAATCATCTATCTTCTCTGCTCGCCGATCCGGTGCGGGCTCCTGCTCTTTCTTCCATACCTTTTTCTCTCTTGCTTCTCTCTTGGTCTGTTTTATACTCCTCGTGGAAACCACGAGAGAGATAATGTGTGCTGCTATACTCCCCTTGCTTTTTTTTTTTCGACCTGCCCCCTTCCCAATTTCCCCTTCCCCTATAGCTCATACCCCGAAAACATGTCTTCTCAACACGACGCTTTTTGATACCTGTGAAGCAAGCCCCTTTTTGGTGCGTATCCCGATGGAAGCAGACTTGGCGAACCTTGTGTGCCCACCACATTGATGTCCCTGGCCTTCATGATCCCCCAGTTGTCGCGGCCCCTATGCGCGGATGCTGTATGATGATTCTCCTTTGCCCTTATGCTAGACCCTTTAACCAATCCTGTATATTGTCTGCTTTGCCGCGACTGGCTCGGTCGAGGAGATTGTGGTGTCCGATATCACGCATAGATGCATTAAAATGTCCGAGTAGTGTATTATTGTATTAACCTATCCACCATCCTACACACACATTTGCCTCTGATTTCTGAAAACTTCCCAACCCATTCGAATAAAGGTATCACATAGGTACACACACACACACACACATACATACACCCCCAACCCCTCCACCACAAATCCCCCACCCAGCCTTAGAACTTAGACCTTAGACTTCAGACCTGAGATAGCTAGCTCCTAAACCGTACTCCCCCCCCACGCACTCTTAAACACCCCCCTCAACCTCCTCGCCTCGTCATAATCCTTAACTCTCTGCTCCAAAAACCCCTGCAAATCATCCCAGAACGCCTCCGTCCGCAACACCTCCTCCCCACTCGGCCCAACCGCCGGCTTCGGTGTCGGCGACGACGATGGCCCAGACCCAGAGCCCCCCGCAGCAGCCTCTCCTCCCTCCTGATTCACCTTCGCAACCGCGCCCCCCATAACCATCACCCCAAACTCCACCTCCTTCCCCCCCACCAGCAAACCTGGCTCATCGCCCAACACCTCCGCGACCGTCTTCCCCCCAACCACCGGCTTCCGCTTATACAGAATCTTGATCTTGTCGACCGCCACCTCCTTCGCGCCGTCCTGGGCGTCGGCGATCCGCTCCCTGACGGCGTCTTTCAGGTCCTGCATGCTGGTTGTCGCGAGCGGGGCGTTCGGGAGCGAGAATTCCAAAACGGGGTTTCGTGCGGATTTGAGCGTTACGGTTATCGATTTCGAGGAGCCCGGGGCGAGGGGGCGGGGGGCTTTTTTGGTCATGCTTGGGTGGGGGGCGGGGAGGCGGGGGAGGAGGTACTGTTTTTTTTTTTTTTTTGTGTTGTTAGAATTACTGGGCTTGGTTTGTTTGGGGGGAGGAAGAAGGGTATTGGGCTGGAGGGGAAGGTAGGCGAGGGGAGGGGAGGGAGAGGACGTACAGGGACACGAGCCCCGACTTGCTCGTCGTCGAGGACATAGTCTGCTCGGAGCTTGATGGGGCGGGAGTCGAGCGCGGAGAGGAAGGCTTTGGCGAAGGAGGTTTCGGACATTTTGGTGGGTTTGTCGATCTCGAAGTGAGAATCTCCGGTGATGGTGGTGGGTGGGTGGGATGTGTGATGTAAAGGATATGGATATGGATATGGCGGGCTGTCGCATTACCCGATCGGGGAGATCTACGGCCTGAGGCAGAGAGGGGAAGAGCAGCGGACTCACCGCCTCCTGAAAGAATATGCCGGTGCTGACCGCCCGCAGAAAAAAAAGAACGAAGAAAAAAGTTTAGGTCCGCGCGGAAGAAGTTGAAGAATCATACATACATAACAATCAACTTTCCCCCCCCCCATCACACTCCACTTCTCGCAATGGGTGTGGGTCGTCGTATGAAGAAGCAGGGGCCCCCGCCCCCGCTCGATGAGTCCAAGATCACCATACTGAAGAAGCGCAAGGCCGCCGCCGCGCAGGCCGAGGCGAAGGCCGAGGCCGGTCAGAAGCGGAGAAGAGCCGCCGTTGAGGAGGAAGAGACTGTCAAGCCGGCGCTGAAGAAGAAGGCTAAGGCTGAGGTTAATGGCAAGGCGGCGAAGGCCGAGCCCAAGGTCAAGGCTGCTGCGGCGCCCAAGGGAAAGGCGCCCAAGAAGGCGGCCGAGCCGAAGGCTAAGATGGATTTGAAGACGAACTTCATGGGTTCCGATGACGACGAGGAGATGGGCGAGGATGAGTTCGACGATCTCGACGGTGTCAGCGACGGGTCGATGGATAGCCAGGAGGATGGCGACAACGACTCGTTTGTGGATTCGGACGAAGACGACCACCCTCGCGAGGCCATGTTCTCCGACGACGAAGATCTGTCCGACGCTGAAGAGAGGCTCACGGCCGCCAACATCGAGGGTCTGTCGCACAAGTTGGATCTCGAGAGACAGGAGGAGGAGGAAGAGGCCGAGCGCGAACTGCAGGAGGCCGCCCTCCAGACCAACATCGCGGGCGACCGTCCCGATGTCTTCGGGGACGCCGAGGCCCAGGCCGGTCTGGCTCCTGATCTCCAGATGCTCCGCACCAGAATCACCGACACCATCCGCATCCTGGGCGACCTGAAGACCCTGGGCCATCCGGGCAAGTCCCGTACCGACTACGTCGACCTGCTCCTCGCCGACATCTGCACGTACTACGGATACACGCCCTACCTCGCCGAGAAGCTCTTCAACCTCTTCACCCCCATGGAGGCCTTCGCCTTCTTCGAGGCCAACGAAACCCCCCGTCCCGTCGTCATCCGTACCAACACCCTGCGCACCAACCGTCGTTCCCTCGCCCAGGCCCTGATCAACCGCGGTGTCGTGCTCGAGCCCGTCGGCAAATGGTCCAAGGTCGGTCTGCAGGTCTTCGAGTCCGCTGTGCCCCTCGGTGCCACCCCGGAGTACCTGGCTGGCCACTACATCCTGCAAGCCGCGTCGTCCTTCCTCCCCGTCATGGCACTCGCCCCGCAACCCAACGAGCGCGTCCTCGATATGGCCTCCGCCCCCGGTGGTAAGACCACCTACATCGCGGCGCTGATGCGCAACACCGGCTGCGTGATCGCCAACGATGCCAGCAAGCCCCGTGCCAAGGGTCTGATTGGTAACATCCACCGTCTGGGCTGCAAGAACACCGTGGTGACCAACATGGATGCGCGCACGGCCTTCCCCAAGGCCATGGGCGGATTCGACCGCGTTCTTCTCGATGCCCCCTGCACCGGTACCGGCGTTATCTCCAAGGACCCGAGCGTCAAGACGTCCAAGAACGAGCGCGATTTCCTCGCGATCCCGCACATGCAGCGCCAGCTGCTGCTCGCGGCCATCGACTCCGTCGACCACAACTCCAAGACCGGCGGCTACGTGGTGTACTCGACCTGCAGTGTTACGGTTGAAGAAAACGAAGCGGTCGTGCAATACGTGCTGCGCAAGCGCCCCAACGTCAAGCTCGTCGACACCGGACTCGGCGACTTCGGCAGCCCCGGTATGACCAGCTACATGGGCAAGCACTTCGAGCCCAAGATGACATTGACCCGTCGCTACTTCCCGCACCGCGAGAACGTCGACGGTTTCTTCGTCTGCAAGCTCAAGAAGACCGCCGCCTCCCCGACCCCCAAGCCCGGCACTGGCGTCGACGGCGGTGACGCCATCCCCACCCCCCGCCACCGCAAGGGCTCCTCCAAGACCCCCTCCGTCGTGTCTGCCACCACCGACGAGGAGGAAGTCGACAAGACCCCCATCACCGACGACGACGGCACCGGTGCCGGTTCCGAGGGCGGTAACTTCGGCCCCTTCGAGGAAGACCCCGCTGACGTGGAGCGCATCGCCCGCGCCGAACGCAACCGTCTCCGTCGTAAGGGTCTGAACCCCAAGGGCATCAAGCCTCCTAAGCCCAAGACAACGGATACCCCTGCCGCTACCGAGGAGTCCTCCAAGCCCGAGGAGGAGAAAAAGGAGAAGGAGCAGAAGGAGGAGAAGAAGAAGACCGAGGCCTCCCCCAAGGCCAAGTCCGCCAAGAAGGACGACCAGTCCAAGCCCTCTCCCAAGGCTAAGAAGGAAGACCAGTCCAAGGCCAAGAAGGAAGCCTCCCCCAAGGCCAAGAAGGACTCCCAGCCCAAGGCCACCAAAGAAGAACCCACCACCACCACCACCACCACCACCACCACTACCACATCCACCCCCACCACAATCGAAACCAAACCCACCAAGAAGTCCTCCAAGAAGTCCTCCCCCGCCGCCCCCACGCAAGAATCCCCGCTGCCACGGAGAAGAAAAAGACCCCCAGCACCTCCACTTCAGGCAAGAAGACCAAGAAGTCAAGCAAGAAATAAGTAAATAAATAAATAATTTCTCTATTATTCATCCATCCATCTACTTGCTCTGTCTGACTCCCGTCCGGTCCTGTCCTATGATTCATTTCATTCATTCTTGTTTGTATTTTCTTTTCTTTTCTTTTTTTTTTTTTTTTTTTTTTACTTACTCCCTAGTGTGTTTGTGTGTACGCTGGGATTCGTGTGAATAAAAGCATCCATCCATCTGTCTTTTTTCTTTTTTCTTTTTTGGTTTTTCTTGCTGTGTATGGCGCGGATTTGTGGTTTGATTTGATTTGATTTGATTTGACTAATCATATCTTTATGTATGATTGATTGATGATGGCTTGCATGGTCTATCTGATGGGGGTAGATTTTTAGATAGCTTCTATTCTTCTGGTTGAGTCAATAGATACCATTATCTTCTGTTTTATCTTTGTATTTTTTTTTTTTTTGGAAATGTAAACAGAATGTAAATTGAATTTCAAACTTAGATGGATTAGAATCATTGTTCATGTTAACTTCAGCAAATTCAGCTATACTATACTGTATTCTTTCTTTCTAATTGCCAGAACAAGAAACAAGGGAGCGAGCGAGCGACAAGCCAAGTTACCAGCTGAACAAACAGAAGCAGATGAACAGATAGATAAATAAGTAGGTAGATATAAACAAGAAAATCAATCTAAACTCCAAAAACAAACAATATGTAGTATGTGCTCTGTGCATGTAGCCAAAAAATCAGATATATCAAATCAAATCAACCAAACTCTACTCCATCTTTGCAACACCAGGGTATGTATAATATTCTCCAAATGCAAACCAAGCAATCAAACAAGGGACACGTGACGTCCCTATTAGCAGACAGGCAGACGTAGCCTGTCTCGATATATACCTGCGTATATGGGTGTCTGTTATGACCCCACCTAAGTGCGATAAATCTTAACCACACTAACAATGCTCTTCCGACAAATGGGACACAAATCCACTTGCCTGGCGCAAGTAACGCACGCACAGACATGCCCACAATCATAAAACAGGGCGTCCTGCTCCTCACCATAGCAGATCTGACACAGGTCCATCTCCTCATCCGCAACCTCCCAGTAGCTGATGCCTTTGCCGTGGCGCTTGCCGTCTTTGTAGCCGCCGACGTACTTGTTTCCGGTCTTGCGCTCGACGTAGGTGCCCTGGCCGTGGCAGATGCCGTCGAACCAGTCGCCGTCGTAGGTGTCGCCGGTGGGGTACTCCATGAAGCCGGAGCCGGTGCGTTTGCCCAGCACGAAGTCGCCCACGTAGGTGGCCGCCAGGTCTGAGATGTGCTTGCCTTTGCCGTGGAAGTAGCCCTTTTTGAACTCGCCGCTGTAGTATTCGCTTGTGAAGGTGGCGTCGATGGTTTTGATGCCTGTGAAGGCCCGGGTCGGGTGATTGCGGGAGGAGGCCCAGAGGTAGCGGACGAGGTGGTCGGGGTTGCCGAAGAGGGCGGAGGTGTTCAGTTGGGTGCGGCTGAGGGAAGGGATTAGCACTGGCAGTGGGTGGAGATGGGGGGGAGGGGGGGGGGGAGGTGCTTACCGGTCCTTCGTCAGCTTGTCGCCGACGATGAAGGAGGTACCGTCGGGCACGTAGGTCTCAAAGGTTTCGCCAGACGACATGGTCGTCACGGTGGTGCCGTCGACACGCTGCCAGATCTGGAAGTCCTTCATGGGAGGCAACTTCAGATGCCGACGGATAGCCGATTTGATATTTTCTTCCTTCTTGGAGAAGAAGGATCCCACCGTGCGCAAGGCTTGCGCGTCCACGTCGAACTTCTGGATGAAGTAGTAGACGTGGTCGACGGGCTGAGGAACCTCGGGCTCAATCGAAGCGACAGGTTCATCGTTCGACTCGGGCTGAGGCTCAGGTGTCAGAACCTCGACGAGCTCCTGGCTCGGTGCATCGCTGGGCTCTGGGATAGGGATAGGGATTTCAGACCCTCCTTCTGGCTCAAACTGTTGCATATCCTGAGCGATGATCGCAGCAATCACTGCGTCATTCTCGGCATCCCCCGTGGCAGAAACGGCAGCAAGGGGACTCGAGTCGGCGGACAGAGGGTCTGGAGTCTCAACAGAAGGCGCGACGTTTTCTGTACCGAGAGCGCTTTCCGTCACTGTTCCAGACGAACTCGCCTGCGCGACCTCGATTTCATGAACAGACTGTCTGTCCGAGGATTCAGATGCAGCACGCTCCACCACAGCCTCTTCGGGCTTGGCTTGCATCTGAACAGCCTGCGGTGGATCGGCGATGGCGAAGAATTTGGCGTTTTCTGTAGTCGAGTTAGTCAACTGTCTAGGACAGAAAAAAAAAAAAAAAGAGTAGGGACATACCATCAGACACAACCTGCATCCAGAAACGGACAGTCTTCAACGGGAAATCCAGGGTACTGGTCAAGTCCGAGATGCGAGAAAAGGCGAGGGTAGGGCCAAACTGATCACGGGTGTGACCAATCTGCCAGAGGCGCACATGCTCGGCACACGGGCTATCCTCCGTCCGGGCACTTGCCCACGACGCGATCTTCTTCCGAAGATCAACATAGTTAGACGAGCGGGGAACAGTCAGGTACATGACATTGTTCTCCGACTTAGCCTGCGACATCAGATCGTACGTATCGAACAGACTGCCCAACTGCTCGTACTTTGGCAGGGAGTAGACTTCGACCTGGATCTCATCTGTCTCGGCCTTGGCGTCCGCCTGCACGGGGTAAATACCCGACTCATAGTAATCCTTCATTGGGGCGGGAACATCCCAAGGACCCTGTGGACCAGGCAAGAAGTCCTGCACCAGATCGCTGCGAATGTACATCGCCGCAATGGCGACATCATGGCCGGTCTTGTGGTCAGGTTTCTGCGATGCGTCCAAGCCGAGATGCGGGCCCAGGGCCGTTCGACGAGTCAGGCATTCGACACGGTTGTCGCTGCCGTCATCGAAGGCGAGCCACCTGGTCCCGGGACCACCGGGACGGAGGATACTGAAGAATTTGCCGGAAGTGCGTCGGCCGCGGTGGACGATGTAGCCGTACAGAACGTACTTGCCGCATTGACCGTCCAGCAGCCACGGCGCCAAGTCAATTTCCTCATCCAGATCAACCCGGTTGTAGAGCAGGCGCCACTGTCGGGCGGCCTTGTCAAGCTTTTGACGGCTCAATTCCAGATGGAGAACGGGGGGGAGCACCCACCGTCCCGGCTTCGCACTCAAGTACCAACTGAATGCGTCAGTCGTCGTCTTTGCTTGGTCGGCAGGGACGACGATGCGAGAGTTGTAATCTTGGGGGATCGTGTTGATCACCTCCTGGTCCCGAGTTTCCGCTGGGAGCGACTCGAGAGAGGGGCTGTCGAATAGCTGTGCGAGCTCTTTCACCGCATCGGTGCCCGCGAGCTCGATCTCGAGGGTCCGGCGCAAACGCTCCCAGAACTCGCACACATCTCCGGAATACTCGTGCAGGTTCCGCAGGGTGGTGGTGATCATGTCGGTGTCGACATATTGCAGGGACTGACTCCGCGACCGCAGCTGCCAGAGAAACTTCTGGAGTGCATCGCAGAGTGGCTTAGGCTTGACATCGCAGTTGGTAAGGTGTTCAAGGACATTGGCCTTCTGGATGATCTTGCAGAAGGGCGCCAGATGGAGCCACGTGGCCAGCCCGGCGACTTCAGCGCTGTGGTTGATGACCGAGTCACCCAAGGGGCGGTAGCCCGTCAGACTCAGACTGTCCCAGGTCGGCTCGGTGTCACTGGCGTGCCACCAGAGGGAACGGGTGGGATCATCGACAATGCGAATGTACGCATCGAAGGCCAGGGTGTCGTTGCGGAGCAGGGCCTGGCGCTGGCCCCGCTGGCGGCGGTGGATGTGGTCCCACGGGCCGTGGAAGTTAGTCCAACCCCAGTCCAGGTTGTGGGGGTTGAACTGATGGCACGACGACTGCATCCACCCGGTACGCGGCTCATCCGGGTTGTAGAGAATGACACCAATCTGGGCCGAGACCCGCCACGACTTGTTGGGTGCGGATGCTGCCTGGTTAGCAGCCGCGGGGTACTGGGACTTGAAACTCTCCAGCCAGTCGGCCGTGCTATCGTCCGTCTGAGGGAATTTCAAGTCTACATCCGGCGTGCTACCATCTAAGGGAGCATCTGCGGGGCCATGGATGACCTTGAACTCGGTCTCCGGCAGAGACTTGTCCACGGTGGGCATGGTCGTCGAGCACTCGATGTAGATGCTCAGCGAACCGACGTTGTTTCCGCGGGGAAAGAACTTGATTGTCCACCAATAACCCCCGAGATAGGCCGGGGGGGACCGCATGATCTTGGCCCGGTTGGGGGCATCAGGGGTGCCTCGAATGCCCTTGATCTTCCAGGTCATGCGAGCCTTTTCCACGGGGCGGTACTCGGGATCCTCCAGCTCGGGATGGAAGTTCTTCTCCCAGTAATCATCTGAATTGATCAGCAATTAGTCCACACTACACCCGTCCACGCATCCGGGGACCTACACTCATAGGCGCTGTAATCACCATCTGCAGCGGATTCTATTTCCTTCATCTCCCCCTCATCGGGGACGGTGAGGTCCTCCTCGATCTCCGCCCAGTATGCGTGCTCGAGTTCGGGGGCTGCATTGACGGCGGGGACAACATCGGCCGGCACCGGAGGCTGGATTTGGTCGGAAACGAGGTCCTCCTGGGGGTCTGACTGCTGTTCGTCCTGAGACGTGGGTTCAGCGGGCGTGGCCGAGGGGACGGTGCTTATGGGAGGGTCTGCGGGGTCTGAAGGGTCTGAGTGGTCTGAAGGATCTGAAGGGTCCTCCGGGGCTGGATTGATGGTCACCGTGGTCTCCGTGACCGGCTCCGTGGGCGAGGGAACACTGAGGACGAGGGAGGGAGGCAGCCCCTCCACGAGGACGGGGTCGGGGGTGGTGGTATCCATCGGGACGGGGTCGGACGCGAGAACCGGACACGAACTCAATGGGCAAACACCCGCGTTGCAGTGAGAGGATCTTGATGCAATTTAACACGCAACCAGAGTCCCACTGATGTGAAAGAGAGGGGCGAGTTCACGAGAACGCGAAAGGCTGGGGGAGGGGACAATAATAAATGAGTCAACACGAACTGTCAACAGCCTTGGCACCAGGCAGGATGCGGCTGATCACACACCAACAGGCATCCAAACAACGACAAGGCTGAAGGGTGATTCTTAGAAAGATAGGATAGTCCCTCACGAGAGAGAGAGAGAGAGAGAGAGAGAGAGAGAAAGGACGATGGGTTAAAAAAGGAGGGGGGTGGAGGGGCAGATGTAAGCCACGGCCAACGAAGAGGCGACACAATGGCAGCCAACAGACTGGAGTCTAGACAGACAGACAGGCAGGCAAGACAGATGGCACGGACGGGGCGATAAGAGCAGGCACCAGGGCTTATCAGGGGATCCCGATGAGCCTAGACCCGAGGGGGTGGAAATGGATGGAGTATGGGGGAGGGGGAGAGGGAGATATGTCGGGGGGGGGAGACGAGAGAGAGTGTGTTGACAGACAATGGATTATGGGGGGGGAAGAAAGAAAGAAAGAAAGAAGGAAAGAAAGAAAGGAGGAGAGTCGAGTCGAGGCGAGTCGAGTCGGAGCAGAACACCCACGCGAGCGAAAGAAGAAAGAACGGAAAGCGATGCCCCAATTGTCAGGCGGGCGGGTATTAAAAAGGATGAGGCGGCAATGCAGCGAGCCTGCAGAGCGCAGGCAGGCAGACAAGCAGACAAGCAGACAAGCACCCTCGCACCCTCTTCTCCTCACCGCTGGTCTTTGCAGCCCTCTGACTGGGCGACGGCCTTGCCACCCGGTCAATTATTCGCGGGCGCCCCCCCCTGGAGAAGGAAAAGCAGGAACTGACCTGTCACTTGGCTCGCTCTCCACTCCACACACCCAGCTCTCTATCCAGTATGAAAGCATGCAAGTATTCAAGTATTCTATATTGTTAGTGATACATGATAGTAGTATATACAGTGTACGTTGTATACTCTGTACCTCCATCTCTCCATCCCCCATCTCTCCATCTTATTATCCCCCCCCCCCCCCCTCCCCTTGGATCGGTGGCAAGTCGAACCTTATTGTGGCGTGAAACCCCCGTGCCGACCGCCATGATCGACCGGTGGAACAGCCCCGGCCGACCACTCTTTGTCATTTGCCATCCATTATCTTGCACACTTCCACCCCCGACGATCCAGTCGATTCTTCGGTTCTTCGGGTCTTCGGCTCTGCTTTTCCAACTCTGAAGGGGTTCTTTTCCTTCCGTCCCGGGCAGAATCCTTTATCCAGGCCAGCTTGTGTCTGGCGCGCCACCAATCGTCCCATTTGCCCCCCTTCCAGATTTTCGTTGTCCACTCGTTCGGGTGGGGTCTAGCGCGGCTGCCACGTCTGGCCCTGCCGATGCATCGGTCTGCTCCCCCCCCCCGGTACACCGATGCCCGAGGTGCCGGGGAAAGCTATCGACCCGGGTCGATTATCATTGGGGTGCAAAAAAAAAAAGGAATTTTTGTTCTCGCGCCGTTGGGAACTCCGGGAATAATGGGCGGATTGGATCAACATGTAATTGGTTGGGGAAGTTTTGTTTTTCTTCTCCAAAGGGACCGGGCGACCCTCAGTTCTGAGACTCCTCCCCGTCCGTACCGGCTCGCGCAAACGAGGCCGCAACAATCAGCGGGAACACAACCGTGGCTTCCGCGTACACCTTGACGGCCTTGGCATCGGCCTTGATCTTGCCCCAGCTGACAGCCTCATCCGGGCGAGCCCCCGCGTCGCTCCCGTCGAATTCCTGACCCGTGTTGATGTACACCGCGTGCTCCGCGCCGTTTCGCATCAGACAGGCGTTGGCAATGTGGTGCTTGATCACGCCGCCGCCCAGGATAATCATGCCGGCCTGGGAAGCCCGCACGGCCATCGTGTTGATGCGGCGAACGTCGTCGACGATGTCGACGCGCAGCCGCTGCGGGGACGACTTGAAGGTGTGGAAGTAGAGCATATCGCCGAGAGAGCCGTCGGTGATGGCGGGGCAGAAGATCGGGATGTTGTTGCGCGCAGCCCAGTACAGCACCGAGTCCTCGTGGTTGATCTCGCGTCCCAGGCGTTCGATGATCCGGCTTGGGGTCCAGTGCAGCTCGTCCTCCTCGTCGCCCGTCTCGAGGGCCTTTTTCTTGGCCGCCTCCTGCTCCTCCAGCATCTTGTCCAGGATGGGGATCAGCCAGTCCTCAAACGCACAGTAGTTGCTGTTCGGCACGATGAGGTTGCCGATCCGGTTCAATCCCTTGGCCCGTAGCCCCGCGCCCGGGGCCGTGAAGCTGCCCATGTAGGTCGGCGCCAAACACTTGATCAGGTCCTCCTCCACGCCGCCGGCTGTCGTGACGATGGCGGAAACGTGGTTGTTGCGCACCAGGTAGCGGATGGTGTCGCGGAGGCCGGACGAAATCAGGTTGGAGGTGTAGCCTAGGAAGATGGTCGTCTTCTCGCCGGTTTCGGGGTGCCGATACGCCCTCTACAGCAGGCCATCTGGGTCAGCGCCGTCGTCGGGTGCAGGAGGAGGCGGGGTTCTTACCATCTCGTTAACGATGCGGGCGGCCTCCGCGACGGAGCTGCCTTGGAAACCCGTGTACCTCATGTTGTCGACCATCTCAGCGACGGTGATATCGCGGCCCTTAAACCGGTCAAAGTCGATACCGCTGACCTGGTGTGTTCCCTCGGGCACGGGCTCGGAGGCCACCAGGACGGCATTGGTGACCGAGGAGGGAGGGGCATTGTCGGCAGGTGTGGCGGACATGGCTGGGGAAGGAGTAGGCAATCTTATAGACTCTAAAACAGGAATTTCATGTAACGCGATGCTGCTAGAAGGACACGGACGAAATGCCAAACCAAACCAAACCAGAGCAGAGCAGAAAGAGGGGTTGCGGGATCGGGGATGATGATGATGGGGAAATTTTTCGGCGGTGAAGAGGCTAATGGCGGAAGGGGACTAGCGTGGCCGTGAGCAGTTGAAGATGGCGGGGGGTCCGCAGCGCCCGGTGCCTCAGGCGGCCAGGGGTGCCTGGTCCGGCCAAGCGCCGACCCATGGGAGGCCTAGCCGCAACGGGTTAGCCAGAGACTGGAACCGGGACGCGCACTACTGCAGTGCTGCGCTGCCTTGGGGCCTGAGGCCGTTTGAGACTTTCGAGAGTTGCCGTTTCGTAATGCCTGAGGCACCGGCCCAATCGAGTTATTTTGAGTTCCCCTAGAAGAGTCCCTGACCAACTATTCCATCCAAACGCCTGGCTCGCCTGGGTTAGATCCATCGTCTCTGCCCCATCCCCCCCATCGTGCCTCTCTGCCTCCTTCTTCCCTACCTTCAACCTTCAACGATCTTCAACTTCTCCCTGCTCGCCCTGCCACTCGTTCCTTCTGCGTCTCCCACGGCGCGTCTGGTACTACACACGACTCTCCGATCCCCTACGCATCCCCCCATCCTTCCGCTCTTCCCTCTCCAGGCTGGTCCTCGACGATCCCCGGCTCTTACTTCCGAGAAAACCGAATCCGAATCCGGGCGCCCTCGGTCTCGAGGATAGCTCCTCCCGCTGGTGGATTTTGCTGCCCAGCTGCCACTCCTTGCAGGTGTCCTTCGGGCTCGTTGCTTTGACTGACACGTTGCATTGGCTTAAAGGTACGGCGATCTCTAGCTTGTCATTTTCTGTCATTTTCCATTTGGTTTTCTTTCTTTTTCCCCCCCGGGTTGTTTGGGCTTGACTCAAGAATGGCGTTTGTTTCCTCTCCAGATTTGTCGTTTGGGGGGGTGAAGGAGGAGGTGATTCACTGGTGAAAGACCTGCCGGGGGACACGGATCGGGAGTGGACAGCAGCAGTGTGCAGCATCGACCACCACTTATCTACTACTTGCTCTACTGGGCTTTGTTTTGACGCTTCGAATCGGGGAGCTCTTTGTTCCCATCCCCCCCTCCCCTCGTTCCTTCTTTTGGCCTCTGCCTCGTCCGGGCCTCTCTGCCAGCTGATCCGCGTGCCAGGCCCGGCTGAAACAAACCGGGCCAAGTGGCTGCCGCTAAGCTGATGGAATCCGTCAATCCTCCTGCGCGCTCCCTGATTGGCTGCCCTCGAGGCTCCGCCCAGATGCGCCCGCCCATTGGCGGATTAGCTAATCGTCCCTTGGTTGGCCCGTGCCCGCCCATGCTTCTCGCCGTCACGTGCTCTCCACACCCGTTCGCCGGCGGCGTCTCACTCTCAGTCACTCCGCTGCTGCTGCTGCTGCTTCTGCTGGGCCCATTCGCCGTTCCGTCCCTTGGCCGTCCTCGTTTTTGCCTGCCACTCATTTCTGTCATTTCCTTTCCCACCCCCCCTCCCCCCCCAAAACACAACACAATCAATCGCTTGGTTTATTATTTTTCTTTTTGGAGAGTCTTCCCAACTAACTCGTGGCAGGCTCCCCTGCCAGGTTGCTTAGCTCATGCTCTCTAGCATGATCTGGTGATGTCGTCTAGATACCCTCCACTGTCTGGGTTTAATTCCCGCGATCGTTCGCCTCAGCGCTTTGGAGACCGTCGCCCCCCGTCTGGTCCGCGCGGCTCGGACGATGGCAACATCCCTCCCCTGGGTAGGGAGCCGCCTCGAGGTCCCAAGGCGCTGATTGACCCCCCTCGAGGCGCTCCGTTTGGTGGCCGAGGTCGAGGCTATCCTGGCCGTGGAGATTTCCGAGACCGAGACCGCGACATACGAGATCGCGACAGAGAACGGGACCGCGACTTTCGAGATATCCGTGATGGTCCGCCACCCTTTCGCCGAGAGATTGACCGGGATCGCGGGGACTGGGGGCGTCGCGAGCGCGACTTCGACCCCCGGGAATCACGCATCGGCTTTGGTCGCGGTCGCTCCCGCTCCCCGCCACCACCGCGCGACTTTCGAGACCTGAGAGAGCCGATCGGGCGCGATGCAGATATTGTTCGAATGCGACGGGGTTCACGGGATAGCCTCATATCAGTTTCCTCGGCCGTGCCGGATGTTCCGCCGGCGAGCGGCCACCATCCCCGTCCGGGTCCACCCATGAGAGGGCGTGGACGGGGCGACTGGGATGCTGGACGTGGGCGAGGTCGCATGCCGTATATGGATGACCGCGACACCTTCCGGCGTCGAAGCCGGTCACGCGACGCTCGGTGGGACCGGGACCGAGAGCGCGACCGTGACCGCGACAGGGACCGCGATCGCGAACGGGATCGCGACCGCGAGAGGGACCGCCTCATCGACCGGGATCGCGACCGCGAGCGAGAACGGGATCGAGACCGCGTCATCCTGGACCGCGATCGCGACAACGACCGGCGGGATCGTGACCGGGAGCGGGATCTGGACCGACGGGAGCGCTTCGAGCGCCGCGACGAAGTTGACCGACGCATCGAACGCGATGAGCGCGAACGACCAGCAGACCATTGGAAGAGGGATCGCCCGCCCAGTCGTGCTGAGAATCGCATCCCCAGCAGTTCAACCGTGTCGTCTGCCACCGGCCCAGCGGTCCATGCTGGTCCCGCTCTCCCGGACAGGCTTCCGGACCACCCACCCGCCGAGCCGCCCCGTAAGCCATCCGTCGTTGGAGACGGTCGCCGCGATTCTCGAGTCGAGCGCATTGAACGCATTGAACGCATTGAACCACCCACGCCTCATCCCGACCCTGCCAAGGACTTCATCCCTCCTCCCGTCAAACGATCGACGCCTCCCGCCGCGCCGCAAGTTCCCGCGTTCGGATCAGTCACCGCACCCATCCCTGAGATCCCCGCAGAGAAGCCTCCAGTTGATCCGGTCCCTGCACCTCCTTCCGCCCCGAAGACAGAGAAAGAACGCCATGAACCGCCCCCGCGAGTCCCCATGCAACCCCCGACCGCACCAAAGGCCGACCGCGGTCCTTCACAGCTGCCGCTGGAACAGCGGGTTCGACGCGAGGAACCTCGACGTGACGAAGCGCCGGTGACCCCGATCAAACATGAACCGCCTCCGCGTCTCCCGAAGTCACACCCTCCGGCGGCGGGGGTGCAGAAGCCACTCGATATTTCACCCCCCACTGCTCCTGCGGCCATGGTTCACAAGGAGGCCCCGGGATTCCACGAGGCACCCTCACCGAGTAAACTGGGCTCCGCCATGAGCTCACCCGAGATTGGGAGGAGGCCCTCTGCGACTGGACTCGCCACCTCTCCCGGTCCGCTCACATCCCCTCGGATGCATACGTCGAGTATCCCGACCGGTCCCCGCGCGCTCCAGCAACGCCCTTCGGTATCACGGGGCCCGTCGAAAGGCAACAAACAATGGGTTCGACCCGGCTACAGTCGACCGCCGTCTGGTCCTAGTTCTGCCGTGCCTCCAAAGCGCGATTCTATCGACGGGAAGGACCGAAGTCTGTCCATCAGCGAAGAAACCAAGCAGGAATCGCGTATTCCCGTGGACGGGATTCCAGCGGACGATTCATCGACTGGACCCGAAGCAGGTGAGATTGTGGGTGACGAGGATGTTGTGGAATCGAAGCCGCCGGCTCCTGTGACCTCACCCGAAACTCCCATGCAGATCGACGTGCCTAGTGTCAGTCCACCGAAACCGATTCTGGAGGAGAAAGTCATCGAAAGGAAGAGTCAGGAGCAAGGCGACCTTGTCATACCGGACTTCGGGCAATCTGGCGACGATGAGGAGGAGGAAAACGTAGTATTCACTCAGGACTACCTGGAGGAACGGAAGCAGATTTTCGAGAAGGACATGAACGCTCTCAGAGCAGAGCTTCCGCCCTCGCCGTTGGAAGACCCGAATATTTTGGCACTGCTTATGCGCATCCAGCTCCTAGGTGCGGTCGCCCATGACACGGTCGTTGAAAAGGCCCCGACGCCGCCCCCGTTGCCAGTGGAGGAACCCAAACCGGCAAAGGAGGAACCGGTGGCCCCTGCCGTGGAAGCTCAGCCAAACGGAAAGGCCGAAGAACATGAGCCGCCAACGAAGATGGTCCTGGACTCCATTCCTCCTGCGGATGTCTTCGCTGCCGAAAGTCTTCCGTTCCTGAATTCTGGCCCCCCAACGCCTTTGTCCGATCTGGAGGTTTACCAGGAGAATGCCGCAACCCATGAACGTTTAAAAGACACCTTCCGCGACATAATAATGAAGCGACGCAAAGAGATCGCGCAGAAGAACGCGGAGCTCCGAATTGATTATTTGGCTCACTACAAGCCTTGGAGGCTGAATGTTTGGGAGCTGGATCGTGCCAAAGACCAGAGCTCGAGCACTCCAGGTCCTACACCTCCCCCCGTCGCTCCTCCCGTAGTGACACCCACACCTCTGGTTGAAAGCGGAAGACGGTACAAGGGGAACAGTGAGTTGGACTTCCAGAACGCCCTCCGCGCGTCGGAGATTTCCGCCCAAGAGGAACTCGAGAGGCGTCGCGGCAATAAAGCTACGGCTCAACCGGATCTGGGTCGGGAGGCAGTAATCCCCAATATGCTCGTCCCCCGGGAGATCAAAGCTGGCACCTATAAGGATACAAACAACATCATTGACCCGAACAAGGCCATGGATGTCTTCGGTTTCCTGCCGCCCCCCAATGATTTCACCCAGTTGGAGCACGAGGCTTTCACGGATGCGTTCATGGCTCACCCCAAGAAATGGGGCAAGATCGCGGAAGCGCTACCCGGGCGGGATTTCCAGCAGTGTATCGTTCATTACTATCTGACCAAGGAGGAAATCAAATACAAGGCCAAGCTCAACAAGCGATGGAGCCGCCGCGGGCGTGCCCGGCGATCTGCTAGGCCGAAGTCGAATGCTCTTATGGCCGATCTGGGCGTCGTTAAGCCCGACTACGAGGGCGAGGAGGAGCCGGCTCCTGTTACTGACACTGGTCGTCCACGACGAGCCGCCGCACCGACATTTGGCGACTCGTCTGCTGACACGGACAATAATGGTCGCCGAGGGAATGCGTCCAAGGATGGGGAACCAGTTGAGAAGCCCACCCGACGAGGGCCCCGGAGCGGTGCAGGCACCCGAGGTGGCCGACGCGGGAAGGCTGCGCAGCAACAACAGCAGCAGCAGCAGCAGCAGCAACAGCAACAGCAGCAGCAACAGCAACAACTACAGCTACAGCAGCAACAGCTACAACAGCAGCAGCTACAGCAGCAACAACAGCAACAGCAACAGCAACAGCAACAAACATTGCAGCCGATTCCTGCGGAGCAACCGGTGCAGGCAACGTCAGCTCCACCGGTGGCACCCGTTGTTACTCCTGCGCCCAAGGTAGAGGCCCCCGAACCGTCTTTGGATGGTGTCTCCGAGCCAGCGCCCGTGCCTGTGCGAGCCAAGGAGCCGGAGAGGGAAGCGACCGATGTGCCACCTCGTGCGAGGTCTGGACGAGGACGTCAGAAGGAGGGAGTGTATGTCTTCGAGTCAACTGAGCAGGAGGCCCCTGCACCTACCCGGCAGCCCGAGGTCGGCGGATATGGGTCCCTGCAGCCCACCAGTTACTGGTCGGTGCCCGAGCAACGTGATTTCCCGCTGTTGCTGGCGCACTTCGGTCGCGACTTTGAAGGTATTTCGAATTTCATGAAGACGAAAACCACGGTCATGGTGAGCCTCCCCACCAAACCAAATTGTAGAGCTTGTGTCATTAATCCGATTTCCCCTCCAGGTTAAGAATTACTTTCAGCGTCGCATTGACTCTGGTCAAAAGGATTTTGAAGATATCGTTGCCGATGCAGAAGCCAAGAAAGCTCGTGGTGAGCCCACAGGTCCTTTGCCCGTCCCTAACTTTGCCTCTAAACGGCGTTACGAAGCTACACCATCTTCCATAATCATGCCTCGACCTCTCGCACCGCACACCGATGCAACCCCGGATAGCGATGACAGCCGCCTGGGAGCGAAAGCCAAACCAGTTGGTCCCACCCATCAACAAGTGCAACCAGTGCCGACTCCCCGCGCTGGGCAGGAGAAGGAGCGCAGCCTGTCGCGATACCCACCACTTGCACAAGCCTCTAGTGCACCCCTGCCGGGCGGACCTGTTCTCAGCGAGGATGCTGCCCGGGCGATTACCTCCCAGGGAGGATTGCCGCCCCGCGTGCCAGGGCCACGCCTCGGATATTTTGCCGATGACCGGCGCGAGGCTCCGGCTACGGTGTTGCCCCATGCAGCCACCTCCCGGCCCCAGGAATCGGCCATACCTGTTCGACAGACCCCAGTCTCTGCGTCAGAGATGGCTCGGCTGGAGCCTCTCCACGCCCAAGGATTCCGGACTCCCAATGTCGAAGTGCACAGGTCGCCCCTCCTCCCAACGCAGAGTGCACTGCCAGTCTCGCAACAGCAATACCTTCAGCCGCAGCCGCAGCCGCAGCCCTCCTTGATGCCTACGGGTTCTCACTCTCGCCATCCTAGTCTCACGAAGACCCCCAGCTCGCCGGCACAGCCGCTTCACAGGCCCGAGTCCGACATCTCTCCGATTCGGCGTGATTCCATATCGCAGAGGCCTTTCTATTCCCTACACGGTCAGCATATGGGCATGTCTCAGGCACCTCCGGTGTTATCCCCCCCCAAGGAGCCCCCGCGACCGGGGTCCACCCCTCTGGAGCCACCCGAGGCCCCTCGCGTGCCAGCGAAGCGGTCGAACATTATGAGCATCCTGAACGACGAGCCAGAGGAGCCCCAGCCTCGCAAACGATTTGCCAGCGACCAGGCCTCGACCCCTGTGATGAATACCGGGTCTCCTTCTCGGCCGGTGTACACCGGGATGCACCCGCTTTCTCAACAGGCCCCCCCTCCGCGTCAGGAAGAACCTACTTTATCGTCTCAGCAACGGGCCTCGGCTTATGCGCCGCAAAGCCAGTACCTCCCCCCATCGCGCGCATATCAAGATTACCAGCCATACGGCACTGTTCCCGGTGGTCCCCCGGCGTCTGCGAACAACGACTGGATGGCACGGTTTGACCCCCGAGGACAGGCACCGCCACAGCCACAGGCTCCCCCGCCGCAGCCCAGCAGCCGTTCCACTGCATCGCTTGCTCCCCAGCCACCCTACTCTCCCTACGCCTCCGCCCAGTCTCTCTCCGGACCCTCCCTGCCGAATCTCACTGCCCAGTCACCCGTACCAACCCCTTCGTCGGCAACAGCCCAACGCCCTGCTTATCACGCATCCGCATATGCCCCGTCTCCGGTGTCACATGCACAGGCTTCCGCCGCAGCGTCGCGCGAGCTGGCTGCGCAGAGTCAGATGTACCGTCAGAGCATCGGTTCGCCCACCCCCCGCAACACCAGCCACGCATACGCATCGCGTCAAGGTCCGCCCACACCGATCCAGTCACCGGCAAATCTCCTTGGCATGGGGTCACGGCAGCCAGCGCCGCAAGCAGCGTATGGCTCGTCGGCACCGATGACGCCAGCCTCGGGCCACATGTCCGCGCAGCAGTACCAGCAGCACGTGCAGTCGATGGTCAACGGCGCGCACCAGCAGGCCGCGCACCGCTCGTCGCTTGGATTGGCTGGGGGGCCGTACGGCCACAACACGCCACCTCCACAGGCACAGGTTTCGCGGGCAGCAGGCTTGTCCGGACCAGGGCCACAGGGGATGTCGATGGGTCGCTCCTACACCCCGCCAGCCATCCTGCAACCGAATCCCAGCGGTGGACTCAGCTACGCTCCAAGCGGTCCATCCGCCGCGGTTGGATCTGTGCATCCCCTCCAAGCGCGGCCTCCGGGACCCGGGCCACTCGGCGAGGGCATGCCCGGCCCGCACGGCACGCCCGGCCACCACCGCGTGTACAGCCAAGGATCGAACATCGGCGGATTGCCCGGAGCGATGACACCGCAACACCCGCGATAGAGCCGGAGCTCTCCTCTCTTGTCTCGTCTTTCTTGTCCTGAGACATCTTCCACCCCACACCCGTTCGCATTTCCAATCACTGCACATGTCATGAAGTACTATGTCCATACAGTGGAGGGATGTGTTGTTTGTGTCTTAGTCTAGAGTCATTCTTTCTTCTTCTTCTTCTTCTCCTTCTTCTTTCGTCTCTTTTTCTGGTGTGTGTGTGTGTGTGTGTGATCTTCTGCCTTTCCTCAGCTCTCTTTAATCCTTTTTTGTTTGGCCCCTTCTTTCTGTCTGGTGCGGTCTGTTCGGTCGGTCGGTCCCCTTGTTTGATGAATAATGTACAGTAGATGACTCGACGGATGGCAACAACAACAACAACATTAGCAAGAAAACATTAACACAACCAACAAACAATATGGAAAAGCATGAATAAGCGGGTCCTTGCATACATAGTACTTACTTGCAACCTACTCCTTGAGAAATAAAAAATCATCCATCCATCCTTCTGAAAACTTACCACCCTTCCCTTCCCTCCCCGTCTCTTCCAAAACATTCCGCAGTAGAGTAGAGTAGAGTAGAGTAGAGTAGATTGATAGATGAATGGCAGGAGTGCTTGCTACTCACTGTACTGTACTGTAGTTGTTTGTCATACTTATGAACAAACCCACCCCGAGCCGTTTTTAATCAAACCCACCCATCCCAAGTGGGGAGGGGGAGGGAACCTGAAACCCCCGAGCGCCTAAAAATACATACTATCTCCCCTGGCGCATCTCCCACTCCGCCCAGCCCTAACCTAAAACTGCTGACGCACTCCACTCGGCGTAAAACTCAAGCTGGATGGCTATCGTGTTGTGGGGGGGGGGTTCTTGTCGTCTGTCGGTGTTTGGGGGATGATGTGTGGCCGGCCCAATGAACGTCGCGGGTGGGGAGGGGGAAGAAGGGGTGGGGGTGGTTAAGCGAGGATACGTATATATACTATATAAGTATCCGTATCCCGTATTCCAGAAGGGCTTGGATTGCGCGGCTGTGTCCACTTTAAGTTTGGTTGGGTTTGATGATCTATCTAGATTGATTCTTGGGGTTGGTGTTGATTGATTGGTAACTTGGTGGGGGAGGAAAGGGGGTAACTCAGGTGAGGTAGGGTAGGGTGGGTAGATATAAGATGGAGTCTCCAGATCCTGAAGCTTATAGGAATATTTTTCCGAGAGAGATATTGGAGGGATGTTGCGATTGCGATATGAGGATGGTTCGAGGGGGGAGGGTGTATATACATATACGTATACCCATACGCATACACATACGCAGACGCAGACGCATACTCTTGCCCATCCGCTGGTTTACAACAACAACAACAACAACAATCGGAATTATCTTGTTCATCCTCAACCACAACTTGACAGATACATCCACTCCAACGCTGGAATGAAGAGCTACCACCCGCTCACCCGTGGCCATTGTCATACAGACGTCTATCCCTCGACTCAGATGCACCACCACAACCATACCCACCAAACCACCACTACCACCCCCCCAATACACATCCAAGTCCACAACTACAACCACGACCACCCCAAACCCCAGCACTCCACCAACACCCCCCACGCAAACAAAAACAAAAACAACCCACCCTGGAAAGCGAAATGCAAAAAACCGACCAACAGAAACGGAAACTCGCGCGACGACGCCAAGAACATGCGGTGCTCCGGGACGGACTGCGCCACGGGGTGTCGATATGGCGGATTCTGGACGTTTTGGCGAGTAGGAGGATGGAAGGGGGGTGTGAATGTGAGTTGTTTTTTTTTTTTCCCCCCTCTTCTTTTTGATCCTCTCCTTGGTTGGGGCTGTGCTTACGTCTTTTTTTTCCTAGCGAGGGGGATTAGGGATGGGATTGGCAATGGGAATGGGCCTGGTTTTGGGCATCGGGCGGAGATGGGGGTGAGGGCTGCGTACCTGTTCCCCGGGGGCGCGGGATATGTCCAACACCACAGACATGGGTATCAGCAAAGACACGAGGAGAGTGGGAACAGCCATGGCCAGGATGATGGGAATAGGCATGGGCATGAACATGGGCCTTTCTATGCAGGACATACAGCTCACGCTCACGGGCATCTGCAGCGCCCAACGGCGCAAACTGGTGGGTTTGTGGACGGGGCAGGCCGGGGACAGAGGGAGCAAGGGATGAGTATGGGGATGGAGAATTGGCGGGGGAAGAGACCGGTTGAGTTCGATGATAGTTTTTTGAGGAGGGCGTATAAGCGGCGGAGGATGAAGGAGGGGGGCGGTGGGGAGGGAGCGTAGTGTTTATATTTGTATATATTGGATGAATATCATGCGATATGATGATGTTAACAGCAGGGTTTGAATTCCAACTCGAATTCGGTTGTATCTTGGTTGTGGCAAGCTAGAGGTTCGACGGATGGATGGATAGAATGTTGATGTACTGGGTTGGGGGGGTGAAGAGGTGAAGTTGATGAGTACTATTTCTTACTATATACGTGTGCTGCCTAAGCGGCTGGTCTATTTCTTTTGTTTCCTGCTGGGCGCATCAATGTCCTCAGTCCCATCTTCCACCTCCCCTCGTTGCCGTTTATGTGGATGTGACTCTTCATCGTCTCCTTCAGATAAAGTCTCGTTTGCCTCCTCGAGAACCCTCCCATCCCTGACTTCAAAGTCGAATACCTCTTTCCAGGACCCGTCCAAGACCCTCGGGTCATCCCCGTGCAGATTGACCTTATACGCATGCTTTATCTCGCTGATGCAGAACTCTCTCCGCTCATTAAAATCGAACATCGGCTTAGGGTACGCCGTCAACCCCGAGTCACCATCCTTCTCCACCGTGCCATCACCGGTAACCCGACATTTCCACCGTTTCTGATCCGCAATCGGGGCATTCCACGGCTCGTAGATGTATTTCTTGTCAAAGTGCGTGAGTTCAGGACAGTACCGCCTAACGAAATGGCCCTCAGGATCCCATTTCTTGCCGAACGCGATGGGGGAATAGCAGCGGTAGAACTGCGAGAAAAAGGCTGTGCAGGAGAGCCACATCCAGTTGCCGACGTTGCAGGCCGTTTCATCTGGAGCTGTTAGAACCGTTACCACAGAATCTGGGAGAATCTCTCACGGTCAATCAGCCATTCTTCGAATACTTCGGCCCCCCGTTCCCAGTTCACATAGCAACCACCTCGGGTCAGAAAGCACGCCACGCTATGACGCCCCAGATGATGAATCCAACCCTCCTGCTTGAGCTGTCGCATCAAGGCATCGATCCAGGGAAACCCCGTCCTGCCCTCCTTCCACCGTCGGAACCAAACCTCCGCTTGCGGGTCGTCGACCGTGTATGTCCCATCGAGGAGATACTCCCCCTGGGGTGTCTTGGAGTAATTCGACGGCAGATGCCAGGGAACGAACTTGGCCATCCTATTCCCCCGGGTTTGCGCAAAAGAGGGTCCCAGCGCCGCCTGAGCAGCGAAGTACATGTCCCGGAAGAGCAACTGGCCTGGTAGATTGGTCGGAATATGCGAAGTCGGCTTCTTCCGGCTCCTCCTCTTCTCCATCGCCGCCTGTACATCCCACCAGAACTTGCGCACGGACAGAGACCCAAAGTGCAGATGCGGCGAGAGCAACGTCGTGGCCTGGGGATCGAAATCGGCCGGAGACGTCTTGGGCTTCTCGAACGTGCCCACATACTCCTCATCCCGGATACAACGCTCCAGAATCTCCAGAGCAACCGACTCGCCCCCCCGATGCGGCGTCGTCGCCTGTTCCGGATCAATGCCCAATTCCTCCAACGTTGGAACCCCGAAATCCCCTTGCGGGCCCATGAGTCCTCGATACTGCGTCTCTTTCGTCTTCCCTTGCCGATGCACCGCATTCAAATCCCCATCCCCTAGCTCATCCACCTCCACGCCCCTCAAATCTATCCTCTCTTCCTCCCACGGATCCGGCACCTCCCTCGGCCTCTCCACCACCTGCTCGGGCTCTGCATCCCCAGCCCCAGCCCTCGCCACCGCCTTCTGCAACTGCTTCATACTCATCGTCGGCTGGCCCCCATTCCAGCTAACCACCTCATCCGAATCAAACAACGTCCTCCCACTCCTCACCACAACCTCCACGCCATCCCTCCTCGCCAACCGCATCACCTCCTCATCCCGGGTGCGCGCATACGCGTCCGTGTCCTTCTCGAACACGAGATGCGTCGCGCCCCACGCTTTCCACAACTTCGGCAACACGGTCTGGGGAGCTTCGCGGACGACCCAGAGCTTCTGGTTGGGGTTCAGTGCCGTGTAGGAGGCTGAGAGGTCGCGTTGGCATTCGAGGAGAAAGCGCCAGCGGTTTGGCCCGACGCGGGAGTGGTATACGTAGTGCGGGTCCCAGGTCCAGATGGGGATGAAGATCGAGGGGTGCAGGTCCAGGGCCGCGGTTAGGGCGGGGGAGTCGTGCAGGCGGAGGTCGGTGCGGTGCCAGAGGAGGACGATGGGTTGGGGGGGCTTGGGCATGGCTGGCTGTAAAGTTAGGTCTGTGTGGTTGTGGTGGGAGGGAGATTAGTGGGATACGGGCATAGCATAGTAATCGGGATCGAGGAGAATGGAAATTGGCAAGGCCGCGAGAAATACAGGAATCGAAAAAGAAATCTCCTCCGTATGTCGTCCGTTGTTTCGATCGATCGTCGAGAAGGGGAGCGATGATGTCACCACATCTCTCGGGTTAGCCCTGATTGCCTGATGGGGCTGGCATCGCTCCATCAACGAGGACAGAATTGATTGATGGATGGGCAAAGCCCAAGATTATGGACGGAAATTCTCACTGCCGCTTCGGAGACTTGGTATTGCGGTGGGTTTCGTGCGATATAAATCCAGCCCTACGCAGACGAGGGGAGCGACGGTGAATGAATGCCCTTGGTGCCTCGGGTTTGTATCCTCCAAAGTGAGCTACTTGGGAATAGCGACATACGAGAATTTGCTTTTTACCCTTGAGCCAGTCGGCAAGGTGACGCCGCGTTTCTCAGCCCGTATCACTCGTCCATCTCCGGACTGGTGAGCATATTCTTTGCTGAGGCAATACCTTATGACCTCGAAGGCATTATGCGAGCAGGATTCCGGAATACACCCTTCCCACCTGCGGATAGTCCCCAGTTGCGAATCCTGTTCGCTATCATACTCGGGTTTTTTTTTTTTTTTTTTTTTTTTTTTTTTTTGCTGGTCGTTAGTACCGTAGCGCTGGGGTTACGTCGCTAAGGGTCTCCGATGCCGCTGGCGAGTAATTGCAGTTTCGCTGTTGGTCATCTGCTTAGCTTGGCTCGGGGACAAGGGGATCAAAAATCCGATCTGGTCTTTGGTACGGGGAACGGCAGCATCTGGAGACAAACCTGATGATTGTCAGAAATAGACCCGGGGTGGCCTTTGCGGCTTTGGGTATGTTGGCCCAACCTGTGTTATGACCATGCATGTATCTGACAATTGGTTGGAATTTCAGACGTAGATTCTCTCCTGGATCAGGATCAGAGAGTAATACTGTATAGTACCCGTGCGAGGGAGTAGTGTCGCTAAATTACTAGTATAGTCTGTCTTCGACTAGCTAAGGAAATGTTAAAGAAGAGTGGCTTGTATACAGATTCTTCGTTTAGTAAAATAGTATCCTATAACAATTACTACCCCTCGAGAGAGACTAATTTGAAGAACCAGAGCGAGACATGGGCATTGTGGAAATGACTTTACTTGGGAGCTCCCTTCCCTCGCTTCTGCGGTATTCGCCATTTATTGATATGTTCCTTTAAGAATGGATTACTTATAGAGGTTCGATCCATCACATCGTCATCGACTTGTGTCGTCCTATAATGACCAAATAATGATTCTCTAATTCTTGATATAACCATGACCCGTTGCCGGATCATTAAGCGGGTCCCATAGCTCAGTTGGTTAGAGCGTAACGCTAATAACGTTAAAGTCGAGGGTTCGACCCCCTCTGGGACCATCTTCTTTTTGTTTTTTTGTTTTCTGCCCTCTTTCTCAGGGCTCCTCCCTCCTAATTCAAAAATATATTTCTGGAGCTGGCTTGGTTGGTTGACTTACGCCGGCCGCATCCATCCATATCTTCCGCTCCCAACCTCCTTCAGGGCATAACAATATCATCAATCTCACTCATATCAACAGCTTTTTCTCCCTCAACAAATATGAAGCTCCCACCTGGACCGCCATCTCCAAAAACTTCAAGAACATAAACTTCAAGACCACAGAACCCCCACCTAAGATTCCCTACCGGTATTATCGCATGCCTTCGCAGAAGCAACCCCCCTCCTGACTTGCGAAAACGCATAATTCACCCAACACAGGCAGAAAAACCTCACTCGGGAAACGTGTATTAAGATGATCGAGTCCCAGGTCTGATAGAAGGAACAATTCCTTCAGATTAGACCGCTAGCTGGGGATACGCCATTGGCCACTGTCGCAGTCGAAGCATGCCTAGTTCAGCCAAGCGTTCGTCTGCGAGCCATGACCCGCCTTTTGGGACGCATAGTTAGGGGGTTAAAGGTGGGTTTCTCTCCAAATAAAAGTTGGATCTGGTGAAGATTTGTTTCCTCCATGTACTATATTTGAAATAGTATCCGAGAAAGTGATATAGTATGGCTGAGAGTGAACTGGTTGAGAATGTTTTTTAAACCAAGTCGTCAAGTCAAACGGCCCTATTGGCCTACCCAAAAAATAATGACCCGCCTGTTACACATCCAATATTGTACTGCTTTCCATGTCCCGAGTTGAATGTTCCGGAAAACACTGTCGGACATAAACCCGCATCGAGATGAGGGCCATCACCTTGCACGTTTGCAGAGGTATCTTCAATCCTCGGGATATTGACGATCGTACCGGGGTCCTTCGTAGGCGATATTCCAGGATGAATAAGTTCAAGGATCTCCTTCGCCACCGCAGCAGCCGCAACGGCAGCATATTCATGCCATGCATCATTCTTATGCGAGTCGCAGTAATCGCAGATCCCTCGGATGACCAGACATGGAAAGTCGTTCATCAAGCCAGCAGCCTCCATTTCGAAGCAAATCGCCCCTCCTGCTTCTCGCGCGAGTTCGTCCCTCTTAATTGCGTTTTTGATCACTCTATCCCCCGACGCAATTAGGCCGTAGTGTATGGTCGGCATCGTGTCATTCTCTCGAGGCGATCGTGGAATGACGTAGCATCGATCGCAACACTCACAGCTATCGTTTCCCGGCGAATGCGGATACGTCGATTCAAATAAAAGGTCCTGCTCTGGCGGAGGTCGTATAAATTGCGGGTACAGGCAACGGTCCTGCACCTTCTTTACTGACGAGGTAAACTTGCTTTCCAGCGTCGACATCTCCAACGGCAATATCTCCAGCAGGTCGCGTGGAGGAGGAGCAAGATACCCCCTGCGAACAAACCCATCAATCTGCTCTTTCCCCAGATCGTACTGCACAATGCCGGCATGTTGATCTCCGGGAGCCCCGATGACCACATCACCAAGTCGAACATCCGTTCCTTGGCTCGGGACACCGCCGCCGATACCAACGAGGAGAAAGTGTACCAGGTTGGGAAAGTTTGCCCTCAGCTCGCAAGCCGCTACGGCTGTGAAGACCTTGCCCTGGGCATTGATTGATAATGTGACAATCACGACATTGTATCCACTAAGCCTTCCGCAAATATACCTCGCCAGCGGAGACCGTCGCGTTAAGCTGTGTTCTTCATCCAGCATGAACCGGACCGCGCTCATCTCGACTTCTAGGGGGCAAATCACCCCTACGGTATAGTCATGAGGCGTATACATCGTATTTTCTTTTCTTTTTTTTTTTACCCTGAAGGGACTTTGAAATTGGACGAAGTGTGCGTTGTAAAGGGGACGGGTGACTGCAAACGTGGTCGTGCACTGCGATGCGGGTGCCCGTCTCGAGGGTCCTGCTGTGCGCGTATCAATGGAAGCAAGGGGGGAAGAACAGATAATCTTGGACCATATTGCTAGATGTTGTATTAATGAGATGTTTGAATTACCAGCATGAGAGGATGTTTGACCATATTAAACCACCGGGTAGGTAGGCGAAAGAAGGCTGGGCGCTAAGCGCCGAGGATCATCTCGCCCCACGTCCACATCGCTAGGACCAACAGGGGGATCGATTAGGCTGCGAGAAGCTGCTTTAATTTGATTTCCCCTGCAGCATGGCCGCTTATTGGGTATGAATATGCAGCGTTTGAGGGGTAGAAACTTGCCAGCGCATAAAGACTCGCATGTCCAGGAAAGTTTCCCCTTCTCTTTTCACTCCACTGTGAGTATGCAGCGGGCAGCCATGAAAACCGAAGAGCACAGAGAACTCTCTTTCTCGGGCCGATTTGATGCTGGGACGGGGAAGCAGTATAATATCGGTCGTGTATCCGGGGAACATATCCATCTCGGGACTGGTTGGTGACCTCGTCTGTTGCAAAGATTGTCTTCACCGGCTAACCTGCATCAGATGACAATGTTCTATCCAGTTTGGTGAACGAAGAAGGTGCAGCTTTTAACTCGAGAGAAAGGGAGCATGAGCCGTGCTGCCTCCCTGGAACTCGAACTAGTGTGTTAAAGGCCGTCACGGAGTGGGCAGATTCGCCCGCCGAGGCAAAGATTCTGTGGCTGAATGGGTGGGTTGGGACGGGAAAATCGACGATTGCTCGGACGGTGGCTCGCGATTACCACAATCAATCGCGGCTGGCGGCGAGTTACTTCTTTGGTGATCGTCGGGCTGATTATTTTGTGACCACTATTGCATTGCAACTGGCGAATATGGACCCTGGTCTTAGGCAGAGCATTGAGGATTCGTTGAGAAGGCATCCGCTACTGAGGAGACAGAGCTTGTCGGAACAGTGGAGACGGCTTGTTCTGGAACCTCTTGTGGGGTTTCTGAGAGGATACGATGGGAAGCCGATGCTGCTTGTCGTGGATGGGTTAGATTTATGTCAGGAGGAAAACGACATTGGGTTAATTGTGAAGCTTCTGTTTGAGGCTTGTGACGCTTGCGGAGATCGAATGTTGGTCTTTTTGTCGACTAGACCAGAGGCCTCAATTCGTGATGAAATCGCATGCATTGAACATCGAGAAGTGATGTTGCAAAGAGAAGATGCTAGCACGGACATTTCACTCTTCCTGTCTGACGAGTTGAGTAGAATCGCGGTGAAGGTTGGGACTGAGACTGGATGGCCTGGGAAGGAGACCATCGCCAATCTTGTCACCAAATCAGATGGAATCTTCGCCTGGGCGGCAACTGTTTGTCAATACATTCGAGATGGACGGAACAAAACCACTACAATCAGTCGACTCCATGGCGTTCTGCAGCATCGTATCACAAACACGAGTCCGCAAGGCAAGCTCGACCAGATCTACACCGAGACTTTGAATCGGACTGTCAGGAGCACATGGGATACGTGTGAAGTTGATGAGTACTGCCACTCTCTCAGAGAGACTCTTGGTTTTATCCTCATCTTACAATCACCCCTGTCAGTGGACGGTTTGAACCCCCTACTGGGCAGAGATGACGCCGGCTCTATCCTGGGCGATTTGCATTCCATCCTGGAGGCACCTGCACACCCGGATAAAAGCATACGACTCCATCATTATTCGTTCTGTGATTTCATGCTGAGCGAAGAGAGGTGTCCCGCCAGATTCTATCTGGGGAACCAAATGCAGCAGCATCGACAGATAGCCGAAAGATGCCTCGATATCATGGCCGAGAGGCCGGAATGGAATGATGATTCGAATGGGTCTCAAAGCCTGACGGTGAAGATGGAAACACCGGAGTTGCAACAGTCGAGTATCTCAGCCTTTCACTATGCGTGTTGCTATTGGGTCCATCACGCTCAACGTGGTAAGATAGACCTCACGACGGGGAGTCGAGTGAATCTGTTTGTTCAAAAGTACATGCAGAAGTGGCTGGGAGAGCTCCGTGTACTCGGGAAGGTCGCGATGTGTCTGGACATGATTGAAGCCCTTCCGTCTTCCTACTGTAAGCTGACAGGTGGACCCGAGCTTGATGATAGGACGAATTCTTAGAACCGTTGATTCACCAGGATGATGATACCCCACTGGTGAATTATATGGTTGCCCATACTCGATATTTCAATTCGCTGCAAGTGTGACTGAATTAGCGTCCATGCTCATCACTGTTACCTATTGGAGTTGATTTCTTTTTGTTTAATATTGCATAGTGATGCCATCGGTCCGGGGTTCATCAAATGAGACCAAGTCCGGTTCTCTTTCTGCTTGCGTCAGCTGTGTAGGCACGCGTAGGAGGAAGGGATTGATGATTGGATCGAGACGTCAGGGTGATCCAAGAAAACAAGGACATCAACCAGAATATGACACGATGATAAAGTAGAAAGCAGCTTACCAGGGTCACACAAGCCACACTCTGATGAGATTTACCCCTTTCTATTGCCCGTTATCTCTTCTAAGCATCGACAACACGCTGTATCTATATTTCCAATAACGGCTGACTTGCGATAGTGACTACCTTCTGCAAACACCCATTCTGCATAGTTGCAATAGCATCCACCCCAGGTCTCATAGCGCCCATAACCCCCTCTACTCGATGCGCGATTATAACAACCGTATGACCACCAAGGTCCTCACGCAAAATCTCCTCGAGGATAGACTCAGTCTCCGAATCCAACGAAGAACCCGCCTCATCCAGAACAATCACTGGCTTCGTTGATTTATTCTCCCACACCCGCAGCAGGGTTCGACATAGGGCGAACAGCTGCAACTCACCCGCGGAGAACGGCAAAAATGTGGACATTGGGAGATCAAGGAGTTTTGGGAAGTCTATGACAAGATCTGCTGTGGGACCAGCCGTGTGGGCAAACGTCGTGGAGATTTTATTCCATAGACGCGTTCGCTTCAGTGCGGCCAGGATGGTATCTTCGGAGCTTAGGCCGTAAGGATCGAGATTGAATCGTAGGCTTGCGGTTGGGATGATGAATCCGTCTTGGGGCACTGCGATCATGCCGCGCCGTCGTAGGGTATTTAATGGTACCCGAGTAATGTCGACTTCGTCGATTCTAATTGATCCACTTCTGGGGGTCAGGAGTTGGAGTAGGGGTAGCATGAGCGTGGTCTTCCCACTGTGTTCTCGCATTTTTCAGTCAGGAACTTGTGACCAAGAAAGATGAGAACGATGGTACTGCTTACCTTCCTGTCCGCCCCACTACAATCAGCTTCTGCCCGGGATTGACTGAAAGCGAAATGTCTTCTAATGTAAGTCCTTGCGTCTGGGAGTAGGATACCGAAGCATTCTGAATCTGCAATTTCCCGGAAGACGGCCACTGTAGAGCTGGCTCGATAGTACCCCAAGGTCTATCCTCGATCGGGACACATTCCTGCACGCTCTTTAATCTAGCAATAGCGCCCAACGAGGTCTCTAGAGACGTCCATGATTGAACGAGCTTCAGGAGTGTTGCGTTTACCCCGATGATCATGTTAAGGGCCAGGCCAAGATCAGCGCCCGTAGTGGTGTTCCTATACAGGACGGTAAGTGTCATGAGCGCAACTGCGATGACGGCAATCACACAGTCTAAAGTGACATTTAGCCAGCGCTGTAAGCATAGTAGTAGGTAGAATGGTTTCTGAGACAAGTCTAATGCCTTGATGTTTTCTTCCTGGAACTTGTCTTTCCAGCCAAATGCTCGAATGGTCGTGACACCACTAGACTGGCAAATTGTCAGTATTAACTGGTACTGTTTACTATTACCTGTTGAGGTGGTACACTTACTGTATCCAGGAAGTTCGTATATAACTGCGATCTTGACTCGAGATCAAGAAAGCGCAGTTGCCGGGAGGTCCGGAGGTAAACACGTTGGATAAAATAGACACAAATTGCACACACCGGCACAGTCGCTACCATGACCGGTTGGACAATTAAAAGCAGAAGAACCTGCATAAGTAACTTGCAAATTTCTGTATTAAGCTTTTAGCGTGTGAATGTGTATACCGGGCTTCTCGGAATACTCACGGGTGACCAAATTGGCTAGAGCAGAAGGGAGTTGCTTGTCGATGAGGGTGATGTCCTGGCCAAACCTGGACATAATCAGTTCCTCCTGTCCAATATGAATCCTGAGTCTGTGGTACTGACCTATTGAGAGTCACAGCTATGTCTGACTCTATAAAGTATGTCAAAGATGCCCTGTGTCGCGCTGGTCAGCCCTTCGGTATCTGCGGTAAGCGCATAATCCAGCTTACCCGAGGATCCTCTGGAGAAGCTGTGCGTGGAGCACCTTTCCTGATCGAATGGCAATTTTCAATTGCGTAGACCTGCAGCCAATCAGCAAGACAAATTTGGGTAGATATCAAGGGAAAGCCAACCACATGTTTCCATTTGTTGCGACCCAAGCGATGAACGAGATTGCCGCGTAACAGCCCATGTAGATACGAGCATTCTGTGGAGGCGCCTGCGTTGCCCACTTGAGAACATATTGGGAAAATGTGAAACAGAATGAGTAGGTAGCAGTGCATATAGTCATCAGAAGGGCATTGCAAGGACCGACTGCATTGAGGTAATACCCTATCAAAGATTAACAGGAATCTAGTATACTCAAGGAGAGAGGCTCACCATAGAGTGCAACATCCCCCGCTCTTCGAGAGATATCTTCAGCAGCGTCTTCCATCCGGTGTTTCTGACTCGACTGTTTCTGCTGCTGGCCGTATAGCGGGGTAGCGCAAGGGCTAGTATCAGCTGGTGAAGAAGCTTCTCGCAAATCCGAGATCTTTTCGAAGGATATCAAGTCTTCAAGATGGGCGTTTGAATCACGTATAACCAGCACTCTGTCTGCCATTGAATATAGATTCCCTGTACTGGTTCAGCGCCTCAAGTCCATGACCTAATAACATTGGACTTACTCGAGTTGCTTATCAAAAGAACTGTGGTTCTCATACTCTTAAACAGCCCCTGGGATCCCAAGAGCTTATTCACTATGCCATCGGTGACGGCCTGATCCAAAGCGCTAAACGGGTCGTCGAGGAGTATAATGCTGTATCGCGAGAAAACTGCGCGAGCAAGTGCCTTTTTTCTTTCGTCAGCGCCTGAGGTAGCGATAAAATTCGCGAAAGACATACTATGCGCTGTCTCTGACCGCCAGAAATATTGATACCGTTGTTCTCGATAAACGTCATGTCACCGCTAGAAAGAACAGCCAGATCCGGAACCAGGCCACACGCGTCGATAACAGTGTTATACCATTCCTGGTCGCCGACTTCTCCTCCACATATAGCATCACGGATAGTGACACTGGGAAGCCAAGGTGCTTGAGAACAGTACGCGATTCTTTTCGATGCCACACAGATTGAGCCAGTTGTCAGTGGGACTTCTCCCAGCATGGCCAGCGCTACTGTCGTTTTTCCACTGCCCACCGCACCACCAACAATAACGAGATCACCCTTTTCCAGGTGAAGGCAGGCACCTTGGATGATTGGCTGGGCCATCGAAGGTGGCTTGATGGTCACATTTTCCATGGCGACTGACTCCTTGACGTCTTCTTCCACCAAGGTCTCCCGAGTATCTTCTAGAGATGGCCGGCTGATGTAAGACTGGACTCGGTTTATGTTTGCCATCATGGCAACGGCACGGGAAATGAAGGTCATGACCATATTCGCTGGATGCGTTACCATTGCGAGCAAAGCGACAGATGTGAAGACTTCATTCGGTTGAAGGACCCCATTGTTCTGCGGTGACATGGCATAAACGACTAGAGTCAAGACGGGGGCAAAAATACCGAGTGCATTTGCTTCGCGAAGTGTCAGGAATGGCCAATATAGGATTAAAATCTGGAGCACGTACCACTTGCATTGTAGGCAACCTGTATCCATCGTAAGCGCTTCGACATGCGCAGTTCCTGGTCGCGCAGATGGGAGATCTGAGAGTGAATGGGGTCCTCCAACCCCATCATTTTAACACTCTTAATCCCCCCGAGAGCAGATGAAGTTGTGGAGATACGTTCCTGGGTGGCCACATTCCAGTCCCTCTGTTTGCCCTGAAGGTGCTTTGCAACATACGCACTGACTCGGGAGCATCCTTCCAAGCTGTTAGTACAGAGGCTTGGAAGTATGCAGGTGGCATTTACCAAAAATGATAAGTAGTGGTAAAAACGCGAACCATCGGATTCTTGCAGCCAACAGCGCTGTTCCAACAACAACTTCCAAGAAGTGAGCCCATGTCTCGTGGAATATCCCACCAATAGATTCTATGCTTTCAATATCAGAAGTCAACAACGCCAATGCTTGGGTGTCTTCGGATCCTGTACTAGGCGCATTGAGAGACTGGTGATGAATGAGACCAATCAATGCTCCACGAACCATGATTTCCAATCGGTCGATCTGATGCTGGTAAACGGCCGTTGATATCTAACTCGATATAAGCTGCGTGCGTGCTATTAGGGGGTGCTCTTCGCTGGCTTACCGCCAATCCCAAATATACCACGCCAGCGAAGGTTATCAACCAAAGCCCATCATGCATATCTGCCTCCTCGGGATGGGAGGTCCTTACAAAGCGGATCGCAACGTCAATTAGTATTGGTTGTGCATAGCGGAACAGAACAACAAAGAGCCGGGAGATCACTGGAGTTAGAAATGCCGACTTCAGACCTCGAACCAAAGACAACGGAAGAGTCCACTGAGTCAATGTTCTAGCTAGGGGGATTGTTAGACAGATGTCATGTGTGGGAGGATGTAAGAAGCTCACATTGAGAGTTCCACGACTTCAAGGCCTCCTTCCGTAGGGTTTCTGACGACAGACTTCTGTGTATGTCCGGCAAGTTGTGAAGGGAAAGATTAGACTTGTAGCCTGCCTTGAGAACTGGGTTGATCCACCAGAAAAATACTCGACTAAAGATGCTGGCAGTGTCTTCTGAACTAGAGTCTTTCTCATGATCAATCGAACTGTTTACTCCACAGTTCCAGATCAGCCATATTGCTTCCAAGCCCGCTCTTAGCTTGACGAAATTGCAATTATAGATCCTCCGGCAATCAGAGCTAAGTCGAAGCTCGACAGCATCGCGCAAAAGCGAAACAGCAAGGAATGCAGTCACAGTGAGAGATGGTTGGACAGTTCGCTTCCGTTCGAGGAGTGAGATGATGAAAAGCCCGACCCCCGCATAAAGTGAGACAAGGACTTCGGCAATGGCAAGGATGTCCCCATACCACGAGTCAGACCAGGCATTCATCGCGACCGACGATTGAAGCGCGAGGAAGACCAGTGGGAAGACCTGGGATTGTAAGTATTCCGCCCACGGACAACAAGCTACAATCTCCCGGAAGCAACTCACAATGCTCAAGTTCGCTTGCCATGAGCGTCCGTCATTCTCGGGGGATTTTCGAAGAAGGTGGATCGTCCGATGCAACAGAAAAGCAAGGACGGATGATAAGACGACTGACAGCCATGATTCCCACGGGCTGCCGAACGGGTCCAGGGAGGCCATGTCCTGTCAGTGCTGGGTGCGATAGGTTAACCACTCAAGCATCACCCCAGCGCTGAAATGCAATTCCCAGGTGCGACCTCCGGGACGCGTCGGAGGGTCTTGGGTGGGAAGAAGGAGGAAAGAAGAGGTCGAAGGCCGCCGTCAATCAACCAATGTCTCGGCCGCGTGATCGCGCCATTGGCACCTCAGGCCAGCCACCCAGCCAGCCCGGTGTTGCAACCCGATTGGGAATAGAGACGTCTCGGTGTCAGAATGCGCAGACCTTTGATACATGACCGGAGCACACAATCGGACCAATCGGACCCGTTCATTTGCTTACCAGCGAGTGAGGACGCGACCCTGCATGTCAGATCAAAACAAGTCCCAATCGCGAATCCTAATTGGTCCATTCGCATGACATTCCACGTGATATCTTGCACATCACGTGCTGATCCTTCTGTTTTCCCCGCCGGCCTCGCATCTTCTGACTTCTTCCTCCAGCATCTTCCCCGGATTTTTCAAGACGCGCCTCGGTCTGGACAGTCCTAGATATTTTTATGGTGTTGTCTAGTACCTAGGCAGTGGGGCGAGTTGTACAAAACTGTGGATCTTGTCGCCGACTTTGAAAGAATTTCATCTGGGAATCCGCTTCCAATTTGTGATATCATTGATTGGAACTTGACTGATTAATACGAAGGGACTGACATGTGGAAAGATCAACGGCTTAGATCAAGAGCTGACACTATTGACCAGTTGTTCGTCCATGTCTTGCACTCCTGAGGTCTTCCGAATGACATTCTTTCAATTATTAGCACTTCCCATCGCATGGAGCTTGATTTATCCCGCCAACCTCAGGACGCCGAAACAAATACGACCGCACCCCCTCGTTCCCTCTCACCCACCCCTTGTCAATCAATCCCGATCAATCTCCACCACCGGACCCGTATATTCATACTTCGCCCAAAAGACATAGTACAGCGTACTAACCAAACTGGTTCCCGCAGTACCCACAACCGCCCAATTCATCGTACTGGGCGTGGGGTTCATCTCATCGGGCCAAAAGCTGAAAAACACGCCGACCGTGAGATACACGACCGTGAATGCATTGATCGCGAGCCCCAAAGCGCCCCGGATGTGGAACGGGCCCCAGGCGAGAGGCGCGCCGGGGGTGTTCACCAGTGTGTCGACGGGCATTTCGGACTGTTCGCGGATTCCGCCCGTGCAGCGCTTCCAGATCAGCAGAAAGGCGGATATCAAGTAGGAGGTGTAGAGGGCGCTGACGCAGAGGGAGACGACATCGTTGAGTACGGCTGCGGAGCCGAGGATGATCAGGGCGAGGAGGACGGCGGCGATAGTCACGACGAGGATAGACCACTGGGGGACCGCTTGGGCGTTGACCTGGTTTTGGCGGTTAGAGGGGGGGGGGGGGTTGATTGTGAGGGAGGGCAAGGGTACATACTCTGCTAAGAAAGCGCCATCCGGGGAGACCACGGTCTCGGGCGAAGGACCATACCATGCGAGAGGAAGATGCCAGGGAGCCTACGGCGGTAGTGATCACTAGGATGGGAACGATGGCGGACATCACGGTACATCCGCCGATCGAGCTGGTGGCTGAACAGAAGATCTCCATGTATGGGTAGCCGGTGGGGGACGCCAGAGCGGCTGTGGCGTCGGTCATGGTGAAGAGAGTGGATAGGGTCATCCCGAAACCTAACAAGCCGTTGATGAGAACCGAGGTGAGGATAGATTGCGGCACGACCTTTTCGGCATCGTGGATCTCTTCACTCATCTGTGGAGCTGTCAGTCAATCAGTCGCGAGAGCGAGGCATGCGACTTACGTGAACCGCAGCATCGGCACCGGTAAAGGCGAACATGTTCCCGACCATGCCGACCAGAAACGACAATCCCTCGGTCTGGAATCCACCATCGTTGGCGAACTGCCCGAACACATCGGAAGCTGAGTTGTGGTTGCCCAGATATAAGAGGGGAATGACGATTGCGAAAAACCCGACGAGATGCAGGATCAGGACAAAACCTTCAAATTTCGGCAGCATGGTACTAGCCATCACGTTGACGAACACTGCAGCAGCTACGATGAACCAGAACAGAAGCACTGCTTGCCAGGCCGTGGGGACGTAGGAAGGGTGGTTCAAGACCACCAGGCCTTGGATCTGCGAGGCGCTGAGATAGCAGGTGGACGCGAACGCACCCAGCCAACCGATGACAATTAACCAGCCTGGAGAGGGCGAAGACAGAGTCAGTCGCAGCGTCCACGATGCGCAGTATGCTGTGGGATGACATACCCGTGAGAAAGCTGAGATATTTTTGACACCACTTAGGAGACATCATCGACACCCAGTGATACTGTCCACCAGATGTCGGGGCCCTGAATAGCCGGTTATTGTGAGTTTGCAGGGGGGTCTATAGCAGAAAGCATACATCGAAACCAGCTCCGACATGGTGAGGAACGTCGAGAAAGTCCCCGCCCAAACGAGGAGGAAGCTGTAAATTGTCCCTGCAGGACCGCCACTGTTCATTCGAGGTTAGACATGCCCGACCCCAACACAGGGCACAGCAACAGGGCAGAACATACTTCTCAAACGGAATCGTGAATGTTCTGCAAACGGATCAGCTATGTTCACACGCACAGAGAAGCCATCGCATCCCAAGAGGAAGCACATACGAAAGAATACCCTCCCAGGAAGCCAAGATAGTGCAACTAAACCCTAAGATGGACAGAAACCCGAAACGACGCTGCAAAGCATTGATCAGTCACGTGGAGAACGCAACCAGGCACGAAAACCCAACACTTGGGTAGACCGACCTACCTTCAGAATCTGTTTCTTGCCCACGCGGCCCAACCCCTGCTCGTCCTGCACACGGGACTGACTGGTGCTGGCGAGCTTCGAGTCCAGCTGCCGATCCCTCAGCTCGATGGGCTCCTGCATACTGGCGGTATTTTCGCACACGACCCCAATAAGAATGGAAAAAGAAATCAGCAAAAGGGATACAACGACGACAAGTAGCGCAGCAACAAGGGCCAAAATAACAATAAATTGAACAAGTACCGGCATGTGTCTTATCAGGTTTTGCACCTTCGCCCCCCTGTCTATTCTCTTCAGACAAGCCCCAATACTGACCGGTGACTGGCCCACGTTCAAAGTTCGACTAACCCCCTAGACCATCAGTTGAGCAATGGGGGGACCCCCCTCCATGCCATAATGACAGACGTCGGCCGGAGAAGGGTTTCGATCACGGAAATGCAATCGTCCCCACCCGGAAGGCCGCATCGCACGGTGAGTGGCGGAGCCTGAAGAACCTAACCGTGCTCCGGGCGATACCACGCAATAGCAGATGGGTCTATCATCGTGTAGACTGTCCGGAAGGGTTAAGCTTTGAGAGTCGTCTCAGATCCTCGATATTAATGCGCGGCTGGATAGGGTTTGCGCTGAAACTAGACCAGAGATTAATATAGTAGGTCGCCATCTCTGCCCCACTGGGCCGGAGGGATTCCACAACTTAAAAAAAGCTAGATATATACATTACCAACAGAAAACGAGATGTAATTAACCGCGGAACGCCCCCCCTTTTTTTCCAATTTTTTTCCCGAATCTCCTGAGTCAGATTTGGTGAGTATCCTTTTCGCAGATCATCCAATCCAGTGTTCATAAGAGAGTATCATGGGACAGATACTACTGCTGCCTAGGACAAGTCATGCAGTTCGTGGCTCTCACCGGACGGGATTTCGAGAATTCGACTAGCGCGGTGATTCTCTGCGGCTTCCGGATGATACTGCTCTTCTACGACCCACTCTACTGTCTCTCGAATGATGTGACTCTGGCTGTTCTGGCTCATGTTGTCGTCGTTCCAGTCGGGCTGTGGCCGATTTGCAAACACCGTCGTGCTGTTGGCGACAGCTGTTCCCGCCAGCCCGCTGAGTTGATGCCCGACGGTCTTTCCCCTGCTCCCATAGTTGTAGTCTCCCTGTCTGGATGTCTCGCCCGGTAGATAGTAGAGCCGGAGGCCAGTGGACTGCAGCCCATCCATGAACGGCTTCAGGTGCGGGATGCAGGCGGCGAGGATGGCGAAACTCTGGATCAACTGAATGCAGACTGCGACTTTCCAGAGTTCCAGAAGAGGATCCTCCGCGTTTTTGCTGGAATCGCGGTACACAAGCTCGACGATGATGGCACCAACAACCCTAGAAAACAAATTTGTATCAGTACCAGCTCACAATGAGACGGGATAACGCAGGTAGCCGACTAACGAAAGGCGCGTGAGAAAACAGCAGATAACGACGACTTTCTTCGAGTCGGCCATCTGGATGTGAAGAACGAGAAGGCTCGGGATGACTATCAACGCAAACTCGGATAATATGTTGGTCACCCCGAAATAGAGCCACCAGGCCTCCTGATCACCCAGTCAGTATGCCACCATGACGGATAACAGCGACAGGACTTTCTCACGCGATCAAAGCAATTGTGTTTGGCCAGATCCCACGGGTTTGGGAAGCCACACTGGAAAGCGAGTGCGAATTCGGCGCTTATAGCCCATACGACGATCAATCCGGTGAACACCCATTCCATCTTCCGAGTGCGCTGCATGAGAAAGGTCATGAACGCCAGAGCGCTCAGTTTGGCGAAGGACAGGCTGATGATATAGAGCAGGTACGCGGCATACAAGGCCTAGATATAGCCCGATGTCAGTTGGATGGTGAACATCAGCTGTTATCTCAATTGGCAGGGCACATACCTTCAGGGCTGTCTCTATCTGCTCGTCCGACGAAGCACTCTGTTCTGTGCCGTAGCCATTGTGGACAGCAATGGAGATACACCCTGTCTGTAAAAAACTAATAACCTGTATGCCACACCGCGAAGGTTAAACATCGTGTTGTGTGCAGTGGAACTCGCAAGCACAGGAGATGACTAACCAGCGAAACGAAGATCAAATAATCATCCATCGAGAATCGCCGGGTAATAGCATACTTGATCCCCAGCCGTGCAGCCCCAGCCAAGCTCGAGATCACCAGAAGCAGCCAGGCCAGGATCCCGATGATGGGCGACCGATTAGTGTCTGTAACGACAATCATCGTTGCTGCTGCTGCTGCCGCTGCTGCTGCTGCGTGTGCTCAACCTCATCTTCCAAGTCCAAATCCAAGACGAGAAGAAGAGCGATAAAAGGAAACATACGGAACATACGGAACATACAACGGTACAGCCAAGGAATCGCATGCAGTGATTTCTGCCTCCGCTGAAGTATAAGCTGTCTCAGCTTGCGGATCGACATGGTGGAAGGATGCGGGTGGAGGGGGCTAGAGGGCCTAGGGAGCAGTAGTTGGCTCCTAACCGTCCCGCCCTTCCAGACTCGGCACGGTTTAGGGTTGGACGCCGCATCCCGTCCCCTTACCCGGTGGGGATGCCACGAATGGTCTCACTGCACTATGGGGGAACTTCGGAGAAGTCCCGCGACGGGGGTAATCTCAAATCGAGAAAATATCGAGCTGTGGTTGGTCGGATTCGTCTTTGGTGAACGCAGAGTAACTCGATAGACGTACATAGACCACATGTCTATAGCTACGCCAGCCACTTCGAGACCCCCGGAAACCAGGCTGAGACCAATAAGAAGCAGAAAGGATACGCTATCATTCACTCGCATCCCCACTCCTTTCGTCGTCGATCGAATGACATGATTGCTTGTGAACATTAAGCTCATTTTCCGAAATTCTGCCCGTCGGGCAGACGACTGTCGCAAGCCATGTCGATAACTTCTCAACTATCTAGTCACTTCAGCCCTCGCAAAGGAAGGCACTAGCCACTCACCACAGCCTCAAATCCTTCCCCCGAATCCTTCATCCTGCAGGACAACCATCCAGGGTATGTATCATATGATATCGCCTAGTCGTTAGCCGGGCTTAGCGTCACCTCGTCTCACCCTCACCCCTCGCTCACTTCCCTCGAACCAAATATCCCATCACCCATCCCATCACCCACCCATCAACCCCCCCTCAATCCATCAAATCAGCCATCAGCCACCAACCATGACAATCCCAATCCAAGAAGGCACCATCCCCTTCCACCATGCCACTCTCCCCACGGCCGCCCAAACCTGGTACCGGGTCTACGGCGACCTGAAGGGTGACACCACGCCCCTAGTAGCCCTGCACGGCGGTCCCGGCTTCTGCCACAACTACATCCTGCCGGTGTCCGGACTCGCCCCCTCGCGGGCGGTGATCCTGTACGACCAGATCGGAAACGGGCTATCCACGCACTACCCGGAGAAGCGCGGCGACCCGGGCTTCTGGTCCGTCGATCTGTTCATCGCGGAGCTGGAGAACCTGCTACGCCATTTTGGGATTGACGGGCACTTCGATCTGCTAGGCCACTCCTGGGGCGGCATGTTGGGGGCGGATTTTGCGATCCGTCAGCCCAAGGGCCTGCGGCGGCTGGTTCTCTCCAATGCGCCCGCGTCGGTCAAGCTGTGGCTGGAGTCGGTGCATCGGTTGCGGGCGACATTGCCGCAGGAGACGCAGGACACGTTGAAGAATTGTGAAGATGAAGACAGGCTTGACGCGGCGGAGTATGAGAATGCGACGATGGCCTTTCTCTCGCAGTTTTGTTGTCGCGTGCAGCCTTGGCCGGAGGAGCTTATGCAGAGTGTTACTTGGGCGTCGCAGACGGATCCGACTGTTGCTTTGACCACGTATGCTTATCTCTTCTTCCTTCCCTTACAGCCTTAGTTTGGGATCATATTCTAACGATAGCAGACTCGGTCCGTCCGAATTCCATGTTACGGGCTCCCTGAAGGACTGGAGCGTGCTGGACACCCTCCACAAGATCAAGGTGCCCACTCTGCTGATCAATGGCAAGTACGACGAAGCGCAGGATAGCGCAGTGGAACCGTTCTTCCATGGCATCGACAAGGTCAAGTGGGTCACGTTCTCTGAAAGCTCGCACTGCCCCCAGTTGGAGGAGCGGGAGAAGTATCTCCAGATTGTGGGCGACTTCCTGGGCCGTGCGTAGCGGCAGATCGAGCCTGTCATGGGAACTGTCTGTCAATGTCAATCCGACCTGTTCTATACCATGGTTCATGGGTGAAGGTTCCTGTATGGTGGCAGTAGTTGCGCAAACGCCCGGGTTCAATCTTTGTCTCTGCCACTGGCACCCCATAGGTTAGGGTACAGCCTTCGCGGTGTACCGAAATTTGGAGGCTGGAGGTTGGCAGATAATCACGTCTTCTGCCACTTCAGGCTTCCTATACTGTAACTATCCCCGAGTAAGCTCAGAGAAGCATCGCACTGGGCTCCACAAGCATCACGACCATGACTCGGTCTGACCTTCTTGACTATTTCTCTTTGGTTCCAACATCACACAGGTCAACCCAAAGCGTCAATTTCTGACATTCATCCAACCCAGTGCGACAAGCAACTCGATCATGTTTTGACAGAGGCCCAGGCACTCATAACACCCTGCAGAATCGAAAATTCCAGCATTCCACCCGATAACCCGGCCTTGCATACGGAGGAACCGAAACCGCTTTGCGGAAGAATCGCCATCCTGGGAGCCCATCTCATCAATCAGCGGCCAGATTGCAATATCAATGATCTTTGGATCATGATTGGCCTTCTCATTGAGATTCCCGGATAGCGTCGGTGTTATCAGCAAGCTAAGCACCAAGATGGCCTAGTCTGGCTGATCTGACTCACCACATGCATCTGACAGGAACGGAGTCCGACGAACATGCATCCGGTCGACTGTCAGCAATCATATCAGCAATCAATATAAAAGACCTAGAAACCACCCCTCAATAAGCCGTAACCAGACAAATAACCCTCGGAACCCCCAATCTAGTACAGTCCAACTCGACTCCAGCCTCAAACCACTCACTACTTCCCCTACATCCACCATGTCCACCACATTCACCCCACCCCCATCATTCAGCATCCCCACCTCACGACTACACATCTCGTACCTGGAGCCCAACAACCCCACCCACAGCGCCTTCGTCCACCACCTCTGGAACACCGACGACTTCATCCAAGCCGAAGGGCCCACGGGGCTCGACACCCCCGAGAAGGCGGCCAAGTTCATCGCCACGCGCGTGCAGTCCGACTACAACCGCAACAAGCACGGGCAGATGCTGGTCTCGCTCAAGCCCTATCCGGATGCATCGCTCGCCGAGAGCAAGATGATCGGGATGGTGTCCCTGATGAAAGGGGAGCCGCCGAACGCGTACACCCAGCCCGACGTGGGGTACACGATTCTGCCCGAGGAGAGTGGGAAGGGGTATGCGACGGAGGCGGGGATCGGGTTGATCGAGTATGCGCGACGCGAGCTGGGGGTGGAGGGGGTGTTTGGGTTCTGTAGGGTTGATGCGGCGAGGAGTCGACGCGTGCTGGAGAAGATTGGGCTGGAGTTTCGCGGGGAGAGGAATTTGAGGGTGTTTGGGGGGGCGAGGAGTGCGGTTTATGCGCTGCCGGGGATGGGGGGGGATTTGACGGTGTATGGGATTGATGATTAGGGATGGGGATGGGGATGTTAGGGCATGGCGTGGAGTGTTGTTTACTTGCTTTGTAAATAGTTGCCTTGGACGAGTGTCGAATATAACCAGGCAGTCAACAACATCTGCACGGTGATCCGCTGGGATGCACTCCCAACTGGCCACCAGATGGCCGATAAATACATATATATTATATCCGACAATCCGGCGTCCCAACTCATGGGCATCAGCATCATCTTCTTGCAACCATCTGCCATCATGGTGGGGACGGATCCAGATCTCCATCAATTTCTTCACCCCCTGCGAATTGACCATCAAACCCTCTATCGACTATCATATTGTCTATCCCACTCGTACCGTGAGCTCGCCGCAAACTCATCGGACCAGTTCTTCCCCACCGCCATTACGCGCCTACCAACGGGATGTGAGAGACGGGTCGTTCTCTGGCAGTCTACCTCGGTCTCTCATACCTACGGGTGGCCTTCATCGAGCTCCTGGGCGACTAGCAGGTCGGCAGACAGCCTCAGGTGCGAAGAACGCTGGAAAAGGCATCGCGCATCGAAGAGCGTCTGCGACGAGACCAGGCCGAGTCTCTCTTTGCCTGGATCGGGGACTGCATCGCCGAGGTTATCGCCGACGATCTGGCGAATTCCAAAGATGGAGAGCCATCCATCGACCCGACCACGGGGATCTCCTTCTGCTTCCCGATCAAATAAGCAGGCAGAATCCTCACCCATCTTCTGTTGGGGTGAGTCCGGCGTGGGATTGAGACGTGAGATGATGAAGTCACAGAAGGGTTGGTGTTTATTGTCTTATGGATGCCCTCAGAAGGGGTTGTGTAGTATACTGGATAGGCAATAGTGGAGTGACACCAGCTATAGTATGTCAACTTGTTCCACCCCACCCTGTCCAGCCATCACCCCAGCAGCCGCGAGAAGCGGTCTTGAATCGGTTCTGTCACTCGGGAGTTTTGAACATAAGACTCTGCCAATCGGGGTGGTGCATATCGAACACAACATATCTTGTTTCAGAGTTCCAACCAAGGCCTCAGTGTACGGAGCATTGCAGGCCTTTGACGACCCCCCGGACGGTAAAGACAAATCTACTCGGCCCGGGCCCTCTCTAAGTTCTCTTCACCTGATACCCAGATCGGAGATTATCTGCCAATTGTTCATTGAGAATTAGTTGTCAAGGTTTGGATGACCAGTTTACTTGAGAATTGGTGAACGCTATTTCCGTTATTGACGCTGACTTCCAAAGATAGAAAATCGGGTTGACAGGGCCTGGACAGTCAAGCAACCCCCCCTGCATGGACGAAATCCTCAACAGTAGGGCAATGTACTAACTCAATACATGCCCTCCCCATCGTCAGACTCCCTTCCGAGCCCACCATGGAGGAGAGACCAGAAATTCGTATCCACCCCCTGGAACGGCCAATCGCTCGCCTCAGCAGTAAGACTAGGAAACTCAGGATGGTCTCCCAGGCTGTGTGGCTCAACGTGTATGAACATATTCTCCACCTGACCATCCAGCTCCAAACCGGAGGGACCGAACTGCTGCGGGATACCCGGTTCTTGTAGACTTGAGCGCTCCTCAGCATGTCTCAGGTCAGATATCTGCAGCGTGCCCTGTCCCTGTTTGGGATTTACGCAGATTCTGACCACACCCAGATACGGAATGTCCAGTTGAACGGTATCGCTTTCTGCCCCGGTCGCTAGAGCCACTCTCTCCGGTCCATCGACAGCGAGCACAGGAAGCAACTGACCGATAATGCGTGCCGATTCCTGCGACAGCTTATCCTGGTTCAGCATCGCCACCTGCTCCATCCTCTCCTTGACTCTACCAACCAGGACTCTATCCTCCTCCCGCTTGTCCTCAGAACCGGAAGTCTTACCCGGGAGGCTCTGCCCCCGAACCAAATAACTAAGCAACAGTGTCATCGCCGCGATCGAGCCCGAATAATCGATATGCCGACACGCAGACACCGACTCGACATCCGTTCTAAACGCGATAAACCGGCCCAAAACCTCCCGGCTCGAGCGAATACACGTCGCCCTACTATAGCTGTAGCGATGCTCCGCCGGCTCCCGCAGCAGGTAGGGCAGATGCAGGACATTGACAAGACTGTAATGGCAAATATGTCGCATGAGGCGCTTCAGGCGCTCGAATCTCTGGTAGGTGAATTCGCTCGGCATGGAGGTGGGATCCGCCCACCAGGCGTGACCCAGACGCTTTGCAGCGGCGTCAAGATCATAGTCGATTGCCTGGGTAGTCAGGAACGCCTGGTGGGGGTCCTGGAGGTTTCGGTCGGAAATGCGCGCGGATATCACGGAATGAATCTTTTCCAATCTTTCGTCGGGACCGTCGTCCTTCATGGCCTCCTCGGACGCGAAGCTGTCGTCCCGCATATCGATGCGAAGACCGAGAAGTAGCGAGAAGTATCTATCTGCCGAGACGATGAGATACCATGCTCTATTGACGGAGGCGGGGCTGTGGGTGTTGTGCGACTCCCGACCATCCCAACTCGCGGAGGCGACGTTGCCAGGCCCCACGCCAATCAGCTGCGCGACGCTCAGCGCTCTCCGGAATATCAGCCAGGCCTTGCGCAGATTGCCCGCATTCAAGAGCCAGTGGCCGTGGAGGATGGCGCATTGAAGCCCTTCTATGCTTCCGATCATGTCGTCGTTGGAAATGATCGTGTTCGACACCGTGGAGACGATGTTGAGCATGGTGTCCGCGACGGGGAACGTGAGGGCAAGGGATTTTGTGTCCTGGGGGCTGAGGTGTTGGATGCAGATGGCGAACTGGAGAAGGCTTCGCGCGAGGACAGCAGGGGGGTTGGTGATGTGTGGAATGGGGATTCGTGCGGCAGGGGATTCGATTCTACCTGTCACCGTGGCAGCCAGCATGGTGGTGATCCACTCTGTCCCGGGGCTGGAGCCTGTGATCAGATCGATGTCGTCCTGCGAGGGGAAGAGTGCGTGGAGTTGCTTGGAGAGTAGTTCCTCCTTGTTGGTTCCCAGGACGGAGCCGCCGAGTGAGTCGTAGGACCAGGTGCTCGACCGTGAGGTCAAAGTCGTGGGCGAAACATTCCGTGGCCCTAGCAGCTGGTCGATGGGCGTTCCGTCAATAACGGTGGTCGTCCCTGATCGGTGTCTGGGTTCATCGTATCCATCGGCCTCCCGCCGTCTCAGGATGCCCTCATCCGGAAGGATCCGATCGACGAGCCGCTGCATCATCTCTTCCAGTCGGTCGATGCGCTGCCCGTGCCTTCGCTCCCGGTGCTGCGGGACGCCGTCCGGATCGACCGAGTCCTGCCGCCGACAGACCGTTCCTCGGAGACTACATGGAGTGCAGACGGAGGTGTTGGTGGACGGGAACTGACAGCGCACCTTGCGCCTTCGACCTGCATTCTTCGGTGATTAGCGCGGGGGTGGTGGAGATCCATCCATCTTCACTCTCATCGGTGGCAGGACTCACATTCCCAGCAACTGTGGGTGCCTTTCCGGGTTCTTCTCTGCCCTATGCCGCGCACTGCAGCGTCCGAGGAAGAGTGACTGGCCATTTTGAGATATTAGACACTGACGAGGGGGAATCACCTCCTGGGGCTTCTGATGGAGGGGAAATGCGGGCTGTGTTGGGTTGTTGTCCGTTCGGCCTCCGCCACGGACGAATCCTTCAAGTCCGTTGTCCGCGCCCGTGTCCGTCCGTTCCGGGCTGGCCATCGGTACTCCGTAGAAAGTTGAGAACAATAATGGGTGGACTCCGTAATTAATGTAAGCAACGATATACATGGGGAACATGAAAGAAAAACAACATCAAGACGCCTTCGCCCACTTATTCCCATTCCAAACGTCCGCCGTCGTCCACAACCAATAATCCCTCCCCTTGGCCAACCACACCAGAAAGCTCGGTATCTGCCATCCCATCACCTCTCCCACGCCCTTACTCCGCCCGATCGGCACGATCTGGCTCGTGCGCGTATCCTCGGTGAACACCCGGTCGCTGCCAGCAGCACTTCCCTCCTTTCCCTCCGCCAACAACAAATCCCGTTTCACATTCGCACAAAGCACTGGAATACAGGAGAAGATAGCTATAACGGAATTGGCTTGCACGTTCGACGCCACGTCCCCAACCGCATAGACCCGCGGGCCTGCCTGATCGACACGACACGTGTGGTCGGTTTGGACGCGGCCGTCGCGGGCCAGGAGCGCCGCGTCCAGGAACCCCGAGTTAGGGCTGATCCCGGTCGCGGGGATGTAGATATCGGGGGTGAGGATTGAGCCGTCGTCCAGAGTGAGGGTCGCCTTGCTGTCAACGATCGCCATGCCTGCGTCCGGCGGAGAGACGGTTTGCACTCTCGTGTTCGTTTTCACTGTCACGCCGACGTCGGCGAGGAATTTCTCTGCCTTTTTCGCGATGGCTGGTCGCAGGACGGGCAGGATCTGGGAGCTGGACGTGACGAGGGTGATGGGGACTTTGGGGTTGGAGTTGTGGCAGCCCGAGCGCCCGTTGAAGTGTTCGCCCAGCTCGCCGGCGATTTCGATCCCGGTTGGACCGCCCCCGGCGACGACGATGCTCTTGGCTGTTGGTAGAGCGGCCCGGAGGGCAGTCCACTGCTCACGGAGGAAGGATTCATCGCGGTCGAAGCCCATGAGCGGCGAGGTGGTCGATGAACCGGTGGCGATCACGATCGCGTGGAAATCGATCTTCTGTGTGTCGCCGTTGGATTGGATGTCGACGGCCCTGTTGCTGTGGTCGAGCTTGATTGCAGTGCCCTGGACGAACCGGAAGCGGCCTTTGGGGTATTGTTCGAACAACGGGGCAATGTTGACGAAGAGTCTGTCTTGTGGGAACATGTCGTCCGATATCATTGCGCGGGGACAGGCAGGTCGACACATGGTCTGAGAGGAAGTGCTGACAAGGACGATCTGGTATGATTCTGGGGAGGGGAGCGTGGGAAGAACATGTCGGAGGAGGTAGTGGGCTGTGGATATGCCGCCGTAGGACCCCCCGAGGATGACGATGTTTTTGTGTTCCATTTTGACTGTGGAAGCACGGTCAGTTTTAGAGAGTAAAATAAATTCGCATGTCTCAGGGGGTGAATAGGAAATTAAGTGGCGTTTAAATAATTGTTCCAAATTTCCCTCGGACGCCGAACGGACGGACGAACAACGGCTGAACAGGCCGAAGCGGACCAACCCTGCGAGGGTACCCGAATATAGTGCAATCTGACATATCGATCCTCTATGAACACAGGCGATCTTAACATAAACACACTAGTATGAATCACAGATCCTTCAACTCCTTCATAACAACGTCGAGATTCTCCTCCTCCAGCCCAAGAGCCTTATTATCCAGCGCCACCCGGGCCTCATAGTCTCCTCCCGCATTATCCTGGAAGACATGCCCATAGATCAGATGCACGACACCCTCCGTCTCACCCTTCGCAAACAGCTCTTTTCCTCTGCGGAGCTTATCCTCAGTGCTCTCATGGGTAGTCTTCCAATCACCATCCGCCGTCTCGGTCGCAACCTGTGCACTCTCGAGAAGCTCAACCTGCGAGACCCGGAAAGACGATATATACACCAGTCTGTTCGCAAAGTTCCTGCGTTTCTCTTCAGGGAGGGCGAGTAACCTCGCCACGGCGGACCCAATCAACGCCAACGTCGTAATATTAACCTTGACATTCCCACCATCAAGAAGCACGGCGCTCTTCTCCGCGATGTTGATGCCGAGAACACCCCGGGGAATCGACTTCTCTCCCACATCACATTAGAACAAGCACAAAATATACCGATCCAGGATTGAAACCCCACTACCCACTCACCCAGTCCAAAATAAGCCCATTCACAACCGCCGACCACGCAAATCTCCCCCGCGTCTCCTCCGCCTTCTTCCTCAAATACTCCTGAATCTCAATCTTCGGCGGAATAATCGGCACATGAGCCGAATACTCCGGATTCCCACTATCCGTGCCGAACTCGCTGGGGAAGATCCATTTGACGCCGGCGAGGATCGCGGCGTCGATGAACGGGATCTGCGTCGATGGGACTAGGGTGCCCACGCAGAGCACGAGGGCGTCGATGCCGCTCAGGCTGTCGCGGAGGAATTGCGTGTCCGCATAGTCCCCACGGAGGAGTTTTACGTTGTCGGGGAACTGGGCGGTCGAGGTTGAGCGCGATATGGCGGTGACGTCGAAGTGCGAGGAGGAGATTAGGGTTTGGAGGATGGCGCGGCCGATGCTGCCGCTTGCCTGTGGGGATAGTTAGTGGTTGGTTATCTTGGGTCAGGGGGCGGGGCGGTGATGGGACGGGATGGGGCTCGTACGCCCACGATGGCGATTGTTTGGAAGGACATTTTCGATTGTCTTGACGGTATCTTTGTGTTTGGATCTCGGGATTTCCGATTGAAGTCTTTCTACACTTGAAGATGGGTCGAGAATGGTCTTCAGCCCTTTTTATACTATGTACCTGGCTGGGCTTGTGGGTATACTACCGCAAAAGATAGTGTTTGCTATCCGAGCAAACAGGAATCAAACAGATCAAACTGCCGATCAAATGCTTGAAAAGCCTCTTTGCCCCATCAGATATCAGTAATGTGAGTGCGGGTCAAGCATAATGTTTCGGCTAGTTCATACGAGAATAAGCGCGGTGGGGACGGCCACAATTCGTTTGTTTGCACACAAGGGAAAGCTCGGTTTCGCTTGGCCGAGATAGATCGCGGTTTCCGGCATTGCTACTGGTGGATCTGCATTGTGGCTATGGAGGGGCTTTGGGGTCGTAAGGCCTCGGATCATGGCCCTGCCCCCGGCTCGGGTTCGGGTTCGATGCTTTAAGGATCACATCAACAAGACCTTTGCTGTGCTGATCGACACAGAACAGACATTTTACCTGACTTCACCCGCCTAGAGTGCAACCATGGTTCACAGCAGAGGAGATATAAAGCCTGCACAACTTCTCATGATGATGATTCTCAAACCATTTTCCCCTGCATTCTTTTTTTCACGCATACAGCCGGTTCAAAACCAATCCAGCACCCCGCAAAATGACTCCAAGTGAATCTCTCGCCGCAGCCAATCTGGGTTTCTACGCCATTGTCTCTCTCCCGGCCCTCTACTGCTTCATCATGCATGGCAAACATGGCCTAGCGGCCTGGGTATATGTCCTGGCTATGTGCGGTCTTCGACTGGCCGGCAATGCGATTTCTCTGCATGCCTATGAGCACAACCAGGTCAGCACGGTCGCTGCGATTATCAATGGCATTGGACTTTCGCCCCTTCTGATCGCGGCTATGGGACTTCTTCGTGAATCGTGCGTATATCCTCGGTTCACAATAGCATCTTGTTCTAATCCGTCCGAAAGTAACCACTCCATCCAACAATCTCTCTCTTCCCCCCTCAACACCTGGGGCTTCCTGATCGCACACATCGTGATCGGAGGCGGTATTGGACTCGCCGCCGCCAGCAAAGCCAACGAAACCATCCTGAAGGTCGGGATGATTTTCTTTGCGACTGGGTGGACGATGGTGTGCGGACTGGTGGTGCTCTCATACCAGGCCACTTCTCACCGTCAGCGACTAAGCGACGAACGAAAGGTCAGTCTTATCTCTAAATATCACACCGGACTTTCCCTAACGGAAGTAGATTCTGCTGGCTGTCACCATCGCCATGCCACTTATCGGGATCCGGATCATCTACGCCATCGCAACCGTGTTCAGCAGCTCCGGCCTGGAAGGTGGGAGTTTGGCCGTGCGAGTCATCTTCGGTACACTGCCGGAGTACCTCACGATGCTCGTGTACATCGGGGTTGGAATAGCGACACGGAATCTGGCGCGGTCTCGTCTCGAGCCTGCGGAGAAGAGCCAGTCTAGTGGCGTCGGTGCCTAAGAAAAAACAACATCTCATATCTCATGTTCCATAATGACAGTAATCCCAAATATAAACAACCAATCCTGTTCACAACCCCATCCCCATTCCCACACCCGACTTGCCCTCCCCCTCCCATCCATCCCACCCTACCCTCGTAACCCTCACCGGCCACTCCAACACCCCCCTCCACTCGACCGGCAAAATACCATAAATCCCCCTGACCTCCCTCTCCGGAATGCCCCTCAACCACCAAATATCCTCCGCGGCCTTTCCCAGCGCAAACAAATACGCGAGGATGGCCAACGCGCGGGGCCTCTTCTGCATCAACGCAACCATATACGCTTGGGGCGCCATGGGGGCAAACGACGAGAACCGTTTCCGGATATCATAGACACACTCGTGGCTCTTCACGCCCTTATACATGTTCTCGAGGTACGCGACACACAGATCGTAAACGGCCATGAGCTCTGCGGTCTCGTTGTCGGGGTCGGGGTTACATGTGAGCAGGTGGGCGAAGGGGCGGGTGGGGTCTGCGTAGGCGGTTTGGGTGGCGACGTCGCCGTGCACGATGGGCCGGGCGACGAGGAGGGGGGAGATGCGCGCGCTGGACGCTACGAGGCGGTGGTAGACGAGGCCGATCACGGCGCGCATGCCGCGTGACATGTTGAGCCAGAGGATCGGGGGGGAGTAGGGTTGGGGTTGGGGTTGTGATTGTGATGGGGAGGGGGAGGGGAGGGGGAGGGCTCGGAGCGGAGCATGAGTGAGTACATGGATAGCAGGATGGTGTTCATGCAGAGGGTCTCGGAGATGGTGGAGACGTTGAGGCGGGCGATGTCTGTGCGGTGTTGGCGGAGGGCGCGGTCGATGTGCGAGCGGTGCACGAGGCGGAGGGCGTCGGCTTCGGATGGGATCAGGGATGCGCGGTGCGCGGCCGCGACGGCCAGGACTGTGTGCAGAAGGGGCTCGTACTCGAAGGCCATTTCCGGGACTGCGACCTGCCACATGGCGCCGACATTGGGGACGTGGGCGGTGCCCATGGTCCGTGCTGTGGCGGTGACGAAGTGGTGCATGAGACGCAGGTCGGTGGTGTTGAGAGGGGCCACTTCAGGGGATGGCAGGCCACGTGCGAGTGTTGGTGGTGGTGAGCGTCGCTGCAGGGTCCGCGGCTGGGTGTAGGCGCGTGTCTCCAGGGGGGGATACTCGCAGGGAACGCCGTGGCGCTGGCAGCTGGAGCATTGGGGGTGTTGCTCGTTGCACTGGGGTTGTTAGCTGGGAGTAGATGTGTAGGGAAGAGTGGGGATACCTTGACCTTGCGGGCCTTGCAACGGCGACAGCCGCGGATGGACTTGCGGTGTTCGAGGCGAGGGGCCATGAGGATTGAGGCTCGGATTGATGCAGTGGAAGGGGAAGGAGATTGTCAGGCTAAAGTGGGGGAGCGAAGCGCTTGTCAATGCTAGACGACTAGCGCAAGGCTGTCCATCGGGGCGCAGTGGGATTGTTCTCGGGCTCGGATGGCTCGTCTTGTAGGGTTAGCGCAGAGGGCCCCGATCGGGAAGGGATGGACGTGGCCTTGCGGATAAAGACCAGCGCGACCCCCAGGTGGAATTTTCTTCATCGACAATTGCGAATCATTCCTTCTCTCTCAAAAGCCCCAAAAGTCCATTGAGTTCTTGCAGATTACTGTCAACCATCATGGGTCTCATCAAAACCGGAATCCAATTGGCTGGCGCTTACGGTCTGCTAAAGGCAGGGTCCAAGTATGTGGATCGCATGCTTGACATCATTGGACAGACGCTAATCTTCTACAGAGCCATCAACGAACATCAAGACAAGAAGCAAAGCCAACAGCCCAACACAAGTCAGCAGGGTCATCATTGCTCATGCCACCACCATCATGAGCAGCCGCCATACCAACAGCAGCCTCCGTACCCTCAACAGCCTCCATACCCGCACCAGCCCCAATACCAACAAGCTCAACAGCCTCACCCTTCGCACTACCACGCTTACGACCCTCGCATAAACCCCAACCCGGCTCCTTACTACCCTCCCCCTACCAACGACCAACACGCGATGGTTCAGCCTGCTGGTCAACCCCATTCTCAGCCGAGTGGACGATAGATCATTCACCAGCGCCTTGGATTAAATGTATCGATTTAGCGGCATGGTCGGCGTTCTATACAATTCGGAGGATTACCTTCTCAAGCAGGTCTTTCCTGGTCAATTCCTGTACCTCATTTATTATTTCACTGTTAAATCGCAAGTCACAACCTCATTTTACCAACATTCATTCACCAACAAATTAAAAAATGACTATAATAGTGAACTCCATATATTAGCTTCAAAGGGCCAACAAGTAACAAATCATACAGCGCATTCTAGTTAATCCACACCCCACAACCAAACATTGAAAAAAAAAAAAAAGAAAAAAAAGAAACACATCGAAGACACCCCCTTCCGCAAAAACAACCCCATTCAACCTACTCCGTATAACCCGGCGGCTGCGCACTAACCCTCCTCTCCAACGCCTCAAACTCCGACATACTAACATCATACCCCAGATGCCTCTTCAACAACTCATGCGTGACAAACCTTTCCGGAGTATTCCCCTGTGCATCCACAAACGACACATGGGGATTGACCTCACTAATGCGCTGCAGCTCATTCGCATGGCGATGGTGATGCGGACACCCATCCACCCCGATCAAAAAGATCGTAACATGCACCCACGACAGCCCCAACAGCTCAAGCTCGAATTCATCCATGTCCGTCGCTTCACCGTCCAGGAGCAGAAGCAACCTGAGCATAGGCGTGCGGGGCCCCGCCTGCCACCCATACACAGGATGGTAGGTAGCGGACTCGTGGTGGCGCTGGAAATGCAACTCCTTGGCCTTTTGCCAGCCGGTCATGACGCGCGTTCCACCGCCGACTTTAATGCTGTCCCAGGTGGACGGGAAGTTATAGTGGTTGATGTAGCCGATGTAGGAGGCTGTGCTGGCGAATGTGACCAGTTGGTAGCCGATTGCGTTGTTGTCGTGGTTGGTCATGGCGTCTGTGAAGCGGCGAATGATGGATTTGGCGAGTTCTGACGTTAGCAGATCGGAATGAATCAGCATTATTATCCCAGTGGTGTCCGATGGACCTGCGAATGGCCGTGGGTTGCGGTTGCGTGCATATGCGTACCTTTATTCTTCGGCTGCGTCGACTTCTCCCACCCGGTGATAAGATACTTATCATATGTCGGCCTCATGGGCTGGAAATCCATCGAGCCCGAAACATCCAACAGTATCATGGTATTATCCGTCGCGTCCTCGGGCATATCGACCGCGCGAAACGGCGCCGGCATGACCTGCCTCGAATACCCCTCCGACGTATGCAGCACATGGCAGGCATCATCCGCCGAGAAGTAATCCGGCGGCGGCTCCACGGCCGACTCCATCCTCGCCCTGGCCAGATCCAGCGCCGAAATGAAATCCGGCTTCAGGCGAGTCCCCGTATTGCCCGCCCGATGGTTCAACACCCAATACAGCCGCTCCTCCGCCGTATCTTCATATCCTCTCCACGCAGGCGTGATCCCCCTCCACCCCGCCTGCGCATCGACCCGGAACTTCAGCGGGTTGGAGACCCGATTCGCCCACGACACCGGGATGGGCTCGAAGTATCCCGCCCGCAGGAGGTGGAGGTACTGCAGGGGACGCTTTGCGCGCAGCTCGGCGATTTTCTCCGTCATCCCGACTTTGGCCTGGTAGGTTGAGACGATCTCGCGCCATCCGGCGTCGGGCCAGCGCCCGGCTTCTTCGGAGAGGATTTCGGCGCAGAGGTCGCGGTGGCGGAGGTTGGACTTTTCAGTTCTCAGGATGGAGCGGCCTTCAGAGGCGCGCATCGATAGGGCTTTTTTGAGCCCGGCGAGTTTCGAGGCCTTGGGTGGCTCGCTGGCTGCGGCTGGCTGGGCGTCGTCCGCTGCGGGCGCGTCGGGCTCGTCTGTCTCCCAGATGTTGTATTTCGGTTCCATGTCATTGACGGCGGCTTGGGCTTTCGCGTTGAGGGTCGTGTTCAGTTGAATGGTTTGCTGAACGGCCTTGGAGTAATACGTTGGATTGGGTCTCTGGAACTCCCAGGGGTTGAGCCCATACGGCGATATGACGGTGCTGTAGGGATTGCCGCTAAATACGGTGACTGAGAAGCAGTCGTGGTAGGCCCTTTCTCCTGTTCGGGCGGGAAGTCCATGGTTAGAGGAAGTTCATCGCAGTTGGGGTTCGAGAGAAACGGGAGACCAAGCCAAGGGGGGGGGACAGGTGCAGACCTGGGTACATGACAGCCTTAGACCACATCTCCTGGACCTTCAATCGCTTCATCTTCTTGTACATGTACTGGTGAACTTCGCACGAGCAGCTAGTCTTCTGGGTATCGTGCTCTGGCTCGATATCGGAATTGTAGATCATACACACGCGCTGGGTGTGCTGGAGCATGTTCTGCATTTGTTGCTACGCCGAGGACAAAAATTAGGGCAAGCGCGCTGCAAAGGAACCAATGAACACATGTCAATACCTCATCCTGGGCGCGGACGTTCGCCGCCTCAATGACCTTGTTGGTATGTGTTTGAACGGGCAGATTATTCTGGATGCTAAAGACCTCATGATACGACGGCGGAGGCAGCGGCGCGGACGTCCAAGTCTCCTGGGTCGAAATCTGCGGACTATCCTCGCTCGGAAACAGGCCATGCGAGTACTTATTGGGGTTCTCATAATACTGCGTGAGCGCGTCGTCGATGTTATCCGCCGCCTTCAACCAACGAACGAGCCACAGATCAGCAAACCCGCTCACTTGCTGGTCGGGACACCCATGATTATGTATGTCCAAGTGGGTAAGAGTCATATCTTGCCTGCAGAAACCTCAGCGCAGTGCCCTCGGTGGCATTGGAGGCGATGGAGACGAATTTGACGATGTCATCTTCGGTGGGGATCATCGTGTCGTGATAGCGGATGACTTGACGGGGTTCGTTCACTTCACGGACATCGGACATACACGGGGTGTGGGTGGGTAGGGATCAGTGCGTCTTTATGAGGGGCCCATTCCGTTATCAGTGGCTAGCCCATCTATCTATCTATCACGGGCGTTGCGCCATGAGGGATTTATTCCACGTGGATTGGATGCTTCCCTTCTTCCCCGGTCTTCTTAGCTCTGCTTAGGTCCTGTCACGGGCGCAAGGGTGGCACTGCGGATTGGCTGCGCCGTATATTGGCGCCGTGGATGGCAGGCCGGTTGCAAAGCTTGTCTTAGGTCGGTGCTCTTGATCGCGTCCCACGCGTGACTGCGTCGCGAGGGCGATTGCGAGCCGATTACCCGAGCTAGTAGATAAGAGGTGGTCTGACTTGGGAGATGGGAGGGATATTTTGTAGTGGGTGATATTTTGTCTTCATCGACTTGCGAGGTGGCAACATATTAAGTGAATCTCAGGGTTTCAACAACTCTGCCCTACCTAATCTACTCCGATGGCAGTCCTCGGCAAAACCGATGGAGTGATATTCACCACAAGCAACCTGGTTGCTTTTCCATGCAAATATCATGCGACAGATACTGACATCAGTCGAAAAAAAATACATGAAGGCAACAACAGTGCGAGAAGGGTGAGATAAGAGGACACTTGGCCGGTCGCGGCATGGCTGCTCGGATGTCCGCGTCGGATGTCCGACCCTGAGGTATTTATTCATTCCTCCAGGCCCCGACTGCTACTATTGTCTTCTAGTCTCGATCTAGAACAAACCGTTCCTCCATCAAGCGTCCGATTAAACCCGGCGAGAATCCTGCAATTCGCGCAAGGGAATCTACCAATAAGAGCTCGGATCACACCAAACAGCTCTCACTTAGTTGCTATCCAAGCTCTGAGATTGAATACCATTCATTCAGAAGCGAAACTCCCTCCCAGGAAAAACAATCTTCTTGTATATACACCAGCATATATCCCACAATCTAGATTCCAACAAAGCCATCTATCTCAACCCCAACTTCACAACATCCAAGGCCACTTCACCCATCTATCAGCCACAGGTAATTACTCCCGCACCACCCTCCCATCCTCGGCCCCCAAAAGCGGATCCGTCTCCACCGGTCGCACCGTCTCGGGCCGCGACGTGCGCGCATACAAACAATAATGCTGAACCATCAGAATAACGTCAAACAAGATGGTGATATTCCCCAGCACCAGCTTCGGCGCATTCCCCGCCGCCCCGGACCAGTCATTCTGCAGCGCGGTATCAATAAACAGCTGCACAAGTGAGAGCATGCCCCCGGTGAAATCCATCAGGATGGCAACCATGCAGAAGCCCCGAGTGGACTGGCGACGGTAATTCAGCCACGCCTGGGGCGTGTATTTGATGATTGTCAGGAAGAGCTTAATATTGCCGATGAGATAGATCTGGAGCAGACATCATCAGCTCCGCTCAGGTCAACTCACATCCCACATCTCATCCTAATTTCCAATCACCGCTTCTTTCAGGCAGATGAGGGGGATGATAAAAAAAAAAAAGAACCCACCACATCAATCCACTCCCCCGCACCAAGGGCCGGAAAATAGCACACGCCCAGCACATCCACCACGACGATCGCAAAACACACACCCAGCAAGATCATCGTCACCCGGCCCGGCATCTGCTGCGCGCCCTTGCGATCGATATTCCACAGCGCCGGCCACTGGAACTGGCTGTAAATCAGCCCGCAGATGACCGCGCCATGCAGGGCATAGAAAAAGTCGTTGAGGTGGACAGGTGGCTCGGGGCTCTGGGGGTGTCGGTCGGCGTACTGGGCGCGGATGACCGACGAGAAGAGTAAACTGCCGTTGAATACCGTGTAGCCGCACAGTCCGAGCACGTTGAGCAGGGCGAAATCGAGCGAGAAGCCCTCGGTTGCGCGGCGGCGGTAGTTGTGGAAGAGTTGGGGGTACAGCGAGACGGACCAGATGAGGGTGTAGGTCCAGCCTAGGGCTTGGGAGATGGCGAGGAGGAGGGTGTGGATGGTGATGGTCATTGTCATTGTTGGGTTAGATGGGGGAAGTGGGGGTTTGGGGATGGTGATGGTGAGGTTGGTGAGAGATGGGGGGGAAATGGGATCCGATGTTTTTGTTCCAACTCCAGGGCGCTTGCCAGCAGACTGACTGGACTGCCCGGATTTCGTCGGGTGGATTTCGGGCCTTTTCCGTGTCTCGGAGCTCCACTTTGATGAGGATGAGGGGTAGATAGATAAGATAGATACCCCTGCCGAATCAATCAAATCAATCAATCAATCGATCCATCAGGCCATCGTCGACTGGCGGGTTTGGGTTGTGCGGATTGTTCGGGCGCGACGTTACTGCCACACCCCGAATTTCCCCCTCGAGGGCGTGGCGTGTATGCTTTCCTAGAAGTCCTGCATTTCTGCTGCAGTGTAAAGATAAAATCCAACCCAATTCCAGTCGGAAGAAAATGCAAATTCTGAACAAGGAGATAAAATCAGATTGTATTGAGATGGTGATATATACAACCCTCAAGAAGACACATTATTTATATGATTAGTCGCGATATCCACTGCTAAAGTAAGCGGATTCGCTTTCAAATTAATAGTACACCAAAAATGAACATCCACAACGCAAACCTCCCAATCTGCCACCCGTCATCATTGTTTCGACCACGCCATCCAACAAATCAAGGCTTGACCATGGTCAAAAAGTCCAAGGACAGATCAGTAAAGAAGCTCGCCCCGGCAACCGTCTCCGGGTGCCCCGCCTCCGTAACATTGCAGTAGTCGATGAAGTCACCCGCCTCGGCATTCTTATCCTTGATGTAGGTGACATATTCCGAAAGAAGACAACTGCTGCCGGGACCATCCTTGCACATCGGCAGGGGGTAGACAGCATCATTGAGCAGAATCCTCAGATACGTCTCATCGGAAGCGTTCTTCTCACTACCGGAACCGCAGTCCAGAACCTCGAAGGCAACAGTACCGCGCATCGTAATAAAGTGCGCGACATTGTACAGGTGGTTCGCGGGGATGTACGCATCCGACAGCGCTTCCTCACCCTTGAACAGGTCCATGGCGGCGGTCATTTCGGCGATCTGGTCGTCGTTCAGGAACGCCATGATCAGGTTGGGCACGGTGAAGGTGGTGCCGTTCAGACCGGTGCCGTTTTGGCCGGGTCCCTCGGCAAGGAGGTCCAGGAGGCTCTCGAGGAAGGGCAGGAAGAGGATCTTGGTGGGGTCGGACGAGCCGGGGCCGACGCCGTAGTAGTAGCTTAGATCTTGGGAGTAGGCGTAGTTGGTCAGTTCGTCCTGGGTGAATACGCCGCACCAGTCGCTGAGACGGCCTTTGATCTGGCTCTCGTAGGCGCATAGGTAGGGGAAGAAGGTTAGGTCGGTCTCGTCGAAGGTGAGGTTGCCGCTGACCAGCGAGTTGATGCGGTCGATCGCGGCGGGCATCCAGGTGCTGTCCCCTGTAGACGGGTTAGTGTGGGAGTTTGTGGATGTGGAAGGGTGGTTCTTACAGTCGGTGACGTTGTCGTAGGCGTCGTTGACGTACAAGGGGCAGGCATCCGAGGGCCCGAGGGAGTTTCCAATGGCGCTCACGGAGCCGGTGGAGTTGACGCTGACGACCGTGCCGTATGTATCGGCGTACTCGTACATATATCCAAGCAAGAAGGATTGAGCCGTCTGAACCACCCGCGACTCGTTGATGGGGTTGGCGTACTGGTTGGCCCAGACGTAGAACGGGTTGCCATCTTCGTAGAAGTCGGGGTCTGGTATCGGTTAGCCATTGAATCTTCACAGTTGAGATGGAACCGGTTTCGGGAGGAAAGGCTTACAGCGAGCCCTCAGGGTATATCCGAGATCAACAGCCTGAATATGGTGAGCATCTTCCCGCGCGCATCCAAATCATCAAACGCACCTCCTTCCGACCCGTCATAGACTCCTGAGACATTTGGAGGGTGGTGTCGGTCAGGACGGTCTGCCAGTCGGGGATGAATGACAGAGCACCGCGGGCTTCGAAGCAGTCGTCCTCGACAGCAGCTTGGATCTGAAGAAAGATTAGCACATGTTGGACTTCAGGCTGCAACATTGTTCTCGGCATTGAAACGCACCTTCTCCTGAAGAGCGACCCATGAATCGTAAGATCCCGAGTCGGGGAATCTATCTTATTAGAACGATGTGTGAATGTCCTGGTGACACTGCAACCCTCACCTGCTACCGTGTCTCACGACGTAGGCTGCCTGTTGAACGGTACACTGAGATGGGACCTCGTTGGAAATACCGAAGACATTGGGACCTAGCGCAGTTTTCCATGTCAGTAAAGAATCGCAAAAGGGTTCTGTTCGCCTCACTGACCCGCAAACCACGGGGTGTTTCCACCCGAGTAGATCAAAGGATTCGAAGACTCGGTCGTTGACGGAAACAAAATGTCGTTGGTCGGGGCAAGGACCTGGGCATTGGCAGCCCCGAGCAAAGAGGCGACGACGGCAGCAATAGTGGCCATTTCGGATGTAACAAATCACTTGAAAGTTGGGACGCTGTACCTTGTCGATCGACAAAAAAAAAGCGTCTTTCAAGACAGGGTCCCAACCTGGTTATATATCCTGTTCTGGGGAGTGGAGAAACGCCGCTCCAAGGCGTCTAGCCGGAGTCCATCGGCACCCATCAACTGTCATGTGAAATTCGATTGCGGTCGTGAGTCCCTATCTTGGCGACTGGATAGATTATTTTAACATGAAGCCAAGCACACGTGCATGCTCTGCAGCCAGACGTTGCCAGGTGCCTGACGCTAGGCGAAGCCACCATTTTGTTAGCGTCTGTCATTCCCGGTTGCGCCAGAAGGCGGGCTTCTCGCCCCCACGTGCCGCTGGCTTTTCATCCCAGGGAATGCCCCACCCGGACACTCGTTCCTAAGCGACATGCCGGATTTCATGATCGAGTCGAGTTGAAGGGTGGACTCGGGGGCGTAGCCTCATCTGGGATAGTAAGGGGGTCTTTCGCCGTAGGCCTGGAAAAAGGGTTCTCGAAAGCGATGAACGGAATGAAGTCAGTATGATGAACATGGCCGCGAAAAGAGTTATCTAGTCGATGCAAAAAAAGCTGCGCTATCATGTCTTGTATCTGGAAGAAAAATATTAGATAGCTGGTAGTATAGACAGGCAATTGACTGCACGGGCCAGAGTCAATTTCGGACTTCAAGCGAAGGAACTTCTCCGGACCCTTCATGTCGGATTTTCTATATTGTATTTTATTACCCGAAGTGACTGGGCGAACTCATTCCGAATTTCTTGTTCGACATTGTATGGCGTACAGGGAATTTACTGCATTGATAGCATAACTATGTCTGCTTCGTAAGTCTCTAGTTTCACAACAGCAGGGGCTCTCCCTGTTAGATTTCTGTCTAGCAGATCATGAAATCAAAATTAGCATCATAGTAGGAGAATACACAAGCCATCATTTTAGGGCTATAAGAAATCAAAAGAAGATTTTTGCATCTGAAAGCTCACCGCGAACTGTCGGTGGCCTCATCCAGGAGATCCTTCGGAAATTGATTTGAGATCATAGTCGCGAACATCTAACTTGAAGTCAAAACTCAAGAGGATGTCCTTGTTACCCAAAGCCGCTGTCACCACCGTCAGCCTTGCCTTGTCGTAGATGACGATGTGGCTGTAGATGAGGACGCATGACCTCGAACGAAGTTGCGCAGTTAAAAGTATCGGGTTATGCAGATCATGGAGGCTTTATAAGCTATGTCATAGTGGCAGAGTCAACCCAGTGTTAATTATTGGTTGATCTGTTTCCGATTATGATTTTCTGGATCCGTCCAATTTAAGCTTGTTTGTGAGGGCAAGGCCATAACTGCTTATCAAGCGCTTTAATAATTGCGCCCGAAGAAAGGCTTGGTCACAGTACCGAAAGTGTAAAAAACAGCTCAATGCACCGGGGTGTAAGGAAAGGGCAAAGGTCAGGCCTCAAGGGAGTTGAAGATGATTTGATTCGAGGAGAGGAGGAAGAAAGAAGAAGGGAAGTGGGGGTCGTTACTAATACCTTCACTGCTCAGGAAGGGGGTCTAAATTACCATTATCAATCACAGCTAGGATACAATGGGTGTGATTATCGATTCATAGCCAGGGTATAACATCCTCGCCCCCAGCTTCCTGGAAAGAAGAATATAATCATTCACTGCGATACATCCTGTTGACAAATGAGTCATGGCCCGGCTCATGCGGCATTGATCCATTTCTAAGCAACGTGACAACGTCCGATCCTTCCCGAAATGTAAGCTCACATCTCCTCGCTTTCCAGCATATTCTTCAAGAGCCCCACGTCAAATTAATCAGATATAAATTTGGACGACGCTTCCCAACGCTGACAACTACCATCCATCCCCATCTTCACGAAAATGACATCCTCTATAATCATTCCCCCATCCACCTCCACCGTGGATGTCAGCATCATTGACACAACATCCACCATCCATTTCCCAACTTCCATCTTTGTCGCCCCCGAGATAAATGGTGTAAAGTCTCAGACAGCCAAATCATATGCCTTTCTGATCGAGCACAAACCGACAGGTCGACGACTGGTCTTCGATCTCGGGGTCCGAAAGGACTACCAAAATCTCGCAAAGCCGATATACGATAGTCTCATCGGCTCGGGGGTCTTCACCCTCGACGTGCAGAAAAATGTCGCCGATATCCTCACAGAGAATGGGGTCGAGCTAGACACGATTGATGCGATTATCTGGAGGTAAGAATTAATCGAATCCCCTTTGTATTCCATGATCCCGAAACACAAGACTCACATGCCTCACAGTCACACTCACTTCGATCACGTCGGAGACCCCTCCACATTCCCAAGCTCAACTTCGCTCATCGTTGGTCCGGGTGTCCCGGCCTCTGTTCTCCCTGCATATCCCATCAACCCCTCAGGAGAGCTCCTCGACAGCGACTTCAGCGGTCGACCTCTCGTCGAGATTCAAAGAGCACAGTTTGACACGACGATCGGCGGATACAAAGCCCACGACTTCTTCCATGATGGCTCATTCTACCTCCTCGACGTCCCCGGCCACTCAATTGGACACATGTGTGGACTTGCCAGAACCATTTCCGATGGCAAGGACACATTCATCCTGATGGGCGCAGACACCGTCCACCATGCAGGTCAGCTGCGCCCATCACATGGGGTTCCACTCCCAGAACAAATTGCCCCCAGCCCATACGGTGGCTCAATAGCGTGTCCCGGGGAAATCTTTGAGGCCATCCATCCTGCTCCGGAGAAGTATCGAACAAGCCCCTTTTACCGCATAAATGTTGATGAGAATGGGCGCAGTGTTGCGAATGATCCGGTGGAAGCGGAACATAGTGTGGATCATATGAAGGAGTTTGATGCGCTGGATAATGTCCTTGTGGCGTTTGCGCATGATTCGTGCCTGGAGGGGGTGGTTGAGACGTTTCCGCTCAAGGCGAACGGGTGGAAGGCGGCGGGGTGGAAGGAGCTGAGTCGGTGGAGGTTTTTGTCGGATTGGAAGGTGGAGGCAAGTCATTAGGTGTTTGTTAAGTAGGACTTTTTATATTTAATATACCCCACTCAGTCTTAGTTGTATCTTGTTTGCTGTAGATTGTAGAGATTAATGTGGCTGTGGTGGGGGGCCGTCCACCACCTAAACTAAGTAGGATTATATAGCTTTGACTATTCACTGATCTTGATCTTCAATCTCCCCTCGCATCTGACTGACTGTCTATTTTCCCGCAGTATTCCAACCCCTGGCCGGTTCTCTTTGAACCATTCGCCAAGATTCACGGGGGATAAAGAGACAGCACTAGGTGCATCAATCTCAAGCCCAATATGGCTAGATAAGTGAGCTAACACCCGAATCGATAGAGCGTTGGCTCTCCGCACCAATCGTTGCCTGGCTCCTATCTCACAGACTACTGCATCCAACCTACCGGCGTGCTCTTGTTTACTCCATGTTCGAGCGATTCCGAGAATCTAAACATCTCTCCCTCCACAGGTTCGAAAGAGGGCAGCAGCAGCAACGTTTGTCGGATAAAGCCAGCGGGGGATGATTGGTTTGATCCTCGTGCTTTCGAATAGTGTGCGTAATATTCAAACGGCGAAGCTATCGAATCGAAGCCGAGGATACGATTCGTGTGAACATCCACGACCCCAGGAACCTCATGATAGTTCCACAATCCATTCACCACCCGATAATCCGCCCTAGCGCAACACTAGCACCTGCTCCGTTGGATCTAACAACGCTTTGAAATCGTTAAAGCCATGCAATCCCCCCCCCCAGATAGCGCATCCTCCAGGACTGTTCCATATTTCCCCACTTCTACGCCCCCAGCCCAGTTCATCTCCGCTTCGATAATGCGCATCGGGGAGGATACGTCTCCCAATCGCAGAGATGGATTTATGGCGAGGCATCCGGCGCTTCTTACTATCCTTAACTAAAGATATCTATCCCAGAAAGGAAACCGACCGGAGACACTTGGTTTCGCGCTATCTGCGCGAAATCCCTCGCTGCTCGGTAGGTATTCGTTATCCGACGGTCAGACAAGGCACGCTACTAAGGTCGTTTCCACGGCAGCTGAATTGCCTCTACCCACTATCCCTCGGGTTCAACTGCTCGCAATCCGATTATGTCTGCATGTGCACAGAGTTCCAGTCCATCGCAGCGATGTCAGAATTCCAATCCTGTTTCGACCAATGTCCCGTCAACCGGGACCAGCGATGTCAGTTCCCACGCGAACCATCCGATAGCAGTCCCAGTACTTACCCTCACGCTCTCCGATAGGGACCCCCGGTCGAGTCCTCGATTTCTGCGACCTGGTGGGCGTTGATGCCGCACTCCCGGAATACATGGCGCCGTATGCAGCACTTCACCGGCGTAGACACGAGGTAAAAGACGACATGGAAATCGAGGACGCCGTCACGATATACTCGGTTGTGACAACAATCTACGCATCACGAATTACGTCTGCCGCGTCGACGACGGTTTCCGGCGATGTTTATTCTACAACAGAAGTTGCGCCGAGCGAGACCGCGAGAGTTGTCACGGTGACAGAGATACAGAGCATGAGCATGAGCTCTGCGTCAAGTGAGACGGGGATGGGCTCCACGTCGAGCCAAATGGGATCTGGGTCGTCGGGGCTTTCAACTGGCGCAAAAGCAGGGATTGGCGTTGCGGTGCCTGTGGTTGTTATATGTGCCGTGTTGATTGCGTTGTTTTACTTCAACCGGCGGAGGAAGAGAAAACATGGCCCTGAAAACGGTGGCGATGAGCAGGGAGAGGGAAAGGAAGCCGTGCATCCCGAGTCGAAATTCCCTCCCGTCCAATTCCAGTCCAACTTGCCCTCCGAGATAGACGGAGCTCCCGTCAATGAATTTGGCAACAGGCCGGTCGAAAGACAGCGGCAACAGCCGGTATTTGAGCTCAGTGTTGGAACTATCCGCGAGCCCAAGAGGAACAGATCAGCGCAAGCTGAAGTTTCCAATGTCTCAGAGGAGAACGGTCTTAATGAGATGATGGCGGCATCTTCCTCCACCGCAGGAGGTCCCTTGCCCGAACTACCTTCTCCTGATTTCGGGGGATCTCACGATGGATCATCCGTGGTGATGAACGAGCAAATGTCGCTATCGGATCTGCACGAGGAATTGGCCCGGGTGGCACGGAGTAAGGACAGACTTCAGTATTTACAGTCGCTGGAAGAGAGAGAGGAGCAACTGCGGCAGCTCATAGCATCACAACGACAGGTAGATGCGTCTAGCATTGCCACTCACGGGTCTGAACTTAATGGGAGAAACGTATAGCGAGAGATGACTTGCAGGGAGGTTGGAATTATGAGTCTAATGATAATTACGGTAGTATGCTCATGGGCGAAGATTGGTGGCTTTTTATTAATTGATCCAGGAGTTTACCATCATAATCGGCGCTTTCGATATACGTAGCAGGTGCCGAAAGCTTTTTAATGTTGACTTTGAGTGTCCTATCTCGCATTTATCAACCAACAATACATCTCCATCAAATCCACATAGCAATCAACTGTCTGGCTATCACAAGGGTCTTAATGCGTCCCGTCGAGCATATATAGTTCTTAGAAAGAAGTCTATCCGATCCCGTTGCCGGGCCTACTCAGGTTGTCCACCCAACTATATAAAAATATATATATCTTCGAACGCGTTTAATATATGGCTTTAAAATTAATACATGCAGTGGTTAAATAATAGATCTTATTGAACTTACTTAAATTAACAAATATAAGACTTTAATATTCTATATATCAGTTCTTTGTCTTAATCATAATCTCTATTCTTTTTAACATACTGGCTAATAAAGATTCTTGAATGTCTATATAAATCTGCTTCTAAACTATATATAAAGTCTTTCAGAGAAGGCTCTTTGTAATAGTACTACTATATATGCTTTTAAGCAAATGATTAATCTTATTAATCTTCTCTTTTAATAGAAATTATGTACACTTAATAGAGTTAAGTATAGAGATTATTTTGTCAACTCTAGGACTTAATCTTTGAATTATATAGTTATCTTATACGCTGTATAGAAAGCATTATTATCTTATATAAAGATAAATATCTTTTCTTTGATCTAATCGCGAATCTCAGGCAAAGAATCATCCAAAATAAGCAAGGCACCACACTCCCAACACACGGCCACGTCAACCCTCCTCATCCCTACGCAGCCGTGCAACTCACAAAGTCCTTATCCTGGTGCCGAATAACACCACAGAACTGTGCCCTAACCGTCTTCGACGCATACTCAAAGATAAGCCTATCCGGAAAGTCCGTCACCTCACCACCAGCATACACAGTGCCGGGGCTCGTCCTGTCAAGGGCAAACTCCATAGTTCTTCTGCCGCACGGGAAATCGAGCTTATCATAGTTGGCGAAGGAATGGGGGTATTTCTCTGCATGATTTCTCCGGTTATGATACATGTTCATTCCCATTGCCAGGGAGCGGGACTATGAATCTGACTTACTCGTTCCAAGAGTTTTATCTTTGAATGCTAAATCGGCCGCCTCAGCGTAGGCCTTGGTTAACTGCCCAGAAGTGTACCTGGTCGCGCTGTACTTGTCGGTCGCGGGGCACGTGTAGTCCTTGCTGGGGAAATCGGCGGTCAAGAGCTCCTTTCCATTTTTATTGGTGTTCTTGCGCTTGTCGAGGTCGTTGGCGAAGTTCTCGATGGGGAGGGCTTCGCGGGCGTTGATGGCCACAGGCGCATCCTGGATGTTGTTGCTGCTGTGGGCGCCAGCGCTCACGGCTTGACCCATTAGGGCTCCGGCGAGGAGGGCATTCAGGACGAGAGTCTTGAGAATGAAAGGCATTTTTGAAAGAGTGATGGTACTTTCAGAGTAATGAAGTGGATGCTGGTTTGAATGGTCTTTGGGATTGAGATGGAATGGCTGTCGAGGATGGATTGGACTTTACGCAGCAATTCCTTTGCCTCTTTATACCTTTCCAATTGTTAACATCATCCGTTGCTCGTCTGCTTCGGGCCTCTACGGATGCTCTCATGCCAGAATCTTTATCCAGAAGGGGCCAGACTGAAATGACACTGGGGTCGAAAACAGCATTATATCAGCACTACTTGGCAATGGACAGGGTGTCGATGTTTCGGGTGCCGGCACCCTATTGATCAGGGGATTTGACCACCTACGCCCTATAGGAGATGGATGCAATTGATCGGACGTAAAGAAGGTATCCCAGAGGCCACTCTATATTACAAATGGCACCCGAATCAATTAACTTTAGCAGACTCGACGAAAAGTATCAGATGTTGACGGTTGTCATAACTGAGATCTCCAATCTGAACCCTTAACCGCACGGTCTGTCAGTGGCTTGGGGAACAATAAGCATCGGTCCTCTACTACGCGAAAGACCCAATGAGGAGCTTTGGAATACGGCAGCCTGGGAAGACTTCTCCAAATGAGCAGCGGCTGCTTATTGCTCCGAGACCAGGGTCCTGCCGAGGAAACGGATCCAGATGTCCCGTTAGGCTGAGGCTGCACCTCATACATAGCCCCCAAACTAGCACTTGTTGGTAGTTGTATACCCCATGAGAATGCAAACAAAAGCTTTTGATTAGAGAGGAATCGATTCCATCAATGCTTTGAGTTCGATCAAGATGAGGTATGTGAAATGGATGTTGGGGAGGTTCGCATGGATGCCGCTAGGAGGGTTAAGATTGAAAAAAGAAGGGCTCGGGACTCTCGGACTGAAAATGATTATCCGGCTGCTTAGACAACGTTTCACCTGATTGGCAATGCTTGACATTCTGACAGGCACCACATGGGGGCCGCTCTCGATCGCGATCGGTCTCCAGTTGCATTCTCTCACCAACCAGTAAGCAAGGAGATGTGTAGCCCTACAGGGATCATCTGAGGCTGACCTGACTTGTTGTGATACATGAGTCAGACGCTAACCATTTCGCCCCTCTATTAGTACCACAGCGACCAACTGTTATTTAACTAGAATAGCTTCCCCTTTCACAGCCGCATCCATCATTGAACCACAATCCATCCCCCCCCCCCCCCTTTTTCCCACACGACCACAATGCAAAACGAGTACGAAATATTCTTAACCGAGCTCGCAGAAGACGAATGGCCACCTCGTCCGGAAATTATCTCTGCCTTCAGGTCCCTCCTGGACAACCCCTCCATCCCAGCCTCGAAACTCGCCAAAGAAAGCATGTCAGGCACCATTGCAAAAGCGGAAAAAGAAGACCCAACGCCTCACTACAGCGACCTCTGGTCGGTCCTCATACCCGCTGTAGAGCGATTCCCAGAACAAGGCGACCGCCTAGTGGACTTCGTGATTGCCCTCCACGAACTTCCAGACTGCGATGGCCAGTTTCGCGAGCTTAACGGGCTGTCGATATATCTGAGCGAGTTCACCTTCAACCGTGGGTTGCATCCATCCTCCCTTCCCCTCCCTCCCAGATCCCAAACACAAACTAACTCGCAATAGATGTGGACAACTCATCTAACGTCCCTGAGCGTGATATAAAACGACAGGGATTCATCAACGCCAATATCTTTACAGCAAAATTATATCTTCGTCTTCCCCGCCCTAATAAATTCGGTTTCCTGATCGAGTATGGAGCGGAGGTCCTGCTCCGGACCTTTGAAGCGGCGCCTTGGGAAGAGTTTCATTTTCCGCGCATTGAGGACTATATCAGCCCTATCGATGACGATGACGAGGAGGACTATAATAAGACGCGAGATGAGGAGCTGGGAGAGGTCGATGTTAGGATCTTGAATGGATGGGTGCCTGCGGCAGCGGTGTGGATTGAGTACTGTGGTAAGGAGATATATAAGAAGGAGGGATCAATGGGATGGGAGGCTGTTGCATTTGGTAGGTGGACTGGTCCAAAGGGCTGGTCGAAGGAACGATGGGCATATTGGAAGAAGAGAGCTGCGTGGGTTTCAACCGTTACGGCGTTGGATCGGAAGACAAGAAGGATTGCGAAGAGCATGATGGAGCGGATGGAGAGGATTGAGGGGGGGGGGGGATGGGGTTCTGTGAATCAATGAGGATCAGAACAGCTCTGGGCTGGCATATCCACCATCATCCTCTCCCGAATCACTTACCCGTCGAGAAGACCGTTTCTTAGCTCGCGGTTGTATATCCATAATTCAAGCCAAGAAGCACATACGGTTACTCGTACGGCGAGCAGTTTGGAAGAGCGGCTTCTTATATCGGCGATATGATGTTTATGGCGCCGAGAAGGGCCGCCGCGGAGATATGGAGTAACTACAGTGCCCCGGTGTATAGTTATCGGTTCAATGCCGTGCCGGGGAATGTGAGGGCAGACGTCCTTGGTGTGGCTCAATTCAGTGAGGTCGCGTTCGTCTTCCACAATACAGAGGGCTTGGGGTATCCGACCAGCCCCTTTGATGTGGAGCCCGCAGAGAAAAGGTCGGCATACATTGATCTTTCTACCTTGATGTGTCGCATGTGGTTGAGCTTTTCTAACACCCATTGGCCCAACTCTCACGGCGGTAAGGAATTTGACCCTCTGCCGATTCACGATGTGTGGATAGCTGACAGTTTGTCAGTCTCCGGCTTCAACGTCACATGGCCGAAATACACCTTCGAAGAGCCCATCAACATGGTGTTCGACGCGGTGAAATCGTCCCACCTCGAGATCAACGATTTCTGTGCCGAGCCGATACGACTCTTGTGGGACGAGGCGTTTGCTTTCTCGCATTAGGGTAGCTGTCCTTGCCTGCAGACGGAGCAAATCCGGGTAGAATATGTTTGGCACGCCCTATCGTACCGAAGGATATATATTTGGAACATGATTAACAGGGTAAATCAAGAAGAAGAAGCACATTATCACAGTAGTAGGTAAGAAATGATACAATAAAGCAAAACGGCAAAGCTAGCAAGCCTCTATCATACGCAATGAAACAAGGCTAATTAGCAATGTCACCCCAGCCATCCCATCTTTTGAGTTTCAATTGCACCACTTTGGCCGAGGGGTTCATGTACTCTATGGGGTCGATGTCCGGCATGGGGGACTGACGGCACTTGCTTACATGAAGAGGAGACCGGGTCGAGGGGGCATCAGCGAAGGAGCTCAAGCTTCTGGATGTTCAGTGTTCGAAGCTGAAATCGCTCGAATTGGGTGCTAATAGAGGGGATGGCGAATCAGTATAAGTCAGAGACTGACGTTATTCTCATGTAATTAAAAATGTTTGCGTCACATATCAAGTAGCCCGGCTAGCTCAATCGGCAGAGCGTGAGACTCTTAATCTCAAGGTTGCGGGTTCAACCCCCGCGTTGGGCTTTCTTTTTTCGATTTTTTTTTCATGCTTTTCTACAACAAGTCGTCTAATCCTCTAATAAGAATTGATTACCTTCTCCTTTGTTTATCCCACCACGCGCCAAAGATCGGCAGAGCACCCACATACGTCGGAGACCGGCCGACTATTTCAGACAGCCGGCTGGCGATGAGCGCCCCGTCGCCGAATCAGACCAGATACAGACCCGTGGCGAGTGATTCTGCGACTTCGGAGACTCCGAGTTCTTCAGCAGCGTCGGTGAGGATGGCTGCGTCGATGGAAGATGCCATGGTCGTAAGCAAGGCAATCAGACATACGCACATTGTGGCGCCGATCTGTCGCGAGAAGGACCATTGATGCGGGTTGATGGGGTCGTCTGGCGTGGCCCAGCCCACCTCGTAGTACTTTTCATCGTTTGGGTCGTGTTTTAGGGTGATTCCTAGGATTTGAGCGGGATCTATGGCTTTACTCGGTGAGGCTTTATAAGGGTGGGTAAGGGGGTCTTCTGAGGTGAGCGATTTAGTGTCGATGTGATTTGCGTCGTCGACTAGCTGGGCTACATGACGCTTTAAGGCCCGGTATATGTAGATGAAAGCCATGGCTTTGGGGGAAAGGAGAGCTATTACGAGACTTGGGTCTGGGTAATATACAGCGCCCCATGAGGTGACAAGGGAGTCAAGAGATGAAGTATGCAGAAGATTGAAGATGGCAAAATTGGCAATGAAAGAAGGTTGGTTTACTTTCGTCATTTCCGGCCTTCATCAGGGCAGCAGCGCGAAGTGGCAATCCCGGTCTTTCTATTCTAAGACTATAAAAAAGATTACTTGCGGAGAATAAGACTAATATACTCAAGAAAATAAACATCTTCATTAATATAGATATTAAGATAAATCTAATATTCATAATATTTATAAAACCTGTAGGATAATCAGCAATATGTAAGGATAGCAATCCTTATAACACTCATAATATCAGTATCATCAGGAATACTCATGCTGCAGGACAGTCCCTCTACAGAAGATTTTGAGTCTCTCCGCGGAAGGGCTCGAGACTATCTTTTGTCAAGACTTCACGCTAGCAGATAGTACACATATAATTCATATAATCCTCGCGAGTATACTTATTCGCGAGAGAAATCTAGATAGAAAGCTAACGACAACACTTTAAGCAATACACCCCATACCTTGACTTCGCGATAGATATACCTTCCTCACACTATCTCGTAAGCAATCCCTTATAGATCGTTTGCTGCGCTTTGGACAGGCGGTGACCCCAAAGCCGACTCGCGCTTCCCCAGCCGGAAGCAATCAAGCCATTGGGGAATTGGAAGTTGGGAAATTTGAACATGTATAGTCTCAGGGACTTTTAGTCGAGCTGCGGTATGCATGGATAGATGATGTATCCCATGTTGCTATGGAAGAAGCGTCCGGTCACAACAGTTCGGTGACGTCACCCAGGTGCCAGACCAATCTCGAGTTTCACTTCATGTTTGCAGTTTGGCCCATGGGCTCAATTCTCTGTTTCAGAATCTCTCCTCACTGTTTACCCCAGCAAGTCTGATGACGGGCTTTCCACTTATTTTATTGTTAATTTTTTTAATCAATTCATTTAATTAACTTTTTCATCCAAGAAAGACATCCAATATTCACAGCCAGAGGCAAAATATACTCTTCTAAATCCTATTGGCACTGTCTAAACCTAATAATAAATCCCCAAGCAGACATGATCACTTAACCTATACAGTTACACAATCCGACTTATGATTCCAACATCCCGATAACTCGAACTCCGGCGGGGAAACGGAGAGCCCCCGGGAAATGCGCGGCTAAAAGGGAAGCTTATGCCACAACCTTATGTGGGACCCCCCCCTCCCCGGCATTCACCACTCTATCCTTCTCCCCAGTCCCAGTCCCAACCCACAGCACCAACACAGCACGATGGCCAAGTTCACCATCAAATCCCTCGACCACCTCGTCCTGACGGTGCGATCCATTTTCGCCACCATCTCATTCTACACGACCCATCTGGGCATGAAGCACGAGGCTTTCGTCTCGCCCAAGGATGCCGCTTACAGATATCTCCAGCAGCACCAGAGAGTTACAGGGTAATAATATGATCAGCCACGCGCTCCTATTCGGCTCTCAGAAGATCAACCTCCACCAAAGCGGGAGGAAATTCGAACCCAAGGCCCAGACCGTCCAGCCGGGAATTGCAGATGTATGCTTCCTGACGGAGACGCGGGTCGAGGAGGTTCTGGGGGCTTTTCGGGATGCAGAGATCGAGGTTCTCGAAGGTGGGAGTGTGGTGGGGCGGCCGGGAAGCTACGGAGGAGTGTCTATGTGCGTGATTCGGATGGGAATTTGATTGAGTTGGTAGTTAGATAGTCCCTTTTCTGTTTTCCCACTATTGAGACGCTGCTGATAAATTATAGGGTGTCCGACTACGCGTAGATGTAAATATCGCGTTAATATACACCGGATATACCTCGGGATTTGCCATGTAGTGCGGTAGATCAATGGATCTACTCGACCTGATAAGCGAGGTGGTGAACGCTCATCCGCGCAGGCCAGACAGGCTATGTGGTATACTCCTAATTTCATTACGGTAGAGCATTGAATCTTTCACTTCCCCCCCTAGCACAGAATCCCTACGCACCGCGATTGTTGACTTTCCATGGGCGCATGAGGCAATAGTACTATCTTCCATACATCACCCCGAGACTAATACCCACAACACAACCCCGACAGGAGAACTGGACATTCCAATCGGCGTCAGTGCTGGCTGCTGCTAAGTACGTATCCCGATAGTCAAGCCCGCAGACACATCGCGTGTATCCGTACTCCATAGAAACAAACCCCGATCGCAGGAACAAACCCCCGCCAAATCATCCGATCAACCCACGGCCCGCCCTTTCAGTTTCCTGGAATGCTACGCTGCTACAATCAGGACCATGCATGCATGATGCATCCCAACCCCAATAAGCTAACTATGTAGGCACCTAGGTAAGTAAAGTACATTCTCACCCACCGGATGTGATATATCGATCTCTCCCAAATCCCGGGTTTCCGGCGGAATACAAAGTACGGGTAGATAGTAGATAACCTGCCTGCCAGCAACCTAAGCAGAATTGGAGAAGAGAGAGTTTTAGACAGGTAAATTAACAGCGCCGCGTTGGGGATTAGTGTTTGGTGGCGCCTGACTCGCGCGTCTGTCTGTTGGAGGGAGTGGGGCGACATGGCAGCCGGGAAAGGCTGGTGGTCCTGGCCAGTGGTTGGGTAGTGTAATAGCTTACGGGGTTAATTCTTGCAGGGAGTTGCTGCTCCTTTACGGAGTACAATTTACTTGAGGGAGGTGAAGCTGGAGGATCATCCGGGATAGGGAGTATCTGTCCAGTGTGTGCTCCGTACTGTAGGAAGTAGATAGGCTGATGTCGATTAATTGAGATCAGTAAGTAGTAGGTACGGAGTACTTACAGGGGAACGGAGAATTCCGGCGGAGTACCATTCGGTAGAACCGGGTGGCTCCGTATTATCGATTTTTTGCTTTTTCCGTACGGAGTTAATGGCCTTGATTTGATGGCGATCCGCCAAGGATTCTCGATTTCTGCCAAGTTGTCTGTCAGCTGCCATCGAGTTTGACGTGTCAAAGTCAAAAGATAATCGACTGTACCTATCCTGGAGGTCTCCGTACATCGAAAAGATAACTACGGATAAAGATGACCAAGACTTTTCTGACTTGGAGACAAGGAAGGGCAAGGGGAAAGACCTTGCAAGCTACCTAACCTAGGCGTTAGTTTCAAACGGCCCATCTAGACCACAGCAATCTAGGCTAGGCTGACTCTGAGTCTTGCAGACTGTTAACTGAAAGCCCTGCCTGACTCGCTTGAGAAGATAGTGGATGACAGGCACGGATAAAATGCAGATCTTGCTTGTTTCCGTGCATGTAAACGGTGGGCTGCCAAACACGTAATTCCCCACAGCCGGATCGCAATGGTACTGTACTCCGTACAGTAATACTAAGGTATCTAGTGTCGGGGATGGATGTATCTACCTGGAGCGCATCTGCAGTGGTGCTTGCTGGTGCTGGCGTTTCTCTATCTACTGTGTACTTATTATGGGTGTTCTCCCCTAGCCTACCTCGCCCATTCATAACCATAACCACAAAGGAAAGTATTCATTACTAGATAAAACAAAGGAAAAAAAAAGATGCTATCATAACGTGGTCTCGGAGATCTGAGTCTGGACGAACGCGTCACCCTTTCTCAGGTTCTGGTGCTGATTCTGATTCTGATTAATGATCCTCTCCTGACTCTCGTTCTGGGTGTCCTGCAGGATCGTCGTGCCCATGCTGTGGCTGCCCTTCTTCCTGCTACTTCGCTGCTTGGGGAGATTGTCCATCGGCAAGAAACCCTGAGGCTGGGCCCCGCTGGAGTTGTAGCCGCGGCTGGCCGAAGAGCCGAATTGGCGGAAGCAGGGCAGCACGCGAAGCGAGGAGAGGGAACCTGCGACCAGGCCCAGATTGAATTCGATCGCCATCCAGTAGAGCGAGGAGGTGGAGTCGTCTGTGTTGGGGTTAGCGGGGGGATTTGGCAGTGGTAATGGATGGGTGGGCATATCGCCAAGAATAGATTTACGCACAGGTCAGGTCGGTGGCGCCGTTGCGCAGATATCCGAGCGTGCTGAATCGGACCAAGGGGGAGATGCAGGCGATGATGCCGGTGCTGAACACCATCATCAGGACAGCGATCTTGCGGGCGGGCATGTGCAGGCGACAGAGAATCGGCATCGGGGTGAGCAGGATGATGACATCGGTGGTGAAGATTAAGACGGCCTGGTATAGGGTCACTTGGTAGAGTTGGAATTCGCTGAGACATTTGGAGTTGGTAATTGTGAGGTCAAATGCTGCTCTGTCGGTGGGTTAGCTTGGGGCTGTTGAATGCGATAACTGCCTGGAATACCGACCGTGCTGGGGTGCATCGCAGAGCCATGACCAGCGACCCGGAGACCGTAAACAGCACTTGGAAGATCATCATCCCCAGGGTCAGCCGCTGGATCCATACTGCGCTTGAATTAGAAACCGCCGAGTGTGACTAACTTCCCACGGACGACTTACCCAGAGGAAACACTCGCCGCAAGAACACCAGGAGGCTGATCTTGACGGAGAGGGACACGTAAAGGTAGTAGCATGTGGCCACATAGTACAGCTGAAATGGTCAGTGGCATTGCCGCATGGAGACCAGGAAGCCGGAAGCCGGCAATAGGAAGCAGGAAGCAGGAATCAGGAAGCAGGAAGCAGGAAGCAGGAATCATATCATACCTTGAGCCACATGGCAATTTGGCTTTCGGATAGATCGGTTTGGTGGCGACCACTGCCCCAGTACACCACCCCGATACCCAGGCCATTAAAGATCTGAGTACAGATCTATTTTTAAAGCGGAGGGAATTAGATTGATCACATTCGGGATTTGAACCTCAAGGGCTGCTCGCCGAGAGCCACTGGGGTCCGGTCGGGTCCTTCATACCAGGGCAACGATGACGGCTCCATCATCCCATCCAAATTTCTTCAGGATGAACAGCCTAGAGTAGAGCTTGATTCACCATGAGCGTGGACTCGGGTTAAAACAATGGGAGCAAGACACTTACCCGTAGTCCACAGACGAATAGGGACAAACAGGCCGAGCCGATGATAAGGCCATATGTGAGAGAAACCAGATGCTTCTCATCCGGTTTCAAGCCACGCGCCACGGCTAGGAAGGCCATCTCCCTGCGATGGCATGTAAAGCGATGCGTGTGGTGGTTGTCCGTTGTCCGATGAGGGCCCCGGGAGGCTTTATCTGTCGCCTCGCACGACGGGCGAGTCAATCCAGAAAGCGTTCATGGTCGCTTTGACCAACCCCCGAAGCGAGCAGGACTCGAAAGGTAAAAGAAGGCCAACATGCAAGGGGGATCCCCGATCCTGCAGAGAGAGTCGGGCCCGGCTAAACTCGACGCTGGGCGTTTGGCTCTTCTTGCATGCATCCGAATAGGGCATCCTCCGACCCCTCGGCTGCCAATCGGACTGGCGGTGCGGACGGTGACTCGACGCCATGTCCCTAATAAGAATCAGGCAGTCGCTGCCCCGCTCAAGGATGCAGATGAGGCCTGTCAGTGCGGCGCTAGCCGCAGTAGACTGTTTCCGACCCCTTTCAGACCCGAGGGTCGCGGTGCTCGAACGGCACTGCCTGCCCCGCTAAACGAGCGCTAAGCATGGAGCTAACCCGTCGAACCGGCCATCACGCACGGCTGACACCAATAGATGCACGGCATCCGGTAATTGCGCGGAACTCGGAAGGATCTGGCGTGATGCCCGGACCCTCTCATGGCGTCGTTGCCGGTTGTTACATATGGGCCTCGCCGCGGCCTCGCGACGAGTGTTTCCTGCCCGGCTCGAAGATTCTCCAACCACCATGGCGCAGGAAAGTTTCAAGGTGCTGATCGCCGGTGGCAGCCTGGTCGGCTTGACGCTGGCCCTTGTGCTGGAACAGGCTGGGATCGACTATGAGCTGTTTGAAAAGGGGGATCTGGCACCACAGCTGGGCGCTTCGATCGGGCTGCATCCCCATTCCCTGCGCATTCTGGATCAGCTGGGCGTGTGGCCAGACATCGAGAAGACCATCATTCCCTTGCACTATCGCTATCACTTCGACGAGAATGGCCGCTGTATGGAGGAGTCTCGGGTCTTGCAGGACATCCATCAGATGTGAGTCGCTGGGCGATACCTGCACCGACGGCGCTAACCAGCGCATAGTCTGACCTATCCGATTATTTTTATGGAACGATGTGAGGCACTGCGAATCGTGCACAGCCATATTGCAAACCCCTCCAAGCTCCACGCCCACAACGGGGTGGTGGCATATGACGAAACAACCGACGGGGTTGTGGTAACGACGGCAGACGGGAACCCTCATCGAGGCGACATCCTGATCGGGGCAGATGGCATTCACAGTCGGGTGCGCCAGCTCATGGCTGAGAAGATCCACCAGACGGACCGGGTGGCCAGCGAGAAGATTACCAAAGGTAATATACTCCGCTCATATCCAGTGCCATGAGGGAGGACGCTAAGTTTGAGCAGCATTCACGAGCGAATACAAATGCATCTTCGCTGTTTCGCGGAACGATCCAGCCAGCCCGTTCCTGCCGGATGCCACGGTCCACAATGTTTACCACAGCCAGCATTCAGCGGTAGCCGCCAGTGGAGTGTCTGGCCTGGTCTTCTGGTTCCTGTTCGTGAAAACACCACTCACAACGACGCCTAGCTGCCCTCGATTCACCGACGACGATGCGAATCGCCTGATTGAAGAGTACGCGACCGTCGCCCCGGGTCCAGGCTACACCATCAAAGATCTGTGGGAAGCACGAGTGAAGGGATCGCTCGTGCCCTTGGAAGAGGGAATCGTCCCGCAGTGGAGCCACGGCCGAGTGCAGCTCCTCGGGGATGCCATTCACAAGGTGAGTTGACTGACACATGGGAGACCACTGCCACGCGACACGTGGGACTGACAACGTGGACAGGTCACCATCAACGCCGGTCTTGGGGGGAACCTCGCATTCGAGGGAATCTCTCATTTCAGCAACAGTCTGACTTCATTATTGCAGCAGAGCCCGTCGCCCTCCCTCGAGCAGTTGACTTCCCTCTTCCAGAACTTTGAGCGGACGCATCGACCACGCGCCACTACCGTTCTGGGCGTATCTGGCCAGATTACGAGATACGAGGCGCAAGATACGGGGTTCTTGAAATTCGCTGCTAAGCACTTGTCCCCGTGGGTCCCTGACATCTGGAAGGCGAAGCTTTATGCGAGCTTTTCGAACGGCGCTCCCCACCTCGACTTTCTACCGCTGAAGGAGCAGGAGGCTGTACAAAGGTCGGCCATGACAAGTACCGGTTACTTATACCCGGGTCTTGTACTCACGGGCGCTGCCGTCGTCGCTGGAGCTGCGGTCGTCTGGCGAGGCTTCCGGTTATCAGATGCTACCTTGTCCTGAAGGGGAAACGAATCAAATGAGTCTGAGCGAAACCAACAAGACCACCTCGGACTTCAGCCCTGGGAGAATGAACTTGCTGGCAATTTCTTCTGTTGAGTACTGAAGCTGTTAATCTACACACCTTCCCTTCTGCATCCTCTCGTATCGCGGTCCAACTCTTGGAATCACTGAACTGCGGTCCTTAATAATGAAGAACACTTGCACTGGTGGTTTTTCTTTTCGCTTTCCTCGAAGTCAAATATTACTTAATTCCAAATACCAAAGCCCTGAAAAGGGTTCCAAGTCTGGTCACAAGTTGTATATGAAAGGGATTACGAGCTCAAGCTCTAAGACAAACCAGTGACATAACACTCGATCCCACCCCTGTAGCAAAACTGTGATGATCAGCATGCGATTATTCAGCGGCATCTTTTAGCTTGGCATATGCAATGTTCTTCGCACAAACCTTAACCATCTGCTCGGTACTGTTATACTTGGTGGCGGTAAGGATGATTTGATTTGCTATGGTATGCTGCAGATAGACAGCCCTTGTCGTATGATAAAGATATCAGATAAAGCTATTCGCAAATAGTAAGATACTAGTAAAACAATAATTAATTCTCTACTAACTAGATAACAGGAATTTGTAGATAAAGAGATGATCTGTCTGGCTGATATTTCTACTGTAGTAATTATTTAAAGAGATAATTATTATTTCTTTCTGTTTTCTCTCTTGACAACTCTTCTCCTGCTTGTTGTCGACTGTGATTCTTGATAATAATAATAGAGATAATAGATAGTAGTTAAGAATAATAATAATAATTCTTGATCTCTAGTGGCCTGACTTATTAAATAATATAGATATAGTTGAAGAGTGTGATAGAATAACCCAGCTATCAGGATAAAGGTCATTGGGATGATGTATTATAGTGGTTGTGAGAGTTGTGTCATCGGGATGATATATTATAGTGATTATGAGAGTTGTAAGATTATTAATAATAATTCTATATCTCTCTGATATTTATAAGATGCCGATCTCTCTATAAGAAGCTACTGATTCTTTAAGAATTAGTCTATCTTATAAATATAGACTATCTTTATTATTATTAAATAAATATACAGTATTTTATAATTAATTTTTTATTTAATTAATAGACTTTCTATTTTAATAAGTAGATTTTATTATATTCTAATTTTTCTCTTTTTGACTATCTAAGAAAGATACTATTTATTAAAGATAGTAAAGAAATAAAAGTATTTAGTAATTAAATTAATCCAGAATTCTCGCCGAATATTATTTCTATTATTAAAGAGATTTAATAGCTAGAAGATTATATTTATTAATTAAAATAAGCTATTAACTTACAGTAAAGAATAGCTTATTTCTAAAGAAATAACTTTTTAAGTAAAATCTTTTTAAGATATTATTAATTCTTTCTTGAATTAGAAAAAAATAAAAAAAAATTAAATTTAAAAATATCTTTTACTTTATTCTGAACTTTAATCTTTAAAAATATTAAAAATAAATTATTAATTTAAAATATATATTTAAAGATATATTTAAGAAATATTTATTAAAAAAATATAAGATTCTTATTATTATTAGCTATATAGACTTAGTATATAAACAGAGATAATATTATTTTATAAATAATAAGAGTTTAGAAAAGAGATAATTTCTTAAGAAATTATAATCTTAATTTAAAGATTAGACTCTTATACTAATTCAGAATATTATTATTTTTTAATTAAATATTATAATCTAATTTAAATAGACTTATTAATAATATAGTCAGAATTCGCGAGAGTTTTATATTTATCTTAATATCTTAAAATAATATTTTTTTTGTCAAGCAGAAAAAAAAAAAGTTTTATTTTATTTTATTAAATTATTATCAGATCTAAATTATTATATTTAAGAATATATTTTTTATTTATTAGAGAAACAGAACAAAATAGTAACTATTATTATTTATTATTATAAATTATAAGAAAATAGAGGAAAATATAAGTAAAATAATAATTAATTTAATAATTATAAGCTATATAAGTATTTTTAAGAAACTACTAATAAAATTATTAAGAAAGATATTCTGAATTACAGAAAAAATCCTATTAAAAAGAATAATAATTAATTATAATATTTTATATATAAAAATATCTAATATCTTGCGAATTAATATTCTATTAAAAATAAAAGAATTTAATCTGCTAGAATCTACTAATTTTTATTAAATTTAAAGAAAAAAATAAAGAAATTAGAATAAACTTTATAATTTTAATTTCTTTATTTATAGTAGAGACTATATATTATTTTTATATTTTTATTTATATTTAAAACAGTCTTGAAATCTTTGCAGATCTGGATAACTATATTAAAATAAATATTATTAATTATTAATTTATCAAAGTCTATAATCTTTAATATATTCTAATTACTGCGCCAAAGATTAAAGCTATTAATTAAATTATTATTTTTATTTATAATATATAGAAAGTCTCTATTACTACTATTAATTTATAAGAAGATATTTATATTTTTAAATAATATTATATAAAGATTAATTAGAATCTCTAACTAAAAAACAGCTCTATATTATTATTAATAATTATATTTTATAATCTATATATTATCTTATTAGTATAGAACTATTAATAATAATTTAATATATTATTTATTTTATTACTTTTTATTATTTAATTTACTAAAGTAATTTAAAACTCAGTAAGAATATATATTATTATTAAGCTTTTTAAAGATATCTGACTATTAGAAGAAGAATCTTATAATTTATTATTAAATTTTAAGATAATTTCTATTAAACTTAAATAATTCTAAGATATATTTTTTATAGATTTTTTTTAATAGCTATCTTCTTATAGCCCTATAAATTATATTATTAATATTAAATTTAATAAAATATTCTCTTATAGTTTAATATATTTTTTATTTAAAGCTGAACTTAAGATTTTATAAGAATATATTAAAAAAAATCTGAAATTAAATTAAATTTAATCTTTAAAAAATTCTACTAAAGTCTCTATTCTTTTTATATTTAAAAAAAATAATAATTTATATCTTTATATAGACTACAGAGATCTTAATAAAATTTTTATTAAGAATTATTATCTCTTATCTCTTATTTTAAAGATTCTTAATAGAATTTCGGGAAGTATCTATTTTTTAAAAATTAATATTAAGAATATATATTATTAAATCTGTATTAAAAAAGATAATAAATAAAAGACAGTATTTTATATTTAATATAGTTATTTTAAATATATAATTATATTATTTAAATTAACTAATACTTCAGTAATTTTTTAAAATTATATATATACTATATTTTAAGAACTTCTTAATAATTTTTATATAGTATATCTGAATAATATTCTTATCTTTTTATTAAATAAAAAATCTTATATAAAATATATTTATTAAATTTTAAAGAGACTTTAAGAAGCTCAGCTCTATATAAAATTATTAAAATATTTATTTTATTAATCTTAAGTTAAATTTTTAAAATATATTATTAACTCTAACAGAGTATTTATAAATTCTTAATAGATAAATAATATTATTTTATAATTAATTTTTAAAAATTATTATAATATTCAGATCTTTCTTAGATTCTGTAATTTTTATTAATAATTTATTTAAGATTATTCTTATATTATCTTATCTTTTATTTCTTTGCTTTATAAAATAATTAATAGACAAAAATTAGAAAAAATTTATTTAATTTTAATTAAATAGACTATTTTCTGCTGTCTTATTATTATTTTTTAATAAATATTTTTATTAATATATTTTAATTCTATAAAACCCCGCTGTTTAGAAACTGATATATTAAAAAAAAAAATAAATAATATTCTATCTTAATCTAATATTAAGAATATATTTTATTTAGTTATATTCTGATTCTGTAAGTTCTTTAATATTAAACTAAATTATAATACTTCAGATCAAGAGTTATTTACTATTATTTACTCTTTTAAATAATAATAATAATATTTAGAAGATATTTTTTAAATAATTAAGATTTTATCAGACTATTTAAACTTATAATTTTTTATATATTAAATTTAGATTAATAAAAGATAAGCTTAATAACTTATAAATCTAATTCTTTATAATTTTATTATTAAATATAAAACAGAAAAATTAAATCTAGTAGATAGATTTTTTAGAATATTTTCTAAATCTTAAATAAAATCTGCTTCTTAAGAGAAATTATTAATCTTAATTTAAATATAATTTATAGATATATTATCTCTGATAATAAAAAATCTTATTAAAAAAAAAACTTAGTTTAAATTTTAAAATATACAGAATTATTCTGAATTTAATATCTGTATTATATTAAGCTTAAAGAATCTTAATAATTAAGCTAGTATAAAAATAGCTAACTAGACTGCTTAAAAGAATTTATCTTAAAAAAGATTTATTTCTTAATTTATAATATTATAAGTATATACTGCAGAAGTTTTATACTTAAATATATATAATTCTAAACTTTAAAAAATAATCTTATATTTACAGAATAATAATCTAGAGATATAATAATAAAAAACTATTATTTAATAAAAATAATTAGACTAAAAATATTAAATTATTAAAATAATTAATTATATTTATTTTAAAGATTAATATTATATTCTCTCTTCTAAGATATTATATTAGATACTTATTAAACTATACTATAATAATTTATTAATAAAATATTTTAAAAAGACTTAAATAGAAGTACTGCTACACAGAAAGTTTTACTAAAATAAATTATAATATAATATAATTAAATATATTTAAACTTATCTAATATATTAAGAAACTACTACTTTAAAGTATTAATTATATAATAATCTTAAATTATTATTAATTTTATTATATCTCTTTATTAAATTAGTAATAAATTTTATTACAGGACTGCTCTTTATTATTTAATATAAAAAAACTATTAATATTATTCTAGTTATTATTAATTAATTTTTAAAATACTGTCTTTTCTTTATTATTTTATTTATAATAACTATTCCAGATCTTGCTGAACTGTTCTATAAATAAATTAAATTAATTTTTAGACTCTTAAATAAAATTATATCTAATTAAAAATTAATTTTTATTAATAAATTCTGATTAAATTTAGTCTATAATAATTATATAATCTTAAAGTTTTTAACTATATTCTATTCTTAAATTAATAATTAAATAAAATAGATAAATCAAATACTTAAATATTATCTCTGATATTATTTTAGCTAATAT